AATTTATTAGAAAAGCCTTTAGGCTAGTATAGCTCTTTAAGCTTTTTCTATAGTTCTAGTACTATTTATAGGCCTTTTATCTATATTAAAGGGCCGTCTTCTAGAGATAGTCGTATTAAAGCGTATACCTTAATAGAGTTTTCGAGCTCTATATTAGCATCGCTAGTAGAACTAGTAGCTCTAGTAGATCGTATAGGTTCTTTAATAGTCGATCCTAGGCCTTTTTCGATTAAATAGGCTTCTATTCGAATAGCCTATATCTCGATATTAGAGGAGCCTTTTAGTCTAGCGAACTTAAAGGTATTTAATTCTATTTTCGTTTATAGAACTAGTTCTATAAGGTTCTCGTACTTATAGACAACGAAAGTCGATGTCGGTAATAGCTAGAGCGACCCGGGCTTATAACCTATCCGGGGGACAAGGTTTAGAATCTATTATAGAAGTAGCTAAAGACCGTAGAAAGAAGGAGTAGAATATATAGTCGCTTCCTATCTTATTAAATAACTTAAGATATATCTAAGTAAAGGAGTATAGGCCTGTTTTATATAGGCGTAGGCTCCGTTATAATATCTCGTAAGTACGAGAGTAATTGCCGAGTATTCGTAAATACGAGTTAACTCCTAGGATGCTTAGAAATCAAGTTGAGTGATTTCTAATCCTATAGAATAGAATGGCGTTTTATAGAATCTTCCGTAAGGCTTAAGTATAGCCTTACCTAATGGATGCCACGTGATCCTAGCTTATATAAGCCTAATCACGTGACTAGGCGTTAATAGGGTATCGCTTAGTCTTAATATATATTATATAATATATCTACTAGTACTAATACTAAGGCTACTATTTAGTATTATTAAGAATAGTCTATATAATTATAAAATAGAAAAGTTCTATAAATAGTAAAGTTAGTATATAAGCCTATAGTACTTAGGTACGAGCCTAGCGAGTCTATAGTAGTTAGGCTAAGCCTAGCGAGCCTATAGTAATTAAGGTTTACCCTATAAGCTTATAATAAGTATCTATTATAGCCTAGCGCTACGAGCCCACGGTAATCTAGGGCTTACTAGGCTGCCCGGTCTAAAACATAGATGCTCCCGATAGGCTAATTATATATATTAAAGAGAGTCCTCTATTACTAAGTAGAAAGAAGAGATAATCCCGATCGAATGCCTTACGAGCTAAAATAGTCCTACTCCACCGAGCTAATACTAGCTACCTATAAAACTTAATAAATATAGTACTGCGCTTAGCGTGGTATTATCGCCAGTAGTTCTAGAGATAATTTCTATCCTATAATCTAAATGTTGGCCACGTCACAAGGACACGCACCATCGTAGATTTATAGACCTCCACTCGCCCCTCCCTCTATCCGTACTCAATAAACTCCTCAGCATCATCAATGCCATAAACCTTGAATAGAATCTGGCGTGACTCGCTGCTCCAGCAAGCAGCCACAAGCCCGGTGGCACTCCTTCGCCCTTTTGCTCCTTCATCAATCCACGAATATTCCCATTCTCATCCAAACCCCAGAACGGTCCCAATTTTCCTGTTATCTCCTCTCCAAGTATCGACACCACATCCTTACGATAATCCGGCTCATAGCCCGTGGCCAGCACCACTAAATCGGCCTCGATCTTCGAGCCATCACTCAGCACTATCTCCCTCGAATTTGGCCTGAAACGTTCAATGGTGACGCCCGACCTGATCCGTATGTCCCCGTCGACGATGTGCTTCGTGGTGCCGACATCAATGTAATACCCGCCGAAGTGATTGAGCACCGTTTCGTTGGGCGTGCTTGTCCGATCTAATCTGAATCCTGCGCGTTCAACTTCGTCAAAATACTCGGGATGAGCGTGCATCCACTGCTCATAGCTTCGCCTCTGGATCTCGGTGCCGATCTTGATGGGCATGGCGTAAACAAGCCGATCGGGCAGCTCGATTGGTCTGTCATGCTGATATATGGCATGCTGGCCCGCCATATACCAAGGTAGTGGATACAAGGCTGTCTTGTCGCGCTGGAGCATGGTCACGGACGAGAGTGCGTGGTTGTGCATGTCCTGCGCGATGTCGTGGGCGGCGGTGCCGGATCCGACCACTAGTCCCCGCTGGCCGCGCCAGCGAGCGCTGTTCTTGAAACATACCGTGTGCATGAGCGTTCCGGTGAAAAGGTGCTCATTTGGGTACGGCGGCGGCCGGCGCGGGTTGGTGAGGCCTGCGCCGAGCGCGATGGCCAGGTGTAGCGAATGTAGGGTCAGGTGTTGGTTGTCACGGGTAAGCGTGACGGTCCAGCAGCCGTGGGATTTGTCGAAGCGAGCGGAAGTCACCTCCGCGGACGTCCAGATGTTGATGTTGTATTTCTTGACCCAGTCACTAAAGCCACGAGCGACGGTGGGGCCCGGCAGGAAGTCAGGGTCCGAGGGGTCCCATGTGTGACCGAAGGGGAGGTTATTGACTTCGCGCATGGTGTGTTGGCGGACGGAATCGTAGCGACTTATCCATCGGTAGCCTGGGATAGCGGATCTCTCGAGGACTATGTACGATATACCCAGGGCTTGGAGGCGGCCCGCTAGGGACAGTCCACATTGGCCTCCACCGACAATGATGACGGCGTAGTTAATGCTTTGACGTGGGAAGGTTTGTTTAGGTGCTTTGAGCGGTATGTCGGGGTGGCCGTAGCCTGAGTAGTTTTCGAGCACCGTCGACAGCATCCAGATCTTCCAGGAGTTGCTGTTGCTGACCTGGGGTGCCGGAACAAAGGCAAGCGTACCAGAACAATTGCCAACGAGGTTGTCATCGGATATGCGAAAAGTGAAGCCGATGCTTACCCATGATGTGCCTCGAGCTAGACGTGCCACTCTAGGAGTACTGGAAACTTGAAAATCGCGTGGTCGTCGCGTAGCAGTTAGCTGCTTCCACATATCCAATATCTGACATTGGCTGAAGTGCGTCCGGATGTGTGGTGTGAGAGTCATCATGTCGTACCAGAGCGCATCTTCCACAAGCCATTCTTCACTGAGGTTCTCGAAAGCCTGTCGAGCCAGCGAGGGGATATGCCGAAGGTCTACATTATGAGGAATCTGGTCAGGAGGGAGATTACCCGGGAGATTCTTGATAGGAACACCAGGTCTCCATGGATTGCTTAAGACCTTGTCCATTTCGGCAACGTCGCACGGTCTAATTGCGTGAGTGAGGAGGAACGAAAGTGCCGCTAGAGAGTGAGAAGAGACAAGAATTTATCACGATTTAGGAGTTGTACTGTGCAACTTTTGAGAGTATTAAGGCTCCCCATGCTGACGCTTGGGACTCCATATATTAGGCCGGCCATATCACCAGACAGGTAAGTATAGTATGTTAGGGATCTTCGTGAAATAGATGAACTAACTAGCTCATTAATATCGACTTGGTCGCTTAAACCCCTCTAAGCGTTAAGGCTACAGGGGGGTCTCCTGTGCGGGCTGCCCCCCCCCCCCTTGTTGCACTAGTTGCGCTGCCAAACCGCCTGTACAAACCTCGCTGTCGCTCTTAATGATATATACAATTCACCATTTAGTATGGCCACCTTGCGCGGCGATAACTGCCCTACAGCGCTCCGGCATTGTCTCTATATACTTTATAAAGTCTTCTGGCTGTGGTTTATCCTACTCTTCTTGTAAATATTACCGTACTTCGGCATCTATTCTAGGAAATCGTTTCCCAATACGATATTTCAGTAATCGCCAAACATTCTCAATAGGATTAAGATCTAGTGAATGCGCTGGCTAAACCATTCGATTAATCTAATGCCTTCTATAATAGGCCCTTATTTACTTGTATAAATAGATACGCTATCTTCCATTAAAATACTTCGTATAAAGCCGATATAGTATTAAATATTACGAAGATGTTGATAAAATTAAGGTAATACTCTTTCTATATAGACCTACGAATTAAGCTTTCCCTAGGCCTTATCTATAAGGATTAAAGGGCCTTTTTTAATACTAGATATTACGCTATATACCATTACTACTAAAAATCTAGAAAATTTTAGAACTAAGTATTCCGATTAATATTTCTCTTTAGTCGTACGCGTAATATAGATCTTACCGAATACTCCTATTGTAAAGGATGCGGTATTAGTCTAACTAACTCGCTTCTACATATTAAAATCCTAGGATTAATGGGCTTTCGCCTATTGTAGACGTTATTATATATAATTAGGAGTTAAAAATAGCTTTTCTTACGCCGTACGACGATAATATTACTCTTTTTCGAATGCTATTGTTAAAGAGCGTCGATAGGCTTAATATAAGAGTATAAGTAACTTAACGAAAACACTAAGATAATCGATTAATTACTATATAGTCCTTAGAACATCGACTATAAGAACTTAAGGAGTCTAAAAACCTCGCATACGATCCGTATAGCCCCTGAGGTCTTATATACCGTGCCCCTTAGTGTTTCAGGACTAGTCTTGGCATGGGATGGGTGCTTCTAGGGTCCACCGTAGTCCTATCCCGTGACATTTGTATAGATAATTACTAGGTAAGATAACCTCCTAGAGCCTATTTTCCATGATTCCAAAGTATTCCAGAGGCTGTAGCACTGACTCATTGATCGTCATCACGAGGTTGTCTGCCTATTCCGTCGATAGTCACTTTAGCGCCAATAAGTGCCCCTACTTATTGGCACCAATGATTCTAGCGCGTACTAACTCACATAACACGTGATGCGCTAACAAAGATGGATACTAAACTATGTGAGTGACTCCAGTGACTCCAGTGATAAAATTGCCATGGTATCAGCATTTGCGATGCTTGGGATTCAATGAGTGATTTGAAATCATGGAAAAGGGGCTCATAGAGATCAAATGCCTCATAAATTTGTATATAAACAAGAACAGAGTCCATAGATTTGAAAGAGACGGAGATATCATACATGCTCGGGTGCTTGCCAAAAACATCGTAGTCAAGTACGCCAACACTACTAATCCATGTGCCGCCACTGTTGTAAGTGCACTATCAAATATGCCTTCCGCAAAGCTGCTATGGGACTCCCAGGAGATTGTCATTGTTTATTTGACTGATGAAGAACGTGTATCGGAACGAATTCCTGCAAAGTCGATGGGCAAAGCCATCTCTGCACTCCACCGTGACGGCGTGGTGGTTTTGGAGAATGCGGTCGACGTGGAGCATATGGATAAACTCAATACTATCCCCTCTGCTGAAGCCGAGATACTGGCCAGCAAGTACATGTTGACAGTGTTGATAGCCGCCTGGAGGTGCCATGCCCTCTTCAGGACATCAATCCTTGGCTGACAATCAACGCTTTCTTTCCGTGCAGAACTCCCGACAACACATTTCAATGAAAGCTCGGTCACCGGGTGAACCAACCGGCAACATGGCCCAGGGTCCGCCTCTAGAGCCAGAGTCGATGCATATCGTCATCCTGCCCTTCCTCTTGGTCATCGTCCATGTCCTCGTCGGTATCATCTTCATACATGGTACGAGCACACGAAGTTCGAAATATCTTACCACTTTGCAAAAAGAGTACGACGCTTCACAACAACTACTATTGTGCATCTGTTTTGCTGTTAAACCTTCGTTCTCCAATCCCACTTCCAACCAAGACAAGCCCACCGACTGAGGATGAAGGTGAGGAGAGAAAGTCCCAGGATGGCGCACATGAAGGCAACCAGCACCTGCGGGGAGATAGCCTCGACGAGTTCTCCGCTGATGGGAACACCAATGAGTGTAGCCAAGGAAGCCACAAAGTAAAGAGTGCCATAGTACCGACCGAACTGGTCGGCCTCGCACAGCTGACCAATACAAGCAGGTGTCAGAGCCATCCAAGAACCAGTCCCGAACCCAAACAAGGCGGTGAACGCGTACAGAGCAGCAAGGCTGGTGTGGCCGAATGGAAGCCAGAGGACGAGCATGACGATCAGCGTGAAGATGATCATTATCAGCAGTGTGTTGAAGCGGCCGATCTTGTCCGAGATGTAGCCTGGGATGATTCGTCCGAAGCAGGATACGCCGTTCATCACGGAGATGATGTAGAACCCTGTGTCTGGTGGATAGTTCGATCCGAAGTTTGCATACGTTGGGAGGATTCCTAATGCGCCGAAAAGGACAATCTCGAAGCCGAACACGCTGATAGTAAGAAAGGTGAATTTCAGATCGCCGAACAAGCCGAGTGATAAGAGCCTTCTATTTCGTGCTTCGGGTGATGGAGGCAGTCGCGGCTTCATGAGAAGATTGGCGATGATCAGGCACGCGAGAAAGACGAAGCCGAGGATACGGATGGACCACGCATAACCATATTTTGGTAATGCGCTTCTCAGGATCAGAGGGATGGTGGTGCCACCTAGACTGGAGCCAACCATTGCGATGCCGTGAGCCATACCACGTCTTCTCTTGAACCAATGGCTTACCACAGCCAATCCTGTCGTGCACAGTGAGGCGCCTCCTAGTCCTCCTAAAAAGCCCAAGCAGAGAAGAAAATGCCAATACAATTTGCATTCCGCCAAGAGGAAAATCATCATGATGTAGCAGATACTTCCGCTCAACGCGATCCAACGCGGCCCGTAGCGATCAAAGAGTGGCCCAACCCAAATTCCAAGGCCAAGAGAGAGGTACACAAACACGGAAGGTATCCAGCCAACATCGCGAGCTGTGTAGTGAGAGAGCTGATTGGTTTGAAGGTATTCTTGAATGGTGCCAATCGAGACCATGAACCCGAACGAGGCGTACAGTCCGAGAAATGCTCCGAACAGTACGAGCCATGCTTGTAGACCACCTTCGGGGAACTCATCTTGTGGCGAACTGATTCCACTATCGTCGACGTCGACGACGACAGGGATTCCAGAGCGACGTTCGAAGCCTGGAGCGGTCTGTGACTCGAGGTCGTTTTGCTGGAGTGGAAGCTTTTGCTCTGGGCTTCCTTCGCGAGGATATTTTACCGACCCCACATCTTGCTGCGGCCGATCACTGGTATTGGTTGCAACGAGTTGGACTGCAGGTGACGAGACGACATCCATTGAAATCACAAAGATGGTCAATGGTGGTACTCGAACTTCCAAACCCCGTATAAGAAGAGCTCGTAGTTCTCATCGCAATATTTGTGAGTTGAATTAGTCATGTTGAAAGCTTTGGCACGCCCTAGAGCATCCCGCGCATCTTTACTAGTGAAAAACGCCTTTTTGTGGGAAGAGTCGCTCTTCTCCGTTTATTGATGCAGTAATGAGTCAGTGAAGGATTGTAGATCCTAACTCGGACTACTGTCGGAGGGGATTCGCAATTCCTGCATACGGCCAGTGTCAATCACACGCATTTGAAACATACGAATACACCTCCCAGACTTGTAGATGGTGTTATGATATCCATCTGGCAAGGTCGAGCGTCAGTCTGGTGCATGTTCTTTGCTCCCGAGAGCCGCCTGCCTCACATTTACCGTGTTGGAAATGTTAACTCCCCGGCGATTAAACCCGGCCAATGCATTTCGCTGCGAGTCTCTCCCAAAGATTATGGTCCCCGTCCAATCAGTAGGACTGGCCAGCCTCGTCATCTGGCTCGTTATTTGGTTGGTGCTGGGCGAACGTCCTGAGTGACTCTTGTTGCTTAGAAGGTTCTCAACGTTCTTGATTCCCTTGCAAGCTGGGTTCAGAACCTGTAATTCCGTTAGAAGCATCACCGGCTGCGATCGACCCGCCACATCGTCAACGCTTGAACGGCTTCCTCATCAAATTATCCCTACTCCGTATTAAGGAACGAATGAAAATCGGTTGGTTAAGCGATTTCGCGCTTGGGTTGAGCTGGTCTCGATCAGGAAATTTCATCTGGCTTGGCAGACAGCCGAATGGTGCCGGCGGCATGCCCGAGTATCTTGTCATCAACATCTGCTCTATTCAGGGGAGAACGACAGTTTCCTCATTGTCATCTCAGGCGTGTAATGTTTGTGCCGCAATCCTACATACTAGTACAGACACGCTCGCGAAGCTTGATGGTGACATCAGACGACAGGTTGTGCCAACGTGGCCTCGCGATCATTCCAACTTGTCTACCTAATGCAAAAATCATCCTTTCGAGAATTCAGGTTGTGAATCAATTCCACAGGTTGTCATCTGACTTCGCGCATGATGGCCCCACCTAAATGTAAGTTGCTCCTAGAATACAAGAAAATAAGCGTGCTATCAATGAGACCAAGCTTACTCAACACGCGCAATGCGCCTGGTCAATTAGATGCAGCAGGTATACACTTTGTTGACAGTAAGACTGGCCAAGATTCGAAACCAGACCGCCGTAAAGAGACGATGAGCCATGCGGCGAAGGCTCAATGGAAGCAACGAAAGAAAGGGCCCCTGCAGTCATGGATCAATCCTTGCCAAAGCATCAAACGTGCGAAGACAAATTCAGGATGGTCAGAAGAGAGTCGCTCGCCTCGGCCGTTGCCCAGACTGAAGATGGTTGGCGGATACTTCTGTGGAACCGAGTTACCGCCGGGGATCGAGCCTGGCGTAATTCAAGAGTTGGTCAACGGTAAGCAAGGGTGCTCAACATTTACTTGACCCGCCTTTGTTCTTCTCCCCAAGGGACTGACCCGGGATCACTATTGCAGTCATCGAGCTAGGAAAGTATGGCACATACCCCTACGAAGTCTGTCTCCACGTACACGCCGTAGAGCGAGGCTGGTTTCCTTACATGATTAGTGATATCTGCTGTATCCATTCAATGATGTTCGGGCTCCGCGCCTTTCTTGACAAGACACGAGACAGCAGGAAGAACAAAAGCCTAGCGGCTTTTCACCATTCTCAAACCTTGCAGCATCTGCAAGCTCGGATCAATGCCTTCGAGAAGGATCCGAATGCCTTCGTCTTTGACGATTCAACCATAATGGTTGTCATCAACTTGGCCATGACTGCCGAGTTCGAGGGTGACCTTACCACGGTACGAACCCATGTAGATGGCCTTCTCAAGATGGTCAGCCTCAAGGGCGGGCTCAGGTCTCTGAGTATGCACAATAATTTACAAGTCAAAGTCTGCAGGTAGGTTCTCGACGGTTGCTCTTGCAGGATGGCAAATCTTGACGATTTGTCACTGTGTAAAGTTGTCCGAACTGACCAGAGATATAGGGCAGACATAGCTCTTGGGTTACACCAGGGCACGTCTCCACGCCTCTTTCGGGACGACATCAACTGGGATTGTTTTATCGCAGGTCGCGGGCTGATTCGGTGTAGCCACAAGCCGCATGAGGCGCAGATAGGTGGCTTCATAGACGGACTCAACCAACAATTGAGTAACTGCTGGAAGGACATCCATGCATTTTGCTGTCTCAGCAACATGGCATATCAGACAGGTGGCAAGTTTTCTCCAGAGACTTACAATGAGATGATGATCTCCATCTTTTATCGACTTATGCATCTGTCTTTCACGGATGATGGGATGCAACGGCTCATTCGCATCGGCTTGCTGACCTATTGCTCGACTATCTTTTTGATTCGAATGTATCAGGCTAATCCCTTCAGTCGACTTCATGACCTTTTTAGCACCGAGCTCCGAGTGAATTTTCAGTCGACAAGTAGATGTTTGCCACAATCGGTCCTTTTTTGGTTGTTGATGATATACAACTTGGTGGCATATAAAGACTCTTGTCGGACGGAATGGCAAACTGTGTGGCTGGATGAAACCATAGCACTCGACAAAACGGCCACTTGGTCTGATGCTAGCACCTTGTTGAAGTCCGTCATGTGGGTTGATTTTGTTCACGATGCTGCAGGGATGAAAATCTTCGATGCAGCCGTTGAGCGTCTTGGTGGGTCGGGGTTGAATGATGAAAGTGCTACAACCTCCTGAGCACCGAAGTTATTGCGCGCTTGCAATAGTATAACGTTGGTCTGTAGCTCATCAGAACAGTTATCTTGTCCAATTTGTGGTTGGGAGACAAGAATGCGTTAAAGGATAATGTACCAGAAAGATGTGGCTGTTGCTCAACTGGAATAGCAACAACTTATCCCCGATATAATGAGCGTAAGAGCCGGACGGCACTCGATAAATCCGTTCACGGGCATATGGGCAGAAGCAGAATTCCCAAAACGCCGCAAGCTGCAGAGCAATTGAGCATTGACATACCTGCCTGGGGAGCCTTGCGAAAATGCCAAGAGCATTAAGACTTCCCTTTGGAGACTAGCTTGACGATAGTTGACGTGTAGGCTTCGTTAAACTACTGCTTGACTGGTTCGATACGCATCAGGATTCGAGGACTCTAAATCATAGTGGGCCCAGTCTGGAACAGGGAGAAACGCAAAGACATGGACGACTTCCTCATTGTGATCTTCAATGTCGTATAAAAAGGGGGCTCGTCCTGCCCAACAAGTAGAAATAAGAGTGAGATTACTAACATAGTCTTTTCTTCCTCCGGCCTTCTAATAAATAACTTTGAGCATTCTACGACTGAAGATGTTTTCGCAACGCAGCAAGAATGAAGACCAGACTATTGGGCGCCCATCTAAGGACATGGACCCTCTGCCTAAGAACATATTTTCTATATTCATCCAAAACCAATTCCGCACCACAATTGACCTTCCGACCAAGGAAAAATACCTTGAGGTCGAGGGTAGATGTGCAGTTGTAACGGGCTCAAACACAGGACTGGGGTTCGAAGCATCGAGGCAGCTCCTGTCTCTTGGATTGTCGCATCTTGTGATGGGAGTGAGGTCTCTCGCGAGAGGAAAAGAAGCGGCGGATAAGCTTCAAGCAGCGAATCCTTCTGCCAAGATCGATGTTTGGCAGCTCGATATGGAGTCATATAAATCTGCTCAAGCCTTTGCTCAAAAGTGCGACGAAGGACTTCCTCGCGTCGATATCGCCATCTTGAATGCCGGTGTCTTCTCAGCAAATTTCTCGAGTGTCGCAGAAACTGGGCACGAAAAGACCATGCAAGTCAATCACTTTGGCACGGCATTACTGACGCTTCTGCTGTTGCCTATTCTGAAGCGAAAGCCAGTTGGAAAAGAACCACCACGGCTTATAATCGTCAATTCACTCACCGCTCATATGTGCAAGGTACCCAACAGAGAAATACGACCATTCCTACCATCATTTGATGATACTACAGTGCTCCCTTTCGATATGGAAGAACGATATGGAGTCTCCAAAATGGTGAACCAATTGTTCATTGTGGAGCTAGCTGGAAGAGTCAAACCTCAAGACGTGATTATCAATATGGTTGATCCAGGCCTTACAAAGGGCACCGGGCTTGCTCGCGATGCGAATTGGCTGGTTCAAATCCTAATGAAGTTGTTCCTTGCCGTGGCGGCAAGGCCTTTGGACAGGGGAGCAGCGTCGTATCTCGATGCTGCCTTTGGACATGGTGAAGAATCTCATGGTTGTTTCCTCATGAGCCTTAAGGTTAGCCCGTAAGTTCGGTTCCCGTGATACTATTCATGCATGGAATGCCAGGAACACTCGCTAACCGACTCGCTTACTCATCTGCTTTGTAGACTCTGCGGCTGGTACTATGCCGATAACAAAGCATTAGTGAAGCCCATCTGGGAGGAGACACTTCGAGAACTGAGCTTCGTTGGGCCAGAGCAAATCATTGCTTCAATGCAATGAGGATGCAACGTTCCTTTGGGGCATTTGTATTTGCCAGGAGTGGGAGACCGCGGCTGAGTACCGTGAGGCGAGATGCAGTGCAAGCGTCGGAGCAGCTGGACATTTATTAAGCGCTTATCGCTAATCTAAATTGAAGGCTTGAAATTCACTTGGGCAAGACAGATGAGCTAGTCAATTGTTTATTTCCGAGAGACATGCTCAGAAGTGACAAGGACTGAACTGTACCGCCAGATGATTTGGTAGCTTTGTTGTTGGTGACGGAGTCAAGGAGATGCTGCTTTTCGTATTCGCTGGAATTTACTTTACCAGACACTAAAGCGGCGGGGGACTAATCGGTGCTAATGGATTTAGTATTAATCCGGGTTCTTGGCAGGCACCGGATGCGGCGAGGCACGACGCAATTAGTATTAGTTGGCGGGTCTTTTTTCCCAGTCGGCGTCTGTATCTTGCATCTGCGTTTTCGACATATCATCACAGGCCGCAAATTTCGCAGGCACCTTGTTCACGTCTGAGTCGCAGCAAACCTAGTCCCGCGTCCAACCATTTTAACTCATTCTCAAACGCATACGGATTTCCCATTCGTATAGCCAAACGCGTCTCGGTTTGAGCATACCAAACTCCCATACCATCATTTACAAGCCCTCCAGACCGATACAATCACAGAGTAAGATGGCTGATGAACACGAAGTCAAAGATGAGCACACAGAGCCTCAGGCAGAAGGCGGTGAAGAGGTGAGTGAAGTTTGCACTAGTCTGAAGAGATGCAGGTAGCCGAACGATGCGAAGAGGGCACGGCAGGCTTCCATGGCTTGCGGGGTGCAAATCAAACTGACAGAAGTACTTGTAGGAAGAGATCGCCGCAATGAAGAGACGCGTGGCCGAGATGGAGTCCGAAGCAGCCAAACTACGAGAGATGCAAAGCCACCTCGAATCACAGTCCGAAGCGGTGCCGCGAGAGGATCGAGAAGACGTGGATGCGCGTAGCATCTTTGTGGGAAATGTCGACTATGCGGCCACTCCGGAAGAGATTCAAGCACATTTTGCAAACGGACCAGGCTCGATCAACCGAGTGACTATCCTGCTGGACAAGTTTACTGGTCATCCAAAGGGGTGGGTCTGAACTTTCTGAAGCACAAGCACAAGAACCAGCTATTTCTGCACAAACAAGTCTACGCGTTTCAAGAGCTGGATACTGCTCAAGAATCATTTCAAAAGTCAAAATCATTTCATGCTACCTGGCAAGAGATGGGATCGCTAATGGTACTTTCGCGCAGGTATGCATATGTGGAATTCTCCGAGGCTGCATTGGTGGCACAAGCATTGGTTCTGAATGAGAGTCTCTTTCGCGGTCGCAATCTCAAGGTGAGCCCATGGTTAAAAGTCTGGTTACATCGATGGGAGTACTAATCGGACCCTGTTCAGGTCGTGCCTAAGCGGACGAACCTTCCCGGCATGACTAGAGGTGGCCGAGGAAGAGGAGGTCCGCCACGAGGCGGTCGTGGAGGATTTGGCGGCCGAGGAGGCTTTGGTGGCTACGGTGGTGGCTATGGCAGTCCTCGAGGCGGACCACGAGGAGCTTATCGAGGCCGTGGCCGCGGATATGCTCCTTACTAGGCCATAGGTCAACAGGTCAACAATGCGAAGCCGAGCATTGATGGTTGACATGGTACCGAATATCCGGGATGATATTGATTGACGGTACACTTGAGTTCCCATGGGATAAGGAATTGGGCTTAGCTGGTCTTGGTCTTCAGCCGGGCATGGAAATGGATACTACCCGCGCTTCTGCATTGTAAGGCATCAACGTCGATCAGGCCAAACTTGAGGGACAAAGGCGAGACTCTCGAGAGGGAGTGAGAGACTTGATACTGGCGTTTGGGCTACCTGATTGAACTGTGGTTGAGGCCTGTCTCCTTTCACCCTAATGGACGGGGATCTGATACAATTAAAAGTAACAAATAATCAAGTGACAGTGTGAAAGAAAGGTAGGGTCCAAGGATGAGATGCTCTGCCTCGACTGTGCCACCAGGCTTTATAATTGAGTTATCGGCGAGTAGGACCTGGGTAAGGAGGCATTAATACGCAGGAAATAGTGGTGCCCTGATTCGGCCACGTATGTAGGTAGAATGATGTAAGCGGGACTCGAGTCTCTTGTTACCCACTTGTCTTGGGGTGCTTGTGAGGCGGAAATCTGGTCACGGAGGCAAAAAGGACAACTCTGCGCCCGGGTGGATGGTGGATATGACCCGTAGCCAGTGGTCAGCACTGCGGCAAAGGGCACAGGTTACCAGGTACGAGAGAATACTGCGAGTAGAGTGGTAGTAGTAGGACTGGGCACGGACTGGGCCAACTAGATACTACCTCCTCTTCTCCCCTCTTCAGGCTCGTTGTCTGTTTGAATCCCAACTAGGATCCTGTTGTATTCTATTCTGCAATCATTATGCAATCATGACATGAACAGGCACCATCATATTCCTCCTGGCGCCCTTCCTCGCAGAAAGCAGAGGCAGAACCGCGAGAATCCGCTTTGGCTCTTAGCGTTCCGAGCCAGTCGAGCTGCGCCCCGTCCTCGTCCACTTCGACTTCCACCTCCACCTCTTGTCTTGAGTCTTGACTGCTGCCGACAGCCAACTACTACTACTCACCCGTACAATTGGCCCTGGCTCACGTCCCTTGCGAATACGATCTCGCCGCTGCCCGGTCGCTTGCCAATATCAAACACCTCCATTGTCTTCACCTGCACTCACTTCTTTCCATCGACAAAACACCCATCCTCTCGTCTCTCCATTCTTACACTTACCCCGCCGCGCCTCTCCTCTCCTTGCATCAAACCTCGACACCCAAAGCTGCTTTGCGGCGACTAAAGCCAGGATGCCTGAGGGGAACCTGCCTGCGTACGTGTCTACCGTCAACTTTGACCCCCCGCTGGCTCCAGCTGACCACTGCAAAACAGAGAACCCAATCTTCGAGTAACCAGTCTGTCACTTCCTCCCCTTTGACTCGTCGTCTCGTTGTGCTCCTGTCCTAACTCCTTTGCTAGTCATCGCCGCCGATGGCCTCTACAAAAGAGATGTCTTCCGTAAGTTTTCTGCCATTGCGTCCCATCCACCTTTATCGCTGAGACACAAGAAGGATTTCCGGACCCCTTCGCCGTTGCGACGATTGGAGGAGAGCAGACCAAGACCACCTCGGTCATTAGAAAGACGCTGAATCCCTATTGGAATGAAGTATTTGATATGTCAGTCACTTCCCGACCCACTCTGGGCCCAGTCACCTGCACACTGAACTGACTCTGGCCCCAGGCGAGTGACAGAAGACAGCATTCTCGCCATACAAATCTTCGACCAAAAGAAGTTTAAAAAGAAGGACCAAGGTTTTCTGGGAGTCATCAATATCCGCATTGGCGATGTACTCGACCTAGAGATGGGCGGAGACGGTGCGCTCGAGTGCTTCGCGTTCACCCCGTTGTCTTACTGACTGCCTGCCCACCAGAAATGCTCACCCGTGACCTTAAGAAGTCCACCGATAACCTCGTTGTTCATGGCAAACTTATTGTCAATCTCTCCACCAATTTAACCGCCCCTCCACCCACTCAGCAGAACAGACCTGCACCAAGCACCGCTTCCAGCGTCAACGGCTCCAACCCATACCCTAGCAACACCAACTTGAATCAAACCATCCCCGTCCGTACTAGGAGCCCTGCCCCTTCTCGAACGGCCACTTCTGGCTCGGGAGAAGCAAGAGCCTCTGCCACAGCTCTTAACGGCTCCGGCCCACAATCGCAGTCCAACGGCCCTTCCGGAAGACAAGGCGGTTTCAGCTCCTTTGAGGACAGCCAAGGACGTTTGCCTGCCGGTTGGGAGCGTCGAGAAGACAATCTAGGTCGAACGTACTATGTCGATCATAACACGAGGACTACCACCTGGACCAGGCCATCAAACCATCTGAGCGAATCCGAGGCTAGAAATCGTGTCGAAGCAAACATGCAGATAGAACGACAACGGCATCAGAATCGTATGCTGCCAGAGGATCGTACTGGCGCCAACTCACCCAATCTGCAAGATTCCAGAGGAGGCTCGCCTTCTCAGCCCAACGCCGTGCAGATGATGGCCACCGGTGCTACCACTGCTGGAACTGGTGAACTCCCAGCTGGCTGGGAGCAAAGGCATACCCCCGAAGGCCGAGCTTACTTTGTTGATCACAATACTCGAACCACTACCTGGGTCGATCCTCGACGACAGCAATACATTCGCATGTACGGTAATAACCCCGCAGGCAACAATACCACCATCCAACAACAGCCGGTGTCGCAGTTGGGTCCGCTACCCAGTGGTTGGGAAATGCGTCTTACCAACACTGCTCGTGTTTACTTCGTGGATCACAACACAAAGACCACCACCTGGGACGACCCACGGCTGCCATCTTCTCTCGATCAAGGTGTACCACAGTACAAGCGCGACTTCCGGCGAAAATTGATCTATTTCCGATCCCAGCCGGCACTGCGCATTCTTTCTGGACAGTGCCATATCAAAGTCCGACGTGGCGCAATCTTCGAAGATTCCTATGCTGAGATTATGAGGCAAAGTGCCACTGATCTCAAGAAGAGACTGATGATCAAATTTGATGGTGAGGACGGTCTCGACTATGGCGGTCTTTCTCGGTAAGTCTGAGGTTCCTTGCTCTAGATCTAGCTCCACTGATATGTCCTTTAGCGAATTCTTCTTCCTTCTCTCGCACGAAATGTTCAATCCATTCTACTGCTTGTTCGAATACTCTGCGCATGATAATTACACCTTGCAAATAAACCCCCATTCCGGTATCAACCCGGAACATCTCAACTACTTCAAGTTTATTGGCCGAGTCGTCGGACTTGCTATTTTCCATCGTCGCTTCCTGGATTCCTTCTTCATCGGTGCATTCTATAAAATGATGCTACGAAAGAAAGTTGCAATCAATGATATGGAAGGTGTCGATGAAGAGTATCATAAAAACTTAACCTGGACCCTGGATAACGATATCACCGATATCCTGGATCAGACTTTTGCCATTGAAGACGAGCAGTTTGGTGAGACCAAGACGATCGACTTGAAGCCTGGTGGAAGAGACATTCCCGTCACAAACGAAAACAAGAGAGAATATGTTGAGTACGTTTCACAATCCCGCCTCCCGTCACACTGTAATATGGCTAACTTTCCCTAGGCTTGTTACTGAATGGAAGATTCAAAAGCGAGTCGAAGAGCAGTTCAATGCTTTCATTACCGGATTCAATGAGTTGATTCCGGCCGACCTGGTCAACGTTTTCGATGAACGTGAACTTGAATTGCTTATTGGCGGAATTGCTGATATAGATGTTGAGGACTGGAAGAAACATACCGATTATCGTGGTTATCAAGAACAAGACCAAGTCATTCAAGACTTCTGGAAAGTTATTCGGACATGGGATGCTGAACAGAAGAGTCGTCTTCTGCAATTTGCGACAGGAACTTCGCGTATTCCTGTCAATGGTTTCAAAGATTTGCAGGGCAGTGATGGACCCAGACGTTTCACCATCGAGAAGGCCGGTGAAATCAACGCCCTTCCGAAAAGTCATACTTGGTACGTTGTCACTGGACACTTTGTGACGTTTTGACGAATCACTACTAACAAAGCTCAGCTTCAATCGTCTCGACTTGCCTCCGTACAAGACCTATGAGGTGCTCAACAGCAAGCTATCAACCGCTGTGGAGGAAACATTAGGATTCGGCCAAGAATAGAGAAGAAAAAATTCCCCAGCTGATCAGATTGCCGGGAATTTTTCTCGGATTGTAGATGGAAAGCTTACAAGGACTACTACGTATTGGCGACTAGGCAGGAACAGGGCGTTGTTGTCTGGCACATGCATTAGGTGGTGCTCTTACCGGAAATCTTTCAAAGTTGAGTCAAGTTAGGTCAGCCGAGTATACTGGGTCCTGGGCAGACCAAGGGCCCTCGGGGCCATTACCAGACCCAAATACAACGAATTGCAGTACGAGGTATAAGGTGCGGTGCGGTGCGGTGCGGTGCAGTGGGGCTACAGATCTGTATGCGAAGCACATTCCTTCCTTTCTTTTTCCTTTTAGAGCAAGCGAAGGGAGAGGGATCTCCAGTGTGGTACAGAGGACGCAATACTCGGTAATTAATTATGGCTAGTGACAATAAATCGGTGAGCTGGCGACTGTTGGCCATTGACCATGCATGACTAGCCGATTACGACCTGGCCTGGAGTACGAGGACCTCAGGTATCGAACGAAACCAAGAGAACGAGAGTCGGTTGTATCGCCGCCTCGATCGGATAGGATAGTACAGCGTATGAGGTGGAATCCTCTCGACCTGGGCCAAACAATCCATATTTACATACTCAACAGGGACCTCGATGCGACCATCTTAGCTCAGAAGGGCAGCAGGTCCTTTCACTCGATGCCCCTTTCCTGCCCTTTGCTTGGCCTGCTTGGTCCTCCCTCACCGACGAGCCAGTTATGCAGCTCCATCAAAGGAAGAACCATGTATGTGCCTGATGCATGATTTCGCTTCCTTGATACTGGCCAGGACCTGGGTATTTATTTGCCTTTACCCTTCTATTGTGCCTGTCGGGGGAAATATCTGCGTAGTCCCCCAGCTAAGACCTCTCGGGGGAAAGGAAGGAAAGGATGTGGTGCCGCTGTAGTAGTCTCCGGAAGAAGTCGTTGTTGAAGAACTATTATCCCCCGTCACGTCACGATTAGGTTGTCAGATGGTACCCTTGTGGATGTAGAGCTAGAAAAGAAAAAAAAGCTGGCCTTTCTACAGGAAGGAGAGACACGAACGCGAAGGAATCACGGGCGGTTGGAGCAGACGAGACAGATGAATGCAGATGCTATTCGTGTGGATAGGTCGAGATGGTATCTGTGGGCTCACGGGGGCTGAGCGTTTTCTGGTTGGAGAGTCATGCAATGTTACTACGAAGTAACACGGAAGGGCCGATATCAGATTGCTCTTCTCGTACTCCTTTCTATTGTTCATGATGGTGGTCTTTTCACTATCTAGCTACGTATCTCCTTCGTCAGGCGATGAGAGAGGTCAGATGTGTACGTTCCCCCCTGGTGGGACCCTGAAGCGGGATGGGATGTCGACGGATTTGCGAGGAAATGTTGGAGTAGCTGGCATGGCCGGGCTTTTCGGGCTCTAAGGATTATGGTAAGGGTGGTGCCAATGCCCAAGCCCACCCTTCCGGCGAATATGGCGGCGGGTTGTCGCTGTGAGTGGAAGGTAGTGTAATTGTGTCAGTGACAGGGGCAATGTCAACCTGAGCCGCCCCATTATCTGCTGTGGAGGCCAAGGTGTCTGTTAGAGCTGCATTTGTTTGCTGCACGTGAGATCGGGAACGGTGCTGCGATGTTGTAGCTGTTGGGTGCTCAAGCAGATCAGAGGCATATGGCGCAGGCTCTGGGTCATCGACAGCTTCGCTACGTTCAAGAGTCTTCCTTCTGTTTTCGTGATAGTCTGTCCACATATCTCTTTCGCAGAGAGAACTAGATCCATTTGAGCTGCTGTCTAGCGCTTCCTCGTCGTATTCATTATCTGACTCCGATGCGAGGATCTCCCATTTCTGGGTGAGGAATTTGCCAAATCCAAATGCCGCAAGCTTACTTTTCAAGTTCAAGCTGCTTCTACTTTTTGTAGACTCGGAAGTGGTCACGCGATACATCGAGCCTTGTTGTGATTCCTCATATTTTTGGCGGGAATCCTCGGTATTCCATAATTGGACCATCTTCTTGTACTCTAAGACCGTCGCGTGGAAGCCGTAGTCCGCTCTGATGACTACTTGAATTTGGTAGGGGTCCATCCCTTGGTTCACTGAGAGATCGAGGATGGTGGCTTTGAGTTCATGCCACTCTTTACAGCGACGTGGAGATATGGATGGGATGCTCGAATGAAACTGAAGGAAGTCGTTATATTTCTCGATATTGGTCCGTGCGAATGTGGAGGTGGCATTCTCCTTCAAACATGCTACATCAGCGTCCATGTTGGGGCGAGGAAAATCGTGACAGAAGCGCCCCAAGTAAAGAAGAAACTTCTGGCTATACGTCCAATAGCCTCTCTTGGAGTGATAGACGGCTTCGCCACTCGGGGCTTGCTCCGGTCCCATATAGGCTCGATAATTGATCGTATCAAGATGACGAACGAATTGAGGTAGATCCGCACCCGGATCATCCTGTACCGCTTCGTCGCCTCTCATCTCACGTCTGGACATTGTCATAGACTTGAAGCGTTTGCGGTTGTATTCCTCCAAGTCGGCTTGCCGAGAAGCTGCGTTACGAGCTCGGGCGTCAATCATCTTTTGGTTCCAGTGGTGACGTGTAGTGCCTCCAATTTGCCGCGGAAGAGACTTGTTACACCACAAGCAGATACGTCGTCGGTCTTTATCTTCCTCGAGCGGATTGGTGCAATCGAGGCCATGGCATTGAGTTTCTGCTGATGAAACGGCTTCCCAATTTTGTCGGTCTTTGCACTCAAGGCATATTGTACCATCCACTTTCAGAGTACAAGTGCAACATTCTCTCGTACTGCCACCTGGGTCGTACCATGGAGTTCTTGAAGCGCTGTTCTTGGACCCATGAAGTGGGAAGCGGCGGCCCTTGCTGTGATTCCCATCATCCCAGCACACCCTGCAAAGATATCGGACTCGATTCTGGAAGGTATTCTCCCTTCCACGCGAGAAGGACGATTGCACAATGCAAGCGTCGCAAATAGGCCGGGAACAGTATCGACATGGCTTAGGAGAGAGGTTCCTCTTCGCATGCTTGGGAGCCGAGCATTCGAAGGGAGCCAAATCTTTTAGCCTCTTCCAGGACGGTGTGTTGTGTTGACCGATATTGAGTGATTTTCGAGGACGACGTTGGCTCCCAGTAGGCAAGTCCTCATGGGGTTCTGGGAATCCGTGCAATCCAGCTCGCAGAGCGGAACTAGATCGAGAAAGCGTGATCAAATCTCCCACCGGTAGATAAGCACTCAAAGCTTCGGCGACTGGCCACAGTCTGATGGACGACTCTAGTCCTGGTGAATTTTCCTGCTCCATGATCACGACAAAGTGGTCATCACTCTGTGATAATGGTTTCGATTAGATGAGAGACAAGTGCTCGTTGGGGAGACTTTCTTCCAGGTTCCTGTTACAGAGTATTGAAGAGACACTTGTGCAACCTTCCGGCTTACGGTTCAAAAGTAGACAAGACATTGAAGATGGAGGAACAACATTTCATTGTCTCGCCCCTCGCTTTGCAGTATGACGGGGCGGTGGTTGGAAGTTGGTCAGAGACGATCATCAGCGAATGCACCGTGGTCCGTGGTTGGGTACCACCAGGCTGAAGTCGGGGACTCGGGCGGCGCACGCAACTCTCCGGAGCTGGGGTGGCTTAGTCTGACAAGGAACCAATGGAGGTGTTGCAAAACCTGCAATAATGGGATTTCGCCCGATTCCATTTGTAAGATTTATACGAGGGAGTCTCACCGTTGACTTAGTCAATCCGGGGTCTCCATAAATCGGTAGCCATAAGTCAGAAGAATTGGCCTGCAGAGCAGCGGTGGCATCCTGTACCCGGTCCCCAGACGCGGGTGCCGGAATGAGAGTTTGATGCCACCAGATGCTCTACTGATGGTTGGGAAATCGGCCTTGTCAGACAATCATTTCCTTTTCTCTCCAGGTGGAACCCCGGATTTTTTCGTGAACTCTGATTTCTGCATGCGGCAGATTGACGAAAACCAGACTGGAAAAGGGCAAGAAAACCCCGTTGCAGTTGTTCGACCCATCTGAATTGTTTCGTAACGTGCAGTGGATAGAGCAGTCCACTCCAGTCCACTCCAGTCCCAGATCCCGTGCGGCGCAGCTCGCTCTTGCCCTGTTCAGCCAGTGGTGCTACGCTCCTTCCTCGCGCGCACGAGAACCTCGCGCGTTCCTGCCTGCAGAATGTCGCTACAAGCTTATATTGACCGTACGTGTCCCACGCTTATCCACACACGCAAAGCTGATATAGATGCCCAGAAAAGGTTCTCGTCATTACAGTCGATGGGCGAACACTGGTCGGTACGCTGCTGTCCTGCGACCAAGTCACCAACATCGTTCTGAACGAGACTGTCGAACGTATTATCCGACCCGCAGGTGATCCAGAACCCAGCTCCGAGGTCAGCCATGGCTTGTACCTTGTCAGAGGTGACAACATCACAATAGTTGGACTGGTTGATCAAGAGTTGGACAACAGTATTGATTGGGAAAAGGTCCGAGGCGAGGTTATTGGGACAACCAAACATGTGTGAGCAGAGAGCACTATGAAAAGAGCGAGAATGTACAACAACACAGAATCTGCTTCTGAAATGGAAGGGATTTTTGAGATCAGCAAGTTGAGCACTCGAGTCCTCACTCCTTCAGCTGCATCCTGCAATGGCGAGCAAGATAAATGCTGTTGAAGTGCCCCGCCGTTCGCCATTTGGACAGAACACAACGCACTCAAGAACACTAGGCCTCAACGCTGAGTATGTCATATCAGCCCTCTTTTGCTACAGTTTATATTAACATATTTCTCCAAGGGGCTTGCTAGACTTTCCAAAATAAGCAATTTCGGGAAATAACCCCCAGTCAGGGAATGCGTCGGTCTTATCATTTCGGAAACAGTGGAACCCTTTGCTGGGTTGTTTATCCACGGTCTTGCATGTTCAAAGCTACAAGTACTACAAACTGAGTATCTAAACGATGTGATAGACCTGAGGCCAGACCTGTCACATGATCTACCCTGATGAAGATCAACGAGTCGATTGGACATTGTCCTTTCGATGGAATGAGTATTCACTTGACTATCTATCCTCAAGAAAAGGTGTTGCATTCTAGATCTCTTCGCTTCCGCAACCCATTCAGGACATCTCCGGTCCAACTTTCTTCGAGCTTCGTATGTGCCTCCATCCTCTGCTGAACAGACAGGTCTAGTACGTGAAGCGGAAGGCTGGACTATCGTCACCAAGATTGTTCTTCTCGTCCTCTGGCAAATCATATCTGTAGTCACGTTTGCCTTGATCACGCAATTTGTTCTCTCGCTTGATATAGAAAAGGAAGCCCGTGGAGCTGAGCACGCAGAGCCAGATCAGACCCAGTCCCAAGCCGAAGCCTAAGGGGTACTCTGGCGCCTGGTTGGTAACAAACATATTGCTAGAGAGTCGTTGTCAGCCAAGACTACTTTTGTGAATAACGATCGAAGCCTGCTTACCTAGCAATGATACCTCCAAGGTTACCGAATCCAACTTGCATTGCAGCCGAAATGCCAACCTTGTAGTGGCCTGCAACGTTATTGCTCATCCACACCAAACAGATGGGCTGAGCGATGTATCCTCCTCCCACGATGCAGAAAAGAGCAAAGTATCGGACGCCAACTTTGACCTTATGCATGTTGAGCAAGATGGAGTATCCGATGGTTGCAACCAGACATCCCGCAACGATGAAACCATAGCGGTGCTTGACTTTGTCACTGAGGAAGGCGGCAGTCAAAGCACACACGGTTGCAAAGATGAAAATCGGGATGGACATCACTTGAGCACGGAGCGAGGTCCAACCTAATTGCTTGAGAATGGTTGGCGTGAAGAAGGAGCCGCTGTAGCCGGTTGTCACAATGCCTAGGTACATGAGAATACTAGATTCCAGGTTAGTAGGTGTCCGCTGATGAGGCACTCTTTCGGGCTGACATACCTGAGATAGATCTTAGGGTCGCTGAAAACACGTTTTGCCGTTTTCTTGTTCCAGTGATTCATCGAAGCGTCGTTTCGGTCTAGTGCAAGGCGGCGAATGAGGAGTTCACGCTCGTCCTCTTTCAAGAATTTGGCAGTCTCAGGCCAATCCGGGATCAGCCAGTAGCTGGCCACGGCAACGATGACGGTGAAGATGCCCTCAAGGATAAAGATCCAGGCCCATCCCCCGTAGCCTGCAATCCCGTCCATGTGTGCAATGGCATAGGCGAGGAACCCGCTGAATGCGCCCGCGATGATCGAAGCGGAGAAGAAAAGATTGAAGCGCCATTGCAGCTCGTGGCGACGGTAGTACCTGTCGATGTTAACCACACGTGGCTATGCGACCCTGGATAACGAAACCTACATGGAGAGCAGGTAAACGCAACCTGGGAAAAACCCGGCCTCAAGCGCGCCGATGATGACTCTGCAAACTACTAGCCCAGCGAAGGACTTGGTTAAACCCTGGCAAACTGTCACGACACCCCAGCCAGCCATAATGCTGGAAATGAAGACTGAGGGGCGGATTTTCTTCAGGATCATGTTGCAGGGGACTTCTAGCAAGATGTACAGGATGAAGAAGGTGAACAGAGCAATATTGTAGTCTTGCCCTGTCATGTTGAGGTCGGCTTCGAGCCCTTGGATGCGCGCATTGCCGATATTGATGCTAGTTGAAGATACTGGGTGTCAGCCGAAGGCAGCGACTTTGGAGGGAGCCAGAAGAACTTGGATCAAAAACATACCGGTCAATGAAAGCGCAAAGAAACAACAGGAAGAGGATGGGCACCAGGTTGAAATCAACCTTTCGGAGGACTTTCTTTTCCAAGACTGGGTCGATTTCTGGGCCTTCACCCTTCATGCTGAGGCTGTTCCTGTCATTTTGCTCCTGCTCAATGGGGACATTCTCAATCTCCGACTTGAAGCCATCGGTGAGCTTCAGGTTTGTCATTTTTGGAACTCCTAGTCTGTGTATGACAGTGGCCAGTTCAGTCCTCTTTTCCTTGTGAGCAGCGAGTGAAAGGCGGCAGGACACAGAAAAGAGGCACTCCTATGAGGCGAAATGATGGCAGAGAGTGGGAAGACAGGCAGTCACAAGATCCCTCAAATCAAAAACTCCGTTTTTGAACTCTTTCCCTTTGATGAGTATGATCCCTGTTCGACACTTGCGTGGGACAGGACGGCATATTTATTCGCTTCACAAGAGCGCAGTGAATTTGGAGCTGTGATCCTCCCAATCCACGCAGAGAAGATAGATACCGAGAATGCTAACCGTGTACGCGGTATGTCCCTCTAACCGTGGCGAGTAGGCTGGCCGATTCATGACAATCTATTCCGTCCTTGTTAGGCTTGTAGCGCCCATCAATTGGGGATCCTGTGGAGATTCCAAGCCAGATTGTCATGGGTGTTTGCTTGGGGTGCATTAGCGGCAGGGTATTGACTCTTGATTCTGGAGTTTGTAGTACTGGTCGCTGGTGGCACTAATGTTGAACCAACGGAGAACATACGGGCCACTCTCCGTCCCCCGTTTCGAGTACTTCTGCTCTGAGGCCACTCATGTCTACTCCACCTGCCCTGGGTGTTAAGTACTCGTAGGTTGGTGTGGCTTTCATCAAGGCGGAAGAAGGGCGCACGTGGCGCTCCCTAGTTAAATGCCCGTGTAACTCATGCGACAAGTGTTTGACTCTGCATCGGATCCTGCGATAGAAGCACCAAAATACGAAGCACTACACGAAGTGCATAGCACACCTCGACGGAACCTTGATCGGCGCCCCTATGTGCCAGAGGCTTAACTACGGCCTTCGAGACTCTTGGGAAAATAACTCTAACCAGAGACTGAGTCGGGTTGCCCACAGTAAGGAAGTACTACTGAGGTAGTGTGGTATACCTGAGTACAAGCATACCGGCCTCCCCTGTCACGAGTAGTGTGGCTTTCGTCGACTCGCGATAGTGAAAGGAACCCTGTATATGCTGCCCTCTCTTCGAAGGATCCCTTAGGAGAGAGAATTATATCCCATGCAGAAGAAAGGCTTTACCCTGCCCTGTTTAGCGAACCAGGATCCATTCTGAACGGCCGCCCCAGCAACCATGCACTCGCATGTCTGGGAGCTCCTGAGAGAATCCTGGTCTCAGACACCGTCAGGTATTTGCAATTGGCAGAAACCCTGGATCTCGGCGGCCACACACCTCAGCTGGCGATCTGGGCAAGCCTTATTAGGAGCAGGTCTGAAATACCCGGTCCGAAGGGCAATGCGTCCAAACGATTAAGCGAAGCATGCTACATACCTGCAGCCTAACCTTGGGGCGAAGTCGAAGTGAATGGGGGAATTGGGGGATGGAATCCTCTTGCAGTCGTGGAGAGCAATGATGATATCTGGGGTTGTATGGCCCGAAGCCTTTGAATTGGTGGAATTGGCAGCAGAGTCACCGGGGTGAATGCTCGAGATCCATGGGTACCCTGTATGGAGCGCGGCCCTCGTTCCGTCCTTCAAGCCATCAGGATCTGACCGATTCCGCTAATTATGGGTGATTGACCTCTTTTTTGTCCAATCGAGTTGCTGTCTAGCCTTTCCCTTTTGTTACTAACTTTGCCTAGATGAGCTCTTGTCGGTGTCAGAGACATAAGCCTGACCACACGCTCAATATCTGATAATGGTGATGGTCAGGAGCTGTCTACGAGTGCTGCTGTCGAGGGAGATATTATCACAGCGAGAGTTCCATCCGAGCACCATACACGAAGCAGCTTCCCGAAACCGCTGCTGGTTGACATTGCTAACCGAGAAACATTCACATGACATCGTGTGTGATGGTCATCAGGCCCACATGCTTCCCCGAGCTCCAGCTTCCAACAAGCATGTAAGCTGTCTTCTCGCTCCAAAATTTCGACGCAATCTATAGTTATAACATGATTATGTCTAGTTCTCAATCTCTCACATCTCTAGGTTTAATGGGCAAGCCTAGGAGGAACAAAAGTACGACCATGTGGAGGAAATGCCTCGAAGCAATTCACGAACTGTCGACTCGGCACCGACTCACGCGATCTTACACTTCCCCAAGATCCCCTCCCAAGGCTTCAGTCGTACCTGGCCTTGCTGCGGTTTCTCCGGCCGTCCTCTGACATAGTTGCTGCAGGCCCAAAACTCCACCACCAGGCTCTCGGGCAACATCCAATCGACATCCTGGCCCGAGAAATTCAGGACGACGAGCCACCGCTCGCCCGAGGCGCCGGTCCGGCCGTAGGCGAATATGCTGGGATGCTCTGGCGAGAGTTCCTGGTAGTCGCCATACACAAAGACGTCGGCGTGCTCCTTGCGGTCTCTCACGCCACGTTGCCAGAATTGCCAGGTCGATAGTGGGTCGCCGTTCTTGTCGGCGCTGACCTGGTCTTCGGCGTTAATGCCCTGTGCGTAATCGTCCATAATTCGCATCCAAGGCTTGACGCCCGGATCGCAGAACCCGGCGTTCTCATGGTGGTTCCACTGCATCGGAGTGCGGGCGTGATCTCGCGCCTTCATCTGGATGATCTTCTTGCCGTGATCCAGCTGCTGAGGCTTGTCTTTGTAGATCTGCTGACATTTCTTCCAGAAGTTGATCGTTTCAATGTCCTTGTATTCTTCGTCGATGTCCCAGTGAGTCGGGGCATTGCGAATGCCGATTTCTTCACCCTGGTAGACAAACAGCGTGCCGCCCAAGGTGGTCTGCATCAGCGCGAGCAGCTTTGCACCCTTGTCGCGGAACTCATCGCTGTCATCCGTGTATCGTGTCACGCTGCGTGGGTTGTCGTGGTTCTCAATGAAGACTGAGTTCCAGCCATCACGATCGATCATGCATCTCTGCCATCGGCTGATGATTGCTTTCATCTCCTTCACGTCCCAGGGCTTCAAGCCCATCCGTACATTTGGTTTGTCGATGTCAACTAGGTCGAAGATGAATATCATGTTTAGTTCACCTGCATTGGCGCCCACGGTGCGCAGGATCTCATTCTCGTCAGACACACCGGGCATCTCGCCAACTGTGATGGTGTCATATTTGGACAACACTTCACGGTGCATCTCTTGCAGGTAGTCGTGGAGCCTGATTCGACTGTTAGCGAAATCTCGCAGGTACTTGACAATTCCTCAGACTTACTTGGGGCCGTTGACAAAGAATTGAGTTCCGGGCTGGTATTGATGATTTGCAGGATCCAACACGATTGGGGCGTCTGGGTAAGTAGGGACCTTGGAGATCATGTTGATCACGTCCATCCTGAAGCCGGCGACGCCTCGGTCGAGCCAAAACTTCATGACATCCCATACGGCCTCTCTAACTTCAGGATTCTCCCAGTTCAGATCTGGCTGCTCAGGTGTGAAGACCGAGAGATAATATTCTCCTGTCTCGGTATCATATGTCCAAGCGGAATTGGCTTCTCCAAGGATCTGTGCCCAGTTGTTGGGAGGCTCTGGCGTGCCGGCGGCGCTGACTGACTTTGGTGGCTTCCAGATATACCAATCTCGTTTGGGATTGTCTTTGGATGATCGACTCTCGAGAAACCAGTCCTAGTCAATCCTGCGATTAGTCAAGTTTGGGCTTATGTAGAGGTGGACAACTGTCCGCATCCAAAGAAACCTACATGCATATTTGAAGTGTGGTTAACTACGAGATCCATCATCAGCCTCATATCTCTCTTCTTGAGTTCAGAGATCAGATCATCCACATGCTCTATCGAGCCATAGATGGGATCGATCATCTTGTAGTCGGCGATGTCATAGCCCATATCTGCCTGCGGGGATTTGTAGATTGGAGAGGTCCAGACGATGTCAACACCCAGGCTCTTCAGATAATCGACGCGGGAAGTGATCCCTTTGACATCTCCCCACCCATCTCCATTGCTGTCCTGGAATGATGAAGGATAGATTTGGTAGATGACAGCCTCCTTCCACCACTTTGGAGTCGAATAGCTCGATTTGTTCACCATCGTTATTTCGCCACGATGAACCAGGGATTCGTTTCAGAGATAGACTGTGTCAAGACGTAGTAATGAAACTTCTTCTCTTATCTGTCTTTATTCTATTGTCATGATGTTTCAATTTTATACCGATCGCCAATCCAGCGAAAGAATCTCCGCCTGTTCCACAGACATAACGTCATAGCCCAGGTAGGAAATCCGCCCGGAAAGTTATCATCCCATGTGCTCACTGGTGTTTTCTCATCAGTATTTACTTTCACGTGGGACTCGATATTCAATCATGGTCAATTATCGCACCCTGATGACCAGAATATTGATCGAAAACAGATATGCATGTGGAAAGTTATTAAAATATGGTGAAATAGTGAATCCATGATCAACATCAGCCGGAGCTTGGTTCAGGTGACCTGATGCCTGTGTCGAATCATGAATGCGTAGAGCAACACCTTTTGCACTTCAGGACCAGAAATTATTCGTGAACGAAATGGGCCCCAGCTATCAAGGACATTTAGAAAGGTAAAAAGGCTACAGAAAATGCTCCTCAGAAACCAAATGGAAACTGCTCGCTGGAAGACGGACCGGGCACGTGACGCGGTACGGCTTTTGAATATTTTGCTGAAGTTTCCCGCTGCAAAATAGATGACGGAATTGCTCCGATCACCCACTGCCACTATTGAGGCTCCACCAGAGTTCACAACATCGACCACAATCAGTAAAGTACCAGAGAAAAGTAAACATTTCCATCAGACCACACGTCCAGCCATCAATACAGTATACCTAGGCATATCAATTACAAGAAAATCACACAACACCAAGCAAGATGGCAGCCCTCAAGTCATGGCTAACAATCCCCAAGTCAAGCCATTTCTCACTTGCCAATATCCCTTTTGGAATCATCTCAACAGCGTCAAATCCCAGTCGACGACCTGCTGTGGCTATCGGTGATCATGTTCTGGATCTCCAGGAGTTCTCGGCGTCGGGGGCCTTCTCATCCCTCGGAGTTAATGTTTCTGTCTTCTCCAAGCCGACCCTAAATGACTTTGCAGCACTTGGACGACCCGTTCATAGGTCGGTGAGGAAGTATCTTCAAGACGTCTTTGCCGAAAACACCTCATATGCAGACGTATTGAAGAGCAACAACAGCCTGCAAGAAAAGGCACTGCTTATGCGAGACCAAGTCACTCTACATGTTCCCATGCAAATTGGCGACTATACCGATTTTTATGCCGGTAAGAACCATGCTTTCAACGTTGGCTGTCTCTTCCGAGGACCGGACAACGCTCTTCAACCGAATTATACGCATCTTCCCGTGGGATATCACGGTCGTGCATCATCGATTGTGGTATCAGGCACACCCATTACACGACCGAATGGTCAGATATTGGAAAATCCTGCTGCTGCGAACAAAGTTCCGATATTTAGCCCTTGCCGACGGCTTGATATCGAACTAGAGCTTGGTGCATTCCTGTGTAAAGGGAATACGATGGGCAAGAACATCCCGATTTCCGAGACTGCAGACCATATCTTCGGCTTTGTCCTACTCAATGATTGGTCGGCACGAGATATTCAAGCATGGGAATATGTTCCACTAGGCCCTTTTCTCTCCAAGAGTTTTGGTTCCACTATCAGCCCCTGGGTGGTGCTGGCAGATGCGTTGGAGCCCTTCAGAACTACGGGTATCAAGAACGATAATGAGCTGTTACCTTACCTTCAAGAGAAAGAAGCAAAGAATGTTTACGATATCCGATTACGGATTGATATCACACGTAAGTTTACGGACTCCTCTCCGTGACATGGCATGGAAAAGGCTAACGTGGAAATCATGAACAGCGGAAGGAGCAGAAACAACCAATATCCTTAATTCGAACGGAAGCTATCTACTCTTCTCGTTTGCCCAAATGCTTGCTCACCATTCAATTGGTGGCTGCCCAATGGGAGTTGGTGATCTTCTGGGCTCTGGGACAATCAGCGGACCGGATGCAGGTACAGAAGGCAGTCTACTGGAGTTAAGCAAAGGCGGCAAGGAGACTATCAGGCTGAACGGTGGGGTAGAGCGGAAATTCCTTCAGGACGGAGACAATATCACCATCTACGGAGTTTGTGGTGATGAAGAGAGTGGACTGGTGGGATTCGGTGAATGTTCGGGCACGATTCTGCCTGCGCCGAAGATCTGATTCCGCAGTGTCTCAGGGGGAAAAATATATCTGGACCTGTTAATTGAATTGTTGTCTGAAACAATTGTGCATAGTCTCGTAGGGGGTCGCAGAATACAGCAGGGTTATGAATTCCGCACCTCGGAGTTCAATAGTCTACATCCGCATTCATCGCCCAATCACTACGTTCTTAATCTTGATTTTCATTCTCTACTCCGGATAGCCGCATTCCCCACAATACCGCTTGATCTACGGGATGGACCATAGGCTCGTTACTGGGTGGTCCAGAGAACTACCAACTACAGCGAAAGAGGAGGGGCGAACGCGGCTGCATTCCGTCGTATGTCGCACTACACCATAGCACGTACACTTTCCCCATGCCCCTCCTCCTCCCTCCGCGATGACCCCTCTTACGAAGTGACATCGATTGGACGATTCAATAATGGACATCTACGGATGCACCGAGGATAAGCGATAGATTTGTTCTATGCAACATGACCCTCTGGATTTCGACCGAGAAACCTCCAGATGTAATCCGCTCTCTTCCCCCTTAGGCTGTCGTCGTTAAGCTACAGGTCCATCCTTGCAACAGAAGGGAAAGATACATAAACAGGCCGTTGAAGTATCCCAAAAACAGGTCTCAGGACTACTCATCTGATCGACTTTTGATGAAACCACGAAGTCGTCGTGTCAACCAGGTCCTTGACACGTCATCAAGTGAACGCAAACGGCGAGGTTGAAGCAACATATTCTTAGAAAACAATCACTCCAGCAGTCCAGTAATTGATCTCGCAATCTCTCCCGTTTTCTGCTTACCAGGGCCAGTCGAGCAGACTCGAGTACACCTCTGCCAGTTGTCTAAGGAATCGACTTGGACTCGCCGGTCAAGGCGCCACGCCAAATATGTTGGTCTCACTATCGCCAACAACTTTCTCCTTCCTCTTCCTAAGTTTGGGTTACTTTCTGATCCGATACTTCAATTCCACCGATCAACCCAAGATCAAAGGACTGCCTGAGATACCTGGCGTCCCTCTGTTCGGAAACCTCCTCCAATTGGGTCAAGATCATGCCAGAGTCACCGCCAAATGGGCCCAGGAATATGGATGGCCCGTCTTCCAGACCCGCCTGGGGAACCGTCGTATTATCTGGGCCAACACATTTGAATCAGTCAAACATTTCTGGATCACCAACCAGTCGTCTCTGATCTCTCGACCAACACTTTACACCTTCCACAGTGTGGTATCCAGCAGCCAAGGCTTCACCATTGGTACTTCTCCATGGGACGAGTCATGCAAGCGTCGACGCAAGGTGGCAGCCACGGCATTGAACCGCCCTGCTGTTCAGAGCTACATGCCTTTCGTTGACTTGGAGAGCTGTCTTGCTATCAAAGATATGTACAAAGACTCCAACAAAGGTACCATTGACTTGGACCCGCGAAAGTACTTCCATCGATTCGCCCTCAACACCAGTCTGACTTTGAATTATGGAATTCGCATCGATGGAGGCATTGATCAGGAGCTTCTCAGAGAAGGTTAGCATTTGGACATGTTGTTTCTTGTGTTTTCGCCGTGCTAATCCCGTCCACAGTTGTACATGTCGAGAGAGTGGTATCCAACTTCCGTAGCACATCCAACAACTGGCAAGACTACATCCCACTCCTTCGGCTACCGCTTATCTCACGACAAAACAAATCTGCGGCCGAGTATCGTGAACGACGGGACAAGTATCTGACCACATTCTTGAACATGCTCAAGGATCGCATTGCCAAAGGCACTGACAGACCATGTATCACCGGGAACATCATCAAGGATCCCGAGGAGACCCTGAACGAAGCAGAGCTCAAATCGATCTGTCTCACCATGGTCTCTGCCGGCATTGATACTGTTCCAGGCAACATGATCATGGGTCTTGGATACTTGGCTTCGCCTGAAGGCAAGCACATCCAGCAGAAGGCATACGAGGAAATCATGAAGGTCTATCCCAATGATGGCGAAGCCTGGGAAAAATCCTTGGTTGAAGAAAAGGTGCCATACATCACTGCCCTCACCAAGGAGATCCTGCGCTTCTTCACTGTCATTCCGATCTGCCTTCCACGAACCAGCATCAAGGACATCAAGTACAACGACACGGTGATCCCAGCCGGCAGCGTCTTCTACATGAACGCATGGGCAGCTGATTACGACGAAAGCCATTTCAAGGATCCTGCTCGATTTATTCCCGAGAGATATTTGAACGATCAAGAAGGTAGTGGCACGCCCCATTATGGCTATGGGGCGGGTAGCCGCATGTGCGTTGGAAGCCACTTGGCAAACCGGGAGATCTACACTGCTTTCCTCAGGATGATTGTGGCATTTGAGTTTGTCCCAGCCAAAGACTCATCAGACTGGCCCGTCTTGGATGCCCTGGAGTGTAACAGCATTCCTACTGCCCTCACCACAGAACCCAAACCGTTCAAAGTCGGATTTCGAGTTCGCGACCAGGAAGCTTTGGAGAGGTGGATCAGGGACAGCGATGAGAGGACAAAGGATTTGTGATTGAACGAAATTTGCTGTCGATTGATGGTATGGGTCGTGTTTCGGGGTTCAAATTCTAATGGCCAAGTGAATCAAAGTTCGAGCATGGCCGTCGTCGATTCTGCATGATTCAGCTTGATGTAGCTAAGCCTTTGTGAGGAGTGTTTTGTTTTCAAGGAACACCAAATACTGATTATGACTATGGACATGGACGTGGGGACACCCCGGACAATTGTGTGAACTATGTACTCGAGCACCAGTATCGCTCACCAGTATTGCGCCTTCACTTTTGGACAGAGTTTGCATGGTTGGGCAGGAACCAGAATGAATCAAATGACGGTGCAGAATGAACCAAACGACCTTCCGCTCCTCCCGTCTTGATGAACTGTTTGTTATGTCTCAATTTGTGTGGATGATCAACATAGTTACCACGAAACCACAAACCTTGACTCCTGAGGACCTTTTCCCCCACACACTTTCTTCATCTGCCCCGTATCCTTTATAAGAAAGATAGCCCTGCTAGGCGACACTCTTTGGAAGTCTCGCAATCGCATTCATTATTTCTCTTCCCAGCAAAGCAGCGGACATCACAGCAACAGTCACATTCAGAACTCGCGGACAAGCGAGCTGCAGACAAGTAAGACCCCTTGCCCACGTGGGAAACCCCCTTCTCGAATCGCCCACCACAGCTTGCTCATGTGAAAGAGGCAGGGATTCGATTGGTATACTCCAAAAAATAAGGAAAAGGAAAAATGCCTAGCCGCTGCTACTCTACCCAATACGTGCGATGGTGGCAACGATCCGAACTGATCCAAGTGACCATGGACACGATTGAAGAACGGCGCAGGGACAAGATCAAAGTTGCTAGTTACGGTAAGTCGCCAGAGTCCATCTCGCACCGTGACTTGCGCACATTTCTCTCATGAGCGGACTTTTACCTTATGTGTGATGTGCATGTCATGTGCAATATCGTGCCTGGAGCACAAACTGGATTACTGTGTGGTGAACTTTTGAAGCCGGCGGGGCGAGGGGATGGATATCTCCTCCAAGAAGCGAAAAGGGCAGGATTGCCGACCGCTCTCTTGAAGGATTGACCACGTGCACACAGCTACTCAGGTACCATCGATTGCCCGGATATGCACGGATCACTGTTTTAGATACCTGAGTTTGGGGCGTGGATGGGCGCGGATGCCTAGAGGGGCACCCAACTTTAAGTGATAAGCAACCGCAGTTTTCGGTGCTCTTCCGCCCGGACCGCCAGTGCCGAGAGGTGCCTTCCTCAGTGCCATAGGTGGTCAGTGGTCACTACTGGTGAGGTACGGAGCTCCGTTCTCCATCCTACTACGTTCGTCAGGTACCCCTCCTCTCTAGACCTGCTGCCTTCCGTCTCTGTTCCGGTGGTCGACCAGCTCAATTGGCTCCTCAGCAAACGCCTAGGCTGTGAGCATTTGCTGTTGAAAGCTCAGTGGATAGCAACATCAGGGCATTTCGGGGCATTCAGGCTCTTGTTGAGGTGATCAGCGTGGCACATCCTGTCCGAGTCACGTTTCGTGCCCTGACCTGCCTTTCTAGAACAATTGTTCGATCCGCTTGCGTCATCCTGCGGCATTGGGCGTAGGACATCCCCTCTGCCCGCCCCAGAACTTGGAACCCGCTTGGAACGAACGGCTTGGGTTAGGGTTGCCCCCGAGGGCGTGATTGCCCGTGATCTTCAGGCCTGTTTTCGTGGACATTGCGCCCACAGCGGCACCTAAGATTGGAAGCCCAGCCCCTCTCAGACGTTCCGGGTCATCCACCGGTGTGAGTGAGAGGCACCCTCGGGCCTCCCCCTCTCCATAGCTGCTTCAGGACCCAGCCACTACAGGTCTCCCATACAATAACCCCTACTACTATTGAATCTTGAATCTTGGGGCGGAGTCAGGCACAAATTAAGCCCAAGCGATGTTGTTCGCCCGCCTCGAAAGGAACCTCTTCTTTCTTTGGTGACAACGAGGCGCCTGAACACTGAAAATACGAGTCAGCGCCCAAAGTCGCAGAAGCAACCACGGCTTTGCGGCTTCACGGCTTGCTTAATGGTGGGGTGGGTGTCATTGTTGCCATCGCCCTCGGCAGTGGTGAGGTGGGCGTTGACTCAGTGTTGAGGGTTGAGCTTGCAATAATAATGGTGCAAGGTAGTCCTTCTCCATCCCACGGAGAACCTAGAGGCACAATCGGCACACACAAGGCGCTTGACCACCTCGATGGCTTGAAGCAACGAACTGTAATTCGCCCTGCCGATAGTCCGAGCGCTGCTGCATTTGGTGCTGCAATCACCGTCCATTGATACCAAGCATCCATCCCGCACTTTCCAAGGCGTGTGCGATTGCAACTTGCAACTCACGTCTCCATCCGCTATCCTTGTTTCACCTAGCCAGTCGCATCTCACAGTCACCCTCCCGCCACGCCACTCTTTTCGTAACGAACTCTCGAAATATGGACTCATCGGACCTCGCAGCTCAACGGAGACCGCCCCATCACGCTGCGGGCGAAAGAGCCCTCAAGCTCCACTTTGCATCTGGATCCATCCCAGCTTGCGCCGACCTGGTTTCCCTACAAAACCTCAACACGGAACCATCCCTCGCTCCGTCCATGTCTTGATTCCGCACTCCGTCTTCCGTTCTGACTGTTCATGACCACCAGCAGGTGATACCATATCAATACCGCCCTTCATGCAGGGCCTCAAACGTCTGCAAGAAGCCATTGAAAGGCACCGCGAGAATAAGGACATAAACATCAAATACAAGACGCCCCTCACGAGTAAGTGTGCATTCTCCCTCTGCCAAGCAGCATTCCAACTGCCGTTCGAGTCCCCGCTTTGCACCAGCACCAGCACCAGCACCAGCACTGACCAAACCATCAAACAGTACGCAACGTAAACACCTTTACAGACGAGCAAGCCATCGACGATGCCTGTAACCCCATTCGCAGTGACCGACACGTACGAATATCTGAATGGGTTCGGGGGGTACAAAGAGTATGGATGGTTCCGCCGCATAGAGAGAGCATTCAGCTGACCCAGTTGCTGCAGGAGTGAAGCAATAGAAGGAGCCTTGCCTCTGGCAGCCAACTCGCCACAGAAATGTCCTTATGGTCTCTACAATGAGAAGTTGTCCGGAAGCGCCTTCACGGCTCCTCGCGACAACAACCTGCAAACCTGGCTCTACCGCATCCTGCCCTCCGCAAGCCACGAAAACTTCGAACCTGTACCTTCGTCCTCCACACAATCGTTGACTTCTCCCACTCCGAGTTTCGGGACCCACTTTAATGCCATTCCTAATCAACTGCGCTGGGATCCATTTGATTTCGACAAAGAGGTGTCATGGATTCATTCACTTCATTTGGTCGCAGGAGCGGGCGACCCAACTATGAAGCAAGGACTCGGCATTTACATCTACGCTGCAGGCACATCTATGCCCGAAAAAACTGCGTTCTATAGCGCCGACGGGGACTTCTTGATTGTTGCACAACATGGAGTCCTCGACATTCGAACTGAGCTTGGAAAATTACTTGTGCGACCAAACGAAATTGCCGTCATCCCTCGAGGAATTCGTTATCACGTTGCGCTGCACAACAATGAGCCAGCTCGAGGTTATATTCTGGAACTCTACCAAGGTCACTTCCACCTCCCAGAACTGGGTCCGATTGGGTCCAACGGTCTTGCCAACGCGCGTGATTTCCAAACCCCAGTCGCCGACTTCATCGAGGACCACGAGAATACCGAGTGGACGTTGTTTAGCAAGTTTGGTGGCAACTTATTCTCCGCCAAACAAAACCATACGCCATTCGACATTGTTGCTTGGCACGGCACCTTCTATCCTTACAAGTATGACCTAGGTCGGTTCAACCCTGTGGGTAGCATCTCCTACGACCACCCGGATCCTTCAATTTTCACCGTTCTTACTGCACCGTCGATTCCACACGGTGCAGGAACTGCAGTCGCAGATTTTGTCATATTTCCACCGCGTTGGCTGGTTCAAGAAAACACCTTCCGACCTCCATGGTATCATCGAAACACGATGAGTGAGTTTATGGGTCTCATTCAGGGCAACTACGATGCCAAGGGAGCTGGAAAAGGTGGTTTCCAACCAGCAGGAGCGAGCTTACATAATACGATGAGTGGGCATGGACCAGACATGCAGACATTTGAAAAGGCGTCGACATCGGAATTGCCACCAACCAAAGTTGGTGAGGGTAGCATGGCGTTTATGTTTGAGACGTGCTTGATGCTCGGCGTTACTGAATGGGGTTTGAAGACATGTGCAAAAGTACAGGAAGAATATAATGCGCACAGTTGGGAGCCTCTCAAGGTGCACTTCAAACGACCCGAGAAGTCGCGTGGGGTGAACAACGGAGAGGAAAAGAACGGCGTGGGCGATGCCAAGGATCAGAGCAGTGTACATGCCCTTAGATGAGCCATGGAACACCGACACTGTATTTCTGAATTGCATATATTTCAAAGGTGAAGGTGTTTTGATGAAAGGTATACCACTGTTAGTTCGCATTATTACAGCAGAGGATGAGCGATTGACGAAAATGAAAGTTCCCTATGCCGCAATCAGGATTGGAGTGTTTCCGCCTCTCCGTGCTCTGCCTCTGCCTGCAAACCCCGCCAACCTCCAGCATCCCACTCTTCTGACGCACGATAAATGCAGAGTGCCTGCGAGAGGATGTCACTACTGTAGTCAACTGGGAATGAGGGGTGCGGACGATAGAGTGGGGGTGACACCGAGACCCTACGACCCACCTGTCACTGCTCGAGATATTTGACGCTCTGGCACCCTCGACACATGCAGAGGAAGCCGTGGGAGCCAAACTGAGATCTCTGTACAGGACTACCGAGTACTTACTACATACTACCAAGTCGGTCTTGCGAGGAGTTAGAAACAAACCTCTGGGCTAGTTCCTCGGACTAGTCCTCTTGCGGTAAGGTACCAAGCGCGCTATCTGTGCGCCATTGACCAGTAAGCTTGTGCATACAACTACACGTGCCCCTCATGCTACAAGCTGCCCGTCTCGCATCAAGTGAACCTCCTTCAGGCTGCGGTCCTCACCTCTCATCTCTCAACATTCCCACACGTTCTTCGAACTTTTGGTCTCGTGTCGTTTCGAAATCCAAAGATGCTGGGGCCAGCGGCCTAGTATCGACTCGATCGACTTTTACCACCTATCAGATTCCACAAACGAGGATCGTGGGCTGGTTGGCTACTGCTACTCACCCCGGCGGCAGAGGTGTCGTGTGCCCTTTTCCAACTCTCTGCGATTCTACAATCCACTTCCTTGCACACGTGCTCATATTTTGTTGACTTCTTGTCTCATTCTCTTTCCTTCGCCATGTGTGTTCTTGCCGTCAGGATGTCTGGCTCTGTTCCACCTTTAAGCAGACTGCTTTCTGCTTTATGAGAGCTGAATGCTCGGACCTCCAGTTACTTTTTCCACTTGCTCGAGAGAACTTCCCTTCCTCGCGTGCCTCGAATTTTGACTGTTGCTTCTTAGTTGTTGATGGCTAGTACTTGACTCTGTATCGAGTGTGCACTGAGCTCCATCCTGTCTGACTATTACCACAATCTGCTTTTCGCCCAAGCCCCAATCCAAGCATGACCCGTCCCAGAGCACCACCAACCCCTAGCAGTTCCACAGACTTGAAAGCGTTGGAAAGAAATCTACAGCCCTCTGATATGGAATCATCCTTCGCATTGCCACCTCCAGCCTTGCGGTCCGAAGCTCAATCACAGACACGCTCATCTAAACCATCGTCCAATCGTGGAGCCACCAATCCGACCATTCAGAGGACCCCGCCAGTGTCGCCGAAGGACAAGCCACTCACCTCAAGCCCTCGACAGAAACGCACGGCTTCAGGCATGGTTAAATCCACCTCCACCGAATCCATTTCCACAGGGCCAAATGCCGCCTCCTCCGTTTATGCCCTGCCCCCTCCACCTAGCCGTGCGCGCAAGATCATCCAAATGAAGCCAAAAGCGCCCTCGTCCAACAACCATCCTTCCCCAGATAGCGACGGAAGCTATCAGCCCCCTGCTGCCTCTACAGCAACCTCAAAAACCTCTGCAGTCCATAGCTCGACAGCCAGCAATTCCAAACGCAAACAACCCTCTGCCACCAGTGCTGCAGGTCGCAAAATCGCCCGCAAGACTGCTCACAGTATCATCGAGCGACGGAGGCGAAGTAAAATGAACGAAGAATTTGGTGTCCTCAAGGACATGATCCCCGCCTGCGAAGGTGTGGAAATGCATAAGCTTGCCATTTTGCAGGCTGGAATAGAATACGTCAAGTATCTGGAAGGCTGCGTTGCTCAGCTCAAGGCAGAAAATCAGAAGAAGGGCCATAGTCCAGCAGGGGAGCAAATCCCAAGTGCTGGGCAGGAGAGTTATCAGCATCCAAGGAAACAGAATGATTACGAGCAGGTGGAGAATGATGAAAGCGATGACAACAATGAAGACGAGGACGACGAGATGGACGGCGATGAACCAACCCAGGAATACCTGTCCAACGTGAAAACCAACTACCCTACTCAACCCCACGTCTCGGTTGCCGTCGCCAACAATGATGAATGGGGATTCCGCAACTCGCGGAAAGCCTCTATGACATCTCAAACCAGTTCTGCCTATCCTTCACCATATCTACACGGTCATCAGCAGTCTCAACTGGACGAACAGTGGCAGCAAGACAAGCCGCGCCACCGACGGCCCATCCTCCCTGCGAGTACGGGCTCCTTCTCTGCTTCACCGTCGCAGATCTCAACACAGGCGCACGTGACGAGCAGCACAGCAACCCCAACAATGCTGAGCCCAGCTTTCAACTCCATCCACTTCTCACCAGATCTGATTCGGACTCAGACAAACGACAGCAGCAGCATTGAGTCGACGTCGATCATGAACAGCGGCACACTGTCGTCATCCACATCGATAGGAAGCTCATGGACACCGTTGAACCAGGCCAAGCCCAGCCCTCAAATGGTGCCCCTACCCTCACCGAAAGCTTCAATGCACCTTCCCCTCCCGCCTCTGGCGAATAGTCTCCAGCTACCGCACCCGCATTTCGCTGGCAGGGAGAACTCAAGGTCGCCGGCCGCTATGAGTGATGGCTCGGGTACCGCGGAAGCCACGGCTACCGCGGCGCTGATGATGCTCACTAATGACTGGCGAGCCGGTGCTGGTGCTGGTGTTAATCCTGGTGTGTCTAACGGTGGTGGAGGCCGGGATAGTTTCCTGACTGCTGGTGGTGGTGTGGGTAGTTCGAAGGACAAGGGGAAGGGTATGAGTGTACGGGATCTACTGAGTTCGTAGCCAAACCACTGGGGTTTTCGATCCTGGTCCATTTGATTTCGGAAATGGTCCTTTCATGCATAGCCAGCACTTCCCTAGGTGGTATGTACTCGTATAAACTCATCTACGTACTAGTATGGACCTTTTCACGCGAGGGGGATGACGTAGTCCCAACCCATGCCTCATGGGGATGCCGGCCATATCTCACGTGTCCACGTCCAGGTGTTCATGGTTATTTGGAAAAGCCCGTGGACCCGATCCTAGAGACCCTGAATCCAAGGGCGACCTTTACTAGAAATGCATAGAGACTGCTGACCTCAGACTAACACATTGGCTTGAGCGCTTCAACTTGACCGTACATACAGGACCGTAAATATTGAACCGGGGGGGGGGGTGGCTGCCTTGTTGGCCTGCACCGCCTCCACACCAACCAATCAGCCGTTGATAGCGCGGTGGCGTTCAAGCTTGGAGGCTGTAAGGCTGAACACAAAGTACTCGTAGATCAACACTAGCTGGACCTGATGCCTCGCGGCAGATGTTTTCAAATCTATGATACATATGCCACTGACGTTGAGTCCCATAGCCACGAACCGATCCAGTCGCTTACGGGGCAGAGGACGTTGTTGCAGGGGTGCCGGCGTCGAGTGACTTGGCAGCCTTGTTGCGATCAGGTTCAGAGCCACCGGGTTATGCGACGGCTGGGCAAGCAACAAGCGATCGGGAGGTTGTGCCGCAACCAACCCTGGACGGAGCTGGTGGTGGCAGGGCTGACTTGAAGGCATATGCATCATCGCCCAAAGAACCTGGCCTGCTGACGAGAGAGATCTTCCCGATCACAGAAGCAGATTCGCGGCCCCAGGACAAGTCAAGAGAGAAATTTCACCTCCCGTTCGAGTAGCCAGGAGAACGGCTACATTGTCCCCAGCAGACCCTGATATCGCTGAGCTTAAAGACGACATAGGAAAAGGCGGCGCCAGGGAATTTGGGAGCGGTGCACACCCAGATATTCCCAAACCAAGTTGACGAAAAGACACCTCCCCTCTACCGCGAGGACCTTGAGCAGCATGCGGCGCTCGTCAATAAACGTATGGATGAGGTATTCTCACCGGTATATGCTGACCTTAACTTTAGCATTCGTGGTGAGAAAGGTAGTCTCAAGCGGCATCACGATGAGTGGGCCCAATGGACTCCCCTGTTCGAGAAAAGGGTCGTAAATACCTTGCTCCCACTTCTCGAGAAGTATCTTCGATTGGTGGGTTTCTTATGAGGTTCTTGCTTTATCCTCCGCTCCTGTCGCGATCCGTATATTGCGTTTTACCGGTGATGGATTTGCTCTTGCGTATAGGACAACGACGATGGAGTTTGCAACGCTCGAAAATACTAACGTTTTAGATACCGATAATTTTGAAGAGTTTTGTTGATACAGGGGGAAATATCGCCACCTCAAGGTCCTCCCCTACCGATATCCCGGGGAGAGGTCGTGAGGGGTCTTGAGAAGCGAGCCGAGCACAGCCCAGCAAAGGCTGGTATGGTATTAACCACTTCCTGTTATGTTTTTCTCTTGCTAGTAACTGAATTGCTAATCTTGACGTCCACTCCTTTGTTGCCGGCCCACAGGCCACTCCTCGGAGTCCATCGAACAGATCCTGCAGGGAAGGAAAGAAGAGAAGATCGAAGTGGATACCAATCTTGGTCGACTGACTTATTACATGGCCCACCATAAATATTTGCATCCCGATATTTTGGACGCATATGTCCTCCCCTGGGAGTGGGATAAGGTACTGGTCCCCATCAAAGCTAGGAAACGCGTCGAAATCGCTCACCAGAACCTCTTGTTACACCACTATTCTCGAGTGGACAATTCTCTCGGCCAGTGTGACAGAAATTCAAGTGCGCACAGAAAACTTCGTCAGCCCAAACAGTTGGATGTTACTTGTTACAAAGGTGGATATCATTAGAGCAGGAAATGGCAAATGGAAAGAAGAAATTGGAGTCGGTGAGTAGGAGGAGTAAGTTGTGATGAGAGGTCAGTCGAGGTGATTCAGATGCTGGGCTGTTGATTGACTCTTGGGGTGTGTCCGAGGACTCACTACCTGAAGGCCAAACTTTGGCAATAAATCGCTCATACATAGTAAGGGTTGACTGGGCGTCCACCTGGCATCCACGCAGCACCACGGCCGGCTGCTACAATGGGGAATTGTCAGGTCATAAACTGGGACAGGATAGCGTGAGTGTGATAGAGAATTGTATGTAGGTCTACAAAGTACGACTGGGTTTAGTTTTCGACCCTGGCGCTACGTGGTGACAATAGATACGAGGTACCTGAGATGGGGAAGTTGGGGCAGCCGAGGGGCCCCTGTGGGATGAGATGCAGGTGCCTATTGAGCTAGGCGGCAATGGGTGGATAGTTAGTTCCTGAGTTGCGGTAGGCTTGGGCTTTAGAGGTACTTACTGTAGCAGGCACCTAACAGCGCCTAACAGCGCCTAACATGCACCTAAAGTTGAGTAGGCGTGGTGCTTGGCATGAGCTAATCTCGATTACCAGGCACCACAAGTACGCCCTCATTATTCACGCGAGGCCCGAACTTTCGACTGAGCCACGTCCACAACCCTCATTTTCTCCTCGACCAAATTCCATCTTCCCTATCATGATGAAAGCCTTTTTTCCACTGGACATGAAACCAACTGCCTGATTTGCATAAGCCACAACCTTGAAGGACTTGCATCCCACTCCCTCAGATTTCCGTTCCTGCATGAGTATTCCCTCTTTCCTCATCGGGTTAATTATTGAGGCATTTTGATTCCATTCGACCAGTGCAGCGGCCACAACCCTTTTTCCCTGTTCCTCTGTTCCCCTGGCACTTCTGGTCTGCCTGTGCGCGTGGGACGTGCAGGCTCAAGCTCACCAGCTGAGCTACTATTGTTTACTACTATGCTATTCTTCCCAGTTCACAGGAGTGTCCGCCTGGACCAAGCTCCCACGTGCTCTCCTCTCCAGCGTAGAGATAGGATTGAGAGCGCACTTCATGGTACACAAGCTCTAAAATGATGAAGACCAATTTAGCCATGCGAAATGGTCGCATCCCATAAATTCATGTAAGATCATCGTGCTCTCCTCTGAGCTTTCTCATGCTTTCCTATTCTCTCTGCTGTTCTCTCTTCTGTTCCAGGTCTTTTTTTTTTTTTGCCTCCTCTCTTCCTGTTTCCCGCCAAAATGGTGGCCATCGACAATGTCGGGAGTATTCTCGAGAAAGATGCTGCTGTGGTTGATCCAAATCCCCTGGATGATGATGATCTCCCCCCTGCGGTTGCCGCCAAGCGTCGCATTCGATACTTTGATGATGAGGAAGAAAATTCAACTGGTGGCGGCCCATCAGGAGGGGAGATCGGACACCAATTAAGAAGAACAGCTTCTACGTATTCAGTTCATTCCCTCTCCAGTGTCCGCAGCGGCCGCCGTAATATCGATCCAGCAATTATCCTCCCCGTCCAGTATCGCACCCTGAGCTATAATATTTCCACTCAACGTGAACATCATGTCGCTAAAGCGAAGGATGCTCGAGAGAAGACTGCGGTTGGTACGTGAAATCTAGCCTTGTTCATGCTCCTGCTAATATTCCTTAGACGTTGGAAGTCTTGATTGGCACACAGTCTCTCCTGAAGAAATCTGTGAGAGGCTTCAGACTTCTATCAACACAGGCCTCTCCGCCGCCGGAGTCAAAGAGAAGGCTGCCAAGTACGGGCGCAATGTACCGTCGCCTCCTCCTACACAACTAGGGCGCAAGTTGTTTGGTTATTTCTTTGGTGGCTTCGGCTCCATTCTGCTTGTTGGTGCCGTCCTTGTATTCGTCTCCTGGAAGCCACTAGGTAGGCCGCCAGCTCCCGCCAATCTTGCTTTAGCTATTGTGCTGTTGTTTGTTTTCCTTCTTCAAGCTGCATTCAACGCCTGGCAGGACTTTTCATCGTCGAGAGTCATGAATAGCATCACTGACATGCTTCCTGAAGCCTGTCACGTTCTGCGCGATGGATCAAAACAAGTGATCCAAGGTCCAGATGTGGTACCTGGTGATATTCTGTTCTTCAAAGCTGGTGACAAACTTCCCGCAGACGTCCGTTTTGTCGATGTTTCTTCGGATGCCAAATTTGATCGAAGCATCCTTACAGGAGAATCACTTCCCTTGCCTGCTTCGACCGTGTCCACAGACCCAAATTATCTCGAAACCAGATCAATTGGAATGCAAGGAACGCATTGCACATCGGGCAGTGGTGTTGGCATCGTTGTGTCAACAGGCGACAGCACAGTCTTTGGCCACATTGCCAAGTTGACCAACCAACCATCAACAGGCCAAACAACTCTTCAGAAGGAGATCATGCGATTCGTCTTCATTATCGTCTCCCTCATGCTACTCATGAATACGATTGTGGTAGCGGTGTGGGCAGGTTATATCCGCAAGGAACATCCCGGTTACATGCCAGTTGCATCGCTGATTGTCAACATCGTCAGTGTGGCCATTGCATTCGTCCCTGAAGGTTTGCCTATTGCTCTGACCGCATCTTTGACCATTACTGCCAACATCATGAAGAGAAATTCCATTCTTTGCAAATCCCTGAAAACTGTCGAGACACTTGGATCAGTGTCTGTGCTGTTATCAGACAAGACAGGCACCCTCACGAAAAATCAAATGGTTGTGACTGACTGTCTTGTCGGTTATACCACCATGACAGCTTTGGAAGCTGCTCAAGATATTGCAGTTGAGAAATCCGCTACATCGTCGCGAAAGGATGCACTTGAACAGCTGCGTGTCGTGTCCGCCGTTTGCAATGCCGGCGAGTTTGATCCAACAACGATTCACCTGTCTTTGGCCGACCGAAGAATAATTGCAGACGCTACTGACCAAGCTATCCTCCGGTTTTCGGAGAGTCTTGGACCGGTCAATCAATCTCGAGACATGTGGCGCAAACGGTTTGATCTGGCTTTCAATTCCAAGAACAAGTTTGCACTACGGGTTTCGTCAACAGATGACCAGGCTGCAGTTGCGACCACGCTGAGTGACTCGGAAACCAAACACTTTCATGTCGAGCAGGATATGCTTTTGATGATCAAGGGTGCACCGGATATCTTACTTCCTCGATGTACCAAATATGTGGGCGAAGATGGAGAGGTACATGATCTCGAATATGGGATACGCTCTTCAATCGAAGGCACCAAAGACGCTTGGTCTAATGAAGGTAAACGGGTGCTCTTGCTTGCTCGCAAGCCTTTACCGGTATCTGCCTTGAGGTCAGATCCCAACGACAATTCCTTTGAAGGCGAGGTGGTCTCGGAAGCCCAGACCGGGCTTACTTTGATCTCACTGGTCGCTATCGTGGATCCTCCCCGAGATGAAGTCCCGAGTGTGATCCAGACATTGCGGCGAGCGGGAATCCGCACAATGATGGTGACAGGAGACTTCAAGTTGACTGCTCAAGCCATTGCACGCATGTGTGGTATAATAACAGTCGATAGTTCTCAGGTGCATTCAGTGGATAACCTCCCTCGCTACGGTGGTGCGTCAAGTCCAAAATCGCGCAAGGCAAAATCAAATGCTCTGCCAACAACCAACAAGGCCATCGTGTTGACGGGCCCCGAGCTTCTCGCGCTTTCAGAGCATCAATGGTCAGTTCTGGCTACTGAATACTCAGAGATAGTTTTCTCGAGGACCACCCCAGACCAGAAACTGCGCATTGTCAAAGAGTTCCAGGCCAAGTCTTTTGTGGTAGCCATGACGGGAGATGGTGTCAACGACGCACCCAGCCTGAAACAGGCTAATATCGGCATCGCGCCTGTTTCTGGATCAGACATCGCCATCGAAGCATCGGATATGGTTCTACTGGAATCCTTCTCTGCCATTCCAGAGGCCGTGCTGTACGGACGCGTGGTCTTCGACAACCTCAAAAAGACCATCGCCTACCTGCTCCCGGCCGGCTCCTTTGCCGAATTCTGGCCCGTGATGACCAGCGTGGTCTTCGGTCTACCGCAGGTCCTATCCAGCTTCCTCATGATCGTCATCTGCTGTTTCACCGACTGCATCGCCGCAACCGTGCTCGCGTATGAAAAGCCCGAAGCAAACGTGATGCTCCGGCCTCCACGCGACGTGAACAAAGACCGCCTCGTCGACTGGCGCCTCCTGCTGCAATCGTACGGCATTGTCGGCCTCCTCGAAACAGTCAGCTCGTTTGCCATGAGTTACTGGTACCTTGCCCGCCACAGCCTCTCCTTCGGCAGCCTGTGGTTCTCGTTCGGCAGGATCCCCACCCCGGCGGGCCAGACCGCCGACGACGTGGCCCACCACCTCACCGTCGCCAGCAGCATCTACTTCATCACGCTGGTCGTCATGCAGTGGTTCAACATCATGGCCCTGCGCACCCGCCACCTCAGTATCTTCACGCACCCGCCGCTCGGGAACAAGCTCGCTCAGAACTGGTACCTGTTCCCGGCGATCCTTTTCGCGCTGACCGTCGCCCTGATCTTCACCCTCGTCCCCGGAATGCAGGGCCTCGGCTGCACCCACGTCCCCATCGAGTATTGGTTCCTCCCCATGGCGTTCGGCCTCGCGCTGCTGTGCACTGACGAGCTGCGGAAGATGTGTGTCAGGAAGTATCCACGTGGGTTTTTGGCGAGCATTGCTTGGTAGAAGCTGTCTGCTCTCCCTTGTGACGAATGAGAGGAGGCATGGCTCCGGTGCGCGGGCTTTGTTCTGGTGATATATCTAGATGCCCAGGCCAACATATGAATAGTTGAGTTGGCTAGCTTCTTGATGTTTCAATAACCGCCAGTCAAATCAGGACAGGATATCCCACTCGACAATTGGCCCCCGTCGAAGAACGATCACTGCGAAAATATTCATTGTGGGCGGCTACCTTGGTGGCTGGCTGACGGCAACATAACGCAGGGCGAGCTGCCACGGACAGGACTATGCTATGCTCATTCCTTAGTGGCTAGCTAAGCTCGATCTAAACTATTTACGGGACGCAATAAGCAAAAGAAGCGTGTTCGCTCGTGTTTGTCCACTCCGGACCGGCCCGTAGCTCTGTTCTGCCCTAGTTCACACTAATAGCGGTAGCTCAAACTTTGTTCGCTCCCGATCTATGCAGTTCGAGTATGTTCAATCCGTTGTCATGAAATCCTGGGAGGTGTACAGAAGAAAAGCCTTGTTGGGGTTTATCGTCGACGTCGTAGAGAACCTGGGTTGTTATTCATCGCGCTGCATTAATGGGGAAAATGGTTTGTTCCGTGTCATGGGCACGCTCTACCTGGGAAGTTTAGAGTGCTGGTTCTCGCTTGGTGACGCGCATCCACATGTCGCTGACGATGAAAACACCCGCACCGAAGGAGTTCCATGGCTTTTGTGGGTTGGCGATGGTGAAGTTGAAGTGTCGGAGAAGCTGTAAGTGCAGAGCGTTAGTGCATATTTGCCCGGTCCGTAATCAACGAAGCAATTTGAACTCCAAAGGAGATTTCGCGGCGGGCCATCCGCGCTTACCTCTACAATAATCTTGTTTAGCTCGATAGCTGCAACTGTCTTGCCCAGACATTGGGAACGACCCCAGCCAAAGACCAGGTCCATGTCGTTCTCCTTGCGTCTGATCTCCTCGGGTGTGCCTTCCAACCAACGCTCTGGACGATATACCATCGAATCTTTCCCCCACAACTTGGGGTCGAGAAATAGACCAAAAGCGCAATAGCCTAGTTTTGTTTGAGCAGGGAGGTAGTGCCCAAGCACGGTGTCGCCTCCAGGCGGTACTTCCTTCAGCATAAGACCTGTAACTGGTGGGTGAATTCGCAGCCCTTCTTTGATGACGGCTTGGAGAAAGGGCATCTTCTTAGCTTCCGAGTCTTTGATTGGACTGGATATGTCTGCCTTGGAGATCTCATCCAGTAGTCTTTCGAGAGCTTGAGGATTGGTAACAACATGCAGAAGTATTGCGCGAGTGGCGGAAGCAGTTGTATCGCTACCAGCAAGGCTTGCGATGGGAGTTAGCACCTTGGGCACTGGAAGGCTAAAAAAAATGGACGACTTGCATTTGGACCAGGGTCTCTGACTCTGCTTCTTCTTTCGTTAGGCCATGGGCAATGAAAGAACCCAGCATATCCCACTTTCGCTTCGCATCTGGCTCAAATCGCTCGTCCACAACTTGTTTGGCTAAGCTGGTGCCGGTTAGAACTCTGACTCCACCGCAATTTAAGTTTTAATGAACCTCACCCCATTATCTTTCCCAGGCCGTAAGAGTCAGTCTTCTTGGGCATCAGGCTCTTCAAGATGGGAGACTGGAAAACTTTAGCCAACAACGGGAAAGCGCTCACTAACATCATCACGGGGATGGTGCTCTCGGTGGTCTCTATGTACGCAAAGACATCCTCGTCCTTGTCAATGAATCCAAATGGTTTCCCAAATGCTATTTGTCCAATCAAGTCTAGAGTGAGATATTGGGCCTTGCGTGCAAAGTCGACTGGTCTGTATTCTGCAGCGGTGGAAATATACTTGGTTTCGATGAGCTGGATCAGGCCGGCAATAACTCTGTCGATGGACTCCTCCAGGTCTGGATTCTCTTTGCCGGCATACTGGTAAAAGAAAGAGTCAATAATGGTGAGGATTAAAAAAGGAGTGCGGCAGGCCTACTCCAGGAGCCATTTTCGCGCGCAGCGACTGATGTCTCTCAACATTTCGTTCAGAAAGAATGTTGGCATGGTCAGGGTCGATTTTAATGGCATCATACCAGTTTGATCGAAGATATGGCGATCGGACCGCCAGCATCTTTCTGAGGGTCTCCGGGTCACTGGTGAGTACTTCATTGGGTCCGATTCGGACCAGCGAGCCTATGAGTTGGGGTTAGTTACGCGAGGTTGGTACGAGAGCTGTACCTTGACGGTGGACTTGAGTAACCTTACCATACTGGAAGGTGGCCTGGGCGGATTCCATGTGGATGGTCCCATTCAGAGTCCGTTTCAACAGCCACCATTTTGAGAACCCCGCCGAGAAAGGGCCAGGAATATGGCGGAGCCTGTTCCAGAGGTAGAGAGTCCTGGCGGTGAAGATGGCAATAAGCAGAGCAATCAATATGCCAGCACCCAGCATGATGGCTTGAGAGAGCACAGGCCTTTCTTTAGTAATGACAACCTCAATCTGTTCCAGCGGTGGTGGTAGTGGTGGTGTGGGAGGTTGACCCAGTAGTCTGGAGCTCAATGAGATGTTGAGAAGCGGTGATGGGGTACGAGGACTCCGGACAAGGTAAGGCAATCACATCAGGAAGGAACATTCTACAGGGGGCAGCTGGGTCACGACTATCTCCCCACCATGAGGTTTGCCAGACGAACGGGGCTGTGACTTCCTGCAGCAGGTACATGCAGATGGTGACTACCCGTTGAGCTGCCTGCTACTAGCCACTACTAGTCACCGCTAGTCACCGCTAGTCACCGCTAGTCACCGTGCCGCCTGATCTTGCAATGATCAAAGGGAAGGTGCGACTAAGAGTGTTCTAAACCCGCCTCCCCCCCCAATATGCGAATCGCTCTTCGTCCTGTGATATCTGCCCCACTACTCCGTTCTTCCTCGTATACGAGTAGTCCGTATCTCGCGCAGTGGCTTTCGCTACCTTGTCGGCTTCTTTGCACTAATCGAATACCTGCAGATCGTTACCTCGCTTATATTCCATGACTTTTGTGACCTGTTCGATTCTTACATTGGCCAATATGCATGGAATTTGGTGTTTCGCATGTCCTTCCTTACATCAACAAGGAAGACTTCCAGCTCTTCCACAGACCAACCTAGTCCTCGGGTGAAAAGGGCAAGGCTAATCCCCGAAAGGGAGCCAGACATATTGTGGTACGTCCACAGCCCTAGAACACCAGAAAGAAACAGTCAACGCAATGTTCGCGAGCGGCTGGCTGGACAGCCTGAGTGACATACCAATTTTCTTGAATCGAGGGTCTTTGGCCCACCATGTCATAGGCCAGCACGAGACCTTCTCGCTGATCTCCACAAATCCTACCTCTTGCAAGAGCGCCTTGACTGATAAGATGCTGTCAAGTGGCGCCCCAAGTTTGATGCTAGCTTCTAGCATGTATTTCGACCATTGCCTGAGCGCAGAATCCTCAGGAAGTGTTGTATCGTCTGAGCGGACATCAAAATGTATATCCTGGATCTCAACACTGCCACCCGGATTCAGATTACTAGCACAAGTCAGTAAGTCACCGCACAGTCCGGGTGATTGGTTAGCCGTTGTCAAAACACTTACTCATAGTATTCTTGAATTACTTTTTTCCAGTCACCAAATGCGCCAGTCATCATTCGGGAGAATATAAAATCAAACTTGTGGGTAAACACCCAAGTCTGAGTAAGGTCTGCTACTTCAAAAGATACGTTGGGGGGGACACTAACGGCGTTGTTAGATCGAAGCAAAAGCCTCCTGAGTCATTTTGGAACGCGATGTTGCGGCTCACAATGCCGGCTGTACTGGGCTAACATCAACACCTAAAACCTGTAGACATCAACGTGGTATTCAAGAGCACAGGAGCTTTGCAATCATTCTCACCATTGCTTGTGGGTACTGATCACCTGTTTGCGTCCGTTAGCACTATTTCCAGTATGGATTCGAGCGAAGGCTGAGTACCCCATTCAATTGCCCATATTCCGGTTCCGGTCCCAACATCAAGTACACGATGGAACCCATCTTTTTTGGCCACATCTACGGTAGCCAGTTGGTTTCCCCACGTCAACTTAAGGAGATGGTGTTGCAAGTCTGGACGTTTACCTCGTCAACATAAAGAATCGTGGCGTATCAAAGATTTTTGTACATACCTAGCCGATCAAGTTCGGCCTTTTATGATTAGTGTAAGTAGTCGCGTTCGAACAAGAGCTGGTGGAGCAAGCTGCATACCTCATCATTCGGCAAAACATAGGCTATAATGATCAGCGGGGCCTCGTCCAGGAACTCACGCCGACAAACCATCGCCGTAGCTGTTGTAACTTCTCCCATTCTCCTGGCGATAATTGAAAACACTCGAGGTTAACGAGGAGGTTGACAAATAGTCCTCTTCCTGTTTAAGATCTATGTTGGTGTTTCATGCCCATCTCAAAGAACGAAGATTTCATACATCTCCTAGTGCAGAATCTTCGTCGCCAATCACCTCCGGTCCGACCTATGTCAGTGTAAGTCATTCAACTCACTTTATTCGCCGGGTAGAGATATTTCCTACGGGCGTCGGATCTTGAACCACATCTGTATGTTCATCATCGGAAGGCGCGTACATGGTGAAGCATGGACTCTCACGGGAAGATCATGGCCAACTTCATGGAGATCAAAGATGTTTGAACTCCTTTTCACTTGAAACCCGAAAACGTAGCACAACACTAGCAATAATAATGATACCTGTAGCTTTGATCGAAAATGTGCCCGCACCACATCGGGTTAAGAAGATCGAAAGTCACATCGGCCAAAACGGCAATGAGCCTAGACAGGAGACCAGGAAAGAGAATTCAACCGGCCACCTCTTGTCTGTGGGTGCCAGTGGGGGACACAGAGAGTGATGAATGCCCCTCGTCTCTTTTCAGATGCCTGCATCGTGTGGATTGGCACATGCTTGGGTAACCCCGGCCACGTCACAAAAGGATGCTCTGCCACTCGCCCAGCGAACATTCTGAGAACAGGGTGGAACTGTCGAGGCGGAACGGACAAGCCCGAAGCGCCTCACAGGCATGAACACTCTCGGAGACCAAAGCCATCAGATGCAAGCTCACGGTTCGCTCAACGAGGGGATGTCGCCTCATGGGGAGTCGCGGCATCCTAAGCCTTGAGACACGTGCAGGGCGTATCCGTGATTGCTTCTTTTCTTCGGAACCGGAAGCAAGGTGCTTTTGTTGATGTTGGCTTTAGGTTATCAAACCGGGTGGCTGAGGGAAGTCCGGACCAGCTCTAACTAGCCAGTTGATCTCGATGCTAGACTCCAAATGCCGGAAATAATGAGTATCCACCACCCGCTTTCCCCCCTCGGCCTTTTACCAAGGGGGAACTGACACCGTATATCAACTCCTACAGTTCTGGGTACTCCATAACCAAGCGCAGAGTACGGAGTATAAGGCAGGCCTTCGGATTCGCAATTCATGGGCAGGTTGTGCTTGCGCATTCCAAGTTGGGAGAAGCCTGATACTGGACGCGGTGCTGTCCTTCCCTCGAGATCGGGGCCTCCATAACCCTTCCGTCGCGGTGTGGGGGACGTCGTCACACTGCACAATTGCCACGTCCAACCTCTCAAGCTGCAGACAATATGCACTAACAATTGGCTTCTTAGCGATGAGTGGAAGGGAGCATGAGGTCTGGTATGCTTGAAACCCACGTTCCTCCATCGAACTTCCTAGCAGTGGAATCTCTTGGCACGAGTCATGCTGCAATTCGAAAACATGTCACACCACAAGACCCCCCAGCCTATTGACAATGAGGCTGGTGATATACGCAATTCGAAGTGTCCTAGGCTCAGTTGGCGACAAATGACTGAAATTCTACTCTAATGATTTTGCCATTACGGAGTACCTCAACCGCTGGCAAACACGTCATGATAGTGTGGCCACTATCAAAGGCGATCTAGCGTGGGGTAGCCTGTACTTATGCATCTCTCACCTCCGAGATATCGATTGTCACACCATCTCGGAGCCTGGTGACATGATCATCCAACGAATTCGGCCTCCTCAGAGACACTGTAGATCGGTCCACATAGGCAACATTGAAGCTGAATAAGACCCCGCGCCCTGTGAGTATCCTCCAACTATAGTAGCCTTGACGCTGCGGAGCATAATGCAACCGACCGTTATAGGAAAATTGTGAGGAACGGAGTAAGCCGCAACTTCAAGACCGGAAAGTTTTGATTACTAGGGTCGCGCTGAGCTTGAGTGCAGGTGTCTCAAGAAGTCTTCAACCTGTGACTTCTCCTGAATGCTCATCCCTCCTGCCTGATTGCCAGTCTTTCCAACTGCAAGGCCTGATTCTTGAGGAGGGGCTCCTGGAGGCTGGCTGGAAACAGCTCCGGTGCCATTGAGCTTTTCTCCACCTCCAGAGACGACCGATGCTTGAGCAGCCTCCACAGCTTCGCCGGTGGACTGGCTAGTTTCGTTCTCTATGTCGGCTTGTCCTTGAGCGTCACCATGACGATTATCAGGAACGGTGTCACCTCGATATGGTCTTCGAAACTTCCCCTCGTTCCAAGCATCGATACGGAACTTCCACGCTGCAACCGTCTCTTTTGGGTCGACAGACTGGCCAATGCCTCTGGCCAGCTGCTCCGCTACCTCATCAACGTCATTCGCAACATAAAATAAGCGATCCCAGTCTTTCCCATCACCATCGCGCCTCCGCATCTCCCTTTGACCGTTCTCAAGCTTGGACTTCGCATCTACGGCGGCCTGCACGTCACCTCTTTCCAAGGCTTCCCTCACTTCACGCCAAGCCAATCGGGACTCCCACGGATCCGGCTCCGAAAGTGGGTCAGTTATGATTCGAGTGGTTTCCGCTGTCGTTATGTCAAAAGTCTCAAGGTCTTGGGCTTTCGCCACATCGTGGATGGTGAACGTACTGTCCCAATGGCCTGAGATGGTGTATAAAGGGTTCTCGTCCTCGCCATCACGATACACTTTTGCATCGAACTTATGTTTCTGCGATGAGCTTCCGAATAGACCTTTACCTTCGAACTCGATGCTTGAGGTGTATCCACTAGTGGAAGGGATTCTATAGGTGCCTTGGAGTTCTGGATACGGGCCTCCAGTGAGTATTCCTTTGATCTTCACACTCGGGAGGGGTATCAAGTACGTTTCGTCATGTTTAGACAGATGCAGCGTGGCATGGCCTATCTGTTTGATGTTTACACTTCCAGAGAAAGTGATTTCTTGACGAGTATATCCTTCTGCCTACCTCGTGTGAGTTTCTTTCCTGGGGCCAAGAAGGAACGACATACCGAGACTCCATGGTTATCATTCCAAACACGGCAAGCTGTAACCGGCGGATGGTGACTTCGAAAATTGTCAAAAAGAGCTTCTCTGCATATGAAGAAATAATCCCACGTACCTGACCTGCTCGCTCACCAACCTAGTCGTCCCAGATTTATCCTCCCAACGAGCAACAAAGACTTCCCCGAGGAAGGCGTTCAGGGGTTTCTTCACACCCTCCTGCTCAGTGCGACCTGCGTATTGCTGGTTCCGCAGTGCCGAAATGAACCACCTGAGGACCAATAATGCACGTTTTGCGGGGTCATCTGAGCCGGCAGCCGCCACGAAGACGGACGGTCTCTCGGCCCAGAATGCAGGAAGCTCAACGGTCGATTTCGTGTCAAGAACAAAAGGTGGCGCTGTGATATTTGACAAATCGCCTCGAATGGTGGCTATGGACTTGGAGAGCGTGGGATGAGTATTATTATTTAGTCCCACATGAAGATAGTTAGGTTGGGGCAGCAAAGTGAATGGAAGGGGAGAGCGAACCAGGATATTCGGGCACAACATACAGCAATGAAATCTTTCAATTTGGACCGGTTGTCCGCGAGAGAGGGTTCCGACATCTTTGGGGATCGACAAACCCAGCACCACCCACACCGAGAACAATATATGGAATAGAAATCAAGCCGTTGAAAAAATTGAACGTGTAATGAATGTTAGTGTGGTTGAATAACCGAATAGTCATAGCAAACGAAACGATGGTAACCTCCAAAGTAAGAAAGTCCCATCAAATAGAGTCCTCAAGTCTGCGTGGCATGTTTGACCACTGGCTTTGACAATGTTGATGTCATGACGTCTTTCAGTGCCTGGGGATCTCGGAAACCGGGTAACTAAGAGTGCAGGCCGATCTCACACAAATATATCCTCCCGGTTCCCTAGCAGGTCTGATTGGATGTAGATTCACCAGGCAAGACTTAAAGGGCCTCGGGCGCTTCGACCTCAGTCGCACACACGAACTAGCCTTTCGAGGATATACGATTAATCATGCGCTCTTAAATAACCTTCTAGATAAGGACGGATCACTTTGACTCTTGGCGTTTCTATTTCGCTGAACGGGCCGGGCTGTGGGATAACCAGGCCCAACAGCACCGCCGCTGCAATGCACACGTCGCATCAACGGTCTAGTCCAATCAAAGCTTCGCAGCTGCTCCTAATCCGAGCTCCTTCTTCGCGCGATCTCTCAGCTCGCGTCTCAAATACTTCCCGATCGCATTCTTGGGTAGCTCATTCACAAAGACCACCCCGCCACGCAGCTGCTTGTACGGCGCGAGGCGCTGCTTGACGAACTCCTTGATCTCGTCCTCGGAGACCTGCGCGGGATCGGCGACCACATACGCCCGTGGAAGATCCGTGCCGGGATCGTCGGGCAGATTCACACCCACAACGGCCGCTTCTTGGATTTTCGGGTGTGTGAACAACACGTTTTCGATCTCGGCTGGCGCGACTTGTAGGCCTTTGTATTTGAGGAGCTCCTGTTTTTGTGGGAGAATTTGTCAACATTCAGTGCGGGTTGGCTTTCAGGATGGTAGAATGCAGCGGGAGCTGTCGTCTCCTACCTTTTTGCGATCGACAATGTAGAACTTGCCATCTCTCATGATCCCGATGTCGCCGGTGCAGAACCAGTCTCCGTGGAAGGCGTCTTTGGTTGCTTGTGGGTTGTTGAAATATCCCTGGGTGACTAGTGGACTCCGCACCAGCATCTCGCCTTCCTGGCCTGGCTCTACGTCGTTGTAGTCGTCGTCCACCATCCTGATCCAGAGTAAGCCCCCCTTGCTGCAATCGTGAGAAGGCTGGCTCTTACCTCAGCTCGACATTCTGCATCACCAGGCCGATGCTGCCCGTGACATCGCTTTGACCTCTGGGCATCATCGTTACTGCCCCTGTTGTCTCACTCAAACCCCACGTCTGTCCAATTTTCGTCTCTCCCTGCCCAAGCTTGGCATTAGCAGCGGTCTGAAGGACACCATCCATAGGTGCAGCTCCCGTCGACGCGCCATCGACCATTTTGAAATGATCCTTGACATCAGGAGACTTGGAAATGCGCAAGAAGATCGACGGAACGGTGTAGAACTGGGTGATTTCATGTTCCTTCACGTGCTTTAGGAGCTTCGCCCATTCATACTTACGCATCCAGAAGACCACCCCACCTGAGTAGAACGGGATAACGAGGTATCCAAACAGCCCAGCGATATGGCTGATCGGTAGGTGGGCCAGGGCGCGGAATGGTTTGAGCTCTTTTCCTGCTTCAATTTGCTTTGCGGCCCAAGCTCGCCCGGGAAGTGATAGGAGGTAGACCTCTTGTGCCATATTCTCATGAGATAGCATGACACCTTCGCTGTCAGCGTTCAATTTCGGTCGAGATTGAATTCTGTCCTACCTTTGGGGAGGCCCGTAGTGCCAGAGGACCATAGGATCGTGATGAGGCTCGTCTTGAGTAACTTGGGATCTGTTATCTTTCCCCATGGAAGCTTGTCTTCGGAGATTGCGTTGATGCCACCATACAAGCTTGATAATCGCCAGCAGGGCGAGGATTCCAGAACCAGGATCCGATTGAGAGGCACGTTGCACTGCTTTGCTGCCTGCGTGGCCAGCTCTTTGAACTCAACACTACAGATGATCAGATTGCTGGTTCCGATTGTGATTTGCCGTGCGAGTTCTGCGACCGTGGATGAAGGGCTTGCCGCCGAATATACTCCTCCCGCAGCTATAACGCCAAAGAAGGCGGCGGCAACGAGCGGCTGACCGTAGCTTATGACCGTTACAACATCCTTGTTCGGGTCATTGGCGCCGATCCCGTAATTATGCCTTAGACCATGCGCAATGCGTTGCAGCAGATCGCGGAGGTCATTTCTCGTTACCTTGTTTGACGGGTTATCTGCGTCGACATGAAGGACAATGTCTTCTGGAGAAATGGCCGCAACGCTATGCTCAGATTCTTTTTGACGGATCAGCAACAAGGATTTGGGGGTCGGTAGAAAGCCATTCACCAAACAACAATGTCAACAGGTCTAGTTTTGGAACATCCACGAAAGGTTCTGGGCCGGGGTTTCTGTATATTCTAGACATCTTTGTTGTCGGAGAGAGGGCAATGGGAGACTTCCTCCGATTTCAAGTCGTGAACTGCGCGAACAATAATGATCGGTCACTGCAAGGACGTTTTCAAAAGGCCATTGCCCGTAGAGCAGATGGCCCCAAACGAACAACAATAAATAGGCTGACTCGGCACCGCAAAGTCCTCTCTCTCCTCTCAAAGTGTGGGGTTGGGAGCCGCCCACGAGTTCTTACCGAGGCCGTTCAGACGACCAATCAGGGAGTGCTGGTTCGCGCATCAAAGTGACGAGGCCTATGGAGAACACTGGTATGCTGACCGCTTACACGCCGAGTGGCCTGGGGAAGGGACGCAACGAGAACAAATGATATATTTCCCAATTGGATAGCAGTGAGATCGAAGTGTCAGGGATGACATGAAGGTTGGTTACATAAACAGAAGCCTGAAGATGGCAGAAGTCGCCACGTGACGTCACAGCTTGCCTTTGTTGTAGCCGGAGAGTTCTAGCAGACGACCATCTTAGCCATCTTTCTCTACTGCTGGCGACAAACCGGAGCGCATAGTAGTATGTGGATGGACATTTCTCTCGCCTTGATATTGGAGCCTTGTGAAGGTTCAAATCACAATGGACGGCCGAGAGAAGATAATCTCGCGGTCAATAGTGTCTGCGATTCAGGACGACCAACCCCAACCGAAAAGCACTCTTCGCCGGATTCTTCGATCGATACGGATATTCTTCTACATATACAGCCTTGTCCTGGCGAAATATCGTCCTGAATTGTTCCAGAATCTCCGTGATAACATATGGGACATAGTCGACGCCGAATACCAGTCGAGCTTTGATACCGCTGATGCTCTCAAAGCAAAGGGAGATATGGGCTACTCAGGATCGACTTTCTTCAACACCAAGGACGACAAATATCTCATCAAGTCCATACCGCGAATATTTGAGCATAGCTTCTTCCGAGACGACCTTCTGAGGCCTTATGTTTCTCACATGGAGTCCAACCCGGGTTCACTCCTCGTCCGCATCACCGATTTTCTGGGTTGGTACTTCAAAAGTCTTGGGGGCATCCTTGGCCTTGCCCCGACCTACCACTTGGTCATGGAAAATCTCTCGCACGGCCAGTCGGAGTCCTCCGATTGGGAGACGTTCGACCTGAAACCAAATTCCTACTTCTTCCCCGAGCGCGACATTGCAGGCGGTCGCTTGGCCTCTGAGGCTACCAAGTCGAAATTGGCCGACAAGTTTGGTGACAAGATCCTACTGAGCCGTGAAGCCGCCGACAGCTTCTTCTCGCAACTGGAAAAGGACACCGAATTACTGGAGCGGTACAATGCAGTCGACTACAGCCTGATGTTGGTTCGAATTCCCAAGAGCTCCCAGGCAATTCCAAGCAAGAATCCGTTCGAGGACTCTCAGACCTGGCGCACAGGAATCTCGTCACAAGACAATAAGTACATTTTCCGTGCCACCGTCCTCGATTTCTTCTGGGCCAAACATAAAGTGCATGCGAAGATGATGACACTGTTGATCAAGGCATGGAATCTCATTGACCGTCAGGGCCACATGAGCATCACGACTTCTCCAGGCGAGTACAGAAGCCGATTCATGAATATGTGTAGGGGTATTGTGGAGGTCCGGGAGGACATGAGTGGAGAAGCAGAAGCCGCAGCTTAACCAATTGATCCAAACCATCAGTGTGACATTGGTCAGTCCCTGTATGCTTGTTGGAATGGATTGGGCGCCGGTATCGCCCAACACCTTCTCGAACTCAAGGCTCTGGCAGTTTCAAGTGCCACTGTAGTTTTAAAGCATGATCAGATCCCATGGCAATTTCTCGAGCACTCTCGACAGCCACATCCATCGGAGCCAGTATTCCCCCCCAAAAAAGCCCATCCCAACGCTGGTCTCGATGGATATTATCTTTCAATGCCCGGAACCATGCTCACCATCAGAAACCTGTCAGGCTGTCGTACTCGTGTCTAGCTAGAGATTGACCCCTTACTTCGATAGCCTCGGGGGGCGAAGCAAGAGTTGAAGTATTATTAGCATTAGTAGCGTGGACCTTTCCGACACTCCTGGGATTGACTAACAACGTATAAATCAGCAGCATAATTCCACATAACATCTCTGCTGATAATGATCGTTCCCTCCACAGCCTTTCCCGCTTCTAGCCTCTTCACATATGCTTGGTCCCTGGCGGTTCTCGCGAGAAGCGAAGGACGGAAATGCTGCGAAATTCGCCTATCCCGCATTTCCCTCCCCGAAATAGGAAATGCGAAAGGTTGACTCGTCGCCTGGGGACCAACGAATTACCTCAGTCTTGCAATTCATTTACCGTCTCTACCCCGACTTCGCGCAAGCCAGTGGTTCGTTAAGTGTGATTACTGTTCTCCGAATATTGGTTATTAAGGTCCACAACCCTTTCCAGCTTACATTAAGGATTGCAGATCAGATGGTCCTACTAATTTCCTACAGTAAAAGTATCTCCCCGTATGAGGACCTCACGTGGCGTACAGACAGAATCCGGACAAAGTAAATCGTCACGGTCGCTCCTCTCCCGAAACTATGCCATCTGCTGAAAAGATTGATGGCCTCCCGCGGGACTCCCCAGAAAGCCGGGGTATCGATCCTCAGGCAATAATTGATTTCCTGGAGGATGGCAAAGCCTCTGGTGTCGATTTCAATGGCTTCATGGTCTACAGCAAGGGTGCCGTGATTGCAGAGGGCTGGTGGGACCCCTACCGTCCAGACCTTCGACACATGATGCACTCCGGGACAAAGGGGTTTCTCTCCGTTGCGGTCGGCATGGCTGTCCAGGAGGGGTATTTCGCGCTCGAGGATAAAGTCCTGTCATTCTTCCCGGAGTACGTGCAGACGGTCGTGGAGACGAATTCGACGACTGAATTGGCCGACCAGCTGACGGTGGAGGATCTGCTGACGCAAACATCTGGGCATGATCAGGGATCGTCGGGCGCTTCGTGGCGCGGTATCACCACTAGCTGGATAGAGCAGTCCTTCAAGATTCCCTTTGCGCATAAACCCGGTACCTTCTTCAGGTACAGTAGTGCGACGAGCTATCTGCTCTCGGCCATCATACATCGGACGACTGGCCAGAGCACCAAGTCGTTTCTCATGCCGAGACTCTTTCAGCCGCTTGGAATGATCGGTGTGACTTGGGATGTCGGTCCTGAGGAGATCAATCCTGGTGGGAACGGTATCAGCTGCAAAACTTCTGACTTGTTAAAGTTGGCCCTTCTTCACTTGCAAGGAGGAGTCTGGGAGGGGCAGCGGCTGCTCAGTGAAGAGTGGGTAGCGAAGGCCACACAACCGCAGCGAGGGAATGAATATGGCTACCAATGGTGGGTCAGCAAAGACAACGATAGCTACTACGCTTATGGAATGTTTGGACAGTTCGCATACGTGTTCCCAAAGCATGGGGCGATATTGGTGATGACAAGCTCATCACCACCCGGTGAAGAGGTGGCTCGCTCCCTAGTCCGACGCCATTTCCCAGCTATTTTGGAGCCTAAAGGTGATCCTTCCATCTTTTCAGAAGACTCGTTCAAGAAATACCTAGAAGCACTAAAAATCGAGGCACCCCAAGGACCAGAGCTGTCAGAAAAGGCAGACGAGATCTCAGACCGACTTTTTGTGGCCAGGCCAAATGCAGATGGAGTCGAGGCCTTCGCCCTTCATTCGGAGCATGAGAAGTACGTTTTCCATCTGTGGGACAACCGAGGACTTCATCGAGTCGATGCGGGAGTAAATAGGTGGGTTGAGTCAGAGACAAGCGTCTCTCTCGCATCGCTGCATCATAGCTATGATGCACCACAATTGCTGGTGTCTGCTTGCGGGAGCTGGTCGAAACCGGAGACCTTCGAGATGAAGCTTCAATTCATCGAGACCGCCTATCAAGATCAGATTGTCGTCCGCATAGTAGGAGACAGAATCGCCGTCCTGGAAAGGGGCGTCAACGTCAATTCTAGTGGAACGCAAAGACCACCGATCGCGGCTTACATGCTCGACAAAGGTAGCGGAGTCTCTGCTGGATTCCGCATTGCTGATCGCGCAAGGGCAGCACGAATGTCGACTGAATTCAACCAGCTAAAAACCATGCAGGTATTCCCATATTCAACTACTAGTACTTCGCTCAACGATTTGCTGGACAACGAGGAGACAAAAGCTGCTGTGGTTGAGGAGTTCGCTTATCTGATATCACATCCTATGCTCAGCAAAGGACGCCGTTATACCCTTCGCATGCTGGCGGCCTTTGTGCCCAATTTGAAGCCTGAGGCACTTGAGAGGCTTGACGGAAAGTTGGGGAAGATACCATACTCTTGGGACTGAAACATGTTCAGCCATGGGCGAGTTGGAAGTTTCGTAGGCAGCTGCAAGGAGGTCACACCGTAAGACTCTCATAATTGAAGAATGTTATTTCCAGTCCGTTTCCTCTAACAAGGAGATTCAAATCTTGTCGAATCTAGGCACCGCTCTCTTTTGTCCAAATCTTTTTGAGAAAGTAACGGTCATTGTGCGGCTCAGACTTGCCTTTGGACTTCAAGGGCGAACCTGGCGGCTGTGATTCATATCCCCAAAGAGGAAGGAACCGCGACCAGCACATGTTGCTTTGTGCCTCAGAAGTATCTGTGGAACATCCCATGGCCTTTGCGAGGCGCACCAGATGTCCGTCATCATCGCCGCAGCAGGAAATTGAGCATTTTTCGTCTCCAACATTGATGCAACCATCAATTCTGGGTTGCATCAAATCTGGAACGCTTCGTTTTCTGAAGCCATCGTAGAAACGGAGGGGCTATGATGAAATGATATCGAGAAGATCAGTCCCTTTCGTCCTTCCCTTCCCAGTGCCCATTTTCGCAGTCTTGGCCCCGAACTGGATGGCCCTCTTGCGTTCTATTGCAGCATGCTTCATGCCCATATCCCACATGGCAAGTCTCAGGAGCATTTTAGCTGGCTCGAGGTCCTCCCGCCTGTGAACTGTCTGCAGCTCTTCGTAATGCCTTGGAATTAATCTGTCTGTCCTAAAGCCGGCCTTTTCCCAGAGAGGAAGATCAAGGGCGAAGCGGACAAATTCTTCGTCAAGGTAAGGGTAGCGAACTTCTTTTCCCCAATGGCTCATCATGCGGTCATCCCGACCCAAGTTGCGAGATCCAATCCGGTTGAAATCAAGTTCGAGCTCATCTGCTAAGCCTTGGAATCCTTCACGAGCAAATGCTACAGCATGGCGTGAGTAGCCTGCAAAGATTTCATCCGCCCCTAGGCCAGAAAGCAGCACGCGTGCTGTGGAAATGTACATCATTTCTTGTCCAGGCTCAGAATATATCAGTTCCCGGGTTTGACCTTGACCACGCGCAGCAAAGTACAGGGCCATTGCAATCGAGAGATCCATTTCCGTATTGTGAGGATGCATAAGATCTATGATGGCAGATCTATGAGCCATAGCTTCAGAGTACGGGATATTGACAGCGACAAATCTCCAATTACGTTCAGGGCAAACATGGGTGAGTTCGGTGTAGCTGGAACGACCTGTGATGCGGTCAGGACACAATTCATATGGAGCTGTTGGGGGGCCTTTTCTGGCTGCCATAGATCGAGGGTTTTCGAATGCTACATTGATCAAGTCAATAGTCTCGTCGAGTGGTAGAATGTTGTGCGTAATTCGCGCAAGGAGCGTACAGTCGAGACCCCCTGAAAATAGAACTGCAACTTTAGCAGAGCCTTTACCTATCTGGCGGTGTGAGTGGTCAGGGATATCCCTGACTCGCAATTGAAGGGCATTGCTTAAATTAAGTTGCAGTTGTTTGATTGTTGTCGTCGTCGGAGTGCTTGGGATAGCATTCTCTGACAAGGGGAGTTTGTTTAGAGATGGAAGTGAAGTCTGCCATGGGATTTTGCCCTGGTTGACTTTACCGCTCACCACGGATATTGAATGGATGGCATCTGTTGCAACTTCAACAAGTGAAGGGTTGTTCCTTACCACACCAGTACTAGCCAAAGTCAGCGATTGTAACTCGGTTGAGAAACTGTCGATGAGAAGAGAACGTCGACCTAGCTTGTCTCGGCCATAGTAAATAGTAGAAGTGAGCGCATTGTAAAAGACGAAAGCAAATGGCCCATCAATACTACTCAAAACACTGGATATGTTCTGAGAGGACTCATGTTCTGAGCTTGTCGAAGCAGAGAGCAGGAGGCTGAAAACCTCGCTCGAATCGTTGGCGAGAACACTCTTGCCATGGATTTTCCAAGCTTCGCCATTCCAGCAGAGAATACAACCAGTGGCCTGGTCCACCAGTGGCTGCTCCTGCACAGCATCACCCCGCAAGGCGAGAACCGAGGAGGCTAAAGTCAAATGAAGATCATGGGGAGCAAGATCGACCTGGAAGACTTTGTAACTGTCAGGACCACGTGCTTTGAGACTGATAACTGCCTCATCGTCGGGTAAACGTGGCCGGGCTTTCGCGACGGATAGAAAGATGCCACACATTAAGGTAGAGGCTGTGGTGCTAAGCACAAGGACCACGAATCGAATCAATGAGGTGCAATGATGAAAGTTGAAATAGAAGGGTTTGATCGATGCGAGGGTGTACGGAGGACGCGTGGAGAGAGTGGAAAAAAAAGCGTAGCTAAACGCAGAAGGTATGCCGAGGGTCCACCACCTACGTCATTCCCTGACTGTGTCCCCCTACGGCATCCTCTGGGTGCCGCTGCGTGTCCTCTCTTTAATCCCAAGTTCGACACCTACATAACTCTATAGGTTCATTGCGAAAAATATAACTGGTCGGCTTGGGAATACAGTCTTCTCAGTATAGATATAAGACCTTTCTAACATCTATCTCAAGGTAAGCTTTTGCATTATTGATCTTTCCCACACGTCTCGGCCACACGGGCCACGATCTTGCACCCGCTCACCTTGCCTTGACTGCACAGCTGCACTCCCTCCTCCACCATCCCGAGTAGGCCTCTGTTGATCACTCTTACCGGGTGCGGGTGCAGCAAACCCTCGGCCGCCAGTGTCTCCGTCAAGCTGGTGAATTGCTTGGAGAATTCAAAGTCCTCCATGACAGCGGGAAAGTGCTTGCCGAACTTGTCACAAGCCTCGCCGGAGAAACTTATCACCACACTGAAGCTGTGTTTCACATCCTTCCGGGGAATCCCGTTGAAAAGTATAGTGCCGTACTTCTTATCCTCGCTGTCAGTGGCCTGGGAGAGAGCAGCCATACAGATGTTGACGCCGTCCTCGGAGCCAATGGTGTCCCAGACCAACTTCAATTTTCCCTGGGTATGTTCATATATCTGTTCGCCGCAGCTTGGATCTGTGTAGTCAAACACGGCCTCTGCCCCGCGGGACTTGCAGAGATCGAAGTTGTGCTTTGAAGACGTTGTCACAACAGCGTACCCGGCTCTGTTAACTCAGAAGACACTGTTAGTTGTGCTCCTGGACAATGTTCACGACAAAGAAGCTTGAGGCAAGGTAAATCCTCACAGTCTGGCATATTGGATCGCCAATGTCCCTGCTGATGAACTGCCGCCATATATCAGGATATACTCCTTCTGGGTACCGGTAGAGGCTCCAGGAATCTCCACACGAGGCAGCCTCAGCTTCATCTCCTGGAACAAGCCCAGTCCGACTGTGAGTGCACTTGTTCCCACAGTCGCTGCGTCTTCGAACTGCCAATGATCTGGCATCTTCATGCAACAGTCACCCTTGGCTGCAACGACCTCAGCCCACGCTCCATCTTCAGCCTCGTTGAAATTCCCGCCGTGTGCAAGCCCAAAGACTCTGTCGCCTTTCTTGAAGGGCTTGGTCACCTCTTGACCGACCTCGAGAACGATGCCAGAGAAGTCCCACCCCAGCAGCCCATTGGTTGCAGCGCGGCGTTGTGCGATACCTTTCACATCGGTTGGGTTTAGAGCAACGGCCACGGTCGAGGCTAAAATGTAATCCGGACGCAGACGAGGCTCCGGCCGGTCGGTGACCACTTCAGCTGAAGCGCCATTCCAGATGACGGCTTTCATGATAAGCGCAAGTTTGCTTCGACGTATTTGTCCAGGGTCTCATAGGATAGCCTTGCAGCACAAAGTCTGGAAATTTTACTGGGCCTCATTTTGAAATGTGCTTAATGGAGTTCTTTTGATCGGACTGTATGCCAGGAAAAAGTACAGAAGATCGTCGAAAAGTTTACCACATTCCCAATATCTGACATGCCCTGTTGTGTGGGCCCCACTTTGGTTCAGATCGCCGTCTTGCCTGAAGGGTGCTGACAAACCTTTAACAACATGCTTAGAGCCTCGGACTTAAGAGTCAATTGTCCGGAGGAAGCTCAACAGAAACCGTCTGCTTTTTGCTGACAACCGAGCAAGGAATTAGCAGGCGAATTTACCAAATCTGGGTGAGAGTCACTGCGGCGTGCGCCTATCCCGAAATGGACATGCGTCTATCTGGCGTTGGAGTACTGATTTCTCAGCTCAACATATCACAAGCTTCTACTGCTATTTGATATCTGCTTAACGAGCCCTAACAGAAGTCGATCTGCAGCCTGGAATCGATATTTGGGTGAGGCCTGGAGCGGAGCTGGCTACAGTATTCTTTGATTCTTGTAGTATGGCTGTGGAGGCGCTTTTAGTTCCCACTACCTACAACTATAGGAATTTGCGTGAATAGCAAAGCACACCAATCATTCTACCGTCATCGCTCCACAGTCCTTAGAACCTCCAAGATCTGTGCCGTTGTTGTGAGTGGTACAGGATTTGTTCTGCACCACATATCCTCCAAGCTTCTCTCTGCCAGTAGCTGCAATGTCTCCTCGCCTTCGACACCTACTTCTTTTAGCGTTCTGGGCATGCCAAAATCACGGAATAAACCATCAAGGACGTCTCCTAGGTCGGCCTTTGATTGCCTCAGTCCACGAGATTCGAGGATCTGACGAATATACGCATCAGACCACAAGGCGTCAAGCGCAAGTTGCTGGCGACTCGCGTTGACGACTGCGTTATACTTCATCACGGTCGGGCATAGAACGCATGAGGTGTGTCCGTGAGCGACATTCATAGTGCCGAGCTCGTGGCCGATTGCGTGTGAACCACCGAGATGGACGCCCCTGCAGAGACCTATCAGAATGCAGAAATCAGTCAGTGAGTCCAATTGTGGCCCTGAGAGGCCTTCATAACAGCTTAAATGAGACTTTTCAATCGACCTCAAATTTCTTCTGAAAACATACCGTCCATAGCATAATTCGATCCAAACTGCGTATCCAACCTCGCTTGTAAATCTTTCGGATCTCTTCTCAATTTCAACAAGCCCCTCGCAACCAGCACCAGTCCTTTCTTTGCTGCATTCTCCGTCTCGACTTCGATATCGGGGTTCAATGAAGCCAGCAACTCGACGCAGTGGTCAATAGATCGTACACCAGAGCTCATCCACACCCACTCGGGCGCGTTTTGAGCAAGCTCCGGGTCAAGAATCACCACATCAGCGAATAAACCTTGTAGCACGAATATCTTCTTAACACCGTCCGTTGCATCTATGCCACCTGCGTAAGGTGAGTACTCTCCCGCAGAGAGCGTCGTAGGGACATTGATCATCGTGAAAGGCGGAGCCTTGACATCCGGCGGGTCCGTTGACGTGTTGTACTTGTAGTCGATATCGTGCAGCATCACCGCCTTGAGCTTGTCACTCATGGCGCCTAGCTCTTCGAGAGTCTTGAGATCATTGGCGAGACTGAGTCCAGCGAGCTTGACACCGTCCGTGATTGAGCCGCCGCCCAATGTCACCACGATATCAGCGGCGGAGTTTTTGCTGTATTTCAGAGCAACATGTGAGCCACAGGCTAGCTTGTTCAAGGGATTTCAGTGAACCGTGAGATTCATCGCGGCATATCGCTCGGCTCAGAACCGGTTCACAAAGTCATAACAAAACTCACATTTCTCTTGCTAATTCCAGAACATGAGTCCACGGCGTATGACTGGGAAACCCAATCTGCTTGGCCACGATTTTCGATCCCAGCGCCTTCTCGAGCCTCGAGAGACAGTCCGTATGTTGGGCCAGGGAGCCTGAAACGACAATAAAGACGCGTTCCTTGTGCAGTCGGTTGACATGGCGCGACACAAGCTCTGGGAAGGGTAGCCCGTAGGAGACGAGACCTCGTTTGCGCCAGGGAAATGTCGGCCGCGTTGTTTCCTCGGACATGGACATTTCGAGTGAGCTCATCTCGTGGTACTGCATATTGTTTTATGTAGAAGCTTGCGGCAAGTTGTTTCGTTGCGTGACAATGAGAGTGAAACCTATTACTGAAACGCTCTTACTCCTTGAGTGATATAGTACCTCTCCCTCCTGGTGTAGACGTTCTCTTCTCCTGCTTAGATTCTGTTTCGCCCTGGTTATAAAAACTGGCTGAAAAGCCATAGAGTTTGAACTTGGGATGAGCTGCACGGCCGCTGAATTCGGAAAAGCAATAATACCTCCTGGAGCGACACAATCGGACTTGCTGGACTTCGAGGCTAATCTCCATGCGCTCTTGATGCAGAACTACGCGCTGTTCCAAGAAATTACTTCATACTTTTGCACTCATCCGAGGTTGGGAGCTAGCCTCTGCCAAGACGGCGTCTTCATGAGGCTCGAGTGGTTTTGTAAATGCCGCCCAGTCACGGATCCGAGATCGACGTACAGCAAACACACCATCGTTCTCCTCTCGCCTGGCATGGGGAATTCGTGGAGCACGAGTTACGATGGACCTTAGACAGAAGAGTGGTGAGATGCTTATACATACATAGAAACCGAATTTTGCTTGTTCCACGTGCTCTCGGCCCGAATGGATGATCATCTGAAGAGCAAAATAAGAGATAGAGATCTTGATTATCCTAAATTGACTCGAAAGCGGCCTGGCGTGACTCAGTGTGCCAATACATAGTATCCACCATCGGCTAACCTACCGGCAAGAGGTACCGGGCAAGAGTTATCGATAAGGAATCGACTTACCCCGTCTAGCTGCGGGAGATCATCCGCTGGTGCCTTTCTAATCTTAAAAAATTTGCGGTCAACCGGCCCCCTGGGGCTGGGGTTCTGGGGGTGCTTTTAGCTGACTACCAGGGGTGCCCGAGTGGAGGGCCCTCCATACGCATTTAGGTAACGTTGGTTTAATCGCTTGTTCGGTGCTCAAGGATCTCGTATCAATAGTTGGCTGCTGGGACGAAGAAGCAGATCGTGAGCGGTACCCAAGTAGAGGCAGGCTCTATAATGGAACATTGACAAAGTTTTTTACTTTGAGTGCGAAGTGCGTGCCTAACCCACAAGCTATGAACGTGCCGTGACTAATAGATAGTGTTATGGTTGTTTATGCTAACTAGAGTGTATGTATATAGCAGGGAGTATGGGGGCCTCATCGCTTCGCTCACAGCCTGTACAGTAGTCCCTACATCTCGTATTCGTAAATCACCATTAACCAAGAGTACATGGTAGAATCATGAGCACTACTTGGACGTTCTCTTACTCATAGGCCTTGATCGAGGAAATTCAGAAGAGGCACGTCTTAACTGAGACAAGCGACACTGGCAGGGGACATTATAATATGTGTAGAAACTTTACATCTCATCTGCACTGGACGGCGATTTCTCCAGTGCAGCTCCTCGCACGAAGTGAACCTAGATCGCGCTCCAGCTTGCTACATATTTGAGTTCCTCCAGACTATCCAGGACGTTCAAATATAGTTACTATATATGACGTGTCAGGGCAAAACTAGGATGATTTCAGTCAATTGATAATGAGGAACAAACGTTCAGGTCTACTATCTCGCCATCGATGTCTTGTTGTCAACTCTGCCCAGGGACCAAAACCTAGTAGTCTACAACTTTCGCTTTGATGAGCGCTCTCGCTTGCAAATTCCCCAGAATCCCAGCGACTATCCCTTTCACAAATGTATGAGAATTCAGCCCTGTATCTAGCCAGACATTTCTGTGTATGACATGTACTAAACCCTATCCCAAGACAAGTCTTTTGATGTTATACCCACGTCCGGGATGCACAATGCACCTTTCTCCTCCCACCAGCCGAAAGATAGTCTTCTCCAAGATAGATCAATCCCATGTGTCTATTTTCATCGTCGTAATACTCATGACCAGTATATTTATGTCCGTCACTATATCCTTCGCCATTATCACCCTGGTGGCTACTGCTACCCTCGCTATACTAGTGGTCGTAGTTAGGTTGATTTTCTTCGTGGATATCCTCAAGGTCGGAAAACAGTTTTACCACCAAGGCCAATCAGGCTTGCTGTAATGCGATTCTGGTATCTAAATCAAGGTAATTACTAATACACACAATGTTGCCGAATTTTGTCCTCAGACACCTGCAGACATGCAGCACCCTAGAATAAAACTCTGACTTAGCATATTAAACTATTATTAGTCGCTAAGGGGAATATGATAGCGATTGACTATACCAGTACCCATTGCGAAGGAATAGTGTATGTGGCTAAGGCGCATAAGCATTGGTTTATGTTAGCCCGAATGCTACCTGAAGTGCCAGGATCAGTGTTTACGGCATCGAGTGCGATATTCTTGGAGATTACGTCTGTCCATAGAAAGCCAATCAATGATATTATGACACCCCAGCTGGTCGATTGTAGCAATCTAATGCTCGTAAGGAAGGTTGCTTGCTTGGGAGCTATACCCCATGCGCTTGTACAGTTGGGGAAACCCGGGGATAGTAGTTCGTGCAACAAGCTTTAGGGCTCCCAAAAAAGGGGCGGGCGGAGTTCTACACCATTTAGGCGTCCCGGCTTGGGGATGCAGACTCCCCCCTGACGAGACTAAGTACTTCTGAACTGTTGATCGGGCTTGATACTGAAGAGGCATGCATTACTGTTGGCCTGTCCAGAGACAACAACCATAGTAGGAAATAGCCCACGCGACATAAGCACGTGACACCATTTTGATCCCCGTATTGCGATGTTAGGCACCCAAAGGCTCATGGATCAGGACGATCACCCCAGGAAGCCTATGCGGCTGGGGATATGCGGCCTGGTCTACGTACCGCCTTTGATTTGTCCTCAAGCGTAGGTAAATTTCTTCATCAACGTACTTTAGGTAAGAAGAGATAATATTAGAGTCCACGTTTCAGTATGGATGCTGTGATTAAATCGATATACACTCCTCGTTCATTACTTAAAGCCGCAATTCTCCTACGACATACCTATCATTCATTCATCTTATAAAATAACTCACTACTATACGTACTTAAAACAAGTATCTCGATAGAGGCTTCAAGCATATAAAGTATATTTGGTAAATATCGACACTATGAGTTCAGAAAGGCTCCCTCCCCCCCCCCACCAGGTGTACCACAATCTTCCTCGAGCTCTCCCGCAGTGAGGCTTGAAGAATTACAGCCAGAACCATAGCCCGGCACACAATCTTCCACAGGCAATCCCCTAGCGGTGCCTACGCCAGTATACCCAGAAGATTCTTCCTCGCGTACCCCCCTGCCCGGCAGAAGGCCTTTCACGGGCAGTAACCTTCTGACGACCGAAGATCCACGCTCAGAGCCTTCTTCCTCGCGTCCGCCCCCACATTCCGCAACCCCATCTTTCGAGGGCCTTCACCTGCCGGGGAGTGATGGACCTCTTCGGATACCGTCGCCACATCCCTACCCGAGTCAAATGACGAATGAAGAGCGTGAAATGATGGTGGGAATAGGACGTGAGGCACCAAGGACGCCCACGGGACATCATGACCGCCCCGTAACACAATTGGCTAAGCCGCTAGAGGGCGACCCATCTAAAAAATGGCTTGATCACACCCCCCCAAAGATCCTCAAAACATTACACATGAGGAGCACAAGGAACGTCGGCATGTAGATGTTTACAATCATGAGGAATCTCGACAAAGGAGATCAGCGGCCAATGCAAACAGGATGCATGATCAAAACTTCCTAGCACGTGCTGAACATCATCAGGACAACTACAAACAGCGCGGCAACTACTACGCGACGAACATCGATCAACGGGACTGGTACTACACTAACAGCTTACAACTACGCAAGAGGGGGTGAAGAACAAAGGGACAGACATCAAGATGCGAATTTCGCCCAAAGGGAAGCACATCAGAGAGACAATTATACCCAGAGGCATGCACATCAGAATGCCAATTACGCCCAGAGGCATGCACATCACAAAGACAATTACGACCAGAGGGACCGACATCACAAGGAGGCTCAGAGGCAACGCTGGATTTTAGGTGGAGGTACCATCGGCGCGGGCCTCACGGTAGGCCTTGGGACTTATGCCCTTCGACAAAGCGTGGCGAGTGATGACCAGACCCCACAGCCAACGAAACGGTTTGTTGCTCGTGATGAGTCTAATGACCCGGCCGCGCAGCCAGCGAAACGGTTTGTTCCGCGCGGTGAGTCTGATCCTGTCGCTGGAGTTAATCCCCATGGTGCAGCTCGGTTGGTCCGCTTTTCCCACGATGACAGGTTGGGTACTCCTAGTACATTTCCCACCAACTACGGTGCGATGCAACCTGACCACGTGCGACCCGGGACACAGGCTGGAGGCACGGGATTAACCGACGAGGAAGTATCACAGCTCGGTCAACCGCGCAAACCGGACAAGCCATATGTCGACATAGAGGTTCCGGAGACCCCTGGGTCCAATCCCGCCCCTGGGTCCAATCCCCCCCCCTAGGTCCAATCCCGCCCCTGCGCCCAGGCCCGCCTCTACGTCGAATCCGGGCAGACCAATAGGTAGAAAAGCTAGATGAACGAAGCTGGAGGGGGTTGACTATGGAAAACATCCTTCCACAACGCTCTTCTAGCTAATTCCCCGATCACCAGATAAGCGCTATATTAGTGGTTCGCTAAAATAGCATTGGTAGGAGTAGGTCAATGTTATCTTTATTGCGAGCACCATCAGTCACGTAGCATAGGCAGCCTCGAGTGATACCAAATCCCCAAATCCCCTGCTGTATCCCCCGTCAGATCTTTACATCTTGTAGGGAGCTCCAGAAAGTGTTGTATCTTCGGCCTACTGGGCTGACCAAGGACTCTTTGACCAGTCACTCCAGGCATCCATTGAGAGCTAGAGGCCGACCAGACTTCTTCCGTGGTTTCTGAGCTGGGACTTCTCAGCAGGTTCAAGGGGTGGACCAGTACCAGACAACTTCCTAGGCTATAACACGGTTCGGAAATAGAACTAGCCTCCGACTAAGTTGGTCATGGCGTTAGTAAATGGCTGGGAAACCCAAAGTTTTCAACCTTCGTGTTGGCTCTTTGTATATAGAATAACTCCTAGCCTTGCTTCAGTGTGCCTAAGGGGGTCACGCCGGAGGAGTGTTAAGAGTAGTGCTTTCCACGGCGCATCATTAGCCTCTTTAGCGTCAAAGCAATACCTTCTAGGAATTTCTATGAGTAGCCACGCCAGTATTTTCGATGGCAACCTCCCAATTGTTCATTAGTGCCTCTCATCCCATCTCCACCATCACAGTAAATTAGCATGAGCCACCGCGCCAGCAACGAACGTACTCGTAGAGAATTGGACCATAGCAAAGTATCCACATGGCTGGTGAGTTCCTCACGCTCTAATGAAAGCAACTGTTGATGTGCCCTAGGAAGGCGCAGATGAAGTGTCCCACGCGACGGCGTTGAGTTTGGCGGGTCTCGGATGGCTAGGCCGTGTGAAGTGACCAAGAAGGTCCAGGTAAAGATAGATGATACCTGCAATGTCGCTATAAAGACGGCTCTAGAGCTTGAGTATGTGAAGGCGACGTACTAGATTCCCTCTACTGATACGGGTCTATGGAGTTCAAGAGTACCGGTCTCCATGGTTTATAGGACAAGTATTATAAAAGCAGGCAAGCTAGCTCTGGAAGGGCTGTGCTGCCGGCATGCCGAGTTGCTAAGCTGCATAAAGCTTTGTTAGAATTAAGCTTTCTTTAGCCATAATCCTAAACAGCCATAAGCTTTGTAATGGTTATATAATATAATTAAGAATCACAATGAGACCTGCGGAGTCGTCTCGTACTAGCCCAAAACCCCTAGAGTTACTTGGATTAGAGATACTAACTTGCTTAGTGATCTTGTGTGAATTTATTTCAATAACTAACTTCTAACATTCTAGTAATATATACCGCAAACTCCGCAAACACTTTCTTCCAAGAATTAAGAGTACCAAGAGCTCAGTGGTCGAGATATTGGAGGAGCCTAAATTACTAACTGCGCAATAAAAAGGCACTTTCCATTAAAATTAGGTGTAAGGCGACGATAAGGGAGTGATTCGTTAGATAGAAGGTGGTCACAGAACGCGACCTACGCAAGGATATAGGAGATGTCGATGTGTACACAGAGTTTGATATGCTTGAAATCAAAGCAACTATCATTTTTCTCGGCACAGTGAGTTTCTCGTCACCTAGGCTAACAGGTCCCTTCACAACTGGCTCTTAAAATGGATGGGTGGAAGACTCTACTTATCTTAGTTATGTTGCTTGTTCTTTTTCCTATATATCTTTGGCCGTAGTGTGATCCTTTCTCGCTCATATTCCATAGCTATGGCCCTGAGGCGACTAAGCTACCTTTGACGACGTCGTCGTTGCCGTCTTCTATACGAAGGACCCTATCATAGAGGACAACACTGTCGACAGATGTTTTAGCATGACAGAGTGACAGAGTCCAACACGTGGCAATCTTTACGCTCATTGAGAGCCACGTTTCGTTTCCCGCTTGCTCTTCCTATCACATTCTTTCATTCAGCGTTCGATGCTGGTCGAACTTTCAATGTGCCCTGGGATCTTGATAGTCGCTTCGATATCGTTGCTGCTCTTCTCATCCGCAACCAAGGCGTCAACTCCGCCAGCATCATCGACATATTGCTTAGTCTCCTCCCAAGATTCAGCGACCTTGTCACCGAAAACGCCCGCGAGATCTTCGAGCGTTTTGTTCTTCGTCTCAGGGTACCAATAGTAGACGATGACTACGTACAAGCAGTCGAACACAAGCCATATGATAAAATATCGCCAGGTGATTGCGGCAATGGCTAGTGGAGCTGTTTGTGTCATTAGAACACCCATGACATTGAATACCACGTATCCGCACGCCACACCCACCGGACGGATCTTGGTTGGCATGATCTCCGATGCATACTGTTTTACGTGCTGGCGTCAGCGGGTTCCAATTTCAAGACATCCATATCATTAATGAGAGACACGAAAACACTCACCGTAGTCCCGAAAGTATTGAGCACCGCTGCATAGCCAAAGACCGTAAGGTAAATACCGACATTGATGCCCTTTGCAAGTCCCAGGTTGGTGTTGCTACCGCTTTCAAATGCTGCCCAGAGAGCGATAATGATGACTGATGCTGGTATCATTATGGCATAGGACAGGAACTGCATGTCAACCAATTAGGATCAATAAATTCCTGCCTCCTCGGGATAACATAGGGTGTCACTTACCAGGGCATTCCTGCGACCCATGCGGTCGAACCAAAACCCTATACTGAGCACCGCGAATGTTGAAACGGTGCCCCAGACGCCAACTAGGACAAGAGACATGACAGCAGTTGTCTGAAGCAACTGGTAAATCTGGACTTGATAGACCGCTTGAGGAAGTATCCCCGTAGCCCTGAAGACCATCATCAGTAGAAGGGACTTTGGGGGTAAACAAGGGAAACATACTGTTGAAAGAAGTAGAATCCCATGATGAGAAGGACACGCCTGCGATAGGACGCCTTCTTGAAGATAGCGGAAACCCCAATTCGCTCACTTTTCTCGAGTTCAATCTGCGCTCGAATCTGGTGGAATTCGCGAGCATAGAATGAATCGGAGACATTTGGATCGTCTCCATGAATTTTCTTAAGCACATCAAGCGCCTCCACATAGCGATCCATCAAGGCCAACCATCTTGGTGATTCCGGCATCCAGGGTGAGCCTGCCAGCATGCAAATGCCCGGCAGAAGCTGAAAGCCGAAGAGAACTCGGAAGGCAGTATTTCCGGGAATAAAATAGAGACCCAATCCAATCCAGACTGTTAGACAGTTTGCGAGGGAAATGTTCAGCCTGCCAGGTGGGTTAGAGTGAAGGTTGGAATCGAATGTGAGGGCGTCTACTTACGCGAATAAAGCACCGACTCTCCCACGCATATCTGGTGGAGATATCTCGCTGGCATAGACAGGGCAAATAGCGAAGATGATGCCCGTTGCAATTCCGCCTATGATACGTCCAACCAGGAGCATGGGGAAATTAACGGCTGCAGTCTGCAGGATGATGCCAACGAAGGAGATCAGACAGCCAATGCGGATCGTCCACAGCCGGCCATATTTATTGGGCAGCCAGACGTTCACCAATGTACCAGCAGCACAAGCTGCATAATAGGCAGAGTTGAATGCACCAATGGTCGTAGGAGTGAAATTATAGTAGGTGATGAATTCAGAGTAGCCTAGGACACACGATATGATGCCTGAGCAGGTATCCTCTCGAATCAGCGAAATGTCCTCTGTGATGATAGGGAGGTATCTTTAAAAGCGACTGCAAGAGAGCTCACCGAAGTCGTAGCCATAGAATGCACCACCGAATGTGATGTACAACAGGCAGAGGGCTTGGAATTTCTTCATCTTGACGATATTGATGACCGACGACGTCCCGGCCAAAATTACCAATTTTTGAATAGAATAGGAAAAGGCTAGCTTCTGTGAAGGCAATCGTGTTAGGCGATTTGCGGAGAGCGCTCTCTTATCTAGGTATTTATCACGATCTGATGAAGCCTACTTTGGGTCTATTCGTTCCATCCTTATCATACAAACTCGTTGCGTAAAAGTTGTTGACAAAGGCCTAGACCACTGCTGTCCGCAATCGTATATCGCTTGAAGTGAATTGCAATTTTTTTGCTAGCTAGATTCTCCAGATTTGCAAGGCCAAGACGGCTCTGCATTGAGACGAGATGCTCTGGGGTACCCCATGGGTAAGATGCAGAGGCTTTGTCTCATTTGTGGGAACGCATCCCCCAAATGGAAAAGTGAAGGTGGCGGGGCCGGACAAGACAAGACGGCGTCTAACATGCACTAGGTTTGGAAGACGATCGAGAGGAAACTAGAAAATGAAGTCAGAAAATAGACTGAAGACGCCTTGAGTGCCAAGATGCCGACACCAGTACGGCGGATGCGGTCGGGGGAAAGTGAGGGAGACATCAACTGCAAATGCGGAGCTCGGCAGACGAGGCCGCGTTCTTACAGTTCTTCCTGTCATACTGCTCTCGTCTATCAGGTAGGCATTTTCGTTGCTGGAGCACAAAAGCGCCTTTCAATTGGGCAAAAGGCCTCATGGTCGTTCGCTTGGAAAGTCCCTGATTGCTGAAACACATATGACTGCAGGCAGGGGATCTGAAACGTGTGTTTATGCCAGTTGATCTCAGGCAGAGAAGTAGAAGGATTTAAGTCTCTGGTATAATTGAACACTGAATATTTATCCGCGACACAAATACGTCTCCGAAAGATGAGTCTTGACATGCTCAACCATACGGGCGTGACCGCCAATGGTTGCGCCACAGATGCTGAATCGCAGAAGTCGATGGATAATTCCATGGAGCATCTCGACCACCTTGCTAGGAGTGGAATTGAAACACGTCTGCCAGTAAAACCAGATAATTGGGTTGACATTCGTCAAGAGGTACTCTGGAAGCCTCACCGTCGAATCAGGGTCATTACGATCGGGGCTGGCTTCAGTGGTAAGACACTTCTTGGGCTTTAAACCTTGGAAGCATCTCACATAGTGATTCATCAGGCTTAACCCTAGCAAATAAGATACAGCGAATTCACAAGCTCGATGATGTGATAGAACATGTCATATATGAAAAGAATGTGAGGACCTAGTACGAGAACTTCAAGTCCGAGGGTCACTAATTTTGTCAGCCGGAAATTGGTGGGACCTGGTTTGAGAATCGTTACCCGGGCGTAAGTATTGGACACTAGACATTCGAGATCTGTGTGAAGGCACTAACAGAGTCGGACAGGTGATGTGTGATGTTCCTGCTGTAGGTTTTGGGCTCACAAAACACTGGCCGGTAGCATTTTGACAAGCTCCCACAGCACATTTATACTTTTCTTGATATTCCGCATCCCGAGTGGAGTAACTAGTAAGGAAATTTCACAGGAAGGCTCATTGAAAGTTACGTTTGCTCACCAGCCTGGTAATCAACAGCTACGCTACTGGCCCTGAAATACAGCAGTATCTTAAGCAGGCAACCAAGCAGTATAACTTGGACAGAGACGTTAACCTCAATTCAGAAGTGAAATCAGCGACCTGGGATGAGGAAGCTGGAACTTGGAAAGTGCAGGTGATCAAGGGCACAGAAGTGATCAATGATTGGTGCCATGTTCTCATCAACGGCTCAGGGGTTCTAAAGTATGACTGTTTACTGTGTAGGGAATAAATATTCGCGCTGACGAGGCGCCAGTCACTGGTCCTGGCCAGAAATTCCTGGTCTCTTCGAATACAAAGGTTACAAATGTCACTCGGCACACTGGCAGGAGGGATTCGATTTCTCTGGCAAGAGAGTGGCGGTCGTGGGCAATGGGTCGTCCGGAATCCAGATTGTTCCGGAGATGCAAAAGGTTGCGAGCCATATGACAAACTTCATCCGGTCGAAATCGGTGAGGGACCAATGCCAGATTATACGACTAAGCGCAACCAAGGACGCTGACTCTGACTTAGTATATCTCGGCACCCTTTGCCGAGGACTTTTCCAAATCGCCAGGTGGAAACCCTGCTTGTGAGTACTACAAACTTCATGTGCCAGGAATGCCACTAATATTACATTCACAGATACAGAAGAGGAAAAGCAGCGTTTTCGAGACCATCCGGAAGGCTTAAAGATTATGCGAAACAAGCTGCTGCATGTTCAGAACACTTTCTATTCAGCGGTGCGTGCACTGCCTGTTGAAAGCAGACAGAGACCCAGAATGATTTGCTGATTTATAGGGGCTATAGCTGATTGAGGGTGCACCAACAAACCTTGAGGCCGCGGAGGGTGTAAAATCGCTTATGGTAGATCGCTTAGGAGGCAACAAGGAGCTGATAACAAAATTGGTGCCAGATTGGTCGCTTGGCTGTAAGTCTATCTCCTCGAACTGTTCTGGAATGTTATCATTAAGGAGTTCGGCAGGCCGACGTTTGACCCCGGGAACCGGCTATCTGGAAGCGCTGACCCAGAGTAACGCGGAGCTCGTTGACGACCGCATCGCCGAGATCACCGAGACCGGTATCAGAACCGTTGATGGCCAGCACCGAGAATTCGACGCCATCATCATGGCGACGGGATTCGATGTCTCTTTCAAGCCCCGGTGGCTACAGATTGGTCGAAAAGGTCGTTCACTTGCGGAGGACTGGAAAGACGAACCATCCAGCTACTTCTCGCTCGCCACAAGTGGACAGCCCAACCACTTTATCTTTATGGGTCCCGGTGGCCCAGTAGGGCATGGCAGCCTCACTTCAGCTATTGATTGGACGGCAGAATACGTCATCAAGTGGTTGCTCAAGATGACCAAAGAGGACATCAAGTCCTTCGAGGTTAAAGCAGACGTTCAGCAAGATTGGAACACGTGGGGCGATGAGCTGATGAAGAGGACTGTCTGGTCCAGTGGGTGCAGGTGAGTGGGAGAACATGGTCTTTCTTGAAAGAAGAAATGCAAGTCGCTAAACTGCTACTGTAGGAGTTGGTACAAGAATGGCAAGGTTAATGGCAGAGTTACAGCCCTGTATCCTGGGAGCATCCTGCATTATGTGAGCCTATCTCCTCTTAGCTACGTCAAGGGTGTTCTAACATTCTATCAGAAAGATATGGTAGAACATATTCGAGGCGAAGATTTTGACATCTCTTACCACAGCAAGGTACGTATTGATCACACAATGAAAGCTAGTGAAATCTCTGACTTCCTCAAAGAATCGATGGAGATTTCTGGGAGATGGATTTACTCAGCTGGAGATAGACAAGGCTGATTTGGGCTACTATGTGACTTGCTGATATGACGAGAGGCTGGCGTGTACTTCAAATGTGAGACCCAACGTGCATAGACATGAGAAAGACAAAAGGCTAGATCAAATTCAGGCCGGAGCTGGCCAGCACCCAAAATTCTAGTTTGTCAAGTCGTCACATAATTAATAAGAACTTGAGGACTTCACTCTCGTTGGCCAATACCATAGCCTGCCAGTTACCAAAAAGGTTGGATGAATCTCTGATATCTCTTCCTTAGGACAAGGGGAAGAAGGGTGCCTATACATCTGAACTAGTGGGGCGGGGAATGCCTCAAGACAGCATTCAAACACCAGTCCCCGTTATATACAATTGCTTGGATCAACTCTCCATGACGTTGTAGGGAAAGAATTCTTGTCCTGACCCAAAGTCCTGTGAAAGACTGCCCAGAAAGTCCGGGTCGAAGATGTCAGGGACGTTAGGAAATTGGTAGTGCAGTGGCATGGGCATATCTGGAAGTGTAGCACCATCCGCTGCCATGGTTGATGGATCCTCCTGGAATACCCTTGACGAGACGGCCTCACGTGAAAGATTGTTGCTAAACGCCCTTCCGTTGGAGAAACTGTCCCCTGGTTCTTCAGTAAACGGTGGCCACCGACGAGAATTATTGGCCTGGCCGGATTGAGGGCCAGTACCACTTTGCGTCCTAGCCCTCTCTTCAAGCGTCTTGAAAATCGTCTCGAACAAGTGTAGGATCCAGCCGCAAGCAGGCCATGTCTTCGCTATCTCTACGCAGGCTAGCATAAGAAGGCGTGCTTTGTTCTCGGCCAGTTTCTTTTGAATGTGGTCTGACTGTCGTACCATGAGCACGTACATCGACAGGGCCGAGAAAAGACTGGGACATCTGGGGGTTCCACTTTAGAACGATACTTCAATCTTTCTTAACGTCACGGAGAGCTCCATGATGGCTGTGGTATGAATGAACTCACATTTGTAATTGGGAATGTCGCAAAAGGCCCAGGGTCAAAAAATCCTCAACGATGCTGGTTATTCTCTTTGCTGCCGAAACTGCGGTGGACTGTGCCAACTTCGTGTCAGCCCGCGCTTGATTGTTCTCAGGCCTGTGTAGGAGAATGACATGCTGGCTGATTGTAGAAATTAGCTTCTTGGTAGTGAGAGCTCAAGGGCACACGTCGATCCATACCTGTACGTCAAATCCAGCAATTGAGCCCAGAAGCTGTCCTCTCCCTCGTATTCGCTGTTTCGAAGCTCTGGAGGTAGTTGCATTCTCCATTGCGTCAGATCGCTGCTAAGTTCTTCACAGCTCAAGGTCGGTCTTGTTTTGCAGGTAGGAAACTTCATCAAGTTAATGTTGCCAACTGCAAATGTATTAGCTGGTGCACCTGAATAGGTGCTTTCCCAGACGTCTTACAAATTTCTGACAGTTTGCTCATTGCTATCACGTATAGCACGTGCATCCTGCTTTGTTTGCCGTATATTCCCAGAGTGGAAACGTTTTGCGTAAATTCTTCTTCAAAGTCTGATTCTTCAAGCGGTTCGACATCGTAGTCATCATCGCGAATGCGAAGAGGTCGGCCAATGTTTCCGGAACAGTGGCGGTCTCGAACCTATTTTTGTAAACTCATAGACTACAAGCAAAGATAAGCAGATCATACATAAAGTGACCACCAAATTCGTTTCCACAAGCGACGATCTTTAGTCCGCAATGTAGATTCTTTCGTTCTCCACAAAATTAGCATCTTGTCCGGAATTAGCGTTCCGTGTGCCTTACGATCTATGCATGCCTTTGCCCTGAGCATTGCCAATGGCAATTGAAAGCCAGTAGAACATATCTTTCTCATCCATGGAGCCACTCCATAAAAAGCTGAGCAAGAAGACCGATTGAATCAGGGCCACTTTATTCGTCTCGTGGTCGGCATCATGAAGAGCCTTTGCCCGCTTGATGAATGTCTTCCTGGCAGCGTTCCGATCTTCAAAACCGGCCTTGGTGATGACTTTTTCGTCACAGATGGTACTGGCAACGGCGTAGATGGCGTTCAATACGAGGAGAGATTGTTGTCCTGACTCGTATAACTGCGCAAATTCTTCTCGATCGAATATCGGGAAAGCTGGAAAGACGCGTTCAAAGAAAGTCTGAATGAGCTTGTTGGAGACTGAGTTCTCAGGCAAAATGAAAGCGCCCCGGATGTTCAGACATTCGATCTCCTCCGCGTTCAGTCTCGCATCATAGCCAAGGTTTTCGGGCTTGTCGCCGACAGAGGCTGGCAGTGGAACCTGAATAGTGGATGGTGAGCTAGAGTCAGACTCGGCATCCACATTCATGACTTTTTGCACAACATATGTCAGCAGCCACGATTCCCCAAGATACAAGGTCTGGACTCCCTGCAAGTTGCGACCCGGAGGGGGGGCTAATGGTAGTTCGCTGAGTCGGGCATACAAATTCTCCGACCCCTCCTTGGGGAGGTACGGGGAGCCATTCTTAAGCTGCGGTGACGGAAAGTTGGGAAGAATCTCCAGTTGCTCGACACGTAGATACCGGCCGTCGGGCTGCTTGGTCACGTCGAGGACTGGACTGAGAAGGGTTCTGGGCGAGCGGACGCCCGGTCTCTCTCTCGAAGCTACTGCGGCCGAAGGCTGAGTCTCGTCATGTGCAGTTGACGTCGAGGCGGTAAATTTCTTCGTACGTGGTCGAGTGTACCTTTGGTGGCAGTCAGTTGTTTATCGACAAGATGTATGCCATAGCAAGCTTACCGACCCCTTTTGGACTCGATCAGCTGGCACTGGGTCTGCGTGTTGATGCAGTTTGAGCATGGTTGGGACCGGAATGCATCGCAACGGATGCGTCTGACATGACAGAACGAGCAGGCAACCCTCCCTCCACGGCGTGGCTGATTTGGCTCAACAGTGCTAACTTGAACTCCACTGGAGTCATCGCCCATCGTCTATCGAAGCTCAAACCGATACTGAACAGTATGTTGCATGTGGAATTGAAGATACTTATCAGAATATCGATCTTCTCCTGAGTAATGTCCTTCTGAATTCCTGCTTGGTTCAAAGCGTGCAGAGCGTTGTGCGGTGTGGGAGGTCGACAGGAACCTGGTCATGCAATCCCTCCGCATTCTCAACCTATCCCTGGAGCCCAGATTCATGAGCGCGGGGTTCGCGAGGCACCATCACACTGAGTGTACTCCGTATATAGTCTAGCGCCACTAATCAGATAGGCGAAATCTGGATGCGACCCCGCCATGCTCATTAGGCTTTGACTATGCCGATAAAATCCCGCTCAAGCCTGGAAGTTTGCCTGAAACTTTCCCCAGGCGGGACGGGTAAATATTGGGGAAGGAAAGGTCTTACTAGGAAAGTGTCCCCTGGCTCTTCGAATCTCAGAGCTCAGTTGCTCACATCGAGCCATGGCGAATCGATGCATCTAGCACTCAGTACCTCGGCTCTCGTACCGGCTTCTCATCAGCGTCTCGCTAATTAGGTTTGACTAAAGTACGACCCGGTACTTTACAGTTTGACCGTGCCCGTGAAGTCCGGCAAAACAGGCAAACGCCGTCTTGGCTTTTACCCTCATGAATCGACAATGTCGATCCACAAGATGCCACAGAATTGAGGAGCTACTTGAAACATCTGAACCTGGTTGACTGTATATTCGTCCGTCGTCGTGTGGGTAAACAGAACGCTCAATGCTGCCAGTTACCCCGTTTAAGAGGCTACCTAGCATACACGAGAAGCGAGAGAGGCGCTGCGAACTGGCTCGTTTCGGAAGCAGTTACAGGTCCCCAGAGACCGCTGCCAGTCGCTCAAAGGTGTCGCAACGATCCTTAACAGGATTCGTTGCCAATGGAGATTGATGAGAACTGACGTGAAATACTCATTGTCTTCGAGCACGCTGTCCAGTACTTTCCAGAGGCAAATCGGGGAGATGAACTCGTTTCTTTCAATGAATCCATCGCCAGTATTTCGAAAGATGGACAGGTGCCGCTCTTGTGAACACTGATTTCGAATCGTTACCAGACAGATATGGCTGGCCTAGGATCAACGAAAATGGCTATCGCATTCAAGAAGAGATCTCCGGGACTGAGCGACCCCTCAGAGTCATAGTTCTAGGAGCAGGAGCATCCGGTATCTACTTTTCCAAGTTTGCATCTGAGTCCTTGAACAACATCGACTGGATTTGTCACGATAACAACGCCGATATCGAAGGAACGTAGCTCGAGAATCGGTAAGCATGTTCTAAGCAACACACAGTATATGTTGGCGCCGAGACTCAAACTCGTAGATAACATGGCTGCGCCTGCGATATCCCCTCAGTGAGTTATCAGGTTTGTGGTGACTCCTCGGGTCCTATTTCGCATTGACCAGACACACCGACAATGACATATCACTAGTTCACCTGGACTCGTAAGCATATCTGGTCACACTTCTACTCCTACTCCAAAGACATCTGGGAGTACTGTCGAGATGTTTTTGACCGATTTGAGCTACAAAAATACATAAAGCTTAACGACAAATCATCCGTGCAAAGTGGAACGAAGAGTCAGGGCTGTGGGAGATACAAGTGAAAAAGCTTATAACGATTCGGTCTTCGTAGATCAAGCCGAATTTTTCATTAATAATGGAGGTGGAGTATTTCAATGAAGTCCGTCCAGAGCTTCAAAGTTGTTGCAATGGTACATAGAATAGAGAGTTAATGTGATTCAGGAATTAAAAGTGGCCTGGGATCGAGTGTCTACATAGTTTCAAAGGCTTTCTTACCATACAGCTAATTATATAGTGGGAACCGACGTAAATGACAGACGGGTGGCGGTCATTAGTATTGACAGTAGTAGTCAGGTCACGGCGAAGATTACCTCGAAAGTCCAAAAGTTGTATACCTGGGTCCGTTCACTAAATTAGACTATTTTCATCCGTAGGCAGAAGTATTAATGCTCTCAGGAGTTCCAGCTAGGGAACGGATTTCTAGAGGCGTTGACGCTTCCGAATGTGACAAAACGTCCTCTTGGTCTGAGAATGACTCATTCCTTGGGATAGATGAGACCAATTTTGCTTTCGTAGTTTGGAAGGAGATATTAGTACTATAGAATGAAAAGAAATTGAAATCCCACCGTGCATATTCGATATTTATTTCACGTAAAATACTGTCCGCCATCTACTAGGAGGTTTTGGCCTGTGATATTTCGCGATCTCGGACTGGCAAGGAAGCTGACCAACAAAGCTACATCCCCCGGCGTCAATCGCTGTTGTAATGCCATACGCGTTTGGACCGCCGTGTTGTACGTGCTACCCTTAGGTATGCCGTCCCTCTCCGCAACGCTGGCATCGATCTCCGCCCACATATCAGTCTCAACAGGGCCCGGGCAGTATGAATTGACGTTAATCTTGTGCTGCGCCAGTTCTAGGGCCGTCACCTGAGTGAGCCCTCGCACAGCCCATTTGCTCGCCGAGTACGCGACTCCTGACACGGTGGGCCTATGTCCAGCTGACGAACATGCGCCGATGATCTTCCCACCACTCCCCTGCGCGATCATTTGTCGCCCAGCTTCTCGATAGCATGTGAAAACTCCTCGGACATTGACCGCCATGACGCGATCCCACTCATGGATTGTCTGGTCGAATAGTTTCTTCGGAATTACGATGCCTGCGTTCGCTACCATGACGTTTAACTCTCCGAGCTCCTTTAGAGTCTTCGTTACCATCGCCTTGACTTCGTCTTCGTTACTCACGTCCGCTGGGATACAGATTGCCCGACGGCCTTTGCGCTCAATTTCTTCTTTCACATGGTCGAGCGCGGTTGATTGCGCCGCAATGTCGTTCACTGCGATGTCAAACCCGTCCACAGCCAATTGTAAGCAGATTGCTTTTCCAATACCTCGAGAGCCCCCAGTCACAATGGCGACAGGCATAATGGCCGGATAAGGGTGAGAAACGTAACACTCAAAGTTGTGATGATATCGATAACTTCTATACACGATACTCGTTCATTTCTTTACACAGCTCTCTGCATGGCGATCGGTGTCGGATGATTAAGACCATCACGCAGCGATCGAAGATATGCTTGGCGGTCTCCAACAAAGGAAAGCCAAGACCATACCTTTGTCAGAAGGACATTCCATGGCCACTGCATAGTCTTCTCCACGTGCTACCATGGGCTTGATGGTGGGTCGCAAGACGCCGTCTATAGAACCTTGAGGTTTGCTGGTGTCGCGAGTCACTAGGGGGCTCAGCCTCGCCGCCAAGACGGCATGTACCATGGTTCCTGTGCGAGTTCGCATTAGAAGTGGTTGGCAACATCTGGCCTCACTCTTTTGGATCTATGCAATATGTGTCTCGTTGGGCGGGAGCTTGGCAGATTTCATGCTCCAGTCGAGGTTCGGCTTAGAGATTGTCAGATTCAGATTCCCCAAACCGTAGTTCAGCCTTGCGCCAGCTATTGGTGACGCAACTTTCCTGAGCAGCATACAACAGCGAAGAGGCAATAGCCTTGCGGCCGATAACTGAATTTCAGAAAATTATACTCCATTGGAGTTCTACTGGACATAAATCGAATGATGACTGCGCCGGCATATGTTCCGCCAAAGGGCCTACATACCGCCATAGATGGCTTCCGCGTTCATCTAAGCAACAAGTACAACGTTCAGCTTGGTAAGTGCAATCCATGAATCTGATCTAGCAGTTTACAAAATTCATCTTCCTCCAGTCTTTGAATTGGGAGTTGACATGCTTAGGAAGGTAACTATGTCGACCTCCACCAATTCTCAGTAACTCGCATGAACGACTTCTGGATGACAGCATGGGAATTTCTGGGCGTTACAGCATCTTCGAGGCCGGAAAAGGTAGGTTTGAGTGAGTGCCAGGATGGTTCCTGGCGCAACTGGCTGAGGAATTCCGGCATTCATCCAGGCAATCGATGATGCCGCCCAGATCGATCAGTTTCCTTCATTCTTCGAAGGAGCGAGACTCAATTTTGCGGAGAACGTGCTCAGACGGAGGCGGAAAGGCACTGCGATCATCGAAATGAGGGAGGACAACCTGTTCAACCCAGACAGGTATTCTTGGATGGATTTAGAAGACACAGTGGAGAAATATGCCGATGCTCTAAAGTCCTCTGGGTTGCGAAAGGGAGAGGTTGTGGTGGGTAAGTCTTCAATTCCAATGCTTTCATAGAGTTTACAAGGACTGAAAGAGGTGCTACACAGTGGTGGGCAGCAACTGCGTGCGGTCACTTGCGCTACAACTCGCCACAGGTGCTCTTGGAGGCATGTTCGCTTCGTTTGCGACAGATATTGGTGAGAAAGCCTTAATCGACCGTCTCCAAATAGTCGAACCCCGCTTCCTATTTACTGAATCGGTTTACTCGTACAATGGGAAGAAAGTGGATATTAGAGGCAAGATATCCAGGGTCTATGATCAGCTCCAGCGAGGTTCATGTCAGCTGGTAGTTATCGGGCCTGCGTTGGAGTCGCAATCAGGGTGAGATTCAATCCCAGATATCGAATGCTTTACCGGTACATAGTAGTGACGGCTTGGGATAGGGTGTCACTCAAAACCTTCCTTATTCGAGCAACTAGAATTAGGCTCGTATTTGAGCAGCTGCCGTTCTCAACGCCATTCATCGTCATGTTTTCTTCAGGGACTACTGGAGCTCCCAAGGCCATCGTCCATTCTCATGGTGTAAGTAGGTCCCAGGTCACTATCCAAGACAATGGCGGTGCTAACCACAGTCTAGGGCCTGGTGATGAACGGGCTGAAAGAACATATTCTTCATCATGGCGTAGGTCCAGGAGATGTCCACTTTCATTACAGCGGAGTAAGGACTTCATCTACCATTCCGTGTTGCATATGAATGCCACCCTGACAACGCTTAGATTGGGTGGACTCTGTGGAATATCTCCCTTGGGTCTCTTCTTGCTGGGTCGACGCTGGTGCTGTACGATGGCAGCCCGTTCTTCCCTACCGCAGATAAATTCCTACAGGCGTTATTCAAGAATAAGTATGTGAGAAATGACATTGCATTAACGATGATTCAAGGCTGATCGGCATTGCCACACAGTATCACATCCTTCGGTGCTGGTCCGAGATACTTTGCGGAACTTCGTAAGCTGGACTTGGAACCAAGTAAATAGAATAACTCCGCCCACTGCTTTTTGTTGGCTGACTGACAATCTTTTTGTCTCAGAAATATTTTCAACTCATCTGCATACGATAGTGTCAACCGGCGCGTTGCTGCCTGTGCCACTCGCAACCTGGCTGACCCGGGCATTTGGCCCAGTATGTCAAATTAACATGTCTGGCGGCACGGAACTGTGCGGATCTTTCGTTCATGGCACGCGATCTTTACCCTCGTATCCGGGCGAGAGCTCTGTCATCGCCTTAGGACTGGACGTCGTTGCATTCTCGCCCGATGGGCTCGAATTGGAAGAAGGCCAAAGTGGAGAACTCGTCTGCCGGAGACCTTTTCCAAACATGCCTGTCATGCTCTTGAAAGATCCTCATCGCAAGCGATATGTCAGCTCTTATTTTTCAGGTTTCCCGCGTAAGTCGCATTAAGTCCTGACCAAGCTTAATTTAAGCAAGCAAAGGACTAACTGCGTGCCTTTGTTACCAGATGTGTGGACACATGGGGACTTCATGAAGATCAACCCGGAAACGAAAGGCGTTTACATCCTTGGAAGATCGTAAGACAGTATCTCTTTCGTGTCGCAATCACCCGGCTAACGTCGGCCACAGCGATGGAGTATTAAATCCCAGCGGCATTCGTTTTGGTAGTTCCGAAATCTACAATATACTCCTGAGCCCAAAGTTCACCCGGTCCGTCTCAGACGCCTGCGTCGTCGGGCAACAGAGGAACCAAGCGCCCTACTTTGACACGTCGGAGAGAGTTGTATTGTTTGTTAAATGCACGTCCAATGCACTGCTGAGCTCTGAATCTCCGCTTAAGCTACACCCGACACTTGAAAAACAAGTCCGTGAACAGATTACTAAAGATCTTAGTAGGCGGCACGTTCCCGCCTTTATCTTCACGGCGCCGGAGATCCCGTACAATGTGAATGGCAAGAAGCAGGAGATCCAAGTACGAGCTGTATTGTGTGGTGGCGAACAGGCTATGGCGAAGTTGCAGGTCACGGAAGAAGAGAGGAGAGTTCTGAAGTGGTTCTTACCATTTTACGCCATGGAACGAATTATTGCAGGCAGTGATGTCGTTTCTTCTAAGCTATGATAGACATGGCACCATTCTTCTCCGTTCGGCTCGTTTATGACATTCGTAGAGACCAAGGAGTTGAGCGACATCGACAAGAAGCAAGTATCAGTTATATGTTGATATAGAAATTTACGAAGTACTCGTCGCGATCGATTTGGTCGCCTCCAAATCAGCCTCCCGTTTGCCGTGATTTTCAAACACTCTCCTATAACAATCTGGTCCCAGCGGCACCCTCAGCACTTTCAATCCCTCGCCGAACCCAGTTTCCGTTCCTACCTCAACGATCCTCTCCGCAGCCTTGATAGGGTCCGAAAAATTGGAAGCATCAATGGACCCAAATTTGCCCAGCGTCTGCGCCACGGGACTGCTCTCACCCGCATACGCCTGGGATGGTGTGACAATCTGCATTGCGCTGCTACTGAAGAAGTTGGTGCGGAACGCGCCGGGCTGGATGACTATTCCGCGGATCCCAAGATGCCGAACTTCGTGTGATAATGATTCTGTCCAGGCCTCTAAGGCGACCTTACTTGCTGCGTATATCGCACACGTTGGCAATGGATCGCCGCCGGCCACGCTGGAGATGTTGATGATTGTGCCCGATCTTCGGGACCGCATAAGAGGAAGAATGGATTGTGTAGCTCGCACCGCGCCCCAGAAGTTCACCTCGAACTGGTCTTTTGCCTGGTGTTCAGGGATTTCTTCGGCCGCGCCGAGGATGCTGTACCCGGCGTTGTTGACCAAGAAGTCGATGCCGTCGAACTTGGCCCAGGCTTCATAGATGACTTTGTCTATGTCGGCTTTGGATGCGACGACATCTAAAGCTAGCCATGCCCCGTTCGGCTTGGACGCGACTTCTTCAATAAGGTCTGGAGTTTTGCTAGGGTTGCGTGAGGTTGCGATCACGCTGTGTCCCTGAGCTAGAAGATATCGAACTAATGCTAGTCCGAAACCCGAGGACGAACCTGTTATGAGCCAGCTTGGAGCCATGTTGTGAAGCCCTTCCGGAATACACAGAACCTTGTGATGAGGGAAGACGTACACCTGATATTGCAGCAACTCCTCACCGCGCTCTTATTGCTGCTGCAGTAATGCTGCAATATACCCTCGTAAAAACTTCTGCAGACAATGGCGTCGCCCCTTCTAAGAACAGGTCAACTAATTGATATTAAGTAATTACTGCACTAACGCATAAGCCTCGCCCGCATGAACGGTGCCACTGGGACTATCATAAAAGCTCATCCGATGTCTAACAGCAGTTTCAAATCCGAGTAGGCCTTCTGGCGGTGGAGGCGCGCAAGGAAGAAGGCGACTTGGCATCGTCCAGTGCTTGGATCCTCAGGCGACAGCCTGTCGTACCGCCCCATACAGACCGGAAACCATTCAGTGAAAGCTGCGATTCGCAGAACTATTTGCCTAAGTACTTGATCTAGATAAGGACGAATGAACAAAGCATGTTCGCAGGACAGGAAACTTTATCGACTGCGTATATGCGGTCCGACGTCAAATGACAGAGTGGGTCATGGGCCTGTATTCTGATTCCAATCTATACAGTTGCTGCGACCGGGCCAAACGAGACTCTCGAAATCTCTGGCATCCTACCGAGAAGCCAGCCCATACCCGCAAGCTGATCCTTGCGAGCCTGTGTACTGGCCGCGAGCATTGGAAAGAAACTCCAGTGGCCATGGGGTAGGCCTGGATATACATCCATCTTGGTCTCGACGCCAGATGCTTCTCTCAAAACTCGCTCGTAGATGATGCCATCGTCGCGGAGTGGATCCATCCCGTCAACTTGTAGATACACTGGCGGAAGGTGGCGATGACCCCTTGGATGGTTGAAGACGGCAAAGTTCACTGTATCCGTGGTGTCGGCTTTATAGGCACGCATGAACATGTCAAGAGCTGCCTTTGGGAGGATTGGGGCGTCCGCATTCTGCTGTCGAGCTACCCACAATGATCTGTACTTCTCCGGCATTGAATCATCGGGTAGGAGCAGAGGTATAGCTAGATATTGTCCCGTCAATGGGGGTGCCAGTCCCTCGTCTCTTGCAAGGTGCGCGAGAATCGCAGCTATATTTGCTCCTGCACTGCTTCCACCAACAATGAAGCCCACAGTCGTGTCAGCACTCCAGGATACCGCGTTCTCCGCACACCATTTCAAAGCATCCCAACAGTCGTTGAGCGCGTGTGGAAAACGGTAATCGGGCGCCAGGCGATAAGCGACAGCAACGCAGGTTGCGCCCAGTGCAAGCACGAAATTACGGCAGGTTTGCTCCTCACCTTCGGGAGAGCCAAAACAGAACCCGCCTCCGTGGATCATGACGATCAATGGACTCCCCTTCTCAGGAAATTCTGTCGGTTGGAGCAGTTTGGCTCGATTGTGGAAACCATCCCGAGTAGGGTATTGTAGTTCTGTGACTTTCACACCAGGAGGTGATGGTCCTAGTAGCCCTTTCGCTCTCTCACTATTTTTGGCATATAGTTCAGAAAAGTCTCGGAGGCTAGAATAGTCGAGGACGGGCAGAGGGTTCGCATCGAGTAACTAGGAAGCACGTCAAATCAACACGAGAGGAGGATCGCCATTGACAACGCAAACCTCTTTCAGCTCAGGGTCAATCTGTCCCAATTTCAATAGCGTGTTCATATCTGTGTAGTTCGTCATCTTGAGAAGGACACTCCGAAGACGCTTCGAAGGCAGATTCACATGCTCTGGTTCTTTCAGAGCACTTCGTCAAGGTAAAATTCCTCAGTGGATGAAGGCAGTAGTTGAATCGTCGTCGCGCTACTATCTTGGAGATTACTTTCAGCAACGTCATAAAGCTAGTTGCCTTCTAAAGACTGTCTCGGAAATAATCACGTTATCGACGACATCAACCTCTCCTAAATCATTCTCCACATGGCCTGGAAGCAATTGGGCGCCACGTGAAAGATCTTCGAGCCAGACTGCTCGAGTTGCCGACTCTGCTCGGCGAGCTCATCTGTCTGGCCGTGGAGGTCATGATCAAGACGCCGTCTCCTATGTCCACTGGGCCACAGATGGCCACGACTGTACGCGAAATACCTAGATAGCCGAAATCGAGGCAAGAGCACGAAATGCAGCGTCAGATGGCGCAAGTGATCCTGGAAACGTGCGATCTGAGGAAACCATGTCACGCATCAGGTTGTCACGATGAAAATTTGCAATGTAATTACTGGACTATTCTAATTTAACCCACTAATCCCGACGAGCTGACGGCAAAGGATAACCACCGAGTTCATTCACTATTGCTCGAAAACCAGAGAGAGCGTGCAGCAAGTCTTCCCCCATCCACGCTGACATCAGGTCTTTGAGCGTTAACTCCAGCTCTCGAACGAACTTTCCTGAGACCTTCCAATGTCAATAGAAGCGTGTGGAAAGAGAACAAGATTCCAACGTACCAGACAACAAGTACCTTTCCGAGCAGGATCCAGCGCTGCAAATGAGATTGCAGCAGCCACCTGGCCAACGGTGTTGCTTTCGACGCCGGCCTTCTCGAAATGATCGCCAAAACCAGCCGTGATGTGTGTGGGCGTGAAGCTGGGAGCAATGGCATTCACTCTAATATTGAGCTTTTCGGCCAAGGGCTGGGATGCTCTGAAAAGTCCAACAATGCCATGCTTCGATGCAACGTACGCAGTGTTGCCGCTAAAGCCAAAGTACCCTGATGTTGACGTGACAAGGACAATGGAGCCGACCCAGCCTTCCTCTGATGGTAAATTCTTGCTCATGTAGTGGATACCTAACCGTAGTGCTGCTATAGTGTCACTAACCAGGTACTTCCTACGATGCGCTGTATAGATGACTCACTGTTCAAAGTGCCCTTCAGATTGATGTCGAGGACAGTGTTACCTTCTCTTGACTCTATAGGGTCTCCCCTCTCATCGGTCTGCATGTCCAGGACAGTGCAACTTTCCATGATGCCTGCGTTGGCAACTACTATATCAATCCTACCAAAGATGTTGATGCCTTTCTTGAATGCATCGAGTAGCTGAGTCCAATCGCTTACGCTCGCCGGCGCAAAAATAGCACGCTCTGGAAATCGCAGTGATTGAATTAGGGATTCTGATTGCTGCTGCTGGGATTTCAGATCGGTAATGATGATATTGCAGCCATGCTCATTCAAGATCGAGGCGGTTTCCCCGCCAATCCCGCGTGACGCTCCAGTTATCAAGGCAGTTTTGCCTTGTGCACGCTCAAGAATTTCTCGAGCATGGGACATCTGATGCATCTTTCTTGCTGCTGACTATTAGCTTTGACAAAATTGGAACAGCAGCTTTTCGAAGGCTGGTAGAAAGACCCAAATTCTCTTTGGTCGGTGATATGCTTCACGCGAAATCAAGATAATTGTGGAGACCTGTGCATGGTGATTGGGACTGAGCTACGATATCCGATGTAGTCGCCTTTTGCGCGTACAATGGGAGGCATTCGCAAAATCCTGGCATCAGAACGTCCTATGCAGCTTCATTTTCCATGAGCACGGAGGCGGGCCACCCTATCTAGCATCGGAGGGGCTTCCAACTAGCGCTGACGTGCTTTCATCTCGCCTTGCAAGACATGCAGTATGTATGAATTTGGAAATGAATCACAAGAACTAGCAAATCCAAGAACGCCTTTCGCCAGGCGCCGTCTTGGCGGAGCAAAATATGGTACATTCACGCCGAGCTCGCTGGCACGTTTATTCGAAATGTCCCGTTTCAAGGACCCGGAAAGAGGGAGAGCATGTTCGAGTCCGAAGAGGCTTTCATTTGTGTAGAGGTGGGTGGTAAAAGATGTACAACCAAGAGAGACTCAAGTCTAGAAAAGCAACGAGATATCGAGCTGACAAGCTGACCTCCCTGAGGCTCCGGACTCACTGAGACACAATACCCAAGAACAACTCGATCTCTATATGGTTTCTGGTCTCAAGGTTTTTGATATGAATTCCTCAACTGCTTGGATGCTGTCCAACTCACCTCCCAGCTGATATAGTGATCTGGTCGCACCAACACCAGCCGACCCTTGCCTTTGTCCAAGCCGTACTTCTCGTAGGCATGTCCGTGGCCATGACGGTAGCTTAGATCGTCGGGGAATACCCGATGATAGTCGTACGCGTCTGTATTTCGCTGCGTGTAGAACGCCCTAGGCATATCTAGGAGCTCAACCTCCCTGCGAGCAGACGCGTGGACCAGGAGAGGAAGGATCGCCGCGTTGTTGAGCGGCGACTCGGATTCTAGTAACCTGTCTCCAATGGCCTGGGTGCGGCTCAGGGTTCTAATGTCCCGCGACGTCACGGCGCCAGAGAAGACGATCAATCGCCACAACCCGTCGGACTCGAGCACATCGCCAAGCTGTCGCGGAGTGGCACCACACTGGCAGACGACCTGGAAGGATGGAAATCGCATGCCTACCGTGAGTCCTACAAGATAGGCAGGCACTCCGACCCGGTGATTCTTGTCGGATGGGCACTCAGCGACGGCTAAACTCGGCTCGTACTTTAGCGAGATCTGCGAGGTGAACCTATTGCCTTGTTCCAGAGCCTCCCTTAACTCGCCGATAGAGATTCCCACGTCATCAGCAATGCCTTTGGCAGGCCGGCCCGAGAACAGGTGCGAGAACTTGGGATCAAAATCAACGAGCTGCAGCGCCAGCATCCTTCGTTCGGATTCGTACGTAGACAGTGGCGATCGGGATGCCGTCTTCTGAACCACGGCCCCGATCTTCCACACCAAATTGTACGTGTCTTGCATGCTGAAATTCTTGCCCTGTCCAGCTTTATGGGAATATGTATGAACGGCGTCCCCTGCGATGAACACGCAATCGTTGAGGCTATAGCGACTAGCCACCTTTTGGCCGATCTTCAATCCGGCACCTCACATATTAGCTCGAGAGCACAATGACAATCTTGGTTCCTCAAATGGTAAACGGTCCACCACTCGCAGTACTGGTATGAGATTTTGTAGGGGAGCAGGATCTTGCGGGCGGCGTCGAAGATCATGACTTCCGTCACCGCCGAGCGGTCGAACCTCTCTCCACGGGCGGGCCTGATGTCTGCGAGCTGTATGTAAAGGCGCACTAGCCCTTTCTCACGCGGAATCGCCATGATGGCCCCCGAAGACGCACTCTGGATGATGCAGCGGTTGCGAATGTCCACTGATAGGATGGATGCAATCAATCAGCTTTGCTCTTATTCGTACAAACAGAAAGAGAATATTAGAATCTCACGAAAGTCAGTGATAGGGACAATGTCCATGACTCCCCACACAGCCTCGGTCTGGTCGCCCTCCATTGCAAATCCAAGTCGGTTGCGGGTCCAAGAATGCGCACCGTCGCATCCAATCATGTATTTGCATTTGACCATGTTATCTGAGGCGGCAGTTCCGTTCATATGCTTGTTTGAAGGTAGACCGTGACAGGATAGCTGTCATCCACGTCTACCTGCGAAGCGTCGATCTCCAATTGAGTGGGTTCCGCCGGCCGCTGGATAATCACATGCTGACTAGTCAGGTGGATGTATTCGAGAAAACAGTCCTCAATATGACTCTGGTGGATGACACTCTGTTGGAATCTGCTGATTTCTGGGGTTGTGTCGACAGACCGATCAGTCCTGCGCACACGCCCGTCTGCATCTGGGTTCTGTAAATGTCAGTTAATTGATGGCAAGAAGATATAGTTATCCAAAACGCACCCAGAAACACACTTCCTGCAGTCTGTTTGCCTCGCGGTACAGTCGATGTCCGATACCAAAGCCATGCAGAATCTCCAAGGTGCGGCACTGAAGACCATCGGCGTGGCCGTGTTTAATCTTGTCCCCTCGCTTGTCAATCACAAGGGTTTTGAAATTGTACTTTGCAGCCCACGCGGCGCAGCCATGAGGCCACGGAAAGTCAGAAGAAGCAAAATCATGTGAGAAACCCAGAGATACTGACCCAGCAGGTCCTGCGCCGGCGATCAAAAGGTCTACCTCTCGTTCCATAACGTCTTGGTCAAGAGCTGTTGAATCATCAAGTTGGAAGCCACCTATCTGTGGTGTCGAGGTTTTTTCGGCATCATATAGAGAGTTTTGTTGCCTATCGGGATCGAAGGATAGGATAAGCCGTGAACTTGAGAAGAGACTCGTCCCCTTTCTTCTTCGAGGGCTAGTATGGGTTCTGCGGTGTCCGACGCCGGCAAGCCTGAGGCCGTCCACGCAGATCAGAGCATCTTACTGAGATTTCAGGCATGACGATGGGTTGCATGAAGGGATCAGTTGCATGAAGAATTTGCTGGTATGCGTGGGGAGGCAAAATCCGTGCCTGCTGGAACCATGGTACTAGAGAGCAAAGCAGTCTAGCCTCTAGTAAGAATATGGAGAATGAATTTCTCTACCATGATTGGAATGTAGTTGTAGAGAGTGTCAGGCATTACCAATGTCGTCTGTGAGAAGCTTACAAATCTGTGATATCGGGAACTAATGTCGAAGGATACATTCGCAAGGGCTAATCGTGGTTATACAGGTGTACCACCAGGAAATAAGGGCGTAGGCTCCAATACTACCATTATCATCCAATTACGCTTTACTTAACTATAATATGAAGCCGTCCAGGTCTTCCAAGCTCATATCAAAGGGAACGGTACTGAGCCAGTTCAAGTCGAAGGAGTCATCGATGAAAAGATCTGGCGCTCGACACGGGGAATCAAGGTGTACTACCGTCGACGAATGCGGTACGGAATAGTCCATTAGGCCTTCAGCGTATTGCAACGGTCCGTCCCTTTTTTCGAGGTCCATCGCAGCATATCTCGAGTTATATGCAGCATCGGCAGGGTCAAATCTCGGATAGGTCAAGGTTTTGTCACTCAACTCGAGAACTTTAAGGCAGCGCACCGCCGTTCGGCTGGTGGATGAGTATGCCCGCAGGATGCTGAAGCAGCTAGCCCACGCCTCATCGCTCTTGTGGCTAAGTTCGGGAAGGTAGTGACGCTGTATTAGCAGGATTAGGCCGCTAGTATAGGCGTCTAGATATTCAGTTGTGAGAAGAGGCCTGTATATCAGGTCAAAAGAAGGGCTTAACTTACAGAATATGGCATACCAGGAACCAGGCTGACATTCTGGCGCACTCCGTCGGACTCCATCCACCAGTAAGACCAATTCCACAGCAGCTTCTACACACAGTGTTGGGGCGGTATTCAAGAGCGTCGCGCTGATCCCGGACCCTATTGAATTAGGCGCAAGGTTAGTTTCGGGATTGTATCGGGCAACGTGGCATAGGAGTAATGGTCTGAAGGCTAGAATGCGGCCGAACAGGTACCTAGTTGTGGGTCAGCGAGAGAGAAGACGCGAGCGAGCCTTGAGGGGTCTCTTCGCTCACTGCATTCGAATGAGGACCGACTGCGCATCCACCACGACCTGTTCAAGTGCCGCCGTCATCGTTGCAGGCATCCTTAGCTCTGACGGCAAGCCCTGCTCCCAATTGGCAAGGGCAACTTCAAAGTCCAGAAAGTCTTGGAAGTTCCCGGTCTCAAATCGCTGTTTCATTGTCGTCGGTTTTCCAGCATCCCTGGACTTGGAGATTCCTAGATCATGGTCGTCGTCGCAGTCATACACGTTCTTCACCATGTGTTTCAAGATGACGCTGAGCTCGCCTAGACTTGACAAAAAAGATGTGGACTTTGAGTCGCCTCGAGACTGACCCAGAGTCGGTGGGCGGGGAATTGGAGCCGAGAATCCCACCATAGACGGTCTGCCGTAGATGGTGGACAGGTTTCTGCCGATGTTAGCGACTCATCAGTAGGGTAACAGCTAAGGTTGAACGCAGGCCGTTAACATACCGATCCATCACAACACAGCCGACCCAGATGCGCCATCGCAATCCATACGATTCATGCTCGGCTCCGTCCTGCTGGCGCTGTGCCCCGCAATGGAGTCCCAGCGTTTGGGACATTCGTACCGATATGCCGATGATATTCCAGCAGGCAGAAGTCATTTCCGTCGTGCTTTGGAGGTACAATCCCGTGTATAAAAACCCCTGAACCAGGGAAAGTCGCGGGACATTGAAAATGTCAAAGTCTAGCTCCATTAGTTGTTTGCACCGTCGCCAGTAGAGATCGCCCTTCTGGACCGAATAGCCGTCCAGCCCATCCCAGGAGCAGGCTAAAGCAAACATAGCATTGAGAAGGAGATGAAATCTGCGCGATTCGGGAATCGGGTCTACTCCCGACAAGTTCTGGTAGGGGAGGTTGGCTGTTCGAGATGTTGTGGAGGCTGGACTCCAGAGCTGACCATAAGATTTTTCAAAACTTGGCCGATCGATGAAGGGGTAGAGGGGATATATTCGGTCCCAAAATAATGCAAGTATCGAGTCAGCCTCGGGGCGGGCAGGAATCGCGTAATCTTCGATGATCTGCCTGCAGAGCGCGGGCTGAACGTCGTCAAACAAGTCGCCGTCGGGTCGAGCCAGAATATGCCTGACTTTGGCGGTGAAGCTGACAGTGCTTGAAGAGCCAAAGAAGCCCGTTTTCTCCGGCTCTATGTCGAACAGAGCAGATCCGCTGGATGCAATTGCCCCCATCCCATCTACACGTCCAGTCGACGTTCGCTGGTAGGGTGTCAGAATAGTAACTGTCAGAGGCAGGAGCCGAAGCCCGAAGGACTTACAGTTCCCAGGTCAAAAGGCGACTGCTGGCGCCGATGCTGAGTTCCGTCGCTGCCAACACTGCTTGTGTCTCTCGTTGCAATACTGGGCGAGTCTCCGGGGTGCGGTTCGCAGTGTTGCTCGGCTGCCCTTTCGACTTGCGTTTGGGCCGGACGAATCGTTACATCGTCGGAACCGCCTGACCCTTGACCTTCCAGGGCAGCAATGCGGCTCTCAAGGTATTCGATTTGTCTAGTGTTTGGACAAGGGGTGATTGGCATGAGAAAATAAACAATCAGGACAGTTGTTTACCTGGACACGCGCCTCTTTCGCACCGCCGACTTTTCGTAGACACACGAGGACCGTCTCCCCCGCTTGGAGCAGGTCCCACACAGAGGCCTCTTGCCGTCACATTTACGCTTGCTCATACGACAGCTTTCACATGCATGGAGGCTTTTCCTGCTCGACCAGGGCGGCTCTTGAAGTTCCGCGTTCATGGTTGGGATTTGCTTGATAGCAGGCTGTCGGGGTGGCATGTCCGCAGTGAATGAACGGCCGCTGGTTTATAGAGACACGGGCTGCGCAGGCGGCGCCGCAGCAATATATTCCCATCTACCCCGGTTGAAGCATCGGGGTTACCCCTCTTGATAATCGGATGCAGGAACAGGGTTTAGCGGGGTAACAAGGATGCCAACCGGACTTAGCGAACAGTCTCGCGATGTTTGGCGTAAATATATCCCTAGGCACATGTTGGACAGTGCAGACTGGATGAATGAATGCCTGGCTTTCAGGCGTGCCAAATGCGGGATGCGGCGTTTTCGGTCCGCAAGGCTTGGCATTGAAGGGGATGTACCAGTAACTAGTATAGCAACTCATGGACATCGTGGCATTGTGCGCAATACTATGTACAGGTACACGAGTCGGTAGCGCAAGAGACTGCGGAGGTGGCGGAGGTGGAGGCCGCAAGCATTGTGAAGCCAATGGACGAGTGTAGAGGACGACAAAGAGAGCACAGACGAATAAATGCCCAAAGGGTGTAGTCGTTGCCGTCCGTGTTGTGTGGGTTGTCAGGACAATAGACTCCTGTGTCAAGAATCGTCACCATGAACGGAACTCAAGATCAATATGTCCACCGATCTATTGACAGTCCCCACGGGCTTAAGGTGATCGTGGTGGGTGCTGGAATCTCTGGAATACTAAACGCGATCAAGCTTCCGCGCCTCGTCGAGAAACTGGATCTCGTCATCTATGAGGAAAATGGCGGACTCGGGGGCACGTGGCTCGAAAATCGCTATCCTGGCATCGCCTGTGGTACGTCTATCTCAACCTCATTGCTAGAGTTCGTTCCACTAAGCCGTGGGCAGACATTCCGGCTCACATGTATCAGCTGTCCTGGGATTCGAACGTGGCATGGTCGCACTACTACGCCTCTGGGCACGAGATTCTTGACTACTGGCGGCGTGTAGCGCAGAAGTACGATGTTGAAAAATACATGAAGTTCTCTAGCCGCGTTAAAGAAGCTCGATGGGTTGCCAGAGAAGCCCAGTGGGTTGTGACCATCGAAGATGTCGCAACGGGGCAGGTCGTGCAGGACCGTTCTGATGCCCTTATCACTGCCTATGGAGCCCTCAATTCCTGGGATTGGCCGCAAATCCCGGGACTCGCAAAATTCAAGGGAAGCTTGATGCACAGCGCCAAATGGGACGAAAGCTTTGATCTCGATGTCAGCGCACCACCGTTCGTCTCTATCACAAGAACAAGCTGACTGTGTCTAGGGCAAGACCGTTGCCGTGATCGGGGCTGGCTCCAGTGGCATCCAAATAGTCCCTAGCATTCAACCCAAGGTGCGCCGAATCGACCACTACGTTCGAGGTCGGACGTGGATTGCATCTCCCATGGCGTCACAAGAGCTAGAAAGACGAGGCGTCCGAGAAGGCAACTTTACATACCCGCTGGAGGAGATTGCAAAGTGGAAATCTGATCCTCAGGCGTATCTAAGCTACCGAAAGCAGATTGAGACGTTTGCGCAAAGTGGCCACGAGATCACCCTCCGCGGCTCTCAGGCACAAGCTATTGCACGGGCGCACTTTACCAATCTTATGACGGAACGTCTCTGCAAGAAACCCGAGTTGCTGCCCCATTTCCTACCGTCATTCTCCCCTCTGTGCCGGCGCCTAACCCCCGGGCCTGGTTATCTCGAGGCATTGACGGAAGAGAATGTCGAAGTGGTGGTAAGTCCTATTTCCAAAGTGAACGAGACTGGCATCGTCACCAGCGACGGCAAACAACGTGACGTGGATGCTATTGTCTGTGCCACGGGCTTCAATGCGACTTTCGCCAACATCGTCCCCATCTACGGAGTCAACGGGAAGCAGCTGTTTGATCGGCCGGACGGAACACGCCCACGAACAGCCAACTACCTGTCGATTGGAGTGGACGGATTTCCCAATATGTTTATTATCCTGGGGCCAAACTCTGCTGTCGGCGCCGGCAACCTCCTCATGATCATGGAACGCGCCGTTGACTACACAGCCCGGGCTCTGCGAAAGATGCAGCTCGAAAATATACTGACCATGCAACCGTCAGTGCATGCAGTCAACAACTTCACCAAGTTTGTCGACGTCCATCACCACCGCACCGTTTATGGCGAAGATTGCACTTCGTGGTACAAGGCAGACGGCCGAGTCACTGCTTTGTGGCCAGGCTCGAGTCTCCACGCAATTAAGGCGCTGGAGAATCCGAGATGGGAAGACTTTACCTATGTATACCGTGATGAGAATGAAACGGGCTGGTTGGGAGACGGGTCGACCCTGGCAGATTGGAATCCTGAGGGAGACAAAAGCTATTATCTGACTTCTGCAGAATTGATCACCGATGCTCCAAAGAGCGTGTGATGTTAGCTTTCATCCTTTCCTTAGCTGCTAGATACTGAAGGTGCTCCTAGCACGTATAGAACAAATTGATTGCAATCGTTGCCTCGTCATCAATGTGAGCGCTGCTTAACTAAATTCACTCCCGAGGCTTCAGTCAGGTGGCAAAAACGCCTACAACTTTCAATGGAAGGCGGTGCCCAAGCATGCTTAATTCGACACTATTTGACCATTAAACTTGTAATAGAATTGCAACAGAGCTTGTCATGATTTAGGTTGTGGAGTTAGCAACCACCTCTGGAAACTTGGTCTTCAATGCTGGGAAGAGCTCGAATGCATTCTTCCAAGCAATCCTTTCGCGGTCCCACTCTGTAAACCCATGATATGATTCCAACGCTGCCTGTGCAATGGGGACGGCGCTTGCAGGCATGTACGGAACTGGAAAACGTCAGCTCAGGGGTTGTATTTTAAAAGATAGATAATGTTGCTTACAGTCTGAGCCGGTCACTATCTTGTCGTCCCCCACAAACTCCTTGAGAGCGGCAAACTGTGCGTTGCCCAAGGTAACGGCAGTGTCGTAGTAGTAGCCTTGCAGCTCGGAGTAAGAACCTTCGAAATCTCTCCCTCCGTGCCATGGTAGGGTAGACTGTAGAGCTAAACGAGACGCTAGAAATGGGACTGTTCCTCCCGCGTGGCTCCAGATAATCTTCATGTTGGGGTATCTGAGCCGTGTTTGTTTGAACAGCATGTTGGCGATCGCCCGGGTGGTGTCGAATGGATACTCGATCACAGGTAGCGACATGTTGTCTAGCGCAGGAGATTCAGTCGGTCCAGCGGGATGAACAAAGACGGTGGCATTGCGGCGATCCAATTCTGCCATTATGGGGTCAAACAACGAGTCGCCTAGGTACACACCGTCGACGTTGGTGTAGAGACCGATCCCGTCAAACCCGAGCTCGTCCAAACAGTAAGCGATCTCTGCCAGCGAGGCGTTGATGTCAGGAAGAGGCAGGATACCGAACGCACCGAGCCGCTTGGGATGTTGTCCCATCCAACCCGACATTTCATCGTTGAGCTCGCGGGCCAACGTCCTGGCCCGCGCATTGCCTCGCAGAAATGACAGGCCGGGGGCGGTGATGCTGAGGATGGAGTAGTTATATCCAAACGCAGTACAGTCTTCTAGGTATCCGTCGAGCGTCCATTCTGGGGTGCGGAATCCGTCAACAAACAAATCGCTCGCGTTACTGCTTCCATAGCCAGCGCCAAGGAGAGCTCGTCGATAGCTTTCTGGGACGGGATGAGTGTGAACATCAACAGTGAACGAGGAGCCTCCCATGATCAGGATGGCTAGAGCCAGACAATGTAGCTTCATTTTCGCGCAACCAACATCATTCTTTTGTGGCCACAGCTTTGGAAGTCCGCATAAATACCCCTTTCTTTTACGAGCGACCATTGCGGCCCCCAGGCCCCCAAGCGGGGGTTGCGGTCTCCGTGGTCCGCAGACCACACGACGTCCGCAGCAGCGCCTAAGAGTGAGGGCTAATACATCCCGCACCCCGGAGTATGAAAGACAGAGACTATATTAATATACCTGGGGTTCTATTAATGCTAGGACTCTGGGGTTAAACAAGGCCCGGGTAAATCCCTTGTGGTAATACGCAATGCTGTCCACCTCAGTTATCGCTGCTGGAGAAGTCGGTCTTCGAGGTATTGTGGTGGTGCTGTTGGCGCCTCCAGTTCTGCTCTTTGGTTTCTTGCTCGTCCTCCTTAGACCAGTGGACAAAGGCCGGGGGAGGAAGTGGAGGCTGCCGCGTGGTCCGCGAGGATGGCCTTTAATTGGCAATCTGTTTCTATACCTTGAAGGAGAGGTAGCAGTGAGTGGACCTCTGCATAAGTTGAGACTGGGCCATACTGATGATTGCGTAGGGGCACAAGATTGCGACATATGGGGAGATGACAACAACTCACCTGGGATCTAAGCTCTGGGTTGTCCTCAACAGCAACCGTCTGGTCGCTGAGCTCTATGGCCGGAAGGGCAGCATGACCAACGGCCGGCCACACTATCCTATGGTAGGCGAACTCATCAGTCAAAACAGACGATCCGTGTTGCTGCCACAGAATGGCTGGACGGACCGTCGACGTGTAATGCATCAGCTGCTGAATGGCACGGCCCTCACCCGCTACCAGGAGTACCAGGACGAGGAAAGCAGGCAGCTGATGGTGAACTACCTCAACGATCCCCAGCATTGGTATCTGCACAACGGCACGTACTCCAACACGGTCATCCATCGTATCACGTTCGGGCAGAAGCCATCAGCCTCACCCGAGGAAATGGCCGAGGTCACCAAGGCGCAATTTGCGTTCCTCATGAACGCTCCTCCTTACAATTTCTGGGACTGTTTCCCTGAACTGGCACGGCTCCCCAACGCCGTGCAATTTTGGCGCTCTAAGTTTGCCGCTATGGGACGACACACCATGGAGGCCTACTCTGCATACTGGGCTCCACTCAGGCAAAGCATGGAGAAAGAGGACGCGGCCCAGTCGTTCGCCCGCGACCTTGTTCTGGATGAGGCCAAGTTTCAGGGAAGCAGCACTGACAAGATGTTCCTCGCCATGCAACTCATAGAGGCCGGCAGCGACACCACCCGGCTTGGGATCAACATCTTCATCCTCGCCGCCATTTCGCACCCGGACAAGTTCCAAAAGGCGCGCGACCAAATCGACAGCTTGTGTGGCGGCGGTGACCAAAAACGCCTCCCAAAATTTTGGGACGAGCCAGACTTGCCGTACATCAACGCCTTCGCTAAGGAGATGTTGCGCTGGCGTCGCATCTTCGACTGGACTCCCGAGCACACACTGACCGAGGACCTCGTCTTTGAAGACTATCACTTTCCCAAGGGCACTAACTTCATCATCAACCACGTCAGTATTGCCAATGACAAGACTCTGTATCCCAACCCGCAAGAATTCCAGCCAGAGCGCTGGCTCGATGGACGTGAGGCCGAGATCTGGAATGGGAGCTGGCAATTTGGCCATGGACGTCGCATTTGCGTGGGCTATCGACTGGCCCAAAAGAGTCTATTCATCACCTTGGCCAGGCTGATCTATTGTTTCGATTTCCAGCCGGTACGTCCCTTTCCGCCCTTTCTAGTAGTTCCTGTCACTTTTGTAGGCTGCAGGTACTAAATTGAAGCAGAGAGGCCCATTCGACAACTCGTCCATCAATCACTTCGCCACAGGAGAGCCATTCCCGGTCAATGTACGAGTCAGAGGAGAGGAGTATGCAAATTTGATCATGGACTCACATAGAAAACAATGAAATTATCACGAATTATGTCAGTGGAACACGCATCATATTTGCTTCGCCTCTGCCTCTTTCAGCAAACACAGTCGTGAGCAGGCTGATACGCTATGAGTTGATTGATTCGAAAATTTGCCGGAGTGAATACCCTGCCGTTCTCGCTCTTGGGCCTTCAGAATCTCTTCAGAATGAGGATCAACATTTTGATCTCCATCCGATATGTAGAATGAATACAGGACGTGCGTCCGTGACAGTCAATACTTCTTCCCCCCGTTCTCTTCTGACAAGTACAGTATACATTTATTGCGCTGTTGAAACGTTAGTGGCTGCCTGCCGCCTCCCACGGGCACGCCCCATCCACCGCTTCATCCCAAATCTCCCACATCTCACCTTCGGCATTGTCGTCATGCCCGCCGGATTGCACACCCATACCCGCGCCTATTTTCACTACGTCATCTGGAACCTGTGCCAGTCTCTCCGCTTTTGTGGCTCTAGACGTTGGCGCCAGTCTCCGCCGCCGGCTGAACTTCATCATTCGCTGCGCCGTTTCTCTAACCTGGTGCGTCTCGGACCCTGCGCCGGGTGTCTCTACTATCCAGATCATGTATACACGTTTACGATCAGGGATGTCGCTCGGAAGCAGCACCTCTGCAGGTGTTAGCACGGCTTTGAAAGGTTTGCGTCCTTCCTCGATTTCGACTAGGCGCGCGGCGACGCGTGCCTCAAAATCGCCTTGAAAGGGGCCTTCAATGCCGGCCTGGCGTAGGAGATGGATTGCCCGCCGGCGTGAGACGGAGTCGCGGTATTTGCGGGCGGTAAAGCAGAGAGGGTGGATGATGCCGGGGACGGGCGAGTAGGCAAGAAGGGACCGGGAAGTGGCAGCCTGACTGGCCGGGGCATTCGGGCTAAGGACGGCCTCAGCGCAGCGGATGATTTCTTCAAACTCTGGGGCATAGGTATCGTAAGTAACTTGAGTGGGAGGCTTGACGTTGGAGACGGCAATGTACATAATGAGTGTTTGGGCTTTGAGGATTCTAAAGCGGGGTGTCTGTGCGTGGAATGGCTGTGAACTCTGGTTATCGAATAGTAAGGTGTAAGTGCGAAGCCAGCGCTTCAGCCAAGCGACGAGGTAGACTTGCTGTGCTATAAGCGCTGCTGGGAAATCGATTCGTTCCTCCCATTCTGGCTCCAATGCCTTAGCAATGAAGTGCACACACCATTGTTGAAGAACAGGGCGTCCTGTAACGAGATCTTCCATGGAGGCAGGGTAAAGCATCTGATTAGTGACTGGTAAGCGAGGGAATCGAGGCTTTCTACCCCAAGCAAACATGGAAATATGGTAGTCCAGAGTGTAGAAGACATCTTGGATTGGATTAAGACCTTCAACGATGGTATTACAAGTCAACGGCCCTACTGAAGTGCTGGGCCATGTCTTCAGAGACACCTCATTCTGTAGGTCGATCATGCTAAATGCTCCAAGGAGGTGACGTACTGCATCCTTTTGCTTGTGCTGGATGCTCTCAGCAGCGGCTAGGAGCATAGCGGTCACCAGCAATGGTACGACCTCGGGCTGTGGCCGCTGAAGCTCATCTCGCACTTGTCGGAGCGCATTCAAATAAAGCCTGGTGATGAGCTGGTGATCCTGGCGATGGGTCTGGTGAAGAACACACTTATCATACGCGGCACCCAGAGTTCCAGCGGCGGCATTGACATACGGCCTAGTGGCGGCGAGTTGAGGGAGGAGCACAAAGGAGAATTCCGCGCTAGCCTTGCTGTGGAGTTGATAGGGGTCATGTGAGAAGAGAGATAGAGTCAATTGAGCCATGTTCTGCTGGTCAGGTCGATGCCAAGGAGGGACGCTGACTGGTTCAAGAAGGGTCAGTTGCTGTTGTTGCTGGTGGCCGTCAAGTCTGCTACGCAATACCCGCTCGTAGCCAGTACAAGTTCGTCCAGACCTAGAGCATCTAAGGCATGTTGGGAGGCTCTCGTCGCACTTGACTTTGCGCTGCCTGGCATGCGGTCAGCCGGCGCGCTGGGCAATGTTGTGCCTGACACTTTACTCACTTACAGGTCCGACAGCCAAACCTGGATTGCTTCTGGTCCAGAATCCGAATCCGCTTGAGTGAGGCAGTTTTGACATTGTGACTAGTACTGTCCATAGCCGCCATCACGAAACTGAGTTCTCGAGGATGTGCCGCAAAGACCGACGCATCTCTGAGACGTGGATGGATTAGTGGTGGCAGATGGTTGATTTTGTGGCTCGAGAGTCGAGACTGATGGAGCGAAGGAACCATTGCTCACAACACATAGGAGCACGGTCGACCAGACATTGTCTATCTCATCGTGGGTCTGTCATATTGCCTAAATGGACCCAGAACCTGAGCCAGCCACATGGTGCCGCCTGGCCAATTAATAGATAGGCATCCGCCATTCCTTGTGAGTCGGACATGCTTTGTATGAGGACGGGTTTGATCCAAGTTAATTATGAGACGCCGGTTACCGGGGTAGGTGCAAACTAGGTCGGGGCTAATGAATACTCTAGTACTAACATGGCTAGGCTCGGTCTTTGCCTTGGCGGCATCGCTGCTTCTCTGCTTGCCTTTGTTTTGCCGATGTCGCTGGCTTTATCTTCGTGATAGTTGCAATGGAGGAGGACCACAACTGTCTACATGATTATTCCCCACCTCTGGCATATCCGTTGGCGCACATCTATGTCGGTACTGTCTGGTGGGGTTTCCAGACGATATGCGGAGGCAGTGCAAGGCTCGACCTCCACCTTAGTCTCGGTCTTTGCCTTTACACCATGCACGGCCGCAGAGATTCCACTCCGTGTTAGGACACCTTAATGAAATCAAGTTCATTTACCTAATCGCTGTTGTGGATACTCTGACACCTAATGCGAAGCATATCGGTGGAGCTATAAAGATATCTTCGGGCCAGGCCGCTAGTTATTAGTTGGATGCAACTCCCTTCTTCAAAGGTCATTGAGGGCGGTCTCTCCTGTTCTTATGCCTTTGGCCTTCGTCTTCCGGTAGCCTCATCTTCTTTGTGCAACCAGCAACCTTGTATTCTCCTTCGTCTTTTGCATACCCTCTCGACTAATCTCAGCAGCGATGGCCGACAACAGCAATGTCCCAATACGACCCTATAACTGTGCGGAGTATCAAGAGTGCCTAACGGCGTGGGGTTATCTAGACTACCTGCCCAATGTGCCAGCCAACGCTGTGTTTGTGGCCATCTTCACTATTGCTACAGCTGCCCAAGCTATACTGGCATGGCGTCACCGCACTTGGGGTTACTCGATAGCCATGCTGATCGGCACCATCCTCGAAGTTGTCGGCTACGGCGGTCGCATTGGATTGCACTACAATGTCTTCATCAACACATGGTTTATCATGTATCTCTGCTGCCTGACTATAGCCCCTGCGCTTTTCACCGCAGCTATATACCTATCCTTGTCACGCATCCTCGCTATCTATGGGGAAACACTCAGCTTCATCAGAGGCCGCAGCATAACTCTCACCTTCATTTCTTGTGACCTCATCTCCCTGGTCCTCCAAGCAGTTGGTGGAGCATTGGCCTCGACAGCTATCACCATAGAAACACGTGACATTGGCGTTAACATCATGATCGCTGGCTTGAGCGCGCAAGTGGCTGCCACAACAGGCTTCTCTCTGGTCTGCCTGCACATTATGTGGAACGTCCGCAAGCATCCCGAGCGGGTCAACGTCGAGCATGAGGGGTTCAGGCGAGGAAAACGCTTCCGTGCTTTCATCTGGGGTTTGTAGCCATCTTATCCTTCCCCCCTGTCCTTCCTCTTCCCTATCTTTTCCTCAATATTCGAGTCTAGTTCGTTCAATTCCACACTGACAAAGAATGGTTGATCAGCAATTGTCATCGCCATCACCACAATCCTGATACGTTGCTCCTTCCGTGTCGCTGAATTGAGTGAAGGCTTCAAGGGCGAACTCGCTAATAACGAGGTACTCTACATGATCTTCGAAGCTGCCATGATGTCCATCTGCGTGTTTGTGCTGACGATTGCACACCCGGGTCTGACGCTGGGCGCGCATTGGAATAGAGGCAAGTTTCACTGGAACCAGAAGCAAAAACGAGAAGTCAAGAAATAGCATCCACATCATCATCTCCAACCGGCAGCCGTCGTGGGAGCTGAAGCAGAGAGTGGCGAGCAGTCAAGCGGAGGGTCTTCGGAGCATGGTGGCACGGATAAGGACATGAGTTTGGGCAGCGAGCCGCGTTGGGTGTCTCAATTTGGATGGCTGCACGGCACGGAACTCAGAAGGATGTCTCTTCGCACTTGCTGCGTGATTTTACATTGAAGCTATTGCAATGGAAAGGGAATCGGTCAGTTGACATCATGCAGGGCATATTAAGATCGATCGAGATATTGGTGGTGGGCGTACTGAATACTGATAGAAGCTATCTCGACTTTCCGATCTTCTGCGACAACGTTCGGTGCGCCCAGACACGGAGTAAAATGGCTCTAGTGCGAATCTTGCTCCTCGTGGTAGAATATCATATTGATGACACTTCATATCTAGAAGCTAACATTATGAGTCAAGTAATACTTGTCGTTCCAGGAATTGGACCATTCAAAATCAATATTTCAGGACCTTGAACACAGCCTCACTAATTGACAGTCATCAGAGAGATAGAAGTTATACCGTCGAAGACCCGTGACAACGGGGCAAGGATGCGGGATCAGCAATTCGGACTGTAGCCGAACACGAGCCATTTTCATGCTCTCTAAGGTCTATACAACAATTAGCTGTTTTTTTTATAGGGCCTGGGCTGCTGCATCCTGGTAGTTGGCAATCTTAGGGACCTGGAATACACGTCCGTCCTTGATCATGTAGTATCGATAGCCACTTCCAAGCGCACGGACTCTGAGTAGGCTGGTTCTCGTTCCAGGTTAGTTGTCTTCTTAGAAAGGGCACTGGTACGGTGAAGCATACGAGTGCCAAGGCCCGCCGAACGCATGGAATCATGTGACGAGGCTCTTGTCACGTGCCTAGCCTAAGAAACGTGCAGCACCCCCAGGATCCGAGGCAGGCGATGATGCGTTCCAAGGATCAAAAGAGTTGGCATTGAAATTCATGGTGATTTGGCTTCAAACCCTGAAAGACTCTGACTGCTCCAGAGCTTGGTGCCAACAGGGGCTCGGCGATCATTTTCAATTAGTTTTCATTCCAAGCTGCTGCTTATTCACGGGACCGATTATCGTCGCTCAGCCTTGTTGACGCGCTATGAGGCTCTACTAAAGCACTTCTTGTTTCAGCACAAATCTTGGTGAAGTAGAGGATACACCTTCATCAATCACAGTACAGCAACACTATTGATTCCTCCATGTCAGCCAGCGACAAACATGCGGCCATGGAAACAAATAAGCAAGCCGTTTCGTCGGAAACCACTCCCAACCTCATAGACCTGGAGCCTGCAGATACCCCTAAGTCGACTGAGGTTGAGGTCGAGGGCGAGGGCGCGGCACCGACTACGACTGAGGCTTCTGGTAAGCACAAGGAATTATCCTCTGTGCCATCACAAGCCGAGGACGACAACACCAGAAAACCCGAATCTAACTATGTCTCACGGCCAAAGGCGCTTCCATCCACTCCTCCTCCACCTGAGCCTCCTGCGCAGCACGAGAAACCATACCATGACCCTACACCTAAGACTCCTATCGTCTCTCGCCATCCCTCAGTTCGAGGAGCTGAAGAAGGAGAAGAAGAGTTTAACGAGGAGGGTCCTGCCTACAACCAAGATGTGTCGGAGCGGATGACCTATCGCAAATCAGAGAAAGAGAATGATCTCGAGTCAGCCTCGGAAATCCAGAGCATTATGGAACAGTTTGCAGACGCTTCCATTGCGCCGTCTAAAGAAGAAATCATGTCCCCTCGCCACGAGATGCCTGGTCCCATCCTAACTACGGGGGCCGGATTTCCACCAAGGAGATCTAGCCTCGAGCACCTGAGATCAAGGGATATGGATACAATAGCTACATCGCCGATAGCGACCACTTCTTCCAGCGAGAAACCTCTACCATCACCTCCCTCGATATCTCTCGATGACCAAAGGCCACTTCAATCCCCACCTCAAGGGCCGACCACAGCTGCCACCGCTCACGCACTTCCGCTGCCAGAACCCGACCCTGAACTTCCCTTTGACTTTCACCGCTTCCTTGATCAGCTACGGCATAAATCTGCCGATCCAGTGGCCAAATTTCTTCGTTCCTTTTTGACCGAGTTCGGCAAGAAGCAGTGGATGGTGCATGAGCAGGTCAAGATCATCGGTGACTTCTTGGCCTTTATAACCAACAAGATGGCCCTATGCGACGTCTGGCGCGAGGTCTCGGACAACGAGTTTGACAATGCGAAGGAGGGTATGGAGAAGCTGGTCATGAACAGATTATACTCGCAAACCTTTTCGCCAGCCATCCAGCCGCCACAACCTTCGAGATCACGTTCGAGAGGGCGGAGGAAAGAACAGCAGGAGAAGAATCAGCCCGCGTGGAGGAAAGGCCAGCATCAGGAAGACGTCGAAAGGGATGAAATCCTTGCGCAAAAGATCCGCATTTACAGCTGGGTTCGCGAGGAGCATCTTGATCTGGTGCCCGTCGGACCCAATGGTGAGCGGTTCCTGCGTCTTGCCCAACAGGAATTGTTGAAGATCAAAGGTTACCGAGCCCCGAGGGACAAGGTTATCTGTGTCCTGAACTGCTGCAAGGTCATCTTCGGCCTCCTGAAGAATGCAAAGAGCTCCGACACATCAGCTGATTCATTTGTGCCTTTGTTGATCTTTGTGGTATTACAGGCCAATCCAGAGAATCTGGTATCGAACATTCAATATATTCTACGATTTCGAAACCAAGACAAACTTGGAGGCGAGGCTGGCTACTACCTGTCGTCCCTTTCAGGGGCTATACAATTCATTGAAAATCTGGACCGCACCACCTTGACAGTGTCGGATGAAGATTTCGAGCGCAACGTTGAACGCGCAGTGTCTGAGATTGCTGCGCAGAATCGTAAGGTGGAAGAGGCGGTGAGCCCACGCTCATCATTCCAGGAGAAATCTACATTGGTGGAACCAGAACTCACACCAAGAAATTCCATGGATGTGACTTCCACCAGTCCCATACGAAGAGATCCGCGAGGTATGGCAGGCGGCTCCGAGGGCGGCTCCGACGACAGTGTGGTAGGCCTCCTACGGACGATCCAACGACCTCTATCCACAATCGGACGTATCTTTTCCGACCAAGAAACATCGCAAGAAAGGCGACCAACCTCAAGCCCAGCACCTCCTTTGAATGCAGCGAGACTGAGCTCTGCGGTCTTCCAGCCCCCGCGCGGCGAGGCTGGCACGCCCTCTTATGATGCACAAGAAGCGGCCGCACGGCAAGCCAGTGCTGAGCTGGCGGAAGCGAGACGCATACAACGCGCCGAGCACAAGACTGTGGTGGAGACGTTATGTGGGATGTTCCCAAACCTCGATAGGGAGGTCATCGATGATGTGGTACGCCAGAAAGAAGGTCGGGTTGGGCTTGCAGTTGATGCATGCTTAGCTTTGACCGCCGGAGGCTAGTTAAGCTGTTGGGCGCTTTTGTGCATAACAACTTCTTTGCAGAACTTCTCTTCCTGTGGAGATCGCAGGCTACAGCCATGATTCTAGTCTCGCAGTACCACAACAACTTTCCATGAGGCAGCAAAATGTGCCCATAGTCTAGACCAGGGAGCATTGGTATTCGCTTGCTATCTTGACTCCTCGTAGTGTGCATCGCTCTGGGGATATCCAGAATAGTGGCGCTGTTACATTTTGGCTCATCTACGGAGCACAAGCAATTCAACTGGGCAGTATGACCCGTAGAAAGCGGCTAAGCCAGAACACAACGGGGGCAAATTGAGTACGAGGAATGTTTTGAAGGGGATCACATCCTAGAAGCGTCGTTGTCGGGAGGACAAGCCTAAGGCAGTAGCGTAGAAGCAGAATCACGAAACTGTGAGGCATTGAGATGGAGAAGAATACAAACCCTGCTTTCGCCAGCACCTGTCGTTTCCTCTCCCTCGGTCAAAACAATCATTTTATTCAGTGGGTAGACCATTGTCTGGAAGTGAACATGCCCTGCCAGTTGAGGAGCCATGAGCCATATTCAATCGGTGAGCCTCGTCCATCAGCCAGTCTGCAAACGCCCAGGACCCATGTTCTGACCACGCGTCTGTGTCAGCGACGATCAGGGACGACAAGCCACACTGCCTTGGTCGGCGAGTATCGACTTTGAATCTCGCGACCATGAGACGGACATCACAGCGCCGGAATTCGAGCCCTCCGAGTCGCCTGAGCCTGGCCGAGTCGCCCATCATAACCTGCCTCATCCATACCCATTGCGGGATATCATCTCACGACAACAGCCGCGATCAAGATTTTGGTGTTGGTGCTGAGCTTCGCGCACGTGCAAGCAATTCTCAATTCCAAGCAACGGATGAACGTAAACCAGCTCCGAGATCTCCGACCCCATGAGAGTACGACATAGGTAGTAGTTGCAAAACAAAGACTCAGGTTCGCTGAGAGACTTTTCGCCGACCCAGATAGACTTCTACCCTCATGTGACTCGGAAATACCGGGCGACCCACCACGAAGAAAGACATGGCCGGAATACAGTACAATGAAACGGAAATTCGGGTTTTCGGGTTTTCCGGAGATGTCGGTTTTGGAAGTTCAAGTTTGTCAAGAGTCATGCGGTCGTGTTACAACTTACAGATGCTTGTGGCTGTGGACGCTGTGGAGTAAGAGCAGGGCAGATGCAAGGTGGACAGAAGGAAACAGAGGGAATGTGCGAGAGGAAGCAACAGAACGAAAGACTGTTGTTGTTGTTGTTGTTGTTGTTGTTGTTGTTGTTGTTGTTGTCGTGGTGTTCTATCTCCTGACTTTGATGGTCAGGTACGAAATGCTTCTCGCGACTAGTGGGAAGGAAGACTTTCGAATAATTATTGAATTTGGCGACGCTCTTACGAATTATTGCGACTGGAAATTGGATGCCTTGCACGATTCAACAGCCATGTCCTCCGGTCTCCAGTGGCACTATGTAGGACTACATGAGGGAGCAGTGAAGATCTCAGCTCTATAGAACATCCATCCATTCCATTCATTCGTCCCATCCCATCCTATCCAGGGCAAGCTCGCTGAAGTCTCCGTACTTGTACTCGCAATTTGCTGGTGGAGGCCCGGGGACCCTCTCTCAGACCGCGCGCGGCCTCGGACGGTGAACTTCCATATTCGGTCGATTTCGACATGGGTAACAGGGGTCATCGGATCCGACCCTTTTCTTAGTGCTCCATGGGATCGGGAAAGTCTATCTCTCCTACTGGGACGGGAAAACACGGCAGCCGCGGTGAGTGAGGACAAGGGAATTCAGAGAGTGACAGCCTTACGAGGGACACGAGCTGAAGTGGTGGCTCACGGCTCACCAGCTGTATTACTGATGGCCAAAATTGTGACGGTTTCTGGTACCGGTGACCATTTATTATAGAGGACTACCTTGTACTTAGGATATACGATCTGGAGTACTCAATAGCTTACACCGCCAGTAGCGCACGAGGTCCCTCGTGCAGCAAACAGAACTATTATCGGCACACCTTGATTGATTGATTGATTGATTGAGGTCAGATCTACCCGCTGGCGTTTTCGCTGATACGAACAGGAGTCAGATGAATCGAGATCCGCAGGCCAAAGAAAGCTGATGAGATCATTTGTAAACTGGGTGGTTAGCTAGCTTGTTGTACTCGATAGTGCCTGTAAGTTCTCGCAACTAAGTAGACGTTAGTGAAAGCGATGGTTTCAAAGCCAGTCTAGAGAGAAAAAAAACAGAGTTTCACCTTTCAGTTGTGCATGAGGCTGCATGTTGCTAGGTGCCGGATTCCGGAACCCCATGGGAATTAACACTAAACCGGCAGAGAGAGGGCCATGGTTGGGTCACCTCGACCTAGCCGTGGCCGGACCACGCACCCACCATGGTAGTCCGTGCTTCTGTGCCAACCATTCGTAGACTGGAGGAGTGTGCAGGCTCTACTCGTAAATCCTACGATTTGCTGGTCCGGGGCACCATAATTTCGACTTAGCGGTGGCACGACTAGCAGGTAGTGTCGCAGTACATACCCGGGTAATAATGGACTCAACTTCCACGGGCATGGCAATTCCACCGGGCCTGGAGCCCATCCACCGGAACCTCGCAGCCCAGCCTTATTCGATCTCGATACCGAGAAGGTTTTATCATGCACCTAACCACTCGGTAGTAGTGTAGATCTAAGGGAGCTAGCTAGGCGAACTGTTGGGCTCAATATGTCAGCCGCCGATTGGTACGCCAGAGAAATGCACATGTTTTCTTAAGTTCAAGTTGTTTTTCTGGCGGGCTAGAGACGATAACTGATTCTATGGCGGGATGTGTCTTTTGGCCCCGCAATGGATCAGACGGCAAGGTCTCTGCATGGCGATCCATGTCCAATTCGTCATGAGATACCCTCTACATACTATAGTGGGTAGAAAATTAGGAACTCTAGAATAAGTATCACTAGCTTGACAAATGGGAAGTAATCGCCCCTGCATGAACAAGTTGGAAGCTCATCGAGACACTGCGAGGAGAGGAGAGGAGAGGAGAGGAGAGGAGAGGAAAGAGCAAGTATGAACGCAGATGTCATATTCTGTCATTAATCTGCATCATGGATCACAAAACTAAAGCGCAAAGATCCCAAGGATCTGGCCTTTGCTTGACCCAGCAGCTTAACTCCTTTTCCAAGCCCTTCCAGATGTCAACCCTCGCTCCAGCCTTGTACCGGGATTTCCCAAGTAGTTCTGAGCCAGCCTTGACAACAGCACATCTGCTTCTCCAAGAAAGCAAAAAGTGCTGTGTGCCTAAATTCCCATCACTCGTCGTCATCAATCAGTTCTGTGTATCCTGAAGCCTCGTCCAAGTCGAAGAAATCGTTGACGCTGATGGCGAATCCGCGCGTCGACATCGTGGGCATCTCATCCGTCGTTTGGCTTTCTTCTTGCTTCACATCCTCTTCCTCATCCTCCATCTGCGGTCCGGGGCTTAAACCGGAGGAATGCACGTCTGAATCCCGATAGGCGTTGTTGTTGAAAAAGCTAAATTCGGAGATCGTAGTGTCGCAGTCAGGGGGAAACATCCTTTGTAACAGCCGCTGGTTGAATTCCATGGTGTTCTCGAGACTGAGTCCCATTTCTGATTCCTCCGCTTTCCGCTTCGTGCTTGTCGTTAATGCGCTCGGTGCCGGTGGTGGTGGCATGTCCACCTGGTTGGGGCTCAGGAGGTCTTCCACCAGGTCCTTCTCATGGTCTGTCAGGCGTAGACCGTGTAACAGATATCCGAAGCGGCTGTCTCGAAGTTGCTCGTAGATCCCTGGGTTGGGGGTGGGGCAGGATTCCGGGTTGTCGGCAGTCGATGATGAGTTGTCAGTGATGAGTGATGCAGGCGAGCACGAATCGTCTTCATGTTCGTGGTGCATGATCGACAGTCTTCTGGGCCCTTCGGAGCGTTGCGGCTGGGTTTCGGGTTCAGGGCTGTTGGGTATCGAGTATCGAGATCGGTCGTTAGGGTGGAGGTGGTGGAGATAGTTCTTCAAGATCGATGGCTCAATAAAGCTGGGTAAGCATGACTTGGGCGTTGCAACACGTTTTGTATTCGCCGAAGGTTGCATTGAAGATATCGGGAGTTTGACATCTGAGTTGGATCTCTTGATTGTATTCTGAATGCTCCCCAAGGGGGAAGCGCTCTTGTTGGGTTGAGAGGCGGCCGAGAGAGTGTGTCTTCTCTGGTTGGCTTGTGAGTCGGGTGTTGGACGAGCTGGCTGGTGCTGCGGCTGGTGCTGCTGTCGCTGGCCTCGTGCGAGCCCAGCATTCAAATCAAGTTTGCGCCTCTTGTTGGCTGGCTCTGTCCACTTGTTTCCAAGGGCTTCGAGTTCTTCGCGAGGAAATAGCAGGTCAATATAAGACATGGTGATTAGCTGTCTCAAAAAGTTGCCGAAACCATTTATCGCTACCTAGGTAGCAAAGAATGTGTGCTGTGGTTATTTCCGGCAACATATACAGTGGGTGGTTGGTAGGTATGTATATCGGATGCTAGAATCAACAAGGGTGCCAAAGAGAGACGGCAAAAACCACACTGACGGACTGGAGATTGTTTATATTAATCATGCAGGAATAAACAATCTGACTTTAAAATCCACTAGAAAGCTTTAGGAACTCACGGCATGGTCATAATTACATTATGCCATGGCATATGCTTTTACTTATTTTTACGGCCGTGCAATGTCTGACGCTGGCCTCCGGTAAGCAACTTGTGATGCCAGCAACGCTCGGCCCGAGTCGGAAAAGGGTAGGAAATCAGAACCTGCCCTCGCTTGCGAAACGCGATCGAAGATGTTTAGGGGCATGGAGCAGCGCCCAGACAGATGCATGAGAGCCAGGACCGGGGTTAATCTGTGCATCCCGCCAATTCTGGGCCTCGTGCCTTGGAGGGCCCCAGGGGGCCCCTCCCGACCCTCACGTCAGAGCTCCTGGGCAGAAAGCCAACGACAGAACAAGCCACACTGCTGGCGAGACTAGGCTGACGATAAAGGCCCCAGTTTGCGGGACAGGTTTGATGGTGGGTACGGCATGGCGGAGACGCTTCAGGGGGGCTAGGCCACCTTTGTTCATGGAGTCTCCGGAAAGCCCCGTGGTTCTGCTCATCCCCGTATCCTGAGTCTGGACTGAATCTCACAGTTCCCAGCCCACACAAACCATGCGAGACCACAGCCTGACAGGCCATTTTGGGTGTTGAGGATCACCTTCTGTTCCGGAGATCACTACCAAGGGCATCTCCAGCTTCGTGTTCCCCTGTCCCCAAGCTGTCTTGGAAGGAGAATGAGTGGCCTGCCAACTTCACGGCCAGAAGGAATGGAACCTTCTATGCACACCTGCTCGTATGGTATGACGGTGTGCTTTTGCGGGAAGAAGGCGGCCGCATTCAGAAACGGCTTCAGGTTTCTCGTTCTTGCGCAATGGGACGACCTTGATTCGACGGAAGGCAGAATTCGAGCTAGGGACGACTACCAGCCTTGACAATAGAGTGGACACTGCTCCCCTCCTCCTCCAACATCTCCGTCGGCGTTGTGGGTAAAAGGTTTTTCTCCGGCCGGACCGTTGTCAGGTGACCGGCAGCTTTGGACGACTGTGCGAGTTAATCGCCGTCTTGAACGCTTTGTACGGAGTACAGCAGAACTTCATAACTAGACGCTAGGAGCCGTCGGCTCCGAGGCGTTTTGCTTGGCCTATCCATCTCTCCACGGGACCACGGGACCATCCCCATGGAAGTCGTGATTGACCAACTTTATGTAAGCTAATGACAGTCGAGATATGGTCTCTTTGTTACTACAGTACGAGGACTCCGTAGCTGAGACCTACAGTACATACACATCCGAGGAGGATTTATCTCCTCGAGGACAGATCCAAGGACTGGTTAGATCGGCCCTGATAGGCCCAATTGATTGGCCTTCCTCAACGGTTTATTACTCATCTGGCGATCCGCTTTGACACGGGATATGCCCCTCTGTACGATTCTTCTGGGTGCCTCTACAACTGGAATCGTTCAATCATACGAGTAATCGACTGATGGTTAACGAGGCTGAGATAGTCACCATCCACGCTGATGCTTCGGGTCTAGATGCATAGCCTGAGATAGTTAGCCAGCCGCGGCGGTCTTTTAGCCTTTGAAGCCAAATCTTGAAGCTGTGATGCTAACCGCCGCCGTTGATGGCATGTCCCTTGCAGTCGCTTGCGTTGGCGTCTGTGACCATTCCTTGCACCACATGCACGTCGTGGAATCGGATGTCCTGTATTTCGAGCTGATTGAGTGAGTAATTATAAACAATGGTCAGGGACCCGACACTGGGAACGGCAAAGGATCGGATATTCGGCGGGACGAGAGGTAAGGCTGGCGCGGGATCGTGTCAGAAATTAGTCCATTGTCAGAAGCGGTCTTGGTCGTCTGTGTGCAAGCCACCAACTACACCTCGTGAACCAAACAATTCAATCATCGCTTACCTCATTCATACTTTACTGCTACTCGCACTGACGAGTTTGAATGAGACCCTCAACAAGCCCTCCCTCCAGCTCTCAGCGTCCCAGCTCTCAAAACACTAGATCTGCATCATTCGACCTCAGGAAATGCCTTTGCCCCGCACTTTGGTTAACATACACGCCTGATTGACCTAAGCAAGGCACCAGTCTAACTAAGTAGACCTGCGTCAGGTGGGAACCTTGAACCCCGACCAGGCAAGCCATCAAGTACTTTTCTCATTTCTTCTCATTTCCCATCTGGTTCTTCTTCCGTGACTTAGCCAGCCTGCCGGTGAGCGAGAGCACGGCCAAAAGAAACTACTAGTGCAACCCTAGTCTTTGTCAGAAACTCGCATATTTCGCAATCTATCTCACAAAGTAAAGAGCCCGGTTAAGAGCCATTTTTCTTTATCGATATCTCGAAGGTCGTGCATACTAGAAGTTATCGCTCGTTATCAGAATTATGGGCCGCGCGGTAAATCCGGAGGACGACAACTGGTTCGGTATCCAGGATCCTCGGAAGAGGAAACAGATCCAGGATAGGCTCGCTCAACGAGCTCGAAGTGAGTCTTCTGATTGTTTGCTTGCTTGATGGAGTTGACAGTTACGCTTTTCGTTCAATTGTGGTTTTCCTTTTCTGCCAGCCTATTCATTCTTACATGGTCATTCAATCCAGGGAGGCGACTGGCCGAGTCCAAGAAATGCGGTCCTTCGTCCTCCTCCGCGACGGACTCCGATACAGGCGATTATACCAGTGCCAGTGGTGGTGTGAGACAGCCCAGCCGACGTTGTGAGCAAGGCTCTCCTTGCCTGGTGCCGAGGATACCACGGTCTCCTTCCGGCTCTTACTACCAAGCACTAGTCCCGACCAGCAATCCAGATCGGTCTTTTATGTGCCAGTTACCAGGTTCAGTCTACGCCGCACTCTTCAATAACGGTTCGATGATGGGCATTGCGTGCTCGGTGAACGTCCCAGATATTTCCCGCCCCACCGGCCCAGATATCCCCGAGTCACTACACCCGACGAAGCTACAGCTCACCACTACTCATCCATTGTGGATCGACCGGTTCCCCTTTCCCAAGATGAGAGACAACATGATCACGCTGTTGGGAATCATCAACGAGGAAGAGTTTCTCCGCGACTTGTTCTGCCTGACGAGTTTTAGCCTCGAACCCGGGTCTCCTCCCTGGGATCCTGCAGGATGGAAGATTGGGAGAGAATTCTCGGAGAAGTGGGGTTATTTGTTTTATTGATATGCTATGCTACTTCTCGACCGCGCCAAAATCCTGCAAATGCGCCTATCTACCCACCCCGTCACGCTGCTACGATCGCATCCCTGATCGCCGTTGCCAGCTCGATCGGTTGGCAAACGTTAGGACAATGGTCGCTGTCCGGCATGCGGATCACGTTGACTTTGCGTCCTGACTCTTTCTCGATGTTTTCAATTCCCTTGTTCTGAAAGTCCGGAGGAAGAATGACGTCCTTCTCACAGAAGACCCACGAGACGGGGACGTGTTTATAAGCGGGATAAGTCAGTTCTCCGACAAAGCTTACTGCCGAATGACGCGACATCTTCTTGACCTCTTCGATGCTCTTTTCGAGAGGGAGCTCTGAAAATGTGAGTTTCGCGCTGCTTTCGGGATCTGCATGGTACATGAACCCTCCCTACCACGTCAAATAAGCCTCGGGCGACCTTTGGAACTGAAACTTGGACTCACCTCGACTTCGATGAAGCTGGGCACGAGATCTCCCATCAGCGACCTCAACGAGTTCCCCGGACTTGGCACGACGGAAGTCACATAGACCAGTCGGATGATGCCGCCCGGCTTGCCAGCAGCCTGTCGATCCGTCTTCACAATACCCTTGGCCGCTTCTGTCCCAACCACGCCTCCGTACGAGTGCGTCACAAACACCACGTCTTTCCCCTCGTCCGCCAGCTTTTCCGCAACAGCCCTGAAATAGTCCGCATCTTCGTACATGGTCGCGGCTTCCTCGGGTGGCAACCGACTGGCCGACGGCAGGTCGTTCACCAGAGCTTCATATCCATATTCGCGTAGCTTGTCAACAGTTGTGAAGTAGAAGCTCTTGGGCGAGAAGGAGCCCGGGATGATCACGATGGTCGGCTTTGTTGCGCACATATTTTCGAGTTGATGGATGCTTTTGGTCTGCGGCAGGGGAGACACACCGCTCCGGGTGGTGCGTAGTAGTCGCAACGTCACAGGACAGGTGCAAAGGAGACAATGGTAAGGGAAAGAGTAGAGAGGAGTATGAGTTCTTCGCTGTGTATATTCAAATGTCACCAGTGACACAATGCAGGAGCCGTAAATGCAACCCACCAGAGAATCATTTTAATTTCAGCTCGCAGATTGACCCGGGGAAGCGAGGGGGCTTAAGTATGTACCTAGACTTTGCCAATACATGATAACCAGAACACATAGGGACCGTGCCTCCACGGTAGAGAACGAGTCTCTGGTGGACGCAGGGACGAATATCAGAATATGGGTTACATGAAGTCAGAAATACGCACTTAGCCGAATGCTCGGCTACTACTCTCCAGTATATTGCCTGGTCGGATATAGATCACGCGATTGAATGGGCCCGCCCTGACTTTCAAAAAGCTGGGAACCGAAAGGAACGAGTCATGATCAATGGGAGAAAGATACAGGGCCAATCACTACTTGCTTGAATAAGTCAAAGAGATGCCTTTCTCCGCAGTGAATTCATCATCTCTCTTGAGAAAACCTCAATGCCGCTTGATGCCGTTCATCGTTTTGTACCTGCAGCCGAGTTGCTCTATGTATTCCTGATTGCCTGGTCCTTGTTCCTTGGAATATCAGGGCTAGCAGATGCCGTATCTGCTTTGCTCCGTGTCTCAGAATCTCAAAAATCCCACAACAAGCTTCAAGTCGAACACGACAGCCCCTGGCTGCGCCATAATCCATTCAAATGTATAGGGTTGAGCATGGAGGTTTGTTGCCTCTGTCCATCAATCATTCATCATGCTGCGTAATTTGCGTGATTCGTTCTCCAACGTGCTCGTACCCATGTACGCCATGACTTTCGTGGGGCTGGTGCGACACTCTCGTACGCCTTCAGATGAGGAGCTTAGTTCCACCGGTCATCTGTGTTTGTGCCTCTTCTTGCGGTTGTTCTTCGAGCAGAACTCGCAACTGTCACCTCAACACGTCCTTGGCTCTGACTATCGCTGGTTCCACTTCCATTCACACCCCGCCCTGTCCCAATCGCCCCGCGACTGTGACTGATACTGCTTGAATGTCCATGTGCACGCCTCTCTTCCCGCCGTGCTCGACTTTCAGCGACTGGGGTCAACGAGATAGGAGTGCTCCCACCACTGCCATGAGCACCATACTGTGACCTAGTGTCCTTGTCACTGGGTCCTGAGCCTCGAGCGGAAGCGAGCATGCTCTCGCGCGTGCTTTGCCGGGAAAGTCGATGCTGACCTACTACTGAAGCCGTTGACTGACGCGGTAGGCGGGTCTTAAGTCCTGCCTCGGGCATCGCACCAGCAGTCTGTGCTCGAGTAAGGCTTGGCATCGCAAAAGCAGGCGAACTATCTTGCCTGTAACCTGATCCGTCACGGCTAGCAGGACGCATGACGTTTGAGCCATTGACATAGACCCCATTACGTTGCCTTCGTGGAGTCTGCGCTACAGGAGCATCGTACATATTGATAGAAGCGCGTTCAGACCGGCCAAGTTGGGGTGAAGTAGGCATGCTCATTTGGCGCTCCAGCAGGTGCGGAGGTGTGGTGGAGCTAGTTCGCCGCTGGAACTGAGGATGTTTTCTCCTTGCGCCATTTACAGCAGTGGCACTGCCTTGACCACTTTTGATGCTAGAATTATCCGTTTCTTGGAATGAGCGCATGAGTTCGCCTGCCATGCTACGAACAAGGACCGCCGAGTCAGAGAAAGACAGGTCGCGTATAACATCATAGAGACCATATTGGTCCAGGAGGAAGCCTCCCTCTTCCGTCGCATCGCAAATGCTGCCAATGATGCGAAGCAGGTTGAGACGGATGGCGGGCTTATTATGGGTCAACTTTTGGCCCAGAGTCTCAAATAGATGGCCACTTCGAGCCATAGAGGCAGCAAGTGGCGGTGATAGCCGAAGCAATTTCTGGAGAGGCTCCAATAGATTCTCAAACGAGGTGGATTTGCTGCTCGTGAGTGCAGCGACAATAGCAGAGGTGAAGTTTTGATTCTCCAACAGATGGTCCTCTACTCGCGCAGTCTCCTCTTGTAGCCAGGTAAATATGGCATCCAATGCTGTAACTTGCCAATACGGGTCGGAAAGCAGAGAAACGTAGAAAGCAAGACCTTTATTCTGCCACAACTCTCGTCTGGCTGCTCTTGTCGAATGTGCCATATCACACAGGATCGGTAGGGCGAATTCCTTGACTGGGGTCTTCTCTTGTTTCACGATTTTGATGAGGATGGGAATGATGCCAACCAGAGCAGCATCTTCTTGTCTTCGTTTCGACAGCCGGCAAAGATTGTAGATTGTGTTCAAGATCTGATTTGACATCTCCCTAAAATGTGATTTGTTCATGTTGTTGCTGAGAAGTTCAGATAAAACATCAATCGCATTCGAATTGTGCAGCGCATCCAATGTCGTGGAGAGCATTGAAAGATTTTTGATGAACTTGAGCATTGTCACCTGATGTGCTGGTGCCATCCTTTTGAGGTTTTTGAGAACTCGATGAAGCACTGTCCTCTCTGCCACGAGTTCTTTGACATAATTTTCAGCCTGTGAAAAGACGAAGAAAATGCTGGCAATGCGGCCCTCGCAGAGATCAGCAAGTTCCTTTTGGTCGCCAGAATCGGCAGGTTCTAACAAAACTCGATTCAAAACGAGCGAAAGTGGCTCCAAAACTGAATTTCGAGACAAGATTCTGCAGAAATCATTTTTGGGGGTTGAGCCCTGCAGCTCAAAAACACTCCAGATGCCATTGACCCCGATCAAAACCAGCTCACGGTCATCATCATAATCATCCTCCAGAAAATCAACCAACACTGTTAGTCCGCCTGCACTCACAAACATCTGCAGGATCAGAGTCGACGTTTGGTACATTTGCCTGACGAACGCAGCAGCTTCCAGGCGGATTTCTCTTGGAAACTTTTTCGATGCGAACTTGTTGATTTTGGGAATCCCACCAACAAAACAGACATTCTCCTGGACCTCCTCGTCGTTGAATATGATTGCATTTACAATCCTGAGCAGATTGAGCACAACGTCAAGCCGCATACAATCTTCCAAAATCTCCAGTATGGGAAGGACACCATGGGCGCTGACTATGACATTTTTGGTTTCAGGGAAGATTTCAAAAAAGTTCATGAGGTCTTCCGATATCTGTAGCAATGCATCATCATCCTGCAAGACTTTAAGCTGGCCGACCAAGGCTTCGACGTCCGTCCTCAGACGGGCATGCTTGTCACGAGCAATATTGGATTCGAGGTCTGGTTCGGGTAAACCCTCTTCGAGCTGAGCGAAAGGATCGTCCTCGTCCTCACCATCTGGAAGCCAAGAAAGATTGGAGACTTTGGACAAAATTAATTCTGAATTGTCCTCACTGTCGGGCTTCTCGAATACTTCAGCTGTCTGTGCAAAGACGTCAGAGAAGTCTTCGTCTTCCTCATTTTCAGCAAATCTTTGAATCTCAATGGATGATCTCGTTCTCCGCATCGATAACTTGTTCTTGGGTGGGGGATTTCTTCGTAAACTCCCTCCAGCCTTCGGCGGCCGCATACTCTGCATCAAATCTGTGACACTTGGTGATTGTAGGATCTTGGAAGGGCCTTCCTTGTCTATATGCATGAGTCCAAATTTAGTATCGAGGGCCAGTTCATTTCCCTTGATGATGTCAGAGTAGTCTTCGATTGAGCTTTCTCGATATAGTCTCGTGGGAGGCTGCTCAGGTGCTGCTTTTGGCTGAGGGGGCTTGCTTTTTGATAGATTTGTAGTTTGACGCGCTGAAGGCAGCGATGCTTTCCGTGGTGTCGGTGACGGGGCCGTCTTCGCTCTTGACTTCGGAGGAGCTTCAGACTTATGGCGCGAGTGTCCTTTCTCAGGTTTTTTGGCAGGAGCTAAACGGACTGTTTTTGAATCATCAGAATTGATAGTAACAGTGGCCTTCAGGGTAGAGTCTTGGTCCTCTGCGTTCTCGTTTTCTTTCCCGAATGCAGTGTCCATCGCAGCGAATCCTTTCAGCCTTTCCGAAGATAACATGCCGCCAAAGTTTTCTTGAGATCGGAGATGAGGCAGTTCCAAAGCGCCTGGTGAGATGGCTGTAGTAAAATCGTTGTCCCAGACATCGTCGTCTTCGACAGAGCGGAATCGTGTAGTATCCGTATTGAATGCAGGGATTGGGGACTTCACAGGGGATTTGAGATTGTGCAGTTCTCTTGCCCCTGGTCCTGGACTAGAGGTAGAAGCTCTTGAATTCTTCCTGATGGTGTTCCCATTTGGGGAATCCTTCAAGGCTTCGTTCCACTCCTGGACACTCTTCACAGCCTCTGTATATTCTGTGGCATTCTTTGGTGCGACAGAATCAGTGCGTCTGGCGTTCGCGATCCAGGGATGCTTTAGGAGCTTTCTTGCAGAGACTCGTAGATTTCGATCTTTCTGGAAACATTGCATTAGGAAATCGAGGACAGCGGGTGATGCGCCCTGTGGCAACGGAGGGTGGTCGTCGTTGACGATTCGAAACAAGGCAGGCATTGGCTGAAGTGTGTGATAAGGTGGTTTGCCCTCGAGCAATTCGATGACGGTACAGCCTAGACTCCATATGTCGGAAGCGGTGGTCGCCCCAGTTAATTCTATCACTTCAGGAGCCATCCAATAGGGGGTTCCTACAACGCTTGACTCTGTCAAGCCAGTTGTCCTGCTGGCGACGCCGAAATCTGCGAGCTTAACCAAACCTTGCTTGGTGGTGAGAATATTGGCGCCTTTTATATCACGATGAATGACACCTTGTTCGTGTAGATAGACGAGCCCTTGAAGAACCTGTGACATGTACAGAGCAACCAAGTTCTCTGGGAACCTGCCGAAATTTTTGGAAATGGAATGAAGGGAACCATTCTCACAGTACTCGAGGACGATGTTCAGGGTCTCGGGGGTCTTGACGAAACCGTTGTACTTGACGATGTTAGGGTGGTCGAGGTTCTTGAGCAAGTCGATCTCAAGCATTATGACCCTAAGCTCGCTTTTGGGAAGGTCTGCCAACTTGATCTGTTTAACGGCAACGGTCTCACCTGTTCCCCAGTTCAGTGCACGATAGACGGAACCAAAAGCACCCTTGCCCAAGCAATCGCCCAATTGATAGTCCTTCAATTCAGCAACATCTTGGGCCTTCGTCTTGTCATCTCTCTTCGTCGGGCTCGAAGGAGTTTTCGATGAGGGGCGGGTTCTGAGAGGCAGACAATCGGTAGGTCGAGCACTGGGGATATCATCTGGAAGATCGGTAGTGCGAGCGGGCATTGTGGAGGGATTGAAAGGAATTGTTAGCGAACGGCGGTGAAGAGGGCGTTGTTCATTTTCTATGAAGTTGTCTGCGATCTGCCTGACAGTAGGGAGTGATTGGCGGATTGATGCGAGGACCAGAGGCAGTTTGCCGTAGGATAGACGTGGGTAATTGGGATTGTTCCTGCAGCATCAATAGAGGGATTGGCGAGTTGATGCAGCTGCCATTCGCTTGAGCAGGTCAGACGGAGTGGTGTACTTCGGACCGTTTGTTGATCAACAGCCCTTGGTGTATCTAGTGAGAGGGAGTGTAGCGTGGAGTGTAGTGTAGATCAATCGCACCAGTGGCAGTACGGAGGATCGATTGAGGTCCAGGTACAAGCACGAGATTGGCTTGGCTAAGATGCAAGATGCAAGATGCAAGATTCAAAGTGGATGTGTGAGGCGAGGGAGGGTGCGGATGCAGGCGCAGGCGCAGGCGGAGGTGCAGATTGTGGAGGAGTAATAGGTAATTACTCGTACAGCAATAGAGTATGATAACAGAGTAATAGAGTAATAGTGCCGTACTACTCCGTACAGTAAATTGTAATGCGACTTAGACTGTGGAACTCGCCGGAGTTGGTGATGATGCTTTTTGAGTTTTGACGCGTTTCCGCAGAGAATAGCACGCGACTCCCAATGTCCCTGCCCATCTATTCTCCGTACCTTTTTGAGCACACTGGCCTAGTCATCTATCATCATTGAAAACCCAAAACATCGCATTGTCTTTGTCGACTCTAGATATAGTACAATTCTGACAGAACCATTGAGAGGGGTGTATTCCAAAATAGTGCCTCCTGAAGGCACCAACAAGCGGTTGCCATGTGGCGCTGTCTGCCTTACTGTCATCTCCCGCCCTTCTCGAAGTCGAGGCCACCAGTTAGTTACCAGCCAGTAGCACCCACCCAATGATGCCAGCACGGGCCCCTTCATCGGCTTCGATCTAACCAAACACCCGGTCCATGATGCCAAACTTGGCCACAATCGGGTTTCTCACGGCACCCAGGTTCATGTCGAAAAAGAACTTGGCGGCATAGCGCAGCGTGAAGCTCAACACCGCTCCAACCCAGGTATAACCAAGTGCTCTCGTTTTCCCTGTCAACAATACATCAGTAGCGTTCAATCAGTGAGCAAGGTGAACTCCTCTCTTACAACTCTCTTTCACACCAGCCTTCTTCCCCAGGTAAATCGCAAAGTCCTCAATTGTGATGGCAATCGGCTGAGACATGAAAAACACAAACTGGTACTTGACACTCGGGGTATAAGCTATGTTGAGAGATCCAATATGATGAATCAAAGCAGAAATGAGAAAGCCGTTGTAGAGCTGCAAATAGCGTGAAACCATGGTCCCTTTCCGAACTCTCAGCGCCCTGAGTAATACCGAATTATAGGTCTCGAAATAGCGGCGGAGAAACTGGTGCCTGGAGAATGTCAGACTTCATGACTTGTTCTGTTATTCGATTCGAACTCACCAACAGGTTCCCCAGATATTGCGCATGGTATATCCCTTCTTGATGAAAGAGCCGTACATGGGCGGCCAGGATTGAGGCCGGGAGACACCTACCCCAACAGCTGTCGCAGCTAGTAGATAATAGCCCATACCCATGGAGAAGCCACTGTGGAACCCTCTACACCAACCATAGACTGTTTGCTCTGAGATGGGGAGGGAGAAAAAGTCTGGTACAGGACTTCTATCACCGAAAGCGGTCCGACGGAGATACCACTCATGGAAATCGACATAAAGAAAAGCTACTGAAGATCTGAGTAGTTGTTCCAGTACGAAATTCCTGAGATGTCAGCTGTGAATATCCGAAAGAAATTCTTCTCTTGGTGCTTTACCGTCGAGACACGTTTTCAGGTACGAGATCTACATTCTTCACACGCCAGTTCCATCCGATACCTCTGGCGGTGGTATACAGATCCAGATTCCATTTGAATTTCTGCCAGATGGTCATCCCCTCGACTTCTTTGCTGGTCTCGATTCTTCCATCCGGCCGAATGCGGTGGAGTTCCTGTTCGGGAATTCTCAAAATGGAGAAGTCAACATACTTGAGCAGTGCCAGGCAGACATTCACTGCATTCAAGTAGTCCTGGTCGGCTCGACCAGTAGTATGTTGCCTAAGATTATACGCGAGATATAGGATAGGTGGCAGAGCAATCACATTCCGAAACTGGCCTTGAGGAAGGAGCAGAGAAGCAACTCCGACCAAATTTGCACCGCCAACAGACCCTTCGCCAAGTTGAAGGGGTCGATCGGGGGATGGAAACCATTTTGGATCCATTGAGAGCACGTTTGATGTGGAAGAAAGGCTGCCATCCAAGGAAAGGATGAGAGAACAGCAAACAGGTATCACAAAGGAGTCGTATTCGGATACGAGCCGCGGACTAGGCAGAAACCAGCACAAACCTGTGAATTACTGCTGATGGAGGTTTTGCGAGGAGAGCGACCCAAAGACCGTGGAGCCGTCTTATTTCTCATCAGCAAGCGGAGTTGGCCTTGAGCATGGCTCGTTGATAGATGCTAAAGTACAACAACCTATATATATCGGATTTCATCTGTCCATTTGCTTGGTGTTGTGCCGAGCACGAAGTACGGAGGAGGATTCAGAGGATTCTTGCAACGGGTGTTGGCTGTGGTTGAGCCAAGCCTCGCCAAGATAATCCACGCGAGTCACTCTTGAGCAAGACTCTTACTGTACAATGGCTGGCGGCTATTCCCCCCGACGCTCTCAGCCTACCCGTAGGTAGCCTAAATGCGAGTAAATTAGGGTAGGCTAGGGGGTCGACTGAGGGGCCTGGGCTACTACTGGCCCCTGGCCACTGCTTGGTGGCTTAATGGGGAGGATTGTGCTAGGCTACCGTTCCAGCCTCAGTGTGGCAGTAGTGCTACTGTCAGTGCTAGGCACTCCTGGGTCACGGGCGACGCCGTACCGAGTACGAGGTCGACTTGCCATCCGCTTTTGTCCTTTCCTATGGGCTGGTGCCAGTGTGGTCTGTGGTCTGTGGTCTGTGGTCTGTCTCCTCGCCTTTTCCCCAGTCGCCCGTCGCTCCGTCGCCCAGTCGCAATTCGTCCAGTTCCTTTTTCCCTCGCCGCCTCATCCTCACTTGCCCTTCCAGACTGCGCGACTGCGATTGCGATTGAATCACAACAACTCTTCTACAAGCCACCACTCAACCTCTCCACTCAACCTTTGCTTTCATTGTTTGTACGGATAATCGTTCTTTCTTGTTTCTTCTGTTGAATCTCCCCTCTTACAATTTCTAATTCTCCCGATTACCGATTATCGACTGCGACATCATGGGTTTGCCGTAAGTTTGCTCATCCCCCTCCTTCGCAGCTTGCCGCATTTGCGCGTCAGGTGCCCTGGCATCAGCCTTTCAATGGATTTGCATCACCATGCCCGCATGAACTAACAACATTTGCATCTAGTATGTTCCGCGAACCCGATGAGGTCGCTGCAGAGCAAGCCGCCGCCAAACTCGACCAGATTGCCGCTACAAGGCGCTCTTCCATCCGACGCGAATCTACTGTACGACCCCATCGTCAATCACCACCCGATCGGGATTCAACCAGTCGCCGTAGTCAACGAGAGCAAAATGTCCATCGTTTCAGAGCCTTGATGTCTCGCCACAGCGTCCATGTCGATCTAGACGGTCGCGATCCTGTCGACGACCGGGCCAGTATCGAAGCCCAGATCGAACACCTTCGACGAGAGCGCCTCGAACGTATGAGAAATCGCGTTCATCCCGACCGCTTTGATCCCGAGTTCGTTGAGATGATGACCCGAATACGGAGCCACATTGATGATAGCCCTACGAATGACATCGCCCCAGACCTGACGCTTGAGATCTCCAGTCCCCGTACATTAGATACTGTTTCACAGAATCTTCCTCGCCCATCTCGAGAGTCTGGCTTGAGGTTTGAGGTCGCAGCCTCTTCGCAATCTGAATCGGAACAACCTCGCCGACCACGATTCTACGCCTCTCGACCCACTGTTCGCCGGCAATCCGTTGATAGATCTCCTCACAGAAGCAGGTCCCCATACATGCTCTCCGTCCAGAGAGTGAACGTAAATGACGGGGTAGATGATGTGGGACCCGAAACTGCCAGCTTGACACCAGGTTTCGCTCCTGCTCATGGTCCCTTTCGCACCCATCCACAACCTGTGGACGATCGATTTTCTAGGACCTCTGATGCCAGTGCTCTTCCCAGTATGCCCGCCTCACCCACCCCAGATACTCCAATCCTGGATCTGCTGCAACAACCACCATATCCCCCTCTTCGTCGCGTCAGTCACCTATCTCCACGGCCGTCTGGAACTCCTCGTGGTAGAGTGGACGGGCTGGGCGATCGGATACGAAGCCCAAGTCCCATGTCCGATGCACATGAAGAAGAGAACTGGGCCAGCCTCTTGACAACCATCCAGCCAGGAAGATCAAGCAATGCAACTTCATTCATGTCTTCTAGGTCAGATTCTCAATCCGACTCAAACAGATCATCACAAGCCGCCACTACGGCCACAAGCTTTGGAGAAATCGGAGGCGATGATTCTTGTGATCTGGATCTTCCCTTTGGAATAACTGAGGATGACGTCCGCGACATCCGTGCGCGGCATGGAAGACTGCGACCGCGAGACCCTTTTCGCTCATCGATGGAGCGAATGCACCAGAATCTGAACAGAGATCTCGACCGAAGCGAACACCAAATGCACGAATTGACGCTTTTTTCCAACATTCTTGTAAGAATGCAACGACGAGAAGAAATCACCGATGACATGTGGGCCGAGGTCGGCTTGTCCCCAGATGTCGTAAGAGGCAGTGCTTGATGATCCAATCTTGCCCAGGAATCCATGTTATACTCCTTAAGAGAGCCAAAAAATCAAATCCATGGGGGAAATGCAACTACCATTTCTGGCTCCAAAATCGAAATCTGGGACAGATGAATCTTTTGGTCATTCAGCTGTACATTGAGCTTTTCCTGTGGTCAGAAAAGTATTTGGTGAGGCTGATGAAGAGCAGCCCCTTCAAGCTCCTCTTATGGTGGACTGGACATACACTCGAGCTTCCAGAGCTACGCACCAGACTTGTACCAGCTCACATTCGAGGACCCTAGCAGTCGATCATAATCCCCAAACCTTCTGAGATCTCATCGCAACACCGAACCAAGCCGCTTTGACCTGGAATTTTATCTGTCCGTCACGGTAAACGACACCGCTGAGTCTTTGGCTGTGCTATTTCAACTAGGAACATGGAAAAATCCTATCTCAAGTTTGTCTTCGAGACTTTCATAATGAGATTTGAACAATGCTGTCAATACCAAGATCTCGGAAAATGCTTGCCCCACAGGATATCATCATGACTGAGCTGAGCTCTGGGAAAGGTGGGAAAAAGAAATTGCTGTGGTGCTCTAGAACCTCATGCAACAGGGTGATTGAAATATCGCTTTTCCTTGGGCTTTTTTTTGGTATGCTCTAGCTGACCTGACTTGGCTTGACGGACTCGCCAGATTTCGAGGCCAGGTGCAAGGTGTTGTTACTGTTCTTTGTATTTATGTGTGACTAGGCCCTCCTTGATCTCAGGACTCCATCGTGTGAGGAGGGTTCGACTTGCTTAGGAGCTAGACGCTCTTGGAGTTTCTTTTCCCTCTTGAAGAGGTCGTGTTGAGGCATCCAGATGGTTGGTGTCATGTCCTTCCACCGGTCCAGGGAAAATCCTTTAAATGCACAAGGCGCCACGGGGCGGATACTATGATCCGATACTGATAAAAGAATCGGATGAAATGAAAAAGTTCAACTATTGCTATGTTAAAACTACCTTTTCAAGGATCAACTTAACTCGTGGCTTACCTCGGTAGGGCAGAAAGGATGTACTCAAAATACAGAATCTACTGACCATGGACATCAAAGTGTTTTCGTGGATTTCGTTCATCCCGCATATGTATGGTCTGACCCGATCTCTCTTTAGTTTCAAGATCTGATGTAGGGGTTGATGCTCAACACATCTTCCCCAAAACCATTGTGTTATCCTGCGGAATATAATATAGGACCTTGTGCATAGAATTGCCATAGGTCGAGTCCCTTCTCCCTCGTCTTTCCCTATCCAGTTGGATACCATTGGATTCTCACATGCCCACACCATCAGCGGCTAAAGCAGCAATGCTGTCCATGCGTAGCATCCTCTGTTTCCTGAGGGAATCTTCGTCGACATCGTAATCACCGTCATCATCGCCGCTCTTCTTCGCCGTAGCCTTGCGCTCCAGTTCGTCATCCACATTGACGAGGTCCTGGCTGACCCAAGATTCGTCCTCGACGCTGGGGATGGTCTCGTGCACGTGCAGCCTGGCGTCCAGGACGTGGCGGGCGTTGCGCATGTCGCTCTTCTTGGTGCGGGCGAGGCTCTCCTCGAAGGAGGAGGAAATGCCGGCCGCGAAGTTCCGCTTGGCGACGCGCTGCGTGGCACGCTCGATGTCCGTGTCGACGAACCAGATCTCGTCCATCAGCGCGTGGGCTTGGCGCCAGCCGTCTTCGTCGAGCGCCGTGTACAGGCCCTCGAAGATCACGATGCGTGCCGTCACGGGGATTGCGATGTCGTTCGACACCGGGTCTTTCACCGCGTGGTCGAAGCTCGGGGCGAAGATCGTGGGGGTCTCGGGCGAGATGGGCCTGCGGAGTTTCATCACGAGACCGAGGTAGCTCTGTGCATCAAACGTGAAGGCCGCACCGCGGCGGAAGATGGCTTCTTCGGCGTTGGGCATCTCGGACAGTTGTTTGCGGGTCAGGTGGTAGCCGTCGAGCGGGACGACGAAGGCCACATCCGGTTGAGATGGATCGGTCCGTGAAGACGAGGTGGGCGGGCTGTTGGGAAATCTGGTGTGGTAGTCCTGGTGGAAGAGATTGTTAATCCCGTGGGCCACGCAGGCGGCGAGTGTCGTCTTCCCGCTACCTGGAATACCGGAAATTGCGATAAGGAGCCGTTGTGAGCCGTCGCATTCCTGGAATTTCTCTGGAGTGCAGCGACAGGTGATGAGTACGAAGAGGGTAAATTGAAGAACTGTTTGATACAAAAGGGGGAAGTCGTGTGTAACCTACCCCAGGTTTGATTGACCAGCCGATCAACATGCGACTCCATTGTGGTGATAGGTGATATGTTCTGGTGGTACAGCTGTGGCAATACCTACCAGTAAAAGATTGTTGGGCTTATCACCAAGTCTGTCAATCCTTTCGTCCTTGAGTTGTAGAAGGTGTTATATAGATGCAGTATCAAGGATGGCTTGCTAGGGAAAGGAAGTTACAAGCCCCTGGTCATATTGCAGGAGAGACAAGGCCTGAAGTTGACGAAGGCCACAGCTCTGGGATACGCCTAGCCCGAAAGCGGTTTCATCCACCAGTGATCTCCTGATAACAATGATAGCAGAGTGGATTCGGAGCAGATGGCCGGAGAGCTCGAATTTTCTCTCTGAACAGGCCTTTTAATTGTGGCTTATCGGAGAGAGCATCAACACAATGCAAGATTGTGTGCAGGAGTATGTACTCTGTTCGCGTACTGTGGTATTCGTAGTGCCAAACCTGGCAGCGTCGTCATGGTGCGGATAGCGAGCAAGAATGGAAGCCAAGCCGAACACACCCATGCTGTCGGATATACGTTTCTACTACTCCGGGTTGGGGCGATCGCCCAGGGGTTCCCGCCCGCGTCCAATCAGCCTCCCGCCAAGGACAAGCTTCCCTCCCTTCCTCTCCTGCACCCCAATTTCCAGGGGGTCGATTTTGGCTCCGCTGCGCCCACTGCTCCCACTGCTTCTGCTGCTATTACTCTCACTCTGCACTTCATTTCGTTCTCGAACATCTTCAACTATACATTCACTTATTCATTCCTTCCATACTAACCCTTCGAGCAGCAAACGCCTCTTTGTTTTTCCCCTTCGAGATTCTCAGTCACTCCTTTCGACGTCAGTTTTCCAATTCGATCACTCCTTGAACCAGCAAAGACTTCAAGGAACAGCCCTCCACGCGTCCAACTGAACCTTTGCAGGCTTTATTAATCTCATTCCTTTCGCTCCAACGAAGACGATTCCTTCATTACCAACGTCACAACTATCATCATGAAAGCCTCTCTCCTCCTCCCTATCGCCTTCTTCGCGGTTCGAGTCCTGGCGGATGTTCCCCCGGCCTGTCTGTTGAGTGCAGTCAATACCCAAGACGAACCTAGTGATCTAGCCTCCCTGTGTGGCAGCGATGCTGAAGATGTCCAAGAAGCTATTGCCAGCCTGTGCGGTAACAACGCTTCAGTAGCACAATCCGCATTTGTCTCCACCTGCTCTGCTGCTGGTTCTTCCGTGGGTAAGTGATACAAGACCATTTTGTTCCATCCACGATCCTGTACCCAACCCAGGTCTAATTTTGAATTATCTAGCTCCCTATACAGCTACCGGTACCTCATCCGCAACGGGAACTGCTACGACGACCGGCTCCTCCGCAACACAAACCTCAAATGCTTCAGGCTCTGGTGCCTCGGCCTCTAACACAGCTGGTGGAGCATCCGCCACTGGCAACGCTGCTGCCGACGTTAAGCAAGTGGGTAGCTTCGCTGCAGCTGCAATCGCCATTGCAGGTGTGGTCGCCGTTTTGTAAACACGAGACCACGGCATTGCTGTATCAAGCTGTCTGGATTGTTTTTGAGCGAGCTCGGAGTTCGAACGACGACAGGCAAGGAAAGGATCAAATTAATCCCTCGAAGGATGGAAACACATTCGGGATCGATTTTCGATGGTACAAATGTTAATATTATGCATCCGGATTTTTCGCTGGGCGGGATACTGGATGTATGCGAAACAACAACTACTACAATTTGGAGATGGGAAGGATCTTGATGCTTGGACTTGGACAACGTTTCTTCTAGCTCTTTTTTGGTCTACACACCACCCTCAGGTGGTCACGTCTGGGAAACACTCCCAGGGATGGGAAGAACCTGTATGTACATGGACACAGTGCCGACCCAGCCAGGAAGAGCTCTGGTAATATTGTGCACAGCTAGAACCTTGCTAAGAACCTTTTTTTGTTCCACAATTGTTGTATATCATGTGCATGTTGACTGCGCTTGCGTATAGCACCTTCACCCCCATTCGCAAGCTGCCGTCGTGGTGTTTTCTATCGTTGTCCTCCATGATAAGTATATCTTTGCATTGCCGGATAGAATTTCCGACCGAGTCTCTCAAAGCCCTTCCGAATAAACGCCATTTTCTATTTGCGGAACATTGATCAAATCCAATTCCGATCGATATCTTGCCATCAGTCCCGTTCAGCAGGCGTCATCCCTGATCATCTGACAATCATATCGTCTCTCCTGGGACCCGTGCCAATCCACTTGACGGGCACACCGACTTCGCGCTCAATGTACTCGACGTACTCCCTCGCCTGCGGGGGAAGGTCCTCGAACTTCTTCACTCCAGTCGTCTGTGTCCGCCAGCCCGGGAAAGTCTTATACTCGATCTGGATCTTGTCCATGGCATCCAGATCTGCGGGGAAACTGGGCAGGAGCTCGCCGTTGACTCGGTATCCCGTGGCGACGCGGATCTCCTCGAAGTCATCGAGCACGTCGAGCTTTGTGATGTTCAGCTGCGTGTAGCAGTTCACAGCCGATGAGTAGCGTACAAGCACGAGGTCGAACCAGCCGCAGCGTCGCTTGCGGCCCGTCGTGACCCCGAACTCGCGGCCGATGCGTTGCAATCGTTCGCCGTATTCTGCGTCCACCGGGGAAATGGCGGCGTTGAGTTCCGTTGGGAATGGGCCAGAGCCGACGCGGGTGGTGTATGCCTTCACGACCCCGACGATGTTGGAACCGGGGGCTGCAAGGGCTTGTGGGCTGAGGCCTGCTAGGCCAGTGAAGACACCGCCGAGGCCAGTGTTGCTGGAGGTTACGTACGGGTAGGTGCCGTGGTCGATGTCGAGTAGCAGGGCGTTGGCGCCTTCGATGAGGATGTTGGGAGATTGAGGGTTGCCGTTGGCAGTCGCTGTGACGATACTCTTGGTGCCAACAGCCTGGGCGAGGAGAGGTGTCTGGTCGACGACGTAGCGTTGTAGCTCGTCACGGAAGCCCTGTAGTTTCTTAATTTCTTCCTCGACGTTGTAGCCTTCTAGGGCGGCATCGCCGTAGAGCTTGCGGTAGCTGGCATCCAGATCACGCAGGCGCCGCTCCCATCTCTGCTCCTCATTCACGAGCATCCAGAATGTAACGCCGCGGCGGGCCACCTTGTCGCTGTAGCATGGACCGATGCCCTTGCGTGTGGTGCCGATGACTCCTTTGCCACCCTCGATGTTCTTGCGCGAGTCTTCTGCGATGCCATCAACAACGCCGTGTAGGTCGAAGCAGACTTGGGCTCGGTCGGAGATGAGGATGCGGTCGCGAACGCCTTGAAGGCCCTTGGCTTCGAGAGCGCCGAGTTCCTTGAAGAAGCTGGGAATGTGGACGACGCAGCCGGTTCCGATCAGGTTAAGTTGGCAGGAGGGGTTGATCAGGCCGGAGGGCAGGATGTGGAAGTCGTAGGTGACGTCGTTGACCACAATGGTGTGGCCCGCGTTGTTGCCGCCGGCGGCGCGAGCTACCATTTGCGCCGAGGATGCCAAGATGTCGACGAGCTTGCCTTTGCCCTCATCGCCCCATTGGGAGCCTAGGACGAGCGTCACAGGCATGGCTGATGGGAGGTGCTGAGAATGACTGTGTTATAGCGATGACTGGGCGATGTCGGAGGAAAGGCTAAAAGCAGAGGAGCAGGACAGAAGGGGATGTTTGTTGGATTGAAGTGTGGAGAATGGGTGCACAGATAATTAACTGGTCAGATCAGTAGCATGACTGTAAAGTTGAATAATACTTGTCCTTCCGACTAAGGAGAGTCCCAGAGATTGTGGTGGCAGCAAACGAGAAAAATGATGAATGACTGCGGGATTGCGGGATTGCGTTATGGTGGGGGAGGGACAAGATTTTTCTACTATGTCGGGGGTTCGAAATAGGCTTGGAGATCTGGTGGGGGGAACTTAGGAATAACGAAATTTGACTTACTGTATAGTACAAGCTGGAGGACTGCCTTTCTCCCCGGACAGCCATTGCGCAAGACCGGTCGGTTGAAAGTGAATCTGTGCATTTCTTCTTCATGAAGCCTGCACCTGCATTCAATGCGAATGCGCAACTCACCTCTTTGATTTCTGTGATGGACGACATCCGAGTTGGAGGTGACAGACAAGGGAGAAAGAGATCCCCGTCAATTGTGCACAGCGTTCCTTTAATCTGCTCAGAATCCGAGACAGAGGACTCTGCGGGCATCAGTTCGCCTGGTAGATGAGTACTGAGTGATGAGTAGCTTCTATGGTGTACTTAAGCCCTTGTAGACTAGATTTATTTTCATTTGAAAACCCCTATTGCAAACCAACATTGGACTGTGTTTCCTTCATCAAAAACCTTTCCTGTTTGACATGGCCCTTACATAAGCAGCCCAACCGGAACATTGATTCCCCGACATCCGTATTACACGTCTTTTGGATCCTCGTCAGGGGCACACACACACTTCAATACCAGAGCCGTGCCTGACCCGCAAACGCGTGTTGAGGAAAACATGAAACACATGAAACTGTTTCGCTGGGCCGTCAAAAATATTGGCGTTACTGTATTAGGCAATCCTGGATTCCACATTCAGAAATACCCATCTTTGGATTCACCGTCTCGAGTCTGCAACCTTGCCAAGCAAGCACCTGAGCCTCGTGGTTACAGCCTTGCTAATAAAACATTCCTTACCACGCAGGCAAGACATTGGACCGATATATGCCGCACCCCCGGATTTTGCATTGTCGACCTACCTGTCTGCTGAGGCGGGTGGTGTTTTCCGACCGTTCTGGTAGCCCCCTTGGTTCGTACATTTTTTTTCCCATTTCGCGAACTCCTTCGATGGACCTCTTTGACTGAATGCGGGTCAGTAAGCGTTTGTTGCGTGGGTGGGAGTTTTGAACAAGAAGCCTTCAAGTCTACCATCAACCTCCTTGTTCGGTGAATGTAATACGAATTCTACATGCTTACGTTTTACGTATCCTGCTGTGTTCTCGTTTGTGTCACTAGGATTCTCGTCGGCAATTAGCGAGTAAGAAGATTTTATATTCTCTTGTTATCCCATCAGTCTATCGATCGAGTCTCGAAGACGCTCCTGAATTCTATACTCTTGCACCATAAAAGTCATGTATCGAAGAAATTCGTAAATATCAGAGGTCAGCCCGACCGCGGCCTCAGCAACCAGTCCAAAATGAATAGCCTCATATCCCTATTATCCGTCTGCAAACCGTGTTCAAGCATAGACAAATCGTCTCGCTAGTAGACCATCATGATGGCGCCAAAAGGTCAGAAATAATCAACAACGTCCAACTGATTTCGAAAACATTTCAGAATTTGTCACCCAACATCGCACGAGGCACCACGGGGCTCGCATCAAGCCTAAAGCCGTCCAGATCTCTAACCCCTCTCAAGCCACATTCGTTCCCGTGGGCCTCCGATCCGGATCCAAACGCGTACCCATACATTGCGGGTCTTTCTGGCCTGTTGTGGGTGCCGCGGTACAGCCAGGGATCTTGATCTTTTGGGGGACCATGGATGTCGAAATCCACGCTCTCGAAACTTTCTCGGGTGCGGTACAGAGCTGCGGGTGGCTGTAGAGGGAGGCGCATGGAAGGATCGGATGGGCTTGGTGGGCTTGGAGGGGAGTAAGGGATACAGACTTTTGATCGTGACGTCGAGCGGGAATGCGAGATGATGTGTTGGGTGCTCTCGTTACGAGAGTGGCTGTTCTTTTGGATGCTAGACTTGCGAGGGTATTTGGCCCGGTTGAATGCTTTTTGCTGTTTCGTCTTCGACATCGCATCGGGACTGTGGTCGGAATCGTTGGAACGTCGCATCTGTGGTGAGGTTGGGACGGACAAAGTGGGTGACGATTCGAATTGGAACTTTTTGAAGAAGCCATTTTCCCACTGTTTAGGGCTGAAAGCCCCGGCGCTATCAGGGACGATTGTCGAGGATGGGCTGAGGATGTTGGAATCGCTATCTTTACGCGGCTGTAATTCAAGAGCGCGGCCTGGAGGTGTTGCTTGAGCCATCTGCGCGCCAAATCCTCCAGGTGGGGCTCTGGGAAGAGGTGAGGATGGACGATAGATGGACTTCACCACAAAGACGACGCACACTAGAGTGCCAAGGGCTCCTAACCCAACACCCATGAACCACCCTCCACGTATTCCAGACATCCCGTTGTCTCTCTGGTTTGCCACCTGAACTTCAACCGTGGCTGCGAGACCAAGTCCTAACGAGATGGAGTAGTTCACTGTTGTGCTGATGAGACTACCAGCCACCCCCTGCATGTGTGGAGGAAAGAAGTTGGACATGATCAGTGTCGCAGCTGGGAATGACATGTCCATACCGAAAGGCATGACTAACAAGCTGATGAAAGTCCAAGTCCAATAGCTCGTTCTGTCAATATTGGAATCGATAGCCAGCAGCAACGGGCCCAGTGTAAATGCAATCAGTGCCCAGAAAAGAGTCCAAGCGGGCCGACACTTCCGCATCATCCATGCTGTCAGGACCGAAGCGACCAGGGCAACTGGTACTATGGGAAGGACATGCAGCGCAGCATGGAGTGGAGTGTCGTTTTTGATACCAAGTAGGTATTTCCAGAGAAACCAGGTCCAGATACCAAAAGACGCCCAGCCACAAGCGACCGCTCCAAGGACAAATCCAACATCCGCTTTCAGCATCTTGAAAGGTACCAGTGGTTGTTCAGCCACTTTGATTTCAACAATGACGAAGAATGCAATTAGGAGTAGTCCCATGATGAGAAGCATGTAAATGTACTGCGTGCTCCAGCCTGCAGCCGGGGCAGAAACAAGAGCTATCTGTACACAGATTAAGCCGCCAACACCGGTCACTGCTCCAAGCCAGTCCATGTCTTGTAGCTTCTCCTTTGTGGGCCGTATCTGTTTAGGTGTTAGAGGCGGTGAAATGAGGACAACCTGAGCTGTTACTGCCAGCATAATCGAGATGATGGCAAGAGTGTAAAAGCCCCACCACCATGCGGAATGTTCGGAGAATAAGGCACCGAAAAGCATACCAAGGTAAGCCCCAACGGGAGCAAAGAGGCCAAACATGGTGAAGGAGAAAATCTTTTCCTTTGAACCTGGTGGGTAGGTTCGTCCAAGCAAAGCAAGTCCATTGGGGACCATGAGACTCGCTGCGACACCCTGGAATCCTCGAGCGACAAAGAAGACAGGGAATCCCGCATAGTGGCTGAGACCGGCAACGACACTCCAGAAGCTCATGAAACAATAGCCAACGACCACCATAGACTTATGGCCGAAGATGTCTCCTAGACGCCCACCGATGAGGATGAAAGTTCCAAATGACAATGCATACGCCGCTACCAGCCAAGGTAAGATCAAATGGTTCTGGATCGCAAATGATTGGGCGATGTATCGACTGATGGGAAACACTGTCGTCAACGTCGACTGTGGGATGATCTGGAGAAACGCGATCATAATGTTGAAAAGTATTTCTTGTTGCCTTGACATTCTGGTGTATAGCCATCCACCAGGTGGTCCTGGAGGCCCAGTAGGTTTTTGAGTTGTGTGCATCGCTTTCTCCATTTGACTCGGTTCTTGGTGTGGGGCAGTAGGGACATCAAGCTTCAAACCTCTCTTAGACGGGTCGTCCATAACGAATACTCTTGGAAATGCTGTTTATCCCATGCGAGAAACGCGCATGAAGGAAGGAGAACACCAGAAAAACGAAAGGGACTTGTGGGGAGATGAGGGATAGAATGGGGATACCGAGTCATTTACGGCTCATGCGCACGGTGAATCATTGCAGGGTCAGTATGGTAGACACCAGTCGGCACAGACTCACCGATGACGGCCGTTCATTTCTCTCGGACGTTTTAGCATGAAGACTCACTTTCGAAATTTCCCTAGGCTTGGGAATAGTTTGGAAAATCCCTGGCACAGGAAGCATGTGGTACAAGGTTTTGTTATGGCATGTTTGGTTAACCTTGCCGGAAAGTTACAAGCCACCATGCGTCATTCAGCTCGAGATAGTGCATATCCAGAACGAAGGAATCGGCGATTGGCTCAAATGGAAGGTGACCAGGGTTGTTCTGGCTGGGTCACAGGATACGAGATATCAAGTACGAAGCTATGCTGGACACATAACATTGTCTCGGCCCTTGCATGATCACATCCGGTTGAAGGCGACGATCTCCCGAGAAAGAAGTTCGGCAGCGCAAGGTTCATATCGATGACGATCGGTCCACCCTCATAGGCGACTCCATGCTGAGTATGAGGTAGTTGCTCAATCCGTGGACTTCCCAAGTTGAATTGGCGAACAAGATACATCTCACAGATACACCTGGAAGCAGGGAAATATGATGGCAGTAGCTTGCGTTTCACAAGCAGCCACAACACGGTCTATAGTGGACATAATGCGTTTGCAGACGGAGCTCAAGATAAAGCGCAAAGGACAGTGGTCAAGGTATTGGCCCGTCGCGGGCGGAAGTTCGATAAGCAGAACGTTGGTGGGTTATACAGGGAGTCAGAAAAAGGCATCGCCTGCAGTCGGCGAGTCGGAATCTGAGAACAAGGAGATTGGACACTTGCCGGGAAATTGCTTGGCCCTCCCGGATTGAGGCTTGGCGGCAGATCTCAATCAAACCTCTTGCAGATCTCAGCTCCCCAACTGTTGCGTGCATACTCTCAATCAACAATGACGCTCTCGCGATATCGACAATACTTTTAGATCAGACACTAGTGTGCTGGTGGGGAGTGCTCCATATATTATTATGCTTCTCGCCAATCAAACAAGCCGGGCCCTTTGTCCTCAAAGTTTGGTCCTACGCGTTGACGCGGTGTCACGCGTCGACTGCTAATCTTACACGATTGCATTCGCGCGACAATCAGAACAAGTACATATCGCATTAGTCCGGCTCCTGAATGCCATGATAGATATCCTGGTGAGATGTCTATCTAGTGAGGCTGTCTTCAAATTGCTATAAACTTCAAATATCATGGCAAGTAATCAGCACAGGTGAAGATTGCTTGAAGTGCTCAAATAGCCACTGTAAATCGGTGTGGACGATTCTGATTACTATCTGCAAAATATCGGGGCCAAAACTTGTTGCGACTTGGATACGGGGTACATGGGTACCATTGACAGCGGTCAACTAGCATATGCACTTTATCTATACCTGTTACAAGGCAGGAAACTGCACTGAGCCCCGATGCTTCGGACTCGACATTTCAAGGCAGATGAGGAAGCGACAAGCCTCACTTAGCGCTATCATGCGATTATCCAGATGACCGGCCTACCACTTTCCGATTGGAGGTCTAGACTTTTGGCCGAGACAGGGCTGTTTCTTGTGGCTTGTGGCTTGTCATACATGCCTTGACGCTCCGCGACTTCTCTCATCGTTTGACGGTGACCTTCAAAAGCCTCCTCTTGGTCGCATGTCCGGATCTGTGTTGGCCAGTTCTTTCTCATCACCCTTGCGTCGACGTGCCGGGAAGTATCTAGGACAAAGATACGAGCATGTGCACTCCAAACCTCCAAAGGCCACCGAGGATTTCTAAAGAAAGAGCATTCGCGACAGGGAATGATCAGGCACCGCTCTCTGTACGACTAGGCAAACAGGACATCACTGCAATCTTGGCGCAGTAAATCGGAGTCCTAGTTTTTCTTTGTGGAACTGTAAAAGAACAGGATATTTGGCTCAAGTACTCCGTACGTCACACAAGAGCTCTTTGATCCCTAAATTTCAGCCAGGCCTATGCTCAGCACACGGAATTTCGAGCTTCGACCAGAATGTGACACATCCTTTTCTCAGGGTAGGTTCGTCTCTTCACCCCTTCTTGCTAACCCCACAACCGAGAAACACTATGGAGTATCCTCGACTGTTTGTAACAGCTTCCGCAACGACTCCAAAGTCCGCCCTGCATAAGGTCCCATGTCATCGCCATACTTTTGCGGGCCTTTTCCGTCGAAAACCTCGATCGAAAACCACCCTCTGAACCCTGTCTGCAGCACAGCCCTCGTAAAATCCTCTATGGGCAGATACCCGCCATCATATGGCATCGGTCGGTAATCGTGGCTCCACTGACCTCGCGATCGCAGCCCACTATCATCAGGCTTGTCTTGCGAAGGCGGATCCATTCTGTAAGCATCTGAGATCTGCAAGAAGAAAATCTTTTCCGGGGGGACAGTTTCGGACAGCAGCTTGCAGCTTCGTTTCCATCTGTGGTCCAGCTCTGCCCTTTTGCCATCCCCATTCAATCCAGACTCGGTCACTGGACTTCCCCACTCTCCACCAGCGCTCTGGAAAGTGTCCAGGCACAGTCCGAGATTGGGTCTGTTTGCTTTCTGGACTATCTGCCAGACATCTTTCCAAGTGGGCGCGTGTGTTGCCCAACACCAGTTTTCGTAAGCAATCTTGAACCCCTTCTCGGAAAGCATATCTGCGAGTTCGGCCAGATCGGCTGCCAGTTGATCGAAGTTGGCTGAAATGCCCTCTGAATCAGACGATCCGACCTAGCGTGCGCGTCAATATGTCCTTGCCAAAGTTCGTGGCCACCATTTCTCAGTATTGAACTTCCCTAGACACTCACCTGCAGCATATCAGTGCCAACTGCTTCCATGATCCACATCCAACCTCTGGCGCGCTCAAACGCATCTTTTCTCTCGTCGCTGTCCTTTGGCCACCCCTCGAAATTTGCGAAGGGCTGTAAGACAAGCACTTTCAATTTGCGCTGTTCACACAGTTGCCGAATCTCCCGCCCCACAGAGTGAAGACTAGCATAGTCCTTGGGATCAGGCTCAGCACCATTGCTGGATATCAACTTGCCGTACGCCAAGATGTCTGGCATTGACAATTCAATCGCGTCGAAGCCGGCAGCGGCGATGGCTGCTAACTTCTTAGGAAGGGTATGCATTGAGCTATCGTAGCCTATGGAGCATGAGGCATAGCATGTTGGAAGCTTCTCTCCCTTGAAGGTTGCCATGCTTGCTGGTTTCAAATGAACGCAGTTTGTGGATGAATTTCCGTGACTCGATGTCGTTGTCAACAAACCGGGATACACTCCTTTTCGCTTGGTCCTTTGAGTACATCGGATCAACCTATAAAGAAATCCGCTAGAGGAAAGTCCAATGATCTTAATTTTGACATATTGTTTGATGTAGAGTTTTTGACGTCGCTTTGCCCCAGCCAATGTCGGGAGACATCATCCGAACGTGACGTCAGATTGCCCTCACGCTCCGGTTGAAACCCCGGGGGGGGTTCGAAAGCCAACTGACGGTCGACATCACGATGAGTGGATGCCTGTGAAAGAGATTCTGGACAGTGATTAAGAAGCGGCTGGAAGGCTACGGGCAGGGGATGATACGACGGACGGTCTTAGGAAACATCTCGGCACTGCCGTATGGTTCATGAGCCCTTCTAGACATCTGATTGCGACCGAGTCTAGGTACTTCAGTCCGATTCTTGGAAAACTGCTCTATCTGTCTATTCTGTACATCAAACCTCGCTCATATGGAAAAATCCACCACTGCCACTCGGCCCTAGCTAACATTGTAGCTAACCCGACTTGTCCCTTTACTGCGACTGATCTTCTTCACCCCGACCTTGCCACACTGATCCGTGGCGTCGACATGTGTGCCGCCACAAGGATAGACCTCAGCACCGACAATCCTAACAACTCGGTACTTCTCGCCCGGTGCCAACTTGACACCCTCCTCAGTGGGGATCAATCTCTCCAGCCCATTCTTCCTGAAGTCATGCTCATCCCAGAAATCGATCTCCACGGGCATAGCAGCCTTGATATACGCGTCTAATTTCTCCTGGATGTCCCCTTTCCATTTCCCTTCTATCAAGCCCTGGAATTCGCAAGCCGCTGAGTCAGGAAAATGTGAAGCTTTGAGCTCGTCGAATCCCTCGATCTTCTCTTCAAGAAGATGTCTCACCGCCGAACCCAGCACGTGGCCGGCAGTGTGCAAGCGAGAGTAGAGCAATCGCTTCTCCACGTCGATGCTCTGCGTGACCGTTTCGCCGGTGATGAAAATTTTGTCCGGTGACTCGAAGCGGCCGAGGTGGAGAACTTGGCCTTCATTTAAGGCGTCCATCCGCACCATAGAAACCGCGAGTTTTGCCCCCGATGTTGAAGATGTTATTTCACCGACGTCGGATGGCTGGCCTCCGCCTTGAGGGTGGAAAATGGTTTCCTTGGTGGTGACCACCGAGTCATCTTCGGCGGCGGTCTTGAAAAGGAGCCGGTTGGCTTCTGCGAGCGACGCGAAAGGAGTGATGGATGTTATCACTGTGGAGAGATTGCACAGTTTTGCATTGGTCTGAAATGACAGGATAGTGCGAGCGATTGGGCTCGACATCTTTTTGGATGTGTAGCAAAGATGTCAGACTGTACTAGCTGCTAGCAATCCGTGGCGGGCGCTGTGATATACTCGAACGTTTTGAGATCCTTTTGCATAGTTTGTTCAACCACGCCCCCTTGATCTGCCCGTGTGGGCGTTTATGAGGACATTCCGCCTCTGTCTATGACTCTTAATATCCGACCAAGAACTCGTTCCCGCACACGAGAAAGAGATGAAACGTGGTATGAAGAATGACGAGGAATTAGATAGAACGGATAATTAAATAGGACCAGGTCAAAAGGCGCGGCCGAGGCCGAAAATGGTACCTTCCCTTTTAGACTTCCTTGGCACCAACCTTGAATGTGCATAACGTCTGTATTTCCCAAATGCTACACTCCATTATGAAAGAATAACTACGAGTAGTCTCAACAAAGGTAAGGGCTGGCTGGCTGTCAGCTACGCCGTCTCCGAGGACCGAACTGGAGATGAAAGCATCGTGAAAGAACCCTCCTCGCGCCTCTTGCAGCAAGAGACACGGAATTCAATACTTCCAAGCTGTTTCGCCAGCAAAAGCGGCCTTGCAACACGCCCTGTCGTCCAGCTATAAGCCCACAGAGTGGTGGATCGCGCTCCTCCCGCTTGGATCTGCTAGAGGTTCTCGATTGAGATGGATTTGCACTTAGTTGTTGGATCTGGAGGCGTGCATGGCCGCGTCCTCTCGCCCGACGACATATTGGCTTGGGTCCTTGGTCATTGTCCAGCATTCTTCGCCGTTGGCTGGATACGAATGGGCGGCATCGACATGTGTGCTGGGACTCGCGCTTCAGAGGGTTCGCGTCATGGTTTTTCAGTGAGGGACGACATTTCTCGGTAGGTGTGCAGACCATGGCTGCCCTTGGAACACAGGAAGGCATCGTAGGGCATGTTGCGAGTCCTCGTTGTCTGGCACTCTGAAAAGAGGACGCTATACGGAACACCCAGTGATCTGGAAGGTGCGCTTCGTTGGCGTCGTGATTGTTCAAAATCCTAGGATGGTGAAATATTTGATGCTTCGAGATCTAGCTATACTTGTCTAATATGGCTCTCTGGGTCCCCGTGGATCCAGACTGATTCAAATACCTATGTATTCTCACAGCGCCCTGTCTCAGGATCACATGTAGAAGGGTATTGGTCGAGTCTGCCTTACAGTTGGTCTTCGTCGTCAGGGTCAGGCTGTACAAACCGTTCTTGATGGGCCCATCTTCCCTGTCGTTGCTGTGGCGGCGGACTTGTCATTGCAACCGAGGCGAAGCCTGACGTGACGACAGGTTTAACATCCTCTTGCTCAGGTTCTTCTTCCCAATATTCCTCCTCGTCCTCCTCCTCCTCCTCCTCCTCCTCCTCCTCCTGCTGCTGCTGCTGCTGCTCCTGCTCCCGCCCTTCCCCTTCCCCTTCACCTTCGTCCTCCTCGTCTTCAGTGACACTAACATCCTCGGCTTCGGAGCCCAGCTCCTCAGCGATAAGATCTCTACCTTTAGTGGCGCGTTTCCGCTCTTTCTCGTATTGTTCATCATTTTCGTCTTGATCACTACTGTCGTCGCCGCTCCCCCCACTATCCTCATCGCTACTGGGGTCATAGTCTTCCTCTTCCTCGTCTTCCTCATCATCGAGTAGCTGCTGAGCCTTCTCAAGCTCCGTTCTTCCGTCCTCATCATCACCGTCCCCATTCTCTGCCTGTGCCACTGCAGCTTTCCCGTTCGAGGCTGTGTTCACCTTCGTGGCTCGCCGAGATTCCGCCAGGCTTGCATCCTGCAGGCCGTGCTTCTTTATATAAGCATCGATGCCCGGGAAATCCGCCTGGTCAAGCATGGAAAATTCGATTTCCTGGATGTCAGGCAGTTCCTCGGCCGCGGAACCACCCTCCCGATAGGCAATGTTGAGATTAAATGTCCTCTGGAGAACACTCGTGTAGCTTACACTTTCAATATTTTCGAACGCAAAGAAACTGAGAGGCTTCTTGAAGCCAAAGAATATGCCGTTATGAAGGAAGAACAGGAAGCCATCTTTGCTGCCGCGGAAGGCGCGCACGTGGTATGCTGTCTCTTTTTTGCGGTGCGACTCCGGTGTGGCGGACGCGAACTCATCAGTTGAAGGCTGTGTGAGTTCCACACTGTGTCGCGATAAGACGAAGGACAAGGCTTCCTCAAAGATTTGGTCGTCAGAGCCAGCCCGTTGTGAAGCAATGGCAGAAAGCGCGGTGGAGTGTATGGTGAGAGTCTTCACCGGCCCATGCAAGACCGTCCAGATCATTGGCTCCGCAGATGGTTGAGCTGAGGAGACAGGGGCTGTAGTTGGGAGCAGACAGAAATTATATTGTTTGGTCGTCTTTTCCGGGACGGGCAACCTTAAAGCATAGGCGAAATGTGACAACGGGATTTCCAGCTCGACCTCATTCGTCGCGGGGCTACGTATGAAGATTGAGAAGGTGGTTGTAGGGGCGTCTATATCCGAGCCGTATTGTGCCACTCCAAGATGGTATTTCTTGCGCTGGGGTAGTGAGAAAGAAACATCGCGGGCCTCAAGCACCACCTCACGTGGCTGATTATTGTGCTGTCCACCAACGTTCGTGGTTGGGGGAAATGAGCCGTTCAGTTTGCGCTTTTTGGATGCAGGTTCCTCGTGGCTCGGTGTCGACGTCCCATTCGACGCATCCGAGGAGAGATGGTACTGAGCTATGTCTTGAAACAATGTAGTATATTGAGGGGTTGCACCTGCCCAACAACAACATGTTAGCACAAGCTCTGGGATTTTGTGCGGAAATGCAATATATGGGATGGGGCCTTACCAATGGCATCAAAGATGCGTTTCTTGAGGTTAGTATTAGCGGCGAATGCGCGTTCTATCACTTCGCTAGAGGACATGCCGTCTATGCTATCGAGGACGGCAATAAACAGTAGAAGACCTCTGGTAAAATGAGCGTGACCTGGATATCAACAGTCGGGTGCTGAGGCAGTATGAGGAGAATGGTCAGGAGAGATGATGCAATAATGGAAATTCGTTGGTGGTGCGGAACAATTGATTAGCCGAAAACGCGTGTCGATTTGGGACGGACGCGTCGGGTCTCATTAAATAAACGGCTTAGTTAAAGTTTTACTCGACGTTCCAATTCATCCGTTGACGGTCAGTTCGTGGAGATAGCTTTGGCAAGCATGGATATCCGGAATAGGAGTAAGATAGTAGCACCACCCCTTTAATCATACACCCCGGCATCAAATTTTTCCTTGGGCCAGAACCTCGCATTGATTTGATTCCCATTGAAGATGCGGCCCTCCAGAGCATTGACCGCACGCAAAGCACTCAGCTGGCTCACAAATGCCACAAATACCAGTGCTTGCTCGTCCTCACTCTCTGCCCGATGAATGTAGACACGCTGTACGCTGCCGTACTTCTCGCCGCACTCCTCCCCGATTTCCTGCATGATACCTCCTTGCCCTCGCTGGAGTTCCTCATCCAAATCAAGCCCGTCAAGCATTCCATCCAATCGAACCACCTCTGACATGGCACCGAACTTCCCCTCTTCTTCTGCTTGCGCTGACTTGGATTTGTTGCCTCCCAGGATTTTGCCCATGGTAGTAGGTGTGGCAAACCCGCCTCCTTCTGCATCAGATTTCTTCTTTCGCTTATCTGCTTTGGCATACAAAGGATTGATGATGCCGGTACCTTGGGCGCCCAATCCTTGTCCTTTGGACCATCCATATTTCGACATGAGTCGTTGGGCAAATCCAGCCTGGCCAGGGCGATTGGACCGAGGCGCGTCCGTTGATGTGTCCCCTCCAGCTTCCGGCTCGGCAAGCTTCTCTTCTAGCTCTGCTTCTGACGAAGGAATTTCTTCGGGCGCTGCAGGTAGGTTATACCGTACGGGTTCACGTGAAATTTGTCCAGTAGGTGGGGGTGGAGGGGGGGAATTGGTAGACTGCATTTGACTCATGCGCAGTCTTCGCATGTAGGCATCCTCACCAGTTGGATCGTCTGGGATATCTGCTGGAGGCGGGGGAGGTTGATCGAGAGGTGGTGGTGGAACATCGTCATCGTCATTGATATCGGGAGGTGGTGCAAAGGACATGGGTGGAGCAAATTGTTCTGCAGTAGATTTGAGCACATGATTCAGAGGCCTAACGTGTAGGGACTTACTGTTCACGGGGGGGCGATAATCATCACTGGCGGATGCAGAAGAATCCCTGCGCCTCATCTTGTGTCGATACAGAAGATCCTTCCAATCCCTGATCTCATGAACCTTCTCTTCGCTGTGTTTGTACTCATCGTAGTTGTTGGGTCGGCTGGGGTCGTAAATATCGTCCCAATGCTGAGTGAGCACGGCGGCTTCTTTATTCTTCTTGCGCTTTTTCCTTCCACCCCGCTGCCGTTTCTCACCCTGGTAGAAGTTGTTCACATCCTCATCGTCCGAGGCAGTAGCGATCCAATCCGCAAGTGTATTTTTGGGTGCGACAGTCTGCAAGGGAGGCTGCTCAACCGAGGTTTTTAGGGTGGAGCCGCGTGGGACGATTGTAGAAGTAGTGGTGGCGGTGATGCTACTGGTGGCCGGAGTAATGGAGCTGGAACTGGCAGGAGGAGGCGCAAACTTGCTAGCAATGGCCTTAGCCTTTGCTTTTTGAGCAGTAATTTGAGGTCTTTTGGTGGGTTGAAATCTTAAAGAAGCTGTTGGGGACCAAGTGAACCATGGCAAGACGTGAGCAAATCCGTATCCAAACCTTTCAGGTCCTTACGATGATTGATGTACCAGCCAGAGCTTGCTGTTTCTTGACAGCTTCATCTTGTTCAGGTGATCTATTGTATGAGACAGGCGCACTGGAGATGGTTCCAGGTGCAGTGGCATTTTTGGGATCAAGGAGATTTGCGTATAAGGATAGGCCACCTCGCGGTGGAGGTTGCGCAGGAGGGGTGTTGTTGGCCATGACCGGGACAAGCACAGTCTTCACAGTCTTCACAATCTTCACACGGTTCTGTTTTGGCTGTCTGCGCGCTATTTGGAAAGATTGTGTAAAGGAGGGATGAGTCAAGCCTGTCCGAGTTGTTCGGAAAATGTAGATCACGTGACGCGTCTCCGCACGCACACCGGCAGCCAGACACCCGCTGGAGGGAGCTAAACCAGAAGTGGCACCTGCGTTGCAGCCTCGTGGAGCCGAGCCTTGAGAGAGAACCAACAGGTCAGTTCGATATTACTCCCTTCATTTCTTCAAACTTTGATAAAATGGTTTTTTCAAGTTTTGGCGCATTAGTTTATGATCACTTGTCGTTCGAACAGTTTCTGAATTAAGAACCTTCATCCATGCTAGGAATTGGGGATACCATGGTGCTCCCATGATTGCGCACGGCTCTTCACCCAATCGACAACGCAGAATAAATTTCCAAATTAGAGCCCGGATTCAAGCCTATTCACCGTTGAGATGGACGTCAATGAACAGCATGCTCGCTGCGCTAGTGATCTCCCTAAGAGACCCAAACGGCGCCAACATATCTTGGTGAATAATATGGGAGTCCTGTGCCTGGGTCCGCCTAGTGAACAGCACTATCAGAGAACGCCAGCGCCGAACCGAGTTCGTCGCATGGCCCGGAGTCCAACATTCAGCACCACAGATCCCAGTCTAACTGCTTTTCTAAGATTTCCGCCTGAAGTTCGGCTGAAAATTTATCGATTATTGCTACACTGCGACGACGATCTCGCGTTCCCCCTTTGCCCCGCTCACCCTCGTCTTGTTTATCGCCCCGGTTGGAAATACCGAAGCCGTAAGGCCGTTCGGCATCGCCTCTTCCCATCGATTCTGGAGTGTTGCAGGACAACCTACATGGAAGCCAGCCCGATTCTCTACGGCGAGAACTGGTTTCAAATGGAGCACCGCTTCGTGCTAGATTACATGCCGCACGTGGAGCAAACATGGCCAGTGGCACGCCACAGCCTTCGCGAGATCACGAAGCTCACAGTGCAGCCCCCCTGGCATTTAGGCTACAGCAGCCAAAGTCCGATCGAGTTCTTACAAATACCACTGATGCACAGCCTTAAGATTATGGAGTTCACGCTTCCAGGGATGTCCGCGACTGAATTGAGAGAATTCCTCGTCATGACAATGTCTCATGTAAACCACGTTCCCCAACTCACTCTGGAGATCACCATGCGCTATCACACTATCAACATGTTCCATCATTCCTACCCTCAGATTGATGCCAAAAATCGTGAGCTTTTGTGCATCACTGGATACGAGCCTGCCGTTTTGAAGGGTATAAGCGCACCCCAGAATGGATGCGCTGGTTTAGAGGGAACAGAGGTCTGGCCGATGAGACAGATATCCTGGGAACTCAACCAAGATGTCGATGAAAACGAGATAACCCATGGCCTAATAGGCTATTTGTTCGTCCATCTAACTCAGGAAGGAGTGAAAAGAGTTCTCGAGCGTCGTGTTCCCAAAGGGAATTACAATACCACAGATTGAACAAATCGATTACGCCCCCCTGAGCTAATGGGCCAGGGAGTGCCTCTACACTCCGATTTCTGACCATGACGGACTCTGATTTGGACTGGGACTGGATATGTCCCGACTAAGCTGATGATACTATGTTGCGACGTGCTTTGTGCTAGGATATAAGAGTAATCTGCCTTTGTTTTCCCTTCTCGGTACAGAATCACCCCAGCCAGGTAAACTCTTGGGATTCCGGCATCATCGACAAGGTCCATGTGCTGCAGGAACGAGGGCTGCCACAATGTTTACCAATGACCGCAGTAGGGTAGCCAAAGGCAAAGACGGAAAGAGAATTACTAGACGTACGAAGAATGCACGCCAGGTGGTAAGGTTTCTCTATGTCCTTGCGATCTCACCGGGCGTGAAAACTGCGAGAAGCTTGTATGTCTGGGCATGGAGGAATACGGGCATATTGATGCGATCTACAATAATGCAGGAATGGCATACTTTGGCTGGATGGATGAAAGCAAAGATGAGGACTGGTACGAGACAGTCGATCAAGAACTTAGCCTGGTTTATCTCCTCACTCGAGTTGCATGGCCGCAAATTAAGGTGTCCGGGGCGTCGGGTATCAATGTTGGCTCTGTCAACGGATGAGTTGCCGTTGAGCATGTTGCGGTGAAGGACGGCATCATAGCCATGACAAAGGAGCTGGCAATGAAAGGGCGTACTCATGGCATTAGGGGCAACTCGGTTTCACCAGGGGTCATTGAGACGCTCCAGACAGCACCATTGACGAAGAATTCCGACTGGTCGGCAGGAATGCTCAGCTAAGTCATGCTGGGCCGTTTTGGAAGGCCAGATGAGAGTTCATACATTTCTGGTATCGATTCAAGATCAATAGAGGACTGACAGCTTGGTAATGATCTCGAATTTCAGGCTATGTCAAAGCTGGTTGACGACTGGGAATATGAAAAGCCAAAGGGCAATCTCATTCGCTTGTTCTCTATCGATATCGAGGCCGGGGCCTTGGATTTTTGAAGAGTTGTGCCCAGGTCGTCAAGCCATCATGTGGACGTGCTGAGTTAGTGGAACAGACAATCTAGACACTTGTTGGAGAAGAACTTTCTCCATCTCACTCCTGCAATGCACCTGTCCTTTATGTTGAACCCCTTCAAAGTGAGTAGATAAACATGTCTTACGCGAGAAATAGGTCACTGGAGCTCAACCCCACGCAACAAGTCACTGGGCAACGCAGATGGCAACCATAGAAGACCACATAGACCACAACTTTCACTAACTAGACCACATTGATAGTGTTGTTACTGGTGAGGTTTAGCCCCGAAAGCCTTCAGTGGGAGCATTTCCGGCCCGCGCATTACTATCAGGCCAGATACCCGCGTGGCTTTGGAGGCACTTGCTAACGCGTTGGAGCGCACAGGGATGTCATATTCAGCATCGGAAGCTGTCGGCGGAGAATGCAGACCTTGTGTGATGTCTGCCAGGTATAAGAATGAGAATGGTGCCTCATCCGGAACGTTGGATGTGCGACTGCGTGCCGGAAAGATGCAGCCCCATTACTCCGTACCATCCTTCCGAGCAAAAAGCCTGAAACAGTGTGACAATGGTTTCGAAAGAAAATCCACTACCTCCTAAGTCGGTGCACGAGTAAACATCAAATGGAGTGCATTGATGGCTGTAAAGGGGTTTTCTCGGAGTTTTCTCGTGGCGCTGCAAATGTATTGTCGTTGGAACGAGAAATGCTACTCGTAAACGTTTAGCAACTGGATTAGGAGTCATGAATTCTCCATCATGCGAGGAAGCCTTGGCATTTATCACGTGGCTGAGAGTTGGTCTCGCACACGTCACACCGAAATAAACTGGTCTCTCGAATTCCTTCTATGTTATTTCAAAATCATGTGCTATATCTCTGCTGGCTGCAGTGACTCAGTGAATCCATGAGGCTTCGATGTCTAGTGCTGTCACGTGCCTGATTCAGAGAGCGGACACCGAGTATGTACAAACTACTGTAGATAGAGGCCGGAGTACTGGTACATACGAGACACGAGGGACGACGGCCATTTATTTTTGGGGCCTAGGCACTCAATGCCCGCCCCTTCAATAAGCCCTACCCACTCACCCGGCGTCCCCCCTGCAGGCCTGCAAGCCAGGGATTAGGGATGCGCGCAGGGGATCATCATCTCGTGCCCAAACATGCAGTGATCTCGGATCACTGTTTTACTCACCTTTGCTACCCACGTTCCGTTCAATGACAGCCTTGATTCGCAACAATTGAACCCGATATACATATTTTAGTCTACTATATACTTCATGGTCATCGAAGTGCAATCAGTGGAATGATATAGGACTCTCGCGGCCGTTGGGAGTCTGGTCCAGGTCTAGTATCACGTCATTTCGTTTGGTTACCTATCTCTGCTCGCCTTTTTTTTCTTTCTGTTTCATCCGATAAACACCTTGCCAGTCTTGCGCGTCCTTCCGATCCCTACATCGCTCTATCTCTCTTCTCTACCATTCTGCCTTTCAGTCCGCTGTTCACTCCGTTAGGTTCCCTTCAGCAGATATGGTAGCGGCCACTCTGTGTACGTCTTTCCCAGACACTTCGGCAACTGCTATCATCGTCCCTAGCAAACCCAACCCTCTTACCGTCTCCTTTGCTCAATTGTCCCGAGATATCCTTCAATTTCAGGCCCAGCTGTCCCAGCTCGGTATCCGGCACGGCGATGCAGTTTCAATAGCGCTACCTAACAGTTATGAATTTATCGTGTCCTTCCTCGCGACCTCCTACCAGAGAGCCATTGCCGCTCCATTAAATCCCGCATACAAGCAAGATGAATTTGAATTCTACATTGAAGATCTCTCCTCCGCTGTGGTGATTCTGCCTCACGGAGCATTTGCTAAGAATGGGCCTGCAGTGCGGGCTGCGAGAAAATACCAGGCAGCTATTGCCGAATGTTTCCTCCAGGACTCGAAGCTTGTACTCGACATCAAAGAGCAGGGCAAACTGGCGCAGCGGCAGTCCGAACCAGTAGCGCATGCTCAGCCTGAGGATGTAGCTCTGGTTCTACATACCAGCGGAACTACTGGAAGACCGAAGGCTGTGCCTCTAAGTCACCGCAACCTCACCCGGACCATGCAAAATATTGGCAATACCTATGAACTCTCGCCCAAGGACCGGACATATCTGGTAATGCCTTTGTTCCACGTGCACGGGCTCCTGGCTGGGTTCCTTGCTCCTTTGAAGGCTGGTGGTTCTGTCATTGTCCCTCCAAGCTTTTCTGCTCGATCATTCTGGGCCGATTTCATCACACATAAAGCGAACTGGTACACAGCGGTGCCTACAATCCACCAAATCCTGCTTAAGAACCCGCCGCCAAATCCCATGCCTCGGATCCGGTTTGTTCGATCATGCTCTTCTCCTCTATCTCCTAAAACGTTCCGTGAGCTAGAACGAACATATGGTGCACCGGTATTAGAAGCATATGCCATGACAGAAGCCGCCCATCAAATGACTTCGAATCCACTGCCACATCGAGGCAAACGGCAACCAGGCAGTGTTGGCTTTGGGCAGGGTGTGGATGTCAAGATCCTCAACGACCAGGACAAAGAGGTACCTCAGGGTATGGAGGGTGAGATCTGTATCCGAGGGGAGAATGTGACTCGCGGCTACATCAACAACGAAAAGGCAAATAAGGAGGCCTTCACATCCAATGGTTTTTTCCGGACGGGCGATCAAGGCAAGAAGGACGCAGATGGTTATGTCATCATCACTGGGCGAATCAAGGAGCTGATCAACCGAGGAGGAGAGAAGATCAGTCCAATTGAACTGGACCATGTGATAGCTACACTTCCTCAAGTGTCGGAAGCAGTCAGCTTTGCCATTCCCTCGGATTTATTTGGTCAGGAAGTGGGAGTCGCGGTTGTACCTAAGCCAGGAAGCACCGTGACGGAGGACGCTATCACAGCATACGTGGCTAGCAAGACAGCCAGCTTCAAGAAGCCAAGCAGGGTATGTTCGGAGACGCTAACCCCAGATTTCTGGGTCCGGACATGTGCTAACGATTTGACTTTGCAGGTTTGGATTTTGAAAGAGATTCCCAAGACCGCGACGGGGAAGATACAGCGAAGGAAAGTGGCAGATTCGATGCTCGCCAAGGACGAACCACGACCTAGACTGTAGAACGAGGGCAGAGACGCCCGAGAAGTCGGGGTGGCTTGAAGAGTTGTTCCTATTCTTTTTCGTGCATGTATGGATACAAGGCATAAAGGGGGCAGGGTGAATGTTTTGGCGGACCCTGCATCTCTGCGGAAGAGCCCGGGCAAGGCTGTGAAGAGACCGAAAAGACATGCTCCACGTCCTAGGCTGTAGATCTGACAATGACCCTGGCCATGTCAGCTGGGGGACACATGCAGATGAGCTAGTTAGATGGATAGATAGCTCTTGCAGTCCTGGGGTAGCTGTGTAGCTGGGTTCACAACCCTTGAACCTTGATGAACTCCGGAACATCTGCACGCCCTATTCGTGCTACGCCCTGTGAAGCTGTGAGGGCTTGTCCTTATATTGTGGAGATGCGGAGCAGCTGGGCTTCTGTTTTCGTTAGTCTTCTCACGTCGACTCCAACATTCGGATGGGGGATCTGTGAGTTGCACATCGATTTCCCGAGATATCTCATCCGTCACTCAACACACGCATCTAGCCTTTCTAGCCTGTACAGTTCCCATATGTCTGCTTCCATATTCTTCCGTAACAGTTCACGCCAGATCAGCCAGTCTCATCGTCAGTACTCATTCGCCCGCTCAGTTGCCTCTCAATCCCGACTGTCGGCGTCCCCGCATCTCACCCACAACTCGAAACCAATCAGCAGCACTCCCCTCTGCACACTCACAACCACGCACCTCAGGATGTCCTCAACGTCCTCCGCTGCACCCGTCTACGAATGGCTAGTGCACATTCCAGATCTCCCTGGCGCGCTCGACAAGCGACTTGCCGTTCGTCCGGAGCATCTCTCGAACCTCAAGCCCAGCATCGATGCGGGCAAGGTCGTCTTTGGCGGTGCTCTGCTGTCCAAGCAGCCTGCGGAAGGGGAGGCCCCAGACATGGTGGGCAGCTTCATGATGATCAAGGCCGAGAGTGAAGAGAAGGTGCGGGAGTGGATCGAGAAGGACGCCTACACCAGGGGCGGTGCGTGGGATGCGAAGAATGCGAAGGTCTACCCATTCCGATGTGCAGTCAGGACAGCCATGTGAGGACTCGTGTGTCAGAGAGGTCGGGGGACATGGACATGGACATGGACACGGTGTGGTGCATGCCTTATCCGTGGTGGTATGGGCATGTAAAGCTTTCTACGCATGCCGGTGTGACTGTGCCGGCTACAAGTGCCAATATATGATCCCACCATGGCAACAGCTATTGATTGCTAGACTTGGTGGAGCCTTACACCTCTCTCCTGTCTACGGAACTGATGACCGATCCTAGAATCCAGTCACAGCCGCTGTCTCAACAAATCCATGTTTCATGCTCCTCACATATTTACAAAAGCTGCAAATGTGATGTGGGACACGTGATACATGACACGGCAACGTGCCTGATCGTTCATTCTCTGTGGCCAACCGTGTAACCGCAGCCGTCACCATGACGAGAAAAGAAGCCCAGGACAGAATTGCTGCTGAGAAGGGACCATCTCGGGAAATATTGAAAGATTGTCTTCGGTGACGACGGTAGGAATGGAATTTGCTGACGTCCCCTTCCCTTCCTGTCTTGCCTGACTGACTGTCGGCCCAATCCGCCCATTCCTGCACGTTGCCATGGTGCAGCTCAAAAAAGAGAAAGCGAAGCACAAGAGAGCCTCGCCAGATCCAACAGTCTCTGGCTCTGAACATATTCAACTTCTCAAAACACTGCTTACCGCTTCGAACCTACCCCCTAGCCATCATCTTGAATCTCTGTGTATCAACACTTTCACTATCTACCTCCTGCTCTTTTCCCCATTGCCACAATCATCTTGCAAATCATTATCAGCAATTGAAACGATGAAGCTCCTCACTATACTCCTGTCCATAACCCTCCTTGCCATCAAAGCTCTAGCTGACGAAGGCCACGGAGACCACGTGGCCTCGGTGGTTGAGAATAACCCCAAGTCAGCCACATTCCAAGCTGTCCTGCAAACTGGCAAGCCTGTCCAAGGTCAAATCACTGGGGTTTCTCACGACAATGGTACTGGGGTCGATTTCAACATCAATTTCTTTGACTTCCCGCCTTCTGAAGACGGACCATTCAGTAAGTCTGCTATTTTGTGCCAATCCACCCGCCCAGTTAACTAAGAAAGCATCTTCTCCCTCTAGAATACCACATCCATGTAAACCCCATCCCCGAAGACGGCAACTGCACCGGTGCTGGGAGTCATCTGTCGCCCTATGGTCGCCCAGACACTCCAGACTGCAATACCGACGATCCTTCGACCTGCCAGCCAGGCGACTTGAGCGGCAAGCACGGCGTCATCGACGACACGGCCGAAGAAAGAAACTTCCAACGCAGCTACCTCGACCTATATCTGAGTGCCAACCCAGAAAATCCCAGTTTCTTCGGCAACCGCTCCGTTGTCGTCCATGCCCTGAATGGCACAAGGTTGAATTGTGCCAACTTCACCCAACAGTGGCCGGCCAATAATGGAAGTGGAGGGTACGGACCCGAAGATTATAATCCTGTTAATGGGGATAACGGCTCGGATGCGCCTGCAAATGCATCGAAAGGTGGTGCGGAAGGCATGTTCAGGAGCCTATATCCCGAGCTTTCCCTCCCACTAGTGTTGACTGTCGCTTACGCCATTTTACTGCTCTGATCACCCAATCTGACACGAGAATATCTTGAGTAGATCAGTGGCGACAACTGGGACTGGCTGGCAGGGGTCAAATCTCTCGTTTCTCAGCATAATGGCAGGTGGACACGTTCAGGGATCATCATTTGTCAAAGTCCAAATTGCTTTCACATGGAGTTCATGGTATCATATCAAAGCGGCTAAAAAATCCGAACGGACGCGGAATAAGCAGGCCGCGCAAATTACTGTAGAAATAGCAAGTAATCAATCACAATCAGAATCATCATCGGTTTCAGTGTGCAATGGGTGCTTCTTGTTCGCTGACTGCTCGAGAGACCTAGTATCAAGACAACAATCATTTCGTAGCATGCACCGGCAGACTTGAAATCGTCCCAATTTGGGGACTTGTCGCAAGGACTCAAATGAGGCTTGCTCGACTCAGCTTCGCTGAGAAGATGCTTCTAGTGCATACATGGACTAGACTGATGTCGACGGTTGCATTGGATTTTAGCAACAGCATTCATCTCGCGCTGGCCTCGCTCCCGTCCATCTCGCTCAGAAGCCAGGCATCCAGATCCCACATAAGTCATAATCCCACTCAATTGTCTAAAACACAGACCCATCCGCTGTCCGGACCAACTCAATTCAACCGCTGCAAAAACCCTTGCTGAATCAACCTCTCGACATCCGCAAACCGGACGTAGAACTGGCTGTTCTTCGTCAGATTGATCGCGCCGTATTCCGTCTGGATCTCGCCCGCATCGCGCAATACACGCACATCGATGAACAGATCCCTGGGCGGCGTCAGCGACCCGGTGAGGTCGACGTCCGTCCACTGGCCCTTGTACGCCGACAGCAGGTCCGTGTACTGGCGGAAATACTCCTCCTCCTCGGGCGAGAGAGAATTGTTATTCGAGGGTTGAGCGTTCTCTGCCATGGTCTGCACATCATTGGTGGTGGTGGGGTGATTGGTACTCGGGTCGAAAAGGTCCTTTCCCTCCCAGCACCACGCCTCGACCCGCTGGGCGCGCACACGGTGGTACGCCAGCAGGCAGCGTTTGTTGCGGCGCATGCTGAGGTGGTCGACGAGCAGCGCGCACGCCGTCGCGGGGTGTTCGGCCGGGTTGAACGTGTTCTGCGTCAATGTCTCGCCATCCTCGTCCGTCACGCTGCTGCTGAACGGCGCCAGGATGTTGGTCACATCGCGGTCGAGATCGCGCACTTCGCGCACGCATGCGCGCACCAATTCCGTTTGGTACGGTGGTAGAGTCGGGAGGGTCAGGGTGCGTTTGGCGTGTTGGACCTGGATGTTGGAAGGGCGAGAGACTGGTTAGTGGTCGGAAGGGAACGAATGCCGGCGGTGGAACTTACGAGCTTGTTCCCAAGCTCTCCGTGCATTGGAGCGACATGGATCTGCTGTGGCTTGTGGGCGTGAGGTGAGGTGAGATGACCTGTGGAAATTCATTAAATATCGACAAATGACAAATGGTAGAGGAGAGAGCGTGTACGTGTTTGCGGGGTTTGATCGACACGCGTGAGAGGGGTGGTCAGTCCCGGGCCAGTCACGGGCGCGCGAAGGCCTCTTCTTTCCCCTTCTTGGTCACATGACTGCAATGCTTTCATCCTACCGCGGCATCCAAAATATCTCGTCATCCAGAGATAGGGCAGGATTTGATTCGATTACATCAGACAAATAATGATCGCTCTCCTCAGTTTTGTCTGTCTTGAATGGACTATTAGTCTGATATCTGTTGCGAAAATACTATTTACTGTATGACAGCTGGGATGGATATGGCTTCAGGAGAGTGTGAGTGTGAATCTGTTTGATCTAAGACGCTGACATTCATTGTTCAGGAGACAGCATGTCTCTGGCTTGTTTTCCATGTGTCGTATACATTATGTACGTCGTGATGCGAGGTGAGTTCATTCTCGTGCCTTGCCGATGGAGCAAGTCCTGCTCAGTGCAAAAGCCTCAAGGGAAATGGAGAATTTGGGCGCAAGGCTGAACCCCTTTGTGGGGCAAGGCTGCCCTTCCAATATGCCGCCGGATGCGATCAGAAGTTCAGAACGTCAAGGGATCGGCATCAAGCTTTGGTTGCTGGTTCGCACTACGGTGAACTGGGCCGATGATATTGGTGTTGATATGATTAATTGGGTAGTGCTAGATTGCACCACTCTATTGAGACGATGACATGGTCATTGTCAGGATGTACTGAGTATCATCATGGACAGCTAGGAGCACGAGCAGCTCTCAAGCTGAATGCAGCTCATAGTTTCACTGTACTACCATTGAATAATGTCACTATGAGCATTGAGCTTCCTGCTGGTCCAAACTCACACAAGAGCCATCAGCACTCTACAACTGCTGGGACGATGAGGCGTTACGATCGGACCGGGCGTAGCCTTGTATAGCTGATAACAGCAGTTCTACAGAGTTTACACATACACCCAATGCTTCTGAAAGACGTATTGAGTGAAAGATTGTAACTTGTCACAGCATTGAAGGTCGTCGATTACACTTGCCATCATTACATAGTTTTTCTTGAAAATATTGTGTCTGCTGCGTCTATGACCCTTACTCAATTGGAGCTGCTTCTGCTTGTCCTGTCAAAGCAAGCAAAGCTCTCAAGGTCTGATTGAACACCACTGCCCAGATCCCCCTTGCTGACCCACGTACTGGTGGTTGGTGATCTGTAAAAGTCAGGTCGGTGTTGCGGGCCCGTTCCTTTTCAGTCGATGTGGAAAGCTGCAAACGCTCCACCGTGTAATCAATGTCTCCTTTTCCCTCTCTCTATCCGTACAAGCACCTGTGAGTCTGTTCTTCGGCAATTCCTCTGATCATTAATTTCGAAGTGCCATGAGCCGCCCTTTGTATTGTGAAACAGTGGTAAATAAGGATATGGATCATGATGGGTAGCGCATTTGGCAAAGACGACAGGTGAAATCGAAAACCCAGCGCTTTTGTTCAGCTATACTCTCTTCTGATGTAGGAAGGCGGAACACCACCTTGGACTTGTGCTTGCACCGCATCTGATTGAGATCCAGAGTGTCGATCAGGCGAACCAGTTCGTTGTCGAGCGCGGTCTTGTGAAGCTCTTTCTGCCTGTCCATGAGCTTTACGCAGACTTTCCAGTATCCATCCGTGTAGTAATCCATGACTCGGTCGGTCATGGGTTTCTTGCAGACCTCCTCATAGTTCTCAGTCATGAAAGTGGTGATGCGCAGTCGCAATCCTTGGTCCGAGGGTGGAACTTGCTCGTACAAAGTCACCAATGGGTCAGCGAAGTTGTCCAGTAAGTGGACCTCCTTGGCATCCTCTAGGAAACGATCGGAGGCGAGCTCCGCGAGCTCTTTGATGCCGAGATAGTCGGCATACTTGTAGACCATCGCATTGACCTTGAGACATTTTGCTATCTTCTCAATTTTGTCTTGTTTATCCTCCTCCGAAACTTGGTCATCACTTTCAGAATCTTGTGGAGCATTGGAGCTGATCGCCTTTGGTGCTGTGTCACTGCCCTCCTGGGGATCGGCCACGATGGTAGGCTCATCTTCAGCCATCCTTTCGGACGCTTCTAGTTCTCCTTCTTCTTCAGTCGGGCCCTCGTTCTCAATCTGGCGGAACTCCAACTCTGGAGGATCTGAACAGAGACTCCGGAAGATTTCGGGCACATTTGATGCATCATATGTCTTCGTGTAAAGGAAAAGGATGACCCGACCCATTACTGAAGGGATAACCTCATTGTACGTGGCCTTCTGCTCACTTGCTTCCTGCTCACCGTCAGCGAACGAACCCTCCTCTTCGGAACCCGATGCTTACCTTAAAGGAGCCGGCGCACATTTTGTAGAGAACAGGAGATCCACGACAGATGACATTGCGATGGACGCGAAATTGCGTGCCCTGGCACTCGATGGTGAAGTCAGAGAACTCCCCCGTCTTCAGGATCTCAAGCCCCAAGGACGGATTGGACATTGTAATGAGAAGGGATCCTGGACAGGGAAAATGGAAAATAACCAGAACTCGAGAGTCTATAATGGGATTTTTGGACCGACGGAAGGAAGGTTGGTGAGATGTCATCGGGGCTTAGGCAATATTTTCAAACGCGACTATAGCGCATTCGAGGAGTGACGAGATTGATACGTGACCTTGAAATGGTTGTCAGGCAGCGCACCTCTGTGAAGTTGAATCATGTGAAGTGCTTGAAGTGAAGTTGGGCAGTTCCACGACAAGACTGCAAACTCCCAATAATCAAAGAGCATTCGAGCCACTCACCGAAAATCTAAATTCAAGCCCCTGGAACGTTGAAACTCTTGAAAGAACGATGGTGAATTTGAAACTTTCATTGGCATGCGCCAAAAAGACCGCTACAAACAGAACAAAGCAGCATCCAAGTATACATATGTAGTTTCATTCGAGACAGCCTCTGATGCTTCAACAGCCCTGTCTACTCAATTGTCCCAGCGACCTCTGGGTGCAGCGTACTTGATAGGTGCGCTGCAGGCGGTACCTATCTGCTGGGTATAAAACTGACGCAGTGGCGCTCCATCCTGAGGGCGTGTTCTCATCATCCAAGCCTACACCTTATGATCGTTTCAGAATGTTCGGTATCCCTACTGCGAACAAAAATGCTAGCCCCACAAAACAGCAAGGTGCCGTAAGCAACGCCGCAATGCTGCAGCTCGAGAAAAGCCTTAGTGGGCCTGATTTCAGAAGACCATGAGTCGACGGAGGTCAAATCTCCGCCGTATCAGTCCATACCCAAGGACCTCAATATCATTCAAATGGGACAAGAGGCAATCGAGCTCTCAAACAAGCTGCATGACCATTCGAAGGAAATGACTGCATCCTGCTTTCAACGTCTTAAGACCGGATCTCCCCAGAATGCCACCCTACCATTGTCACATCAGCGTTGATCTTGATAACTTAAAGGTGACCCATCGGGTCCAATCACGGGTTTGGAATAACGTATTGATTCTCTCAATGGGAACTTGAAGATCGAACACTGGCGCAACGTTACTCAGTATATGGGTGGCGCAAAAGAGGTTGTGTATAGTTTTCCTTGTAGACCCTTAGTCCTGACTTTGTTAGATGCGAATTTTCGGAGCTGGGACCTATGTTCTCGGCGACGACCTCACGTCGAATTGTTGGTAATTCGCCTATCTCAAAGAATTAGCATATCTTGATGTCGACAAAATTCCGCCCATCTCCATTGTTATTTATGAAGGGGACTCGAACTTGGGAATCGCTCCGTTGTGGTTTGGTTTATGGCTGTAGGCTTGGATCTGTCAAACGGGCATAGTGATTCCTAGAATTAATTCAACGTGCAGCTTCCGTCACGGTCGACATTTACACTCAGCCCGACGATGCAGCAACGAAGTTGAGAAGCAGACCTGTGCTGTTAACCCCGATAACCCGGTTATCAGGCATCTTTGTGCTGCTTTCCTGCCATGAGCCTCGTCCGACTATCCCCGATTGATCGATAAGCTGCTCAACGGGGAACAACTTGAACTTGTTGCAACATAGAGTGATTCTTGGACCAGCATTCGGTATCATTAGCCGACTTGGCTTTACCGAGGACTTCGGGTTTCACTGAACGGTCAAAAAGAAGAAGATCAGATGGGTTGCGGTGCGGTGGCCATCGCACAGGGCGGTAATCGCGCGTCGCGCGTTATACTACATACAAGTTGTTGAGCCAGAATCCGTGACTATTGTCCATAGCAGTCTTTGCCAAGGGAGAGATGGCGACACACAGGGCCGTTTCTCAACATCGGTTGGGCCGCTTACGTATTCTTCGAACTACTGCGTAGCAAGCGACGCAAGCGACGACAGATCACTCTTGAAGCGAGATAGCCATCGTCAACATTGGATACGGTCAGCTAATCCCCCAAAGTGCCAATTTTGGACGATCCTTGCACAAGGATGAACCAAACATGCGGCTGGCCGTCCGAGCAGCAACCAGATTGTGGGCGTCTATGACGTCAGGTGGCGTGCACTGGCTACACCCGCGCCAATACTATGCAACGATCAACTGATATATCAGTGAGAATAGAGAGGATGGAAGTTTTGACGTATATACATAGTATGCAGTATGTAGCTCAACAAGCGTTTTGGGACAGCACTATATCTGGACACGAAATACCAATTACTAAGTTCACATATGCATTTTACATAATCCAAAAGGTTGAGCCCACGAATGCATGGATCCTGCTCCTTGTATATACGTATCTCCATCATTCGCTATATCAGCTTTTGGTCCAGAAGGGCAACTTTGAACTGCCGTAAAGAGCAAGGTGCCTGTACTGCTAGTAGCGGCCGATCTTTCATGACTATATAAATGAACCGTAACACCACCTCAATGATCTCCTTCGTACCATTCGCAACCTCATAAGCAGTACTAGAAACGAGAAACCTTCTTAAAATAAGACTTACCAAGTACCAAAAATGACTGAGCAATACGCACAACGCTTGCCCAACCCATACAGCAATTGGTCTGCCGAGGATCCAGCACATCCCACTTTCGTAGTGCATGGCACCGACGACACTCCTGGCCGCAAAGCGTACTTCATCTATCTAGAAGCTGCCCCAGACCACGAAGAGGATGTACGGTCCTTCATGCGCGACATCAACACCGGAGTGGACAAGGAGCCTGGTACGGGCCCGTGGTTTGGGACGCGCTACTCCAAAACAAGCTTCGCCATTTTCGAGGCCTTCCCAGACGCAAAGAGACGTCACGATCACGATGAGGGCCCGGGCGGAACGAACTTTGCCCGCATCGAAGAGCTGAGAAAGTGGTTGGCTCAACCAGCACAAATTTACAGGTTAGATGTCATGTTCGGGAAGTTTGGAACTATGTTTGGAGAAGAGATGGAAGCCATTGCGAAGTGAGGGTGGAGTGAGCGAGCTCTAGGCCACTGCGGTAGAGAGGATGTTCTAAACCCATAGCAAGAGCCGCCTCCTGAGGTACCTAGAATGCAATTAAGTACGGACTGCTAGGATTTGCATGATTTCAAACTTCGCTGGTATATAGTAGTGCTAGTACTTAGGTACATCTAATTCAGTGTTTCCATTCGCGATCCGAATGCAAGAGGCGCTTCAAGAGACACTCGAGATGAAAATGCTGGCAGCACTTATCGCAGGTAGCGGCGACCGGCTCAATCGACACAAAATTCTCGTTGCTGGTTTCGACGCTGGGTAACTAGCTAACTCACGAGGAGTTTTATTGTGAGGTTGAGAGTACCCCTGCGGGTCAAGATGTACGTGAAGACTCCTTGAAGATCTAGCTGGGTACTTGCTGCGGGACTCCGTCGACATCCTCATCATTTTGTATCTGAAGACGGCAGCTGCAGCCGCCAGCCTCAGCCTGTTCCCACCTCCGACGAGCGATTTTTCGTCTGCGCTGGAGCTCCAGAAAACAGACCACAGTCAGTCCGCGCGTCCATCTTCTTCGCGTTCAGAAGGCCCCTGATGGCGTAATAGATCGACCTCCTTTCGCCGTTGGTAAATTTGTTGGTGACTGTTACCAGGATCTTCGGTAGAAGGCTTTCCTGCCTCTTCCGTCAAGTTCTTATATAGGTCCTTTAGCATCCAGGTCATCTCCGAGATCATCTGTAATCCTGAGCTGTTTTAGGACACGCATTTTGAAAAAATTTCACAACGGTCGACGGTGAAAGGTGTAGTTCTTCTGAAGTCAGGGCTATTTAGGGATGCTGCGGAAGCGCTGTTCAAGCCCCCTGCCATGAACTGTTCGGATCGAACATGTGTTTCCCGTGACCCTAAAAGATGAAACATGCTTCTTCAATGCGTTGGTTTTGGCTCATATCAGACAGTGCGATCAAGCGCATGGATCCTGCCAAATACGTCTGACCATGTGTGCGATATTTTGGCAGGACCTCACCGCAGCGCTTGTCATTGGTAGCAAACGTCATCAGATGTCTTTCTGTGTGCCCAGTGTGAGCTAGCGCAGAAACTTGAAAATTGCACTGGTTTCGATGAGTTCGATCCCGACTGGCTTCGAAAGCTTGTAAAGTTGTATTGAGGACCTCAGCGAGATGCACGAGGTATCACATCTCTCCCATGGTTAAGGTGAGGGCGGTAGTATCTATCTATGGTGGCTTGCCATAAGCAATCGGGCTTGCGAGTCGTGCGTGTGGTTGCGTGTGCTGTCACAGATACATTAGTCATCAATGGATGAGGCCTAGCATCTTCAACAGCTTATGTGCTCAAGGCAAGTGGTAACTTTAAGCGCTGCTCTGTATATCGTTCCCTGCGGTTGTATCATAAGACAACCATTGCGAGGCGCTTTAACGTTCCTCAAGTCCCAAAAAGATGGTGGCCCTTTCACGTGCGTATATCAAATATAGTCACCAAAATTGTTCACATCAACCTGAGACAAACCCAGCCGCTGGGGAGGCGTGTTGATCGACGACAACCTCCGAGAGGTCGCCAGTTCAATCCCCTCTCTCGACGACGAAATTCCTCCTCGATCGGGTTCGCGAAAAAATCCTCCGCCAGGGTTTTCCCTTCCTAGGACCGCCTGTAATGTAGGGGTTCCTAGGATTAGGTTTCTGCTGTTTTCTTTTTGAAGTGTATATACATGGAGCATTCCTGCGTGGATGTGGATAATGGACAGAAAGTGGATAGCTCACTTCGGTGAAGACTGTGTCTAGTTTGTTCTCCAGTAGGGGAGGTGTCCGCAATGGAGGTGAAGAGGCTAGAGAATGAGAGGCGGCAGTCAGTCTCTGTAAATTGCACCTACTAGTCCTATATTACTCGCGTCATCAGTATGGGAGAGTTCTCATGTAATCGAGCCTCGATGAAGAGGAAGGCAAGTGAAATTGAGTGTTGCCAACCAGCATCTGGAATCGAGGTACACGAGTAGATGTTTGTATCTCCATAAGCAGTGAATCTTCGGGGAGAGAACGCACTCTCCGGCCGAGATTTATACCGATCAAGCCCAAATAGGAGATATATGGAGCTTGTCGCTATTGGACAGTGTTCCAGATTGGGTCGGCTACCATCGGAAATCCTGGACGGTTTGGACGAACCAGCTAAAGACCACCGCGCGGATGCCGGCGATCCTCGATTACAATGTTCTTGATTGGTCGAGTTGCCGAATACTTCATTGAGTCACAACCCACGACGATGTACGGATCACTTGGAACACCCTCACTCAGAGGATTCTTTCTTCCTGCGACCCAGACTCTACAGTCATAGAAAGAGTTGTGTTTAGACAAGCACTACGACTTGAGGTATATTCATCCCATCCACGAAAGTGGTGCAATTCTACCCAACTGTGCTCGCAGCATTGCACCTGGAACTCTGTTGCAGCTATGGAAAGCCTTCGAGCAGCCAGTCGTCACCTGCAGCGCTCTCGGTCTCGAATTTCGCCAGGTGTAGCCTGCATACCCATCTCCGGCTCGAAATCATCCTTGGGACAACCTAAGACTCACCTGGCAACGTCATGTTCGAGGAGAAGTGTGGCGACGGCTGCGGTAATAAGTGAACCGTCGTAAGTCATAGCCTTCCTTGGGTGACGATCATTGAAAACCGCCTAAAGAGTTTGACAGTCATCATATCGATCCAGCAGCCACCTTTCCTCGCAGTATCAACAGTGGACCGCCCAGGGCCAGTTCTAGGCAGCCCATGGGACCGAGCTTTAGAGCGCAGTCTAACATAATCGACAATGGATATGTTGCTACTGAGGTCAGGCCATCTCCACGAGAAGTGGGCATGGAAGCAAAGGATGTCCTACACGATATGCTCGTTCAAAATGGTGTGAGCCAGATCTGTATGGTTTCCAGCTAGGTTCAAGCCACTGTACTGACTGAGATTAGTTTCACATACGACTTGTTCAGCGATCAGTACGTTCGACAGTACCCATCAGTCCAAAACTATCCGCTCCATGGAAGCGCAGCATGAACAAGGGGCGGGTCATATGGCCGAGGGCTATTTCAGAGCGACGGGCAAGCCTGGTGTGGCATTTGTCGCGGCGGGTGCAGGCCTGACTAGTATCGTTACGCCAATGCAGGATGCATTGTGTGACGGCACAGCGATCGTTGTCATATGTGGGCACACACCGAAACGCGCTCGTTTGGACCAGGATCCCCTTGTTGAAGTCACTGAGATTACGAAAGGATGCTCGAAATGGAATGTAATTGTCCAGGATATCAACGACCTGCCTCAGCGCATTCATGAAGCGTTTGCCATCGCGACAAGCGGACGGCCCGGTCCTGTTCTGATCGAGATACCTCAACGCCTTAATTCACAATTATTGACCAGACCAAGGCGCATAAGCAACACTTTCAAGACACGGATTAACCCATCCGGGGGAGCAGCACGAATACAGCCAGACCGACTGTTTCATGACACGCTTCAACGGGTAGCGCGCTTGGTCAACGGCGCTAAAAAGCCAATCCTGTATTGCGGGCAGGGTATGTCGGGCAACCCAGAGGGGGTGGCCATCTTGCAGGAGTTCGCAGACAAGGCGCAAATCCCGGTGACCACAACATTACAAGGGCTAGGGGCATTTGACGAGCACGACCCCAAAGCCTTGCATATGGTGGGCCTACATGGCGCTGCCTATGCCAACTTAGCCATCCAAGAAGCGGACCTAATTCTTGCCATGGGTGCCCGCTTTGATGACCGCGTTACTGGGAATATTGCTAAATTTGCCCCCAACGCTCTAAGCGCCGCTCAAGAGGGTCGCGGTGGTATCATACAGTTCGATATCGCGCCAAAGAACATCAACAAGGTGGTTTCGGTCACTGAATCGCTCCAGGGTGACTGCTCTGAGAACCTATCTCTGCTGATGCCGCTAGTAAATCCGGTTTCCAGCAGACCAGAATGGATGGCGCAGATTCAAATGTGGAAATCAAAATACCCTCTAACAGGATACTCCTCGACCCCCACAGAACCAGTACCTAGTCTCATTCGAGCGCAAGAGGTTATTGAGAGATTGAGTAATATAGTGGAACCTATTAAAGATCGCACAGTCATCGCAACCGGCGTTGGTCAACATCAGATGTGGGCGGCACAACATTTCAGGTGGCGGCATCCAAGAACCATGATCACATCAGGTGGGCTTGGAACCATGGGTTATGGACTGCCGGCCGCGATTGGCGCCAAAATCGCCCGTCCAGAGGCGTTGGTCATTGATATTGACGGCGATGCCTCCTTCAACATGTCGATAGCTGAACTACTCACCGCTAGCGCTTATAACATAGGCGTAAAGGTCTTGTTGTTCAACAACGAGCAAATGGGAATGGTGTCGGACCTACAGCGCTTGTACTACCAGTCACGCTTTGCACAGAATAGACAGGGAAATCCCGATTTTGTACTGGCTTCCGAAGCCTACGGAGTGTCCTCTCGACGGTGCGTCTCTCCAGGTGATATCGACGAAATGTTGAACTGGTTGGTGCATACCGATGGGCCCGCGTTGTTGGAGGTAATCACGGAGCAAAACAGCCCCGTGTGGCCTGTTGTCCCTGCCGGCAAAGGTCTCCACGAATTCATTACGTATCCCGAAGCTCATTCTTAGCTGCGGAGCATCTCATTCGGATGTGTCATGAATCAATGCAAAAGGAGTTTGTTGTCTGTTCAATTAATGCATCGCCACTATTGCGGAGAGGCTCTCCAGCGGCTTCGTGGAAGTCTACCTTCTCGACCGTGTTGAAGGTGGTGCGCATCAAAAACATCATCTTCCAAGGCCAAGTGGTTGTTGGTACCATGGCATAGAATATCGAAGCATTGGTGGTCGGTATTTAAAGGCTGGTGAATTGTGGCAGCCCCTGGCCCCCATTTGGACAAAAGTATCAGTAGCGACCCTAGCGAGTGTCGCGGAAGGGATGAAGAATGTCTCATTGGAATCATGATTGTCAAGAAGGCGATGGTCCGATGGATCAATGAGGTCATGAGCCACGTCTCTATTTATACCCAATATCTGGATAAAGCCTTTTCCATATCTCTATTGTTGAGGATCTCTTCTGTATCCCGCGGTCTCTTCTCTCAGTTACATACATATATTGAACTATATATGCGTGAAACTTGGGACGAATGCGAAAACACGAATACGGTGCAATGCTCAGCTTGACCATACATCGTACTGCATGCACCATTCCAATACGCCTGTTTTCGATGTCGCTCTCCATTCCGTTATTCCTAGGTATTCGCATATGCGCACTACGAAAAGTAAAGTAGATCTCATCAGACATTTTATTGGCCATTAGCATGTCTTGGACTACACGATCTACTTGTTATACATAAGAGGTGTTCTACAAACTTGGTCATACTTCTATTGAGTCGTGCCAATGAGAGTTCACTATCTCCATTCGAAGTATGAGAACCCTACACCAATGATGTACAGGGAGGCGATCCAGATACCATGTAGTCTGCTAAGGTCTGCATATATCGAGGGCTTTTAAAAGCTTCCCGCTTCAACGTCACAGCTCACAAGAGAACAAATTATGCAATGACCGCAGCAACAACCTCGCAAGGTGTACCCTTACCTTGTTTTTAAAGCCGCACATATTTCCGTGATGATAAATCGACGCTGGCGAATCCACTAAATGATCTGCTCCTGATCACAGATTCGACGGCTGCAGGCACCATGAGCAGCGGTCAGTGGTACAGATCTCACAAGAGTTCAAGAGGGACAAGGCAGGGAGAGTAGACGACAAGTAGAAGATCGACACAGTTAGCTTTGGACTGATCTGCTCAGTCACATGGGCAAGGCTGTTTTGAAAAATCCCCATATTCTGTGTCTTCACGTGGGACTGTAGTCGCGCAGATTAGTCATTGTCTTTTGTCTCAGTCTTTACTCTTCAGTTTACAAGGTCGGAGACAAGTGAAACAAAAGATGACAGAATCGTTATGGCGGGAGCTTGGACAGACGGTCTTGGTGAGAGCCAAGAACAATCGAAGTTTCCAACAAAGCATGCCTCTGGCTCTCATTGTGACTGACTGATCGGATTCTATTTAAGTAGCCACGTTGACCCTTCGAAGCAATACAGTTTCAACCTCCATCCACAACACCAATCAATCACCAACAGCAAGAAAGAGGACAAGGCTTTTGACGAAGAAATGCCTCATTTCGTTCTAGAACTCACTCGCCAAGGGACTGGTGGGTGAGTGGAATGGAAGAATGAAGCACGCAGCCGCAACAAGATGCGGCGCAGCTTTATTGCCTCACGAAAGGAGATACCTTCTCGAGGTGTGGGGTGTGAGTAGCAGCCTTTGGCTGTGAAACCGAGATCTCCTACCAGCTGCCAGTACATTGGGGTGCAGAGGCACTAGCAGTATATTACCGAGGATCTAAGCGGATCCTCAAACGCCAGCCCGAAATGTGGGCGATATAATCTCCCGAGGAGGGACTTGAATGGGCGAGATAGTGATGGTGGACGCTGAGATCCCTTCTGAGAAAGGGCCGTGGAATTCAGGTGCTCAAGCATCGGAATCAAGTTCTGGCGCACAGTACCTGCGGACCCAACCGGGAGTAAAGTCCCTGTTCCCTCTGCTATAGCCAAACCCCGGCAAGCGTGCAATGGGAGGTGAGTATACATTCGATTGTTGTTGCAGGCGCTGAGACCCCTCCTGAGAAGGGGTTGTGGAATCCAGGCATTAGAACCCTGGCGATCTGGGGTACAGTGTCTGCGGACCCAGCTGGGGAGCGCTTCTGCCCCCGCCCCTGCTATAGCTACACCCGAAAAAAGCGCATAACAGAGTCGAATATCTATCCGATCGTGCTTACAGGCGCTGAGACCGCTTCCGGAAGGGGTCGTGGAAATCTGGTACTCGAGCCTTGGCGTTCTGGGGCACAGTATTTGCGGACCCAGCTGGGAGATTCCCCGGCGATGAGATGGATCCTTTACCCAAGGACTACCATCCTAGACAAGCCTCCTAATGGCGGGGGCTTCGCTGGCACAAGGTGCCCGGCTCCTTGGAGGGCTCATACCTCCCCTTGTTATACCATTGGCCCTAGACCACCCTACAGGGTGGAACTAGGTCGAAATAAAACATCCTTTGAAACCCGCAGTCCAACCTTTCTCATTTAGCTGAGTGGACACTAGCTCGTATTCTTACTCGTACTCGTACACGCCCGCTTATTCGTGAAACTCATGCCTAAGGCTACGCTATGCCTCATTTATTCGTGGGGGGGATTACTCCGACGGGAAACTCACGAAGCGTTTCGACTCACAAAGAATGTTTCTTGGACCTACTCCTACTATTAACTTCGTCGAGCGTCCGTGTGTCAAGGATGAATACCCCAATCGTGCTTTTATATCTCTAAATATGTCAAAATCCAAGTCGAATCCCATAAACTCGTTTTCCCTCCATGAAGCCGTGTCCTCTTCGCTGAAACGCCAGCATATCTTGGGAGCGGTCCCACCAGCAATGCGATTCATTCCTTTAGGAGCCCTTGCGGCCAAGGAATTGTATGAACGGCAAATGGGCAAGGTCGAAGCTCTCGAAGTACAGCATGAAGAGATATTTAGGATCGAGACAGCAGCAGGATCGATCGAAAGCGGCCCCGCTTCCAGGTTATGGAGTTGTGCAGTCTGCCATCCGACGCAATCCTTGTCAAGCCGTGGCCCCGTGAAGTCGCTCTTCCTTTCATCGGCAACAGTGCTGCCTGCTTCTGGGAAGAACCCTCCTGTTTTGGACCACTAGACCGGCAATAATTGTGCAGCCCAGACTGCAGGAAAATCGATCCTTGCAGCAGGTTTGGGATTTCCCTTTTCTCAAAAATGTAGGAACACCTGTTTGAATCTTCACTCAATATGTGCATGTATCCTTCCGCAGGAGAGGTATATCGGCCACGGTCTCAACGTCAATCCCAAATCCACTGCTGGAAACGCCTTTCAAGAAGATGGACCTTCAAATGACGACAGGCTCTCACCGGACGCAGCTGAACATGCACACACATGCTAAAGCATAGTGGCAGGCGGTAGTTGGGTCTTCAGAGGAGGCAACGCTACATTGCAGGAGCGCCTCGGCCTTTCATAGGGCCAGTCATTGCTGCCAGGAGCGATAGTCGGCCAGGATTATTGGACAGGAGAACGAACACAGCCGCTTCTGGGGTACCAGAGTGAGCGGTTACCACGGAGCACTGCCATGCGCTACAATGCTCTGAAGGAAGACTCCGTGCGTCGACCCGGCAATGCAACTTATGTCTCTCACCTGCGACATGCTCTCTGTATTTAGGGGTGATCAGCCGACGAGGAATGTAGATCAGAAGAAGCCAAACCAAACAGGACAAAAAGTCCAATCAGGAACATGAGGGGTCCCACCGCGGAAATGTTTGGTGTAACCCTTTGTCCCTTACTTGGCACTCGAGGTCTTCGTCCTTGGTTTAGCTATTCTTTCTTGTGGGGATCCGGGTTGCATTCCCACTATACTTATGAGTTCGACCTCCTGTCTTACAATTCCTTAAGTCTTTTGCAAATATATCATGTCAAATCACATCATATCATATCTCCAATGACGAGCAGCGTCTGGAGGTGCTAATTTCTGAATTTCTGAATCCAAACATAATCCATGGACCATGGCTATGATTTCCATTGCCGTCTTCTGGCGCTGGACGCAAAAGGGAAAATATTGAAATACACGATGCGACATGACACCAATCTAACCACCATTCCCGCATGCTATACAAGTTCGCTTTATGCAGCACCGGATATACCTCTGTCTCCCCTCTACCATCACGAAGACCAGAGTTCCAGCCCGAACATACTGATGCTCGCCCATTTCAAATCCCTCAGACCAATTTTTGAAACTCCGAGTCAAAATCGTTGCCCATATTTGCCGAGTCGCCCCAGACATCATGTTCTTCCGTTAAAGTTACGAGGCCTGGATGGTATGCTTCTGGCTGATACTGCATTTCGACCTGAGATGCCGGCTCGAATGAGATGGTTCTTTCTTGGTTTCGGTCAACTCCGTCGTCGACGTACAGGAGCTGGAAGTCCGAGCCGTATTGGCCCAATCGTGGGTCGAGAATGTCGTTTTGGACGTAGAAGTTTTGTTGAAGCGGTGGTTGAGAAGCCAGCAGCTCATGGTGGCCACCGGTTGGCAAGCCCACGAGATCCATGTTGGACTGGTATTGCTGAAATGGGTCTTCGAGCCTCTCGTACCTGATGTCACTTGTCTGATCACCATAAGGACCAATGTGCATGGAAGCTTGATAATATTGGCCGACAAACCCGTCCGGACCAATCATCAACGGTGTTGGGCCGTATGGATTGCTCATCTCATACCCGGAAAGGTTCAGAGAAGGCATAGGATGATGATATCGGGTATGCCTGTCATCAAATGGGGTAGCAGATGCACTTCTGCTCTCGAATCGACGCATACTGCGACTGCGTTTTGAACCTCTTGTTGAACCTTCCCAATCCGGATCACTGTCACTGGCCACATCATCATTTCTCTCCCTCTTGGTTGATTTGTTTGGCGCAAATTTATAGTTCGGATGTGCTGCAGCATGGTTGTCTCTCTCAAGAATGGCGAGGTGCTCATAAAATTCTCGAACTTCTCGTGGTTCGAGCGGCCAGCTTGCACCAGTGATCTGTGAGACGACTTGATGGTTGTTCTCTTTACAGAATTGTTTGACCCTGTCAGCATACGCACTGCGATACAGCATAAAGGAGTTCATGGGTCGGGAAATGTATCCCTTCTTCCTGTCTACCTCGGCCATGCGCTCTTCAACTGGACGATTGGCCCACAGCGACATGTCCCGAACAGGGGTTTTGTAATCCTTGGTGAGCTCACTGAGTGGCGCATCTATGACAGGTCCTCCTTTTTTGTTAGAGTTCTTCGTGTTCTTTCTTGCTCGGATGCGAGGGGATTTTGATCGACGGGTCGATATTGTTGTACCAGGACTGGATGGAGTACCAAGTGCTCTACCGCTGCGCGTTTGAATGCCAGTATCATTACCCATGTCAGGGGAGGCGTAAGCAGGATGTGATGTGGGCATTGTCTAAGAACGGCAGCATAAGCATTCGCCATTGGTCTGCAGAATTCAACTTACGTGCGAGGGCGGATAATAAACAGCACTTGGAGCCGTGTGATAATAAGATGGGTCACCATAAGGGCCCTGAGTTGGTCAGTCTTTGTCCTTACACAGAGAGCGTTCAACTTACATATGAGTTGTCGAGTAGAAGACCTCCTGACACCATCGACCTTGACGGCATTGGTGGCGTGAAAGGGTCTTGTTTGATGACTGCTGGAGGTGAACTTGGTCTATCCTCGCCCATGCCGTAAATTCCGTCTGCTGAATGTGGTGGAGATGGCGGGCGTGATGTAACTGAGCTCAGTGCCATTGATGCAAGTAAAATTCTCTGAACACAGTTCTTGTAGCGTGAAAGACTCCGAGGAAAAACTTGCTCGCTTGGTATCAGCTTTGTGTTGGAGTTGTTCTCAAGAACTGTGGGCTTGTTAACTGGTGACTGGTATGGTATCAGTCAGCCTTACGGTAGGTGAATCCGATATTTCGTTCGCTTTGGTCTTTCAACCTTCACACTTTATGTCCACGTCCGCAGCCTGAGTATTTATCAGACAGTAAGTACGCTAGGACGGCAGCAGCAGCGGTGCACTGCAAATTGCGAGTTGCCGTCCTCTGCGGCAAAACAATATCTCAATGAAAGAGATCCTTTCTTTTAAGCTTGATGCTTTGAAGGAGATTGACAATTGATGAAAGCCTCCGTTGTTCTTGAATGAGTTTGTTACGGGATCTCTCTGTCTGCCTGGGGGAACGGGCCTGATTGCAGGAACCCGGATGAAAAGCCAGGAGAGAGCAGGGAGAATTGCCGCAACCTGAAAGGTAGCGCCGGTATGTTGCAGAAATGCTGGATCGTAGTGTTGCGGTGAGCAAGGAGCTTGCCTCCTACTGAAAATACTGATACCAGCTAATGCTTTGTCTCAATATCACTGGCACAGAGTTGAGGGCAATCTCAAAATCTAAGACCTTGAGACCAGTTGGCAATCTTTGTCAAAGCAAGAGGAGCAGAATGAAAAAGGTCGTGAAGGAGTCACATTTCAACAACTGTGTGTGTCTAGACTTTGTTGCCTTCGCTCGAGCTGGGAATGTTCCTTGGAGTGTATTGTCCGCATCCGGAACATCAACAGCGACCGGCTTTCTTTGAACAAGATGTTTTGTTCCCAAGCTGATTCTGACGAAAGCAGATTGCCTGTTGAGAGCTGTGAGCAGCACGCTGAGGCGCATTATCGATGCAGACAAGCGGCCACTACTGCAAGTCATGCCAGGTGTTTGCCGACGATGGCTGCATCCCTCTACAAAGCGGTGATATGTGGAGTTCACGACCTGCATCCCTCTCAATCAGTATGTCTCATGACCTTGAATGTTTCCTAAATGGTCATAGACACACCATGGAGATGGTAAAGACAGCAACCTAGAAATATGGAACTTGATGATCAGAGGTCTTCTCCTGTACACATACCTGTTGTGTTCCTCCAAAGGGGGCAGATAGCATTCTCTCCTGCACAACAGTGCTCGGACCACCAGTCACATTCCTTTCGTGAACGGGTAGCTGGTTTCATAATTCTGAGGAGTACTCACTAGCAGACCCCAAGCCCACGTCCACCTCACGATGAGTCCTGCCGGCATTAGGCTTGGTCTGGATCGCGAGCATGACCGGCCAATGATTCATAGGAGTCCTCTCTCTATTGGCTACCAGAGTACTTCTGTGGAACGAATGCCATATGACAGCGGGTGGAGACATGATCTCCCATGGAAGTAGTTAGTGGTTGCATTCCACAAGCTCCGAAAACCCTTGATTCGGACACATGCACCGTTTTGATAGAGGAAGCTACACTTCTAATAGAAGCCAAGGGATTCACCTTGGAAGCTCTTCTGGCTTTGACACAGCGCAAACCATTCCTTCCATGGATTGTTAGTTTTGTACCGCTAGGACTTCGTACAAGGCACCGAGCTCGAGCTCTTAATTTCTTTTAACTGTGCTGGTTGCAAACTCTGTCGGGCCGTTGCCGTCTGGTTCCGGGTTTGTGTCTGGTCTTGATGGCCGCCGAAGGCCAACAGGCCTCGATAGCTCCTCCAAGCCTGCTAACAATCTATGTGCATTACAAATAAAACTGGGAGACGTATCTAACCTGATTCTTTGCCAGATATTTCGCTGTTGGCATGGTATGGATTGTCAGCATGTTTAACACTCGTAGGAATTCCAAATCCACTTCCACTGTGTTACATCGGCTGATTTAGCACTGATTCATATCCATAAACATTGTGCCACACCCTTCACACGTACTTTGCGCCAATGCCAAGCTGGATCATCAGTGGCTAGGAAGACATTGCGACTTGCAGGATGATACTGGATCGTATCTTGGAGAAGACGTTGGTCGGTTGCGCTCGGTGTGACCGACGTCTGAAAGTGAAATCCGGATCCACATCAACTATCCAGGTCCTATTCGTCTGCATGTGGGATTGGTCCATCAGAAACTTTCTTTGCTTTAGTACCTACGCAGTCGGGGCTTTCCAAGATAGGGATGCGAATGCTGGCATAGGAATCTAGGTATTTACTTGGTCGCAAGTGAAGGCCGTATAGAAAGCTCAACCATGCCCATCCCTGTCCTTTTGTGCAACGCTGCTGAACGCCCTTCCTCCCGTAAACCTTAATCCTTCGTCTCATCAAAGACCTGAAGCACTCACTTTGTGGCGCCGTATATCGATGGTAGTGGCAACAAGTCGATTTGTAGACCCGCTTTCTAGTTGTACGTTCAAAAGGGTTACGATGGCCGCTTAGTCTGCTCTTTAGTCCACCTCCTCTACCATTCTGTCGGGTGAAGCTGACGATGCCCCAGTCCTAATGTACCTCAGCTTTCGACCTTTTGGTGGTTGATCCTATCTACAATGAGGTCACGGCTGCGGGCACAAATTCTATCTGCACCCTTCAGGGTCTGGGCCGCGGAATTGAGCAGAATGCGGGCGCAGAATCGTGGTTTGCGGTGGTATGTAGCCCTCCCATGCTGTACTGAAATGCCTGGCTGTGACATCGTGCTGGCAAATGCTCATTTGACGGACGGTTCCATCGTCAAGGGCTATGAATAGCATGACCCATGTGCCTTCAGTGCGTTGCAGGAATACGAGACGCCCGACTAAGAGGACTAATAGAAATGCTGCCATTATGGTTTAGATTGGCATATTCTTGAATCTTGCCTGCTGGTCCGATGATGTCTCCGTGCGTAGGAAACTAACCACATAGAACAACAGCCTCCGGATTCGACATTGACAGTGTGAGGGAGTGGGTCGGTCTGTGTTCCTAGATGCTTCGGACGAAGCGAGACAACCCAGATCTCTGAGCTACTCCTTTTGAGCTTGATGCCTCGATCTGGACTAAAAGGATCAAGGAATCCATCTTGGACGAGGGTCCGCCCATTGGCGAGACTCGGTTTCGGTCAGCATCTTTCTTCAGGCGAATTCAACTCCTCAAACGGAAAAATCTTTGATGGAGTCAACCTTCTTGCGTGGGTATACGAAGTACCTTTGAAAATTATGGGTCCTCACCTACCATCGACAGCCTACCTCAGGCTCCCTGGGAACTGCGCTCGGACTACAAGGATCTTGGGACCTTGGAAGAGCCACGATTCGACAGCCCCTCAAGTATGTTTTTACTAGAAATTCTCCGATACTCCGCGGACTTTCAAGGCTGGTCTCGCAAGGATGTCGAGGCTTCGGGAAGTTAGATACACAATTTGCCTAAGAACATTGCTAGGTTCTTCCTTTCCTGGTTTCTGTTCCTCCGCTGCTGCTTGCTAAGATGTCTTTCATAGCGGCGCTTGCAGGGATTCATTCAAATCACGCATAATGTGGAGTCTTGGACGGGACTTGTCCCGTATCCTGGTCTCAGTCTTGTTTGAACACAATCCTGCCCGGAGGTGAAAATGTGCAGGATCCAGGGGCTTAGCAGGGCAGTTGTGAATTTCTAATTCTAAAATTCACTTTTCGAAGCTTGCACGCCTAGCTTCTAGCAATAAACCAGTAAGAGGCAGCATTCCTTGGGTCTACCGATGACATAATAGCATAGATATGGTTGAATGACCCCCTTATGACTCTCTAGATTTGTCAATTGCTAAGATACCTGGTCCTTGTCTGCCCGTCGATAACAGAATTCGATAAGAGGGAAGCAGCAAACTTTTGGCTCGATCGTGCGGTCCATCGCAGTCTACAATATGCCCTAGCCCGGGAAGCTATGCAACCGGTAAGCCGCTCTGCTTAGCTTGACCAGGATGCTCTCGATATCGGTGCAGGGCGATCTGGTCGTCTAGATCATTACAGTAATGTGACACACCCGCGGCACCCGCAGCACCACCACTCATGGCCATAGTAACATGGGTCATTGGCGTCCCAATGTCTCCCACTGCAAAGAGGCCAGGTATGGCTGTTTGATTAAAAGGAGGGGTGGTGGCAATGTATGCGCCAATCAGGGATGAAGATGTGGTGAGACCGAGTTGCTCAATGATGGTTTGTGTTAGTTCCGAAGGCTGTATCCAAGGCTTGTGGACAACAAAACCCATGTAGACCGACTCTGAGTTGGAGAAATGCACGTGAACACCCTCTTTGGCATCAGGGACAAGTTTAACAACCGGTCGCTCATCAACCGTAATTCCGTGCGCGGTGAGGGTCTCAAGGCCTTTCGCGAGCTCTTCGTCGTTGTCTGGATTAGCGGCACCATTGGTGAATAGCGTCACTGTCGAAGGCTTCAGTGGGGAGGCTGGGTCCTGGACCGAACCTGGAGGTTGGGAGAGGAAATGGGCCATAGTGGCGAATTTAATGTACATTGGAGTCAGTTTCGGATAGGCAAGCATGCCTTTGGGGAGGTGATGACGCTCGTGTCCATCACAGAACATGCACTGGTAGATGTTCGAAGGCCAGTTGTCGGCATAACCTGGGAGATCGGGAAATATATCTTTTACACCTGTTGCAAGGACAAGAGTACGGCCACTCCATCTCTGACCCTTGGCATCTTCAACCACAAAGCCATTATAAGTATGTTCACCTGCTTGCCTCTGCTCCATGGCGACTGTCTCGATTGAAGTCTCGATGAACTCGGCGTGCCCATAGGCTTGAACCTCCCTGTGACCAGCCTGACGGATCTGCTCAGGAGATTTGCCGTCGTGCCCAAGGATAGAATGTGCGGCGTGAACTCCTGCATTGCGAAAAGAAGAGTTGGAGAATATCACACAGCTTCGATGCACTCGACCGAGACCCAGCGCCGTGGAAAGCCCCGCAGGACCAGAACCAATGATGAGTGAATCGTATAGCTTAGACATAGTGTTGTGATGGGCAGAGATGCGGACTTTTTGAGGGCAGTCCAAAGAGATGTTTGCTTCGTCGTGGCAGGAAAATCCCAGGGAAAAGGCCAAAATAATAGAAAATCAAGTGTAAAGAGTTGCACAAATAGCAGAACCACGAGGCGACGACCTTTATATCCCATAATCGGCAAGCACGAAAAATGTCTCCGAAGAAGGTTTTGTCTCCGATGAGCCCAGTGATTAGCCTTGTGAATGATACGTGATGGCACATATTTCAAAGAACACAACCTGGAAGCCTCATCATCTGGGGGAGGTTCAGAAAAGTTTCGCGTTCGATGGTTTGGATGTTATTGCTAAGACTAGCATGCTGAAATTGAGTCCTAGTATGAGTCTTAGTATGAGTCCTCAATGACTATTCTGCTGCCGACCAAAGGATCTAGAGTCCGTTCTCGAGGGATTTACCACCTAAGACGACTGTTTGATCGGTTCTTGAGTTCCACCATTTCCTCGTTGCCCCTCCTCCGCTGTTTGTTCATATCGCTTGGTGTCACTGCCCTTTAGAGTGAAATGGCGATGTTTGAGTATGGGGAAGTCAAAAAGTCACACTTTTCACAGGGGGAGGCCAACCAACTCTGGTCTAATATATGAATGGGGGCCCTAGCTCATCGTCGTGATGATATGCAGAGCCATATATACCTACCTTAGTACGTACAGAGTGCTGTTGAAGCGAAGCCCTTCAAATGAGGCTGGATGGGAGGCTGACCAGGGAAGGAGCTGAAAGAAGTTGCATCTAATCTTATCATGCGTCATACACTTATCTAAGCACACCCTGTGGCAGTGGGGTGGCATTCTTTCCCATCATGTGACATTCGAGGGAGCCCCCGGGCCCCCATGCCTCTGGAAGAATCCTGGTCCAGGCGACGTCCGCGTGGCCCCCGCCCTTCTCTGCCGCATTTTGCCCACCTGGTCCTCTTTTCGCTGGCATTTCGGCAAATATTCCCGCCACAGCGTCGCTATTCAGACCCAAAGCCATCGCCAACACCAGAGCCAACGCCCAACGCCACTGCGCAGGTGCCAGGTCACCGCCTACAGCCATCGCACTACAGAGGACCGGTGGCAGATCCACGCCTCTTCCTCACTGTAGCCCGCTCCTTCAAGAGAGATTGACGACCACCCAAGATGTAGTCGGTACATAGAAGGTTCATCTTACTTACCTGTTCATTCTCTCTAGCCCTCACTTTGCTAAGACTCACAGCTGGATTCTGTGACCTGTTTCCTTCGTTACAAGCTGGTCTCAAACCTTCTTCTACCGATACCATGCGTTCGCGTTCCGATTCTCATACCGAGAGAAATCGCTCTCCCACTCACGCTAACATCTGCGCAGAGAGCCAAACCTGGGGACATTGGCAATAAATACCTAGTCATGGTTCCTCCTCCATACGCTGCAGAGCCTGGCCATTGGTTTCTACGCGGAGTCCAGTCCGCTATTTTTTACTATGTTTCATTTACCCCATGCCTCGAATATCAACACAAGCGCAAACGGCGGAAGGAAGCTGAAGCGCAGGCTGAGATTATCACCACCCAACCGGGCTTGGTTAGACAGCCAGGACCGTTCCAAACAAACGAGACCTGGGCCGAAGAGCTGATGCTAGGGCCTGGCCCGCCAAAAGGATGGAAGGCAGATCAATTGCTGCAGAAATTAAAAAGGAGGAATACTACAGACTCATTTGACAATCCACAGACGCCCGTTGCGCCCGAGCAGCCCGAGCTCCAACTCCGACCGACAACAGCTTCTCAAGGGCCATCTCTCCAACCAGCCCAGCCCTCGACTCGGCCCTCCTCCACCGAAACTGGCGAATGCGAATCCGTGGCGGATCAGCGTGATGATAGATCGAATGCAAGTCAGAAGAGGCCATCGATGGACAGGAGGTTATCAACAGCGATGGAAAATATCAAAGACTCGTTGAGAGCAACTCTGCATCCCGAAATGTGGAACTGGAAACGATACGAGCGCGAGGATGAAGTATTGTGGGGTTTTAGTGAGAGAATGACTCGGATGTGGAATCGAGCAGTCCGCCCTGAATCTGGAGACGACCTGGAAGATGAATGGTCTCCTCGCCGCCGAAAACGGGCACCCACAAATGAAAGCGATCGGTATGACTACCACCGAGCAAGAAACCCGGAGCTCAATGAACTCCATCCTCCAGTGGTCTCCCAGCTACCAGCCACCAGAGATCAGGCAGCTTGGATGATGCTGCCGCCACCCAGCGCAGCAGTCATGGCAGGCAAGAAACAGCCTCACACCGAGACAGAGATGCGATGGCCGCTAGCAGTGATTGGCAAACCATTAAGACCCTCGGAACCGCCCAGACGCATGTTGGCAACAACTTATTCTCGAGAGGCGCTGGATTTCGACAGTCAAGACGAGGAGATGGGCATCAGTGACACCGACCTCGAGACAAACTCGGTACTTCAATCGTTGGCGAGTGAGACGATGGTGCAAGATACTAGGTCCACCAAGTCCAAGCACATGTCGGCTCCAATTATCCGACCACCGCCTATCGTCACGAAAGAGCCATTTCATGATGACACCTTGGTGCCCAAACGAAGAGGCTCGTGGCATCTTCATTACTATTATCAATCGGACCAGTCTACATGACACAAGAAAATGGTCCGAAGCACGACAATCAATGTACTTTCGAGCTTGCACATAGCAGGATTCGCTCACGGAGCATAAATGGCGTTGATGGACAGCATGTTTTTTTATTGGAGGCTTTGGGCAGTGATAGTGAATGGGTTCGTAGCTTGCTATTGATACAGATTAAATGCGAAAGATCGAAATGGAAGAGACATTTGAAAGGATGCTCTATCCTATTGTTCGCTTGTACAGACCAAGGCTCCAAGAGGTTATAAGTCGCGTAATTGATTAATCTAATTAGCGTACGCGTGGGTGCTGACTTGACGAGCATCCGGCCAAACGAATAGGACTGACAAAGCAGGCCATACAGCAAACGAGCCAGCGAAAAACAACATCCGGAGTACTCGTGGGGTATGCAATGGTTGGGCGTGATTTCAGCGGCGTGGCAAACAGGGATCTACCTGCATTGACCAGGGGTGATGTTGCATAGCACTATTAAGATGAGGTGCGACGTGTCTGGCAAGGTATGCACAATGATTGGATGCTTGGAAGCTGGGACGGTGATCGCAATGTCGATACGGAGATGACATGTTGATGAGAACAGACCAAGTTTGCTGGAAGGGGCTTGGATCGCTGCTGGTGGGGGCTCTGACTCTAAGGAGGCTCCAGGGGCACGGAAGACCCGGGCTAGAAAGCAAGAGGCACAGATAGTGAGGATCGTCTGAGTAAGTCAGTTAAAGAGCTTTAACTAAAAGTCCATTAATAACTTAAGACAAGGAGGGCCGAGGGCGCAGCTAACTTAGCGTAGGGACGAAATGGGGGGATGAGAGGGGAGGATGCCCCTCCCAAGCCAGGGACTGCACACCTATGAGTACTCGTAAGGAAGGTGGCTCTCCAAAATGACCACTATAACGCCGCGCCACTATTAGCACTAAACTACAACTGCATATTGCGTGCAGACCAGCAGACCAGCAGCCCACTCCTCTGTCACCACTACGGCACCACCATCATCATCACGACCACTATAGCACTACTGCTCCTCGGGACTCCGTCGTCCATTCCACCCTTCACCCATCAGAACACCTCCTCCTCTTACTTCTTTACCCACTCATCATTCCACTCACTGATCACTTCCTCCGTCTCTCTCTCTTTCATCCACCTCTACACAAAGAACCCAAATAATAATATCGCGCGCACGCACCAGCATCCACCGCGCGATCACTCCAACCTGTGCTCTCCTGTCTCGTCCTGTCCGTCCTAAGCCGTGCTTCGTCCATCCCTGCGCGCGGCTTCTCCACCCCCAGTCCTAATTCATACTCACCCAGGTTCTTATTACGCGGCAAAAGGCCCATCTTGAATCCTGATCCTGATTTCGTCTGGACCACCAATTCGGCCGTGAATACGCTTGGTTCCACTCTGTCCTCCCTCACCTCGACCCTACCTAAATCACCGACGCAACGCGTTTAGTTCTCAACTTCTACCTGGTCCCAAAGATCGGAGAACCGATCTCGCGCGAGCCACCAAATACCACCGTACTTTCTTGACAGCCCTGTGGCCTTGGACTGTGCAAGACAGAGCCCTACAAGCTCAGCAGCACAAAAGAGCCACCAGCCCTTTCATCCGCCCAGATATCCTCGACAAGCCCAAGAACCTTGGCTCATCATACACCTTCATCCCTTGCTTGGCCGACACTCGTTTTCGCTACCAGCGTACTTCGTACAGGAGCCTCCTGAAGGGGAGAACACTTCTCTGGCACCATTCTCGAGCTTCTGATCTTTCTTTTCCCCAGACAAAGCACACTCACAACATGTGGTCGACTGCTGCTTCTTGGGTCGCCCTGCTGGCCTTGACGGCTGCCCTCACCAGATATTATAATCCTGACCTATTCAGGAAACTCACCGGGCAGGCTCTATCCAAGCCCGAGCAAAGATTAGAGCCTGGAGACAAGCCTGCCGCAAAACGACAGAAGGCGAAGCGCACGCATGCCACTCGGATAGAGTCCACCAGTGGTGCCTCAACCCCAACGAGCGCGAATGAAGGTATGGCAAAGAAGAGGAGGAAACTAGGGACAATTGCAGCCGAGAGTGATGCTGCTCCGGTTGTCCAGAGCAAACAACCAGTTGTATCCGGCCAGGAGGAATCTGAAATGAGCAATAAATTGTTCGCACAACAGTTGGCCAAAACACAAGCTGGCACAAAGTTGGAACCAGCCAAACCCAAGGGTACAAGCAAGAAGGAGAGGCGGGCGACCAAAACGGCCCTCCAAGCACAGTCGGGTGGTCAGGAAACATCTGGCTTGTCCACCGAGACGTCGTCCACGACAGGTGGTCGAGACGCTGATGACGACTTTTCTCCAGTTGGATCTCCGTCAACTGGACCTGTGTCTACAGCCCCTACTTCCAGAGCCGATGATGTCTCCGATATGCTGGAAGCCCCTGCTGCTAAGCCAACCACGTTGAGGCTGACAGACGTCAAGGACAAGGTTAAGAGCCTTCCCAAATCTGTCAGCAAGGCGTTTGAACCTGTCATGACCAAGAAGCAACGGCAACGGCAGGCCAAACAAGCAGAGGAGAGGGCATTGAAGGCGGAGTCAGATCGTGTCCACGATGCCAAGAAGCAACAACAGCTTCGCACTGCTAGGACAGCTGCGGGAACATCCAATCAGGTCAAGGCAGATTCGTTCACCGCAAAGCAGAACGCCTGGAATGCAGGTGCACCAACCCCGGCCAAACCCCAGTCCAACACCGCTGAAGTCGCGAATGCGCCACTGTTAGACACCTTTGAAAGAGAGAAGAGCCCCTCCGTGAAGGTCAATGGCGCTGTTCAAGCCGAGCCATTGTCCAACATCGCAAACTCGGTGCCCGCAACGGCCAATGCCAATCAAATGCGAGGACAACAGGGCGACAGCAAGACGGATGCTCTGGGTGCTTCTAGCCGAGAGAAGCTCACCCGTCCTCGAATGGAGAGCCAATCGAGTTGGGCTGATGAAGTCAACGAAGAAGAACAGAACAAGTGGGCTAGTGAGCTTGCCGAGGAGGAGAAGTGGGAGTCTGTGACGACGAAGAAAGGCAAGAAGAAGGGCAAGAAGGACAACGAAACGAGCAGCGAGGCCAGCAGCTCATTCACACGGCCAACACCAGTAGCCCATCAAGCTGTCACCAATGGTAACAAGGGAAACGCAGTCCACCCACAAAATGGAAATGCAAATCGATTTGCGTCAATCCAGCAACCCAAGGATTCTTCATTCCAGGATGCTGAATGGGAGGCTTAGAGGAGGGAAAGTGGTTTCAACGTTCAACCTGCCGAATGGGCAATCGAGCGTTCGCGAGGAAATGGCCAGTTTGACATATTCGAATATCTGAAGGCTGCTAGGTGGTTTTGTCTTGACGACAATAGGGCAGACCGAGGCTGAGGTCGACGGGGAACATGGTTGACAGCATCATCATCTCTTGTACTATTGTGCGTGCAATTCACCAGCAAGGAGCGAATGCATGTTTTCTTGTTCCATGGTTCAATCAGGGAGGTCATGGGTTATTGTTTAGCAAGGCACAGAATACGATACCCCAAAAGTGGAGGAAACGGCGAGAGCGGAGACATTGCAACATGTCCATCAGCGGCCACTGTTCATTTCAAGCGAGAGTTTCAAGTAAGAAATGCCAAAAACAAGGTTAACTGAGCCATGAAAAGACTGGAGTAAATCCCCAGTGCCAGTAGTAAAGTGTACCTAGGGTGCCGAGTGACTACAGAGTACAGTACTTGGGAGCGAGCAAAAATCAGCCAGAGTCCGTTGCTGACAAAGACGCTGAGGCTGAGGCGGGCAGTAGTCACTGGCTGAAGAGGCCGAGTTTGAATGTCGCCCTGGAAATAATAATAATACTATATTTGTGATGTGAGAAACGGGAAAAAGTCTTCCGTAATCTGCAATGGATCGAATTGAAGTTGCGGATGGAGTTGAGTTTCAGGGGTGGATGTTGTATGTTTCGGACTCGGATTGGTGCAATTGTGTGTAGACATACAAGTAGTAGGCATACGGAGTACGAGTGCTACAGTACGCACTGGACAGCGTGTTAACTAAATATATCTGAGAAGCACGAGTACTAAGGAAGGCACTCGTTCGTACTGCCAGTCCTCTGCACCTGCCCTCCCGTACTGCACACAAAAACACCCACGCATCTTTCTCTCACGTCGACTGCGCTCCTCGTCGTTCACTACTGCCACTACTGCCACCGCTGCCACTCTCTTGCCACCCTTTGATTGATTGATCGCTCGATATAATCTTAGATCTGCACCAAACCTGACAGGACAAATTTCACCCATCACATTCTGCCCCACGCAAACTGTCCTCCACCCTTTCCACTTCCACTCTGCCCCGAGCACCACTGAACGACGAGCACACCGTACACTACTACTTGAAAGAACCCCCCTGTCGTCCCTCCATCCTTGCTTTCGGTCTCGACTCCCCGTACACTCTTCGCTTCGTTGTCTCTGTCACATCCTCCGCAGTCGAACATGGCGCAGATACGCGGAACTGCAGGTTACAACTTGGGCCTGAACAATCAGTTCTCTTCTCCTCGCAGTCAGGATGCTACAAGTGATCCAAGTCCTCTAGATCAAATTCGAGAACAGACTAGCAAAATCGAAGATTGGTTGACCAGCGTGGGCGAGCCTTTGAAGCCGTAAGTCTGCCCATCTCGAGTAGACGGGCTTGCAAGACATTTCAAGACTGACTGAGTTCGCCTGAACCAGCTATCTTCCAGCCATAGGGCGATTCCTTATCGTGGTTACCTTTCTTGAAGATGCTCTCCGAATCATCACTCAGTGGGGCGATCAGCTCACATATCTCAAGGATTTCAGACACAGTAAGCTTGAAAGGCCGGAATCTTATAACCCGAGAAACAACATGCTAACAACCGACGCAGTTCCATGGGGGATCACACATCTCTTCCTTATCTTCAATGTCATCGTAATGTCCTCATGCTCGACCCTCGTCATCATGCGCCGCTATAGTGAATATGCGGTGAGCGGTCTCCTCGTCGTTGTGGTAGTCCAAGCTCTCGGCTACGGCTTGATTTTCGATCTCAACTTCTTCCTCCGCAACCTGTCCGTCATCGGTGGTCTTCTCATGGTTCTGGGAGACAGCTTCGTCAAGAAAAGCCGGGTCTTTGCTGGTCTTCCAACCATTGACGAGAAGGACAAGAAGATGTACATTCAGCTCGGTGGACGAGTCCTTCTCATCTTCCTCTTCGTTGGATTTGTCTTTGCAGGAGACTGGAGCATTTGGCGAGTTTTCGTCATTCTTGTTGGATTTGTCGCCTGTGTCATGGTGGTTGTCGGCTTCAAGGCGAAGCTCAGTGCCATTGTCTTGGTCCTACTCCTCAGTATCTTCAACGTGCTTGTCAACAACTTCTGGACGGTAAGCTCTTCTCCTGTGCAACCTCGTTTGTGTGATGTCCCACTAACTTACATACGTAGCTGCATAAGAACCATCCCCACAAGGACTTCGCCAAGTATGACTTCTTCCAGATTCTTTCTATCATGGGTGGTCTTCTGCTCCTGGTGAACATGGGACCTGGTCAACTGAGTGTAGACGAGAAGAAGAAAGTCTATTGACCAGCATGCCCCTCAAGACACGCTCCATTGTCATGCGCAGCAAGACCTGTGCCTCCCAACCTTGTATAACGAAGAGCATGAGACCATGCAGAACATGCAGAACATGAGATTTTTGGGCCGTGGAGAAAGTTTTGAAAAGACAGTCGAACAACAGTAGTGGCTAAGCGTCATTCTTTCAAAACGGTGTCAGCGTGACGCAAGTCTACATGGTGACTGGCTCGCCATATCTACAGTACACCAAGCATCCGGGGGAGCCTCCAGCTGGAAATGAGCGGTTTCGCAGCAGCCATCAATATCTGTCTGTTTGCGATTGCGTTTAACTCGAGCACCAAATCTAGAGAAGATATCAAAAAGTGGACCAATTTTGCGTTTTGTGTACTCGCACGAGTTAGCAGTATGATAGCCATTGACTCAGTCTCTCTCAGCATTCCATCGAGATCGTGATCTTCAGGTCACCATGAAATGTAGGAATGGGACTTATGGGAAACTGATGCCAAGGAATGGAGATGCCTTCATCCGCATCCTGGAGGATACTATTATATAAGCAGGACTGGATCGAACCCTTGGTGCCCTTCCACCGTGCAACCCTCACAGGAACACCTTCAACATGGCATCGGAGGCCCCCGATGATTTGCATCGCTGGCATTCTGGACATCCTCGAATATCCTCCATATCATCTCCACAATATCGTAACGCTTTCATGTCTAATGTGACCTTGTCAATCTATTGATTTTCCAGGAATTGCTTCTTCGTCCAATTGCAGTTGACCTCCATTCATCTGTTCCTTATCTATTAATTCCTTGGCCAGTTTGGTCTTGACTGTCGACAGAGATTATTCTTCTTCAACCACTTCGTCCAGTCTTCCTCAGAGATCACTGTTACTCTCAACAACTGAGACTTTACCGGACCAAAGGGAATATGGCCCCTAAACATCGTGTCGTCATCGACACCGACCCTGGCGTAGACGACGTGCTCGCCATTTTGTATGCCCTGGCCGCCAAGGCCGAAGACCTCGAAGTCGTGCTCATCTCACTCACATTCGGGAATGTGGATGTAAGATCGTGCCTGCGCAACGTCGTGGCCATCTTCCACATCTTGGAGAAAGAACTCCATTGGCGGAAAGAACAGGGTAAACCCGTGGGGTTCGAAGGAATCACCAAGTACAAGCCCCTTGTGGCCATTGGCGCCGACGAACCTCTACAGGACCGGATCGAGAGCGCCGATTACTTCCACGGCATCGATGGCCTGGCTGGTACGCATTCAAGCCACCCACACTTCTCGCCCGAGGAGAGCTGGAAGAGATTGTTTGAGCAGCCTCCGCCCAACTCGTCCCTCACAGAATTGGCCAAAGACGAGGCCGATCTGGACGAACCGACCAAGTCATTTGTCCCTTCGCTCGTGCCCGCTCATCAGGAAATCCTGCGGATCCTGAAAGAAAACGAAGCTGATACAATCACTTTGATCTCAATTGGACCTCTGACGAACTTCGCCCTCGCTGCTGCAGAAGACCCGGAGACGTTTCTACGCTGCAAAGAAGTTGTTACCATGGGTGGCACCGTAGATGGGATTGGCAACGTGACTCCTGTGTCAGAATTCAATGTCTACGCTGACCCATACGCCGCTGCACGGGTGTACGCATTGAGCTCCCCGATCCCAGCGTCCACTATGCCTGTCGCAACGGAAGGCGAACGGTCTTTCCACCTCGACAACTACCCGGCTCAGCTGTCACGGCCGCTCAAACTAACACTCATGTCGCTCGACATCACCGAATACCACATGCTCAGCCGGGGCCTATTCACTAGCCATGCATCTTCGCTCGTCGAACAAGGCAGCCCTCTCGCACAGTGGATGACTGCATTCATGGACCCCATGCTCGACAAGATGGAACGGCTACACATCGGGCACGAGGGGGAAGGCGCCGCTCTCGCACTGCACGATCCTTTGTGCATCTGGTACGTGCTGACGCAGGATGACTCGCGCTGGAAACCCAGCGCCCGCAGTCCAGAAGACATCCGCATCGAGACCGCCGGCCAGTGGACCAGGGGCATGACTGTTGGCGACAAGCGAGCCAGGAAACGAAGGAATAGCGACGGTGAGGTGCCACATGACCGAGGCAATTGGCTCGGGAATCGTAGTGGCAACCGGGTCTACAGGATGCTCGAGAGTCCGGGCAGGGATCTTGCTGGGAAAACACTAATGGAGACAATCTTGGGGTGAGATAGTTGATTGAGGAAATGAATGATGGGGGTGATCCTAGCATCGCATCGCGGTATTCATGATTGAATGAAAGCCAAACGGCGCGGCCGCAGACGACGTTATCCAGTATTGTTATCCAGTCTTGATTGGGCTGCGATGCTGGTCCGAGCCAAGGGAGATGTGCTCTGCATGAATGATGAGCCGCACACTGAAGCCGAACCATATAGACCTCCATCCACAGACCTACAAAACTTGCATCTTCATTTCCAAAATATTTCACATTCATCTTGACCCTCGCCCCTTTCCACTGGCTGGGCGATGAAACAAGCACGCGGAATTCTCCCTCAAACCACATCCCATCCACCTCAATTCCCTCCACCAGCGAATCTGACCCCGGAATCCGCAAACACCCAAGCCAATCCCAGCCCAAGCAGATGTACATTCCAATGGCCAACTCTCAAGGTCTGGAATGCTCAAGCTTTTGGCGTCCCATGCCCACCCTTGGACCCATCGCTCTGACTCTTGCCCTTCTCCCTCAACGCCAGGAGCGGAGGAAACAACCCGGGCCCCTCGGCCGTCATAGCCCTCCTCCAGTCCAGCTCCGGATCGCCCTTGGCCATGGCACGCTGATACGCCTCCCGCTGGGCCACGCGGGCCAACCAGTGCAGCACGCCCTCGTAGGGGCTCAGATCGACCGGACTAAACTGGCGCATCGTCGTCACACACCACACGGTCATCACGTCCGCGGCCGTGAACACATCCCCGGCCAGCCAGGCCCTAGTCTCGCGCAGCCTCGCGTCAAGATGCCTAAGCGCCTTCGCGACGCCCGCGTCCGTCGCCTTCGAGCGCGGATTCAGGCCCTCCGGGTCCAAGCCCTGCGCGGTGAGCTTCCGGCCCAGCGCTGGCTGCAGCGTCCCGTTCGCGAAGTGCAGCCAGAACACGTACGCGTGGTAGTTCTCCGCGCCTGGTCGGACCGTTAGATGGCCGGATGGGTTGTAGAGCGGTGAGAGCAGGTACTCGGTTATGGCGTTGGTCTCGCTGATCACGAAGGGCGTGCCGGAGGGCGTCGTGGACGCCAGCACCGGCGCGGACCCTTGTGGTGTCAACGCGGTGAGCGACGGCGGTGAGAAGATGGGGTGTCGCGTGTGTAGTTGCAGCGTGTAGCTCAGTCCCAGTTCTTCCGCCAGCCATATTATCCGTTCGGATTGCCCGATGTGCAGGTGGTGGATGGTGAATGGTGGTCCGGGTGGAGGGGCCGTGGCAGCGGTGGTGGTTGCCATGTTTTGGGTCGTTGGTATATGGTATATATAGAGTTGTTCGTTATTTGAATGATCCGGATCGCTAGTAATGTGGTGACGAAGTGGAAGGTTGAAGTACAGCAACCGATAGGATACTTATATAAACCTACCAAGTGGTCGGGTGGTATACCCTTCGAGCACGATCCCCAGTTAATTGGCAATAATGATGACTTTTTACCTCGGATGCTACATACCATTCGGGCGATGACATCGTCCCTCGATCTCCGCAAAGCTTACAATATGTAGTAGAACAACCTGTTTGTTGCAGCATCGTTCTGCTTTCCATATTTGCATATGTATGCAGACATCGGAGAATACGCAAGGTCAATGTTGATAGAGTCATGGTAAGGTACAAGTGACCTATGGCGAAGCGAGATCCACAAGGGTCTCCATCTAGGCTGCCTCGAAAAGGGTTCTCTTCGGCCGAGATGAGACATATGGGTACTAATGATACTGGTGGTACGGATATGTAGTGCCTCCAGCACATGCTTACTCGCTTGCTTGGCCCAGTTGGCTGTGAGTGTAATTAATGCAGGTACTGGGGTTACAATCGAGGCCAAAGACAACGAATATCAAAGTACACATGGCACATAGTGACTCGTGAGTCATGGCCCGCTGGTCTCGGGGTTTTCGGCTAACACTGGGACCCCTTTCGGCCGTAGAATATTTCATGATACATACTGCATACGAGTACTACTAGACGGCTACGGAGCGGCTTCCTTCACTCCGGCACAGATGTCGACACTACTTTCAAGATCCGGAGCCTGACACCGTTGAGCAAGGCAGCATAGTCCTCGTCTGAGGCGCCAGGTTTGGCTCCTGCTCTGAGAGACTCAATCGCCTTCTCAAGGGCTCTCCAACCAGCATAGCGCCTCTCATCCCAGTCATTCTTACTGACCTCCTCGTCCTCCGACACAGTCCTAATCGTTCAGCCTTGCAGGTCGTCAGCAATCGCGATCTTCGCTTCAGATGCGTCCGTGCCATCTGCGGAGATGCGGTGATCGTCCCAGGGCGCCTGCTCGTAGGCGAACGTGATCCATCTCCTTGCAGTCCCTCGTGCCTGTTGTTCCAGCCATTTACCTCGCCGCGCTGGATACCGCTCTAAAACTGTGAGGAAGAGGTACAGGATTTCTCCAAAACGATGTCCTGGTGCAAAACTGCGGGTACTGTCCGCGAAAGGGTTGGAGAAGGCAATGGAGTAACGGTAGATTTTCCGTCTCCTTGCCTCTATACCTGAAGTTTCAGCGGTCGCCAGGATCTTTGCCAGCTTGTCGATTGGTACGGAAAACAGTACGTCGCCGATGAAGTACGATAGCTGGAGCAAGAAGCGGTTGCTGTCAATGTCTCCCGAGATGGGAATTTCATACGCTTCGAGCAGTTCCTGTGCTACATCGTTTCCAAAAAGTGAGCTCACCATTTCCACGAGTGCCTTTGGTTGGGCTCGCTTGAGCATCTCAAAGATTGTCTGGCCTTCCCAGAGGTCGTCGCCGATCATCATGTCACCCAGCCATTTGTTTGTTGGAATGAGTTCAAATTGGCTCGAGTACGTGGGAGAGCCTCTGGTGAAGAGCGAGTCTTCCCTTTTAATGCCTGGGACTTCTCCGACAAATGGCATCGTGTGCGTGCCTGGGAACTTGGCAAGTGCTGCGGCATCAACATGGCGTAGCTGCTCAAGTCTCTCTTGGCCATTTTCGCCGTTGATGTTAAAATGCTTCAAAAGTGCTTGATATCCTGCTTCCTTGGCATTAAATGGTAGGTCCCCGATGACCGGACCGGATTGACAGGATGGCACGATCGAACATGCGTTGCTCCGAGCCGATAATGTGATATAGCATGAAGATGCTTCCAGTAGATTCGCCGAATGCCGTGATGTTCGATACATCGCCACCAAGACCACCGACGAATTTATGTATCCAAGCAAATGCGTTTCTCTGATCTTGGATAGTAAGATTAAAGGGGCCGTGAGTGCTCGTAGGGTTAGAGGTGTGTTCATCCAAGAGGTCTTGACAGACGATGCTTCCTACCCAGTTCAAGCGATAGCCGATGTTGACAACGATGACTGGCAGGAAAATAGAGTGAGAAAATGCTGTCAAGGGAGCATTATCGTGTATGCCATCAACGTGACCACAGCCATCCTGTGCGGCCCCTCCATGGATATATACCATGGCCGGCAATGCCTTAGTCGTCGGCAGGGACAATTGAGACTCTGGGACAGATATGGAAACAGTGAGGCATGTGAATTCATCGAACTCCAATTGTTCATCGTCCGGCAGTTTCCCTCCTTGGGGAGCGACCAAGCCGGTTTTGTGGCCCCTGGTTGGGAACATGCTGCCCCAAAGTGCGTAAAGTCCATGAGCGGTCTGCTACCAAAGGTTGATGGGATTTTAGTCAGCGGCTACGGATGGCAGGAATCGGTCTGGAACTGTGGCATATGGAATGAACCGGAATTGGACGACCGGTGATCCCGGGAAATGAGGAGACTCGATTCGCCTTCCCTTCAGGTTGCCCAATTGCGCATGGGAAAAGGTATAGGTAGATCCTTGGTATGGTGGTTTAGGCGACATCGTTTTGGAGTGTAGTTATAAGGGAGAGTGCCAACTCCTCGATTATTTAAGTCGTTAGACCGTTGCCATAATGCCTCCAAATTGTCATGTACTAAGCTGGATATCTCTGAAGATGAGATTGCTCGCTGGTCGGCTGTACAAGGATCGTTCATTTGCGAATCAGCCATGATGCCCTCAATGGCAAACCTCGGATCAACGAGACTCAGATATGTACAACTTACCAATCGTGAGGATTCGTGTTTAGAATCATTTCGTGCTGATCAGTAATTGGGTCAAATCTTGGGCGGAGTAGTTTCCTGCAACGTATTTCGTATTTCGTATTGATCCTTCATGATATCAGACTCTTCTGTGTCGAATCGGGCGCCGCTACAGTCAAAATCCCTACCGATCGTTTCATATAGAGATATCGAACCGAGTCTACATGTCAACGCCGAAGTTCGCAGATACAAGTTTCGTGTTCGGTCTGGGCTGGAGGTAATACGTGGACGATCCGAACTGCGGATATGAGCATGGCAACTAAACTGAAGACAAAGCCGGCAGACAAAGGCTGTGGGTGAAGCTAGATTCGTGGAGTTAGTTGCGTCAACTCACTATCTGCCAAAGCGCATAAACAAAGACCACAGCCTGCATATGGCGCAGACTTGTTCTGGGAAATGGCAATGCATCCGCGGCAGACGCCAGTGATAGCAGACTTGCGAGTTATCTACTCGCTGTAATCGCTCGCTTGTTGGAAACAAGGGCTGTGATACTGCCAGTGACTTCCTCGAAGATTCTTGGCATTCAGGGTTTGAGGCACTCTGGAAGCTCAAAAGTATGAAGAATGCATGCATATGGAAAGCAACTTGGTATAGCCCTAGTTTTGTGTTGCCGGGTCAGATATTGTGTCGACCTGCCGCTTGCAAGTAAGAAAGAGGCCACCACAATGCGATGCTTAATGTGTAATATGTGACTCAAGTTTTTTGTGTCCAAATATTTGACTGTCACATCGCGCTCAGACTAAGGCAGTGAGGCACTGACTGCCTCAACAACGACGCGTTGGACCGCCATCACACAATCAAACTGAATCTGCCAATATTAGGGTTGTGCGCCCACGAACACAACGTCTGCCCTTCTTCTTTGTCTTCTTCAATAGCATTTCGAAAGCAAGGCACGTCCACAAATTCACAATCCAAGCGTCGAGACCGGGAGCTACCAATAGTCTTTGCCAGTCGCAATTCTGCCATGGCGGCTCGAAAACCTGATATCGGCAATAAGAAGAAACAACAAATGAGCAAGACCTCGCGGGTGTACAAGAAGAAATCAAGGGGCCGGAAACAGGGTTGGAGGCAAACAGAACCTTACTGGAGAAAGGTTTAACGTCTGCTGGTGTGAGAGGGCGAACGTCGGCCAATGTTTACCTCATTAACGCAGTTCCTCCGAGGCGACAATGAGAGGAAGAAAGAACAACTTTACCGCCTGTTACAAAATCAACAACCAGTATTGTTTCAAGATCTCCTCCAGGGAGAGAGCATTGCAGCGACAGAGCTCCTGGACATGACTCTGCATGAGATTAGTCAAATCATCGATGAGCGCGATGTGACTCCAGAAGTCGACCAAGTTCCTCGGCCAGAGGCTAGCGACGAGATTAGGCAATGCAACAACCTCAATATCAAGAGGCTCTCTCCAGACAAGTATCAAGAACTTTGTCAACTGTGCAAAACAAGTGTTCCCATTCTGCTGTTGGAAGGTGGACAAAGGCGCGCTCAATCTAGAAAGTTGCCGGACGGTGTGCAGATCATGGTGTACAGGTATCTGCGCAAGCACCTCACACCAAATGAACAGATCGACCCGGCTACATTTGACCCAGATGAGATGCCGTGGAGGGTCACATGGACTGGTGGGAAGATATCATCCTCCGCTACCTGAAGGAAAAGGAGGAAGAAAAGCTGAGGGCGAGGGGTTCGGATCGATTGTGCCGATTAGTGTATTGAAGAATGAGATGAGCATAGCGGGCGGGCAGATATAGATATTCTGATGGTGGGATTTGGTTATTGGATTATTCACGTCACTGGCAACGCACCAGTACAGTACAACGCGGGTGAGAACTTGAGATAGCGAGAGAAGCTCGTGAGAAGTGTAAAATAAACGTGACCCCCACGTGACGAAGGCTTTTCCATGGTTGCTCGGTTATTCCTTTTTCCGGCCCTTGCAGAAAGGACCCGAAGGACCGAGGACGCTTCTTCGCTTGGAAGTCCTGGTTGGACGCCGACCTGGCCGCAATTTCACCAGGATTCACGAGGGCTTCTTCTGGGGTAGAAAAGGGAACGTGTTCTGCTGAGTGTTGTGGTGCATACGAGTGATTAATGCAGTGAGGCTGAAGACAATCTCTCTCAAGGACTAGTTAGCACGGAGTAATTGCCCTCGTCCATAGCAATATTCCGGCAATTCGAGACCCTTGGCCCACCTCTTCCCAGGCCGGTCCTATTGCGCGGTAGTCTCTATCCGACGCCCCATCTGAGTCCTTTGTTATTTTCTGCCCACAACCCGCCAACGCCTGTTACTCGAACGTGGAGCTGCACCACACCGCAGCAGGTGGTGCCATCCTAAAAATTTGGACAACGACGGAGACGTTGCAATTAATTTAGCCACGATGACTCCGTGCAGCATCTCAAGTTATTCGACCATTTCTTCTAACATTGCCCTCAAAGCCTCGTCGCTACGAGCACGTCCACTTAAAACCACTAGGCAGAGTATCCGCACTCTGAGCTGTTCGACTTCTTCCACATCGACTCCTCGCACTTCCCGCCCGCATCGGCGTCTGTACCGGAATCCCACAGCCACTCACAATCCACCGACCATCGTCACCACCAACCGCCATACCTTTTGCACCTCCCCAATCCCCTCCCCCACAGTCGCAATCCTGGCTCCCAATCGCCCTCATTCAACTGCCTCAACTCGTCTGAGTTTGATCTCAAGACACCTGGACAGCTATCATCAATCCTCTTATCCTCCTATAAACACTCCTTATACCACTGAAAGGTCCTCATTGCCCTACGACGACGACCTTCCTTACACTCCCCCCCCACCTCCAACAACACTCGCGCTGTCTCCAAAGGTTCAAAAGCGCAGCCTTTCCACGTCGTCCTCTCCCAAGATGTCCACACAAGCAGAGCATGCCTCACTCCTGATTCCAGGACCCATCGAGATCAGTGACGAGGTCTCGCAATCAATGGCCCACTATGCCCAATCCCATGTCGGCCAACCGTTCGTCAATACCTTTGGTGAAACACTCACCCTTCTGAGAGATCTCTTTCAGACCAAGAATGCAAACTCCCAACCTTTCGTCCTCGCCGGAAGCGGTACATTGGGCTGGGATCTTGTGGCCGCCAATCTGATTGAGCCTGGTGAAGATGTCTTGGTTCTGCACACTGGCTACTTCGCCGATTCCTTCGCTGATGCCATTATTACCTATGGCGGAAAGCCTACTCAGCTAAAAGCTCCCATTGGCGACCGTCCACAAATACTTGAAATTGAAGCCGCCCTAAAAGAGAAGAAATATAAGGCTGTCACAGTCACCCACGTTGATACTTCGACCGGTGTTCTTTCTCAGATCAAACCCCTCGCCGAGCTGCTTCAACGGGTTTCGCCTGACACCCTGCTCGTTGTAGACGGTGTCTGCTCGATTGGTGGCGAAGAACTTGCCTTTGATGACTGGTCCGTAGATGTGGCATTGACTGCATCACAGAAGGCTATTGGATGCCCTCCAGGCTTGTCCATAACCATGGTGTCTGAGAAAGCCATTAATGTCTTCAAAGCCCGCAAATCTCCTCCGGGGTCCTACTATGCAAGCTTTAAGAATTGGTTACCTATCATGCAGAACTACGAGGCAAAGAAGCCTAGCTATTTCGCAACTCCCCCAACACAGCTGGTTCAAGCGCTCAACACCTCCCTCAAGCAAATCCTCGCGAGTCCCATATCAGAGCGCTTCGCCAAGCACCGCAAAATGAGCGAATACGTCAAGTCAGAAGTCGCAAAGCTCGGCCTGAAGCAATTGGCCACCGACCCAGCGAATGCTGCCAACACTATGACGGCAATTTATTTACCCGAGGGTCTCACTCCGCCCGAGATTCTCCCTAAACTCATGTCCCGAGGAGTCATCTTTGCAGGTGGCTTGCATAAGGAAATCGCGACCAAGTACATTCGTTTTGGACACATGGGTGTCAGTATAACGGATGAGTCAAGGGGCGAAGTTGACAAGGCCCTGAAGGCGCTCAAGGACGGTCTCGCAGAAGTACAAGATGCCAAGAAGCAGTAGGCCGCCTTCTGCTCTTTTGAGTTTAAAGCCATTCCGAGCTACAATCTGCAGAAAATCTGGGCAAAGCTCGGAGCGTCTAGAGCTGGGAATATGAGAGCTCAGGGAAATCAGGAGCCCAGCGTCGTTGAACATATACTACAGGAGGAGACTTGATGTGAGTTGCATGCATAGTGCGTGTGTACATACATGTACAGGCTGAGCACAGATTAGGATTAGAGAAAAACACATTGCCCGAGATGAGTGATAATGAATGAAATGTATGTCTTACCAGAGACTTGGTTTGCCGCAAGCATGTTAGCCTGAGCCAAATGTGCGAGAAACCTGCCGCTCTCTCAGCGAGAGGAGTTCACTCTTGTCATGTGATTTTGTGTTTGCCGCCGTGAGGATCATAGTAGCCCGTTGAGCAGGCACGCGACCGACACGCGACCTGCTCGACACGATAGGCTCGCGTGAGGCACAGCCTAACAAGTCTCTCGGCTCGTTCCCTGCTCCAAGGAGCTGAAAGGATTTTGTATGAGTTCTGAACATAAAAATATATTGGACTATTAAGATCAGATCCGTTCGTTCTCCTTGTTGAACGATAATAACATTCTCAACCGAGTCCACCAAAAGCTGAGCGAACGCCTCAAGTTCGCTTGATCTCACGGCGGATTTGGGGGCTGGTATCAGTGACCACGTTCACGAACAATCCACACACTCTCACAGATGTCCCATTGAATGTAATTCGATCCTTGACGATGCCTTTCCCGAAGATCTACTCTCTTCGATGCAATCATGGCCTTGAAGCAAGAACAGGTGGAAATCAAAGTTCAATAGCCTTGCTGAAATTGCTCGGTGCCCGTGAAACGCCTAGAACAAGGCTGAATGCACCAGGTGACGAGCTAATTATAGGGCTAGCTCCCTCGCTAGCCACCATGGGTGCCAGAGCCACCACTGCGGGCCGCCTTAATCAGAGCTTCGTGTTCCCCCACCGAGCGGCCGCTGACTTTGCGTCTCACCTGAAGAACACGGTGCTTGCCAGCACTCCTTGGCGTGGTTTCAGCTCAGGAGAAGCTTACTTCCGCTAACGACAAACCCTCCTTCATCTTCGTTTCTTCATTCTCGACGCGAAACTTGTTGAACAACTCGATATTTTCCATCATTCTTTCCAGCGACAATGGATTAGTAAAGGTCGCCATACTCGTTACACGATGGTAGAGACGGAATTCATCAGCACAATCGCCGGCATTGCTAGTGCTGGCACTAAGTTGTCCGTGACACTTTATACCTTCTCTGAAACAATCTCCACCGATCATCGATACATCAAAAGTATAGCTCAGGACGTCTCGCTCGCCTCGTCGCTTCTTTCGCAGCTTGACGAGGACTTAAAGGCAGATGACCAACCGAGCTTGTATTCCACTGCCGCTCTAGAGACCGCAAAAGAAGCCGTGAAGGAATGTGAGGATGTGTTCAATGAAATTCGGGCAGTCTTGGAGGACGCGGCAGAGCTTGCCTTGCAACGACCAACGAAAGGGAGATTGACTCTCTCGCCTCTAGAAAGATCAAAATGGGCTTTCGCTCAGCCCAGGATGGTCCTTTTGATGGCCAACCTTCAGAAGTTGAAGAGCACCCTTGTGTTAGTGCAAAATGCTTTGAACTATGCCGACAATATTGAGTCTGGGTAAGTTCTCTGCGCTGGATTCGTCGATCTCCCGTCTGACTGAACCAAAAGGAGTGAGACTCAAATCGATGAACGCCAGAAGTCACTGCTTGAGATTTTCGCTCGCGCCAACCAGGAAGCAACCAAAAGGTATGAGGCTGTGCGCAAAGCCGCCGAACGCTCTGATGGTGGCATTCAATCACTGACCGACGGGAGCACTGCTGCTGCTGCCAATTTATCGTCACTCATCAAGATTCCCACCCCAGGTGATCATGCCTCGGATAATACCGCTGAAGCAGAGTCCACAGTCCAGGAATGTCTTGATCGTATTGAGAATGCGCTAGACAGGATCGCTCAAAGCAATCCGACCGCCATCTCAGACTCGAGCACAGTCGCAGTGATGATCGAACTCGAGAAAGAGTTGAATCGATCTCAACCCAACCTACAGCAACGTTCCAAACCCAGAGTCACCTTATCAATAGTCCAAAAACAGGGACCGAAGGCTAAACTTCAGGAAGCAGCTGCAATTGCCCGACGCAACAGTGTTGGTAGGTCGACACAAGGGTTGGGCAGAAGTAATAGTAGGAGGACTCAGGCGATGAACTCGACATGGTACTCAACAGCTTGGAACTCTCTTCCATCCTTCCAAGATACAATATCCTTCCTGCAAGAGTAAGAACACCCTCGAACTAATATTTCCATCTTAATTAGAATGCTGACTAAAAATGATCGCAGAGCTCGAAATGACACCAGTTCCTACTTCGGTGTCGAAGCTGTCACCGAGGATGTTCAATCAGTGTACGAACCATACAAACGCGAAATCTACAGCAATGACAACGGCAACTATGAATTGCCGAGGTTCAACGCCCCCGTCACACACAACACTTCGCCTGATTCACCCACCGTCGACTACTTCGGCCAGGCTTCTTCGTCGCAAGGCCAGTCAGATTTGGTTCCAGAACCGTACGCACCACCTAGAGCGCGCCTAGCTTCTCGATCTCGGAGTCCACCATATGAAGGCAAGGGCAAGCAACGTGCGGGCGGGCCAAAATTGGAAGCCGAGGTCAAAGCGACAGAAGATCAAGGACTGCTCGCGGACGGCGATGATTCCAAGGCCGGGTCTGACACCGAGAAGAAGTGGAATCAAGACGAAGACCAGCGACTGAAAACAATCCTTGACTCAAGCATCAATGCTGCAATTACTGAAGGTGAAAAGGCAGAGCCCCTTACTGACTCCAAGGGTAAAGGTAAAGCGTCTGGAAGCGATTCATCCGACAAGGATTGGACTACCGTCTAGTTTTGCTTTTTGTGCTTTCTTCCCGGAATCTATTATTTTTCTTTCAACCGGGTGGCAGGGAGTGTGGCTCGGGGTGCTCCAATATAACATCTCCTAGCAGAAACGAACCTCATGGAGATAAATATGTATGTATCTATATATATTTATGTTGTATATACCTTCACCTGGTTCGAGACTTCAGGCTTTGTTTCAGTTGCATATCTAAAAGGTTTCACTGACGGAATCAAAGGCTTACCACAGCCAACGACTGTTCTGGCCCCTTTTGGGGGAAAAGTGGTGATTCCCTAACAGAGTTTCCCGACAGCAAAGAGTCGAACACAAGCAGAATTTCCCGCCAACAGCCTCAAAATCCAGCTAATTTTGGTGTCTCGGCATGACTTCCACTTCACGATTATCTACATAGCTCAACGCAGCTGTGGGTCTCGGACTGAATGCGGACAGTCATCCTAACCAGCTAAGTCAATCGAGTTGCTGACATGCAAGCTAACATCTTGCTCTCATTAGTAAGAATGTGCTGCGACAGTGAAGTGGACTTCAAGGTGCGGAGGTGAAGCTGCATACTGGTGGCACTGAGACGCCTTACGGCCAGTTGCTACCTCAGGTCAGGGTCCAGGTCTAGTCAATGACAAGTTACAATCCGAGATAAGCGACCTAGCTTCGTCTAAACACCATTCTGTTACCACCCCAATTCCCAGCCTCGGGTGCTGGATGCTGGATGCTGTGCAATCACCCATATCTCAGCATAGATATAACCCAAATTATGGATATTGGCATGATTCACACCTTTTCCCTCGCAACGGCTATGTTGGGGGCCCCCACACCGCATTGACCAAACGTCTTCATCACAACATACAATCAGCGCCAGATGCAGCGCGAAACTCAGGACGGGCAGTCCTAAACAACCTTCGCGAGCCTGGGATCGAGCTCTCTGCAATATCGCTCAACCACTCGAGGGCGTCACTTGTCATCTGCCCTGCGAAGACGATTGCTTTTACGTTTACTCGTGGTTCCGATTGTCCTAGGGTATTTCTTCGGTTTGGTGCAAAGTACTGCTCCACGAGACTTTCTAGTGCGTGGCGGACGCGTTCTGCGTCTTCCATTCTGATGTTAGGGCGCGGGGACCTGCTGTGGTGGCATGGATATCTTGGGAAGTATGGGTGTTGCTGGATGGGATACACCATAGGCCTTGAAGGGACAGGTGGGTTCGCAAGAAGGAAACAGGAAGCAAGGGACAATTCTTCGTACCTGTCGCAACTCGACTGACCGCCATCCATAGACATGTGCACGGCCCAGCTTGTCAACAACCCCAACCATAACGTCGAGATGGCGGATCTGATAGTCAAGAACAACCACGAATTTCGGATGGAGAGGTTGAGGTTTCTCCCTTGAACCCTCGACAAAGCCCCTTCTTGCGGCACATCCGCCCGTGTGTGTGTGCTCGCCAGCGCCGAGAACGATCCTCTGATCGGTGCCCCTGCTGTTTGAGGGCGGCGGCCGAACACTATTCCCCCAGATTCATGGACCCGTTCTACAGCATTCGTGACTGCCGCTTTCGAACTTGAATTGAGGTGTTCTGGAATAACGACGACCGCTTCGATCTTCGCTTCGGTCTTGTGTCTGGGATCACTTTTGATTTCGATCACAACCTTTACAAACCAGAGCAATTCGAGGAAGACTGAATGGAAAAGGTTTTGTGCGTCTTGTTGAGGCAGCTCGGTCGCAAAAGACGGTGATGGAGGTGGTGCCTGAATGCTTTGTCCGATTGGATGCATTCGCACTCTCTTATTCCTATTAGCAGTGTCAAAAGCTAAGCATTTATTCGCGGGGGAAAGAACATCGACAGAACCGCGGTGTGATTCTTAGCAGCAGCAGCAGCAGCAGCAGCAGCAGCAAGGGAAAACCGCTTGATTACGGCCGCCGTTGAACATTGGAACATACCTGTGCATCGGGGTAAAGCGTGGTGGCTCGGTACCGAAGGCTATGAGGAACGAGAGTAGCCAGGCGAGCAATAAAAGAAGTGACATTCTCTTTGGCGGTGAGGACAGATCGGAAGGGTGGGGGGCAGGTTGTGTGATTAGTGACTCAGGGGGTTCGATGATGGGAGCACACGGCAGATCTAAATTCTAGAGTGGAACAATGACGACATGATAGTTATGATGTTACGATGTTATGGCCGGGAAGCGAAACGCTGAGGATAGGTCGATGTTAACGCATGGTCGTCTCAGTGCAGAAAGGGGGAGGCCCTCTGGTGGCACAATTCACGCCAGCACAGCCTTGAGATCACACTGCCTGCGAAAACTTGAGGGTCGAACTTAACTCGCTAGTTGTACTTAACGTGCTGGTCACCTCAATCGGAGTATCAGCAGGCAGTGGTCATCCGCCATTCGGCGGGGAGTTGAAATAAGTTATTCATTTGAGAGCCTAGCAATGACTTTGCCATCAGTTCGAGCTGGGATAGCACCAAGCGCCCTGAATGAAGCATCGCTAAACCCTCAGGTCGTGGACCATCAGCTAGCTTTGTGTCAATTCCTTCGATCGCTCTTCGACTTCCTCGGCGTGGGTGGAGGTAACCTCCTTGAGCTTGTGTTCCTCACCCTTCATGAAGACATCATTTGCGGCGTCCTGGCGCAGAACGCACTCATATTTGCGGAAATTGCGAACTGAGACACGGTTCACGAACATTTCGTCCAACTCTTCAAGCGATCGACCCTTCATTTCGGGCATGAAGAAGTAGAAGAATATGACACAGGCAAAGTTGGATCCGAACCATACGTAGCCATACTTGGCGCCCTGCGAATTGTAAAAGCGTTAGCGGTCCGATCTTTGTGATATCATTGTCAAATATTACTAATAGGGAGCCACGTACCAATCCAAGTTCTGCGGGGTTGATGAAGTAGGGAGAGCAGAAGCTCACAAGCCATGCAAGAAGATAGCCAATTGCAGTGGCACTGCCAACAGTCCATGCTCTCAGTCTAGTACTCACAACTTCCGTAGCAACGGGGTAGCTGGCTGCGCCCACACAGCCATTATAGAAGAACTTGAAAAGAGCGATAAAGGCGGTCAGGAGGTTCGCTCTCATGGCGAGATTGTTACTGGTGCTCGCCGCAATTGCTGGAGCCAATTGGCAGATACCACAAGCAACGGCCCCGATAATGAGGATCGCACGACGGCCGACCAGATGGCGAATTGCATACATCCCCACATTGACACCGATAAACCCAACACACGATGTCATAATCGTATACTCGAAGGCTTTAGTCACACCACCCTGTTGTAGGAAATATGTTTGATAAGCGATCAAAAACCAGATTCCAGAAGCACTCTGACAGCCGATCATGCCGTAACAAAGAAGAGTTCGACGTAGGTCCGTGCCTTATCGTAAAAGTTAGTGTTATGTGTTATGCTGCGGCGCATCATAGATCAGAGAAGCTTCCATACCTCTGAACATGTCAACCCAGCCCACGCTCTTGGCGTTTTTCTTCTCCTCCTCCATACCTCGAATCATCTCAGCCCATTCGAATTCTAGTTCATCCTGGGTGAGAGCCGAGCCACGAAGCTGGATCAAAGCCCTTTTCGCCTCGGCTTCTTTTCCTCTGTGAAGTAGAAATCGAGGACTCTCCGGCACGAAAAACAACCCGACTGAGAGGATAGCAGGCACAATGTAGAGGCAGCCCAGAGGAATCTGATATGAGGACTTATCGAGACGCCTTTTTGTGAAGTTGTTGACCGTTCCGCCTAAGATGGAGCCGATGTTGACCCAGTAAGCAAACAGAGCGACGAGAACACCTCGAAGATGGGCAGGGGATGCCTCGGAAGTGTAGACGTTGGAGAATGTCACGAGGAACCCGTTGGCGACACCGAGTAGTAGGCGGCCTAAATAGACAGCACCCCAGTTGGTGGTCGCAATCAAAATTGCGGCAGCGATGCCATTCAAGGCACAAGCTAGCCATATAGCATGCTTTCTCCCAAAATATGAAGCGAAAAATCCGGCGAGCAGCGAGGAGATGAAAGAACCAAGAGTCAACAGCGAGCTGATCAATTGTTGGAATGTAGGCTAAGATGAGACAATGGATTAGCCGACAACCCTCGCTCGCAACCGTTGCAGTCCACGTACATCAATTCCATACCCTACAGGGCTGTTTGGACTTGGGTACCCAAACACTTTCAGGAAGCCAGGCATTGCTAATGGTCATCGTCAGCTAAAACGCACCACACGTACAGCCGTGCACAAATGCCATTGTTGAGAGAAATACCTTGCATACCGCCAACAGCAGCAGTATCAAATCCATACTGCATGTTGGCAATGGAGACAATGCAACAGATGAAGAGGCATTTTCGATTTGCCCATAAGCTAGACTCTTTGACGTCTAACATCTTGGATTTCTGATGGCAAGGGAGGAGCAAGGATCGAAGTTAGCTTTCTGCAGATCTGATCTAGATTTTGCTCCTTTTAAGAGATGGAGGATAGGCCAACCCTCACGGAGGTCATAGGCTTTATGTTGTTGACCGTCTGAAGCGAAAACCACATGGATGGAGAGTCCCACACGATTATGGGGCCCCGGCATATGCTGGGGGATGTATTTTTCCAGCCTCGGTCGCTTGATACACAAAACCACATTGTCTTCAATTATGGGATCCGCTCTTGGTATCTTCTTTAACCGTGTCTGGAAAATGGAAGGGAGGCAATGGATGATACCAAGAGTTTTCTCCAACTTTGGATAAGGACGGGCCAAAGTCGGCAATAGCAGAATTGGTCTGGCCGGCCCATTATCGACATGGGCTTCGTCTCGAGATCTCTGCGGGGAATCACCATCTTTGACCGACGGTCCGGTGGGATAGCCTTTGGCCAAGCCAGATTCCTTGGTATGCGGAGACTCTAGAAATGCCGAAAAGCGGTGGGTTAAACGAAGGTGACGTGATCACTGTGTGGGATTCAGGTTGATCTTGGCTTGGTGGACCGAAAAGTAGGGACTGTTTATAGCGAGGCGATGCCAGGAACCACCCGACAGGGCGGTTTCGTGGGAGTCTGAGTGGTTATTGCCGCGCCCTGCGATCTTAGGCGACTGCCAGTACTAGCAAGGGCGAACATATTGCGGCTTTCATGCTTAATTGTCGGCTTCAGACATAGATAGGGGATGGTTGTGAGCGACAAGCTTTGATGAAGCTTATGAGCAGCAACTATGAAGGAGTCGCAAGGCTGAGGACGGGGAGAATCGAGCCATATGGAGCCGTGGCCCAGGTTAACCAATCGCGATGGTGTTGATGCCCCCTGAATGCATGGATTGGAAGTGCAGACAGCCGATCCGTTCGAAGGGCATGCGATTGCTGTATCCTTGCGTTATGCGTTGCATGCAAGAGAATGTGAACATGAAGTAAGTGGTGGAGGCTGTGGTGGTGATCCCGAGTATGCCAATGGGCTGACCAATCGAAGTGGGCCTCGGATCGAAAGACGAAGGTGGGGGCCACAATCCCACACTTTCTCCCTCTGGGTGCCTCTTCTTCCATCCCTTCATCTTCATCAACACTTCCAAGTTCCGTGAAGATAATAGAGCAGACGAATACTCATTTCTCATCCAGCATTCCTACCCTATCGTCACCAACCTGCGTTTGCTCCTAGGAGTGTCTGGTCACATCTTCTGTGCAGATTCGACTACAAGGGAAGCTGGGGAAGCTTGGAGACACATTGTTGACTTCATGAATTTATGATCGTGCTGCCTTGAGCTCTGTCCAGCCGGGCAGCCGTCGATCCTCGGAACGGATCACCTGAGAGAAGGACGCCTCGTCCATGTCCAGACCCCGCTCAGTCTGCTTTACTCGTCATTGCATCTACCACGTCGCCTCGACAAATCATACCCCCTTTGTGTTCTAAGCCACGGCCCGATCCGCCTCTGCGTCCTGCAGGGAGCATTTCCGAACCTGTTGGCCATTAACAGCTTCAAGATCTCCGGTCGCATCCTACTTCATTGCTTACAGCGCACTTTCTAGTGATAGCTTGACGGATCTCCCGCGGTCTTGGTGAGTTGGTGAATTGAGTTGATTTCTTTGTGGTGGAATTCCGGGGTCTCTTCGATTCCCACTGTTCATGGACTTCTCTCACCTTTCTTTTTGTTTCTGGTAACTTGCAAACGCATTCCAACTGTTCCTACTTCCACCCAGATTACCTTTTCTACCATGTCTCCTCTCCCTACCCTTATCTATACTCACGGAGGCTGGCACGGGCCAGAATATTGGAACCCTGTTATCTCCATCCTGACAGGCAGAGGCTTCAGATCTATCGCACCGCACTTGCTATTCGGTGGCACTGACGAGCCCATCACGTCTTTAGTGCCCGTGATCGAGCAGGTCAAAGAGATCGTAGCTGATGAGACCAACAAGGGCAATGATGTTGTGATCATCAACCATTCTTTTGGCTCCTTTGCTGGCTGCAGTGCAATCAGAGGCTTCACTGCAACAGACTCATCTCATCTTTCAGGCCTAAACTCCGGCAAAGTCTTGGGCGTGCTGACGGTCGCCGGGTTCTTTCCTGAGACGGAGCTTTCGTTCAATGACATGGTTGCTGCACTTCAAAGCCCTTCAGCTGCAACTGATCCTGGTGCCGTCGCCCAGCTTCCATTTAGTCCCACCGAAGAAGGCTGGCTTGAGTTTACAGGCGACGCCATTCAAGCATTCTACAACGACCTCCCGCACGACGAAGCCCAAAAGTGGGCCACCAACCTCGAGAAGTTCTCTCGCTTCGTCTTTGGCACCTGCGAGAAAGTCTATGCAGGCTGGAAGGATGTGCCAGTCTGGTACCTGTTGTGCAAAGCTGATGCCATGATGACACTACCACAGCAAGGTGCACATGTCAAGAAGGCGCGTGATGGGGGTGCGAATGTCACGACTCGAGAAATTGATGCCGGACACAGTCCAATGTTGAGTAAACCGGACGAGGTCGCTCAGTTCATTCAGGATGCAGTGGCTTCTTTCGTCAAATAATCATTCGAGAATGCGAAAGCATGCAAAGGGGTATCATTGAGCGGACCATCGTCGAGATCCCAATTTGTATTGATGGCATTTACGCTGTAGCAGTAAATTCCAACAGCAGTGCTTTACATGACTCGAGTCTGAAAGAGTGAATATGTGATTGAAATGGCCGTACAAGTAATATGGAATTTGACTTGCCCCAAATGGAAAACCCTACTCGTTGGAGTTGTGGCTATCAGCCCTCCGGCTGTTGACTCGCATTGGTTGTGGTAAGGACTGACTGACTGACCAGTGACCACCTTGGGGCTTGGAGCTTCGGCCGGCATCTGATCTTTGCCGACCCAGCACCAGTTTATGTGTATCTGTCACTGAACCGACGACAAAATACCTGTCTGTCTAGGCATGTGGCTCAGGCGTATATACCGTACAGCGGACACGGTAGGATACTCGGAATCTACCAGCAAGACCTGCATAGGCCAGTATTGCAACCCACTACTGTTCATATGTGGGGGCACAGTACAGATCCAACATGACCTGTGATCATATCCCCCATCAACGCCGTTATCACACTGACAAGAGAGCGACAGTAAGCAACTGTACACAGCGCAATGGCATCCATCAAGCCCCGCCCTAGAACCTCGCCGCCGTCTGAACGCATATCAATCACGCCGGCAGACGTTTACGGGCCGCGAGCCAGTTGGGTGAGTACACACTGGTTGATCGAGGGACTTGGCACGCGATCGAGGAGGATGTTAGACGGAGGATGACCGTATTTGTGAGTTCTGCCAGGATCGTGGAAGAGCAGTTCTTTGCCCAACCAAGCTTGAAGAAAGACACCTTCAACGCAGCTGAGGATGGTCCATTGATGAATCCTGCTCATGGACTTGTGGGGACTCTGGCAGAGAATCGACGGGAGGCGGACGCCTTCCTCGAATGGTTGCAATCTGATGAGGGAGGCCAGAAGATCATCCGATAATTTGCGGTCAATGGGACTGTCTTGTATTCTTGTGTGGTTGGCGGCATTGAGCCAGGGCGTCAAGCTCAGCTCTACGCCAGATTATAATCGAGGCTGAAAAGGGGCTCTAGGGGCCGTCTGCTTGGTCGTATCCACGAAAGTACCAATGTCGCCCGTTCTTCCGCTAGCTTGTGGAGTGGTTCATGCAGACGAGACAGGGGGTTACAACTCTGACTCCAGCCCTTCTCGTATGTTGGGAAGTGTTCGCTGTTGGATCAGCTTCAATGTGCTCGGTTGATGATGTATACCCAGTCCCTTGTACATTAGCATCTGATCAAGAATGGGTCCGAGGGGCAAAGCTCGACGCACATGTGAGCAGGCAAGTGGCATGGTATTGATAGATCGTCACCCATGCCACGCATATACACGACAGTGGTATGCGAGTATAGCGGGTGAAGGAACAAGGTGGGGAATAGATCTCAAGATAAACTCACAACGGGGTATTGTAGGCCACATGTCCCCTCTGAGTGCTTCTTTAACTAGTGTTCTACTGACTCGGAAGATTAAGCTCCGGATAAGCCATACGTACATACCTAGGGCACCTAGCGGGCTAAGTCGTGCTAAGTGTAAGCGGTGTGAGCTAGAGGCCAACTCAGAGACTTTGCGGGATCAACGCTGAGCCGTTTCAAAAACCTATGATCCCTCCTGTCCTGGCAGGTATATGCGCTTGGCATACTTAAGAATTGGACTAAATGACAGGTCCGCAGGAAGCCAGGCAAATACAGGCCATGAGGATGACTGGGCGCAGACATTCGGATAGACTGGGGCGTGGAAAGCAAACCGAGAAGGCACTTATCACACCAGTCAGAGCTGGGCCACGGCGTGGGGATTTCTGTAACTCTTGAAGTATTCGCGCCTGACCGCTGGCCCTCCGTAATAATGATGAGCGAGTCCGACTCGCGGGCGTGTGGTGTGGCCACTGGAACGAGGGGCGGGAGACATTGACCCGGCGAGTGAACACGATTGAATCTATGGGAGAATAATGATGGCACATGTTTCACCAAGACCCGGCCAAACCACGCACGGCCTTGGTCTGTTAAAAGGCACCTATGGGCCCACCTGAGTTGATAGCTGCTTAAGAGCAAAGATAAAGTGGAAAATGAAAGAGACAGACGTGGATGGCGAGTTGAAGTACACTGTATGCAGCAAGGCTAATAAGGCAGGGCCGATGCATCAAGTGGCGCTCAAGCTAAAATATGGGGTACTAATTCACTTTCTACCCAGGTTAGTTGCTAGGAAGTACGACTGTTGTCATCATGGTGGATGATAAGAGGGCAAAAAGGTGAATCAGCTTCGGACGCGGTGAAGACTCAAGACAATCAAGTTCCCTTGGAGCAGTAAGGCCTATGACCAAGACGAGAGGTGGGTTTCGTCATACTCCGTACCTTTCCTGGCAGGAGTCTACCGAGCACTAGTACGGAGTACTTGGCTCTGCCAGGATTTCCGTTTGCCGGTGAGGTGTGGCTCTGCCTGGGGTGCCAGAAGCGGGCCTACATATACGGAGGACTGTACGTTGTGACTCGTGCGTCGTGGACTCGTGGCTTGTGACTCGTGAGTGGTGCCTAGATACGGAGTAGGCTACCTGGTCACCGATAGCGTGCGTTGCTTGGGCTGACTTGTTTCGTATCTTCGCCTGGAAATGCTGCCGTCCTTAACAATAATAACAAACAATCCCTCTCCGCACCTTCTAGCATTTGGCTGCCAGCCAGGGTCCCTATCATGTTCCCGTACTCGTAGGCTTCGACCTCCCGCAATGCACCAATGCCAGGCATCATGCTGTGCCTAAGGGAGACAGCCAGGCCAGCTACGCTTAACTAAACCAAGTGCCCGAGAGCCCCAGCCCCCATTAAACCTACCTAGACAGATACCCCCGTCCTTGTCATGACCCTGCCCTTCCATGGCCTACCCTTTTACTCCTTTGGCCTGGAGGAGTTTGTGCCTACGACGACTCACTCACGCCCCCTCAATCCCCATTCACCACTTGGACCGACCCTGACGCCTTCTCAACCCTTTCCAAGTGCGCTTCACGGTTCATTTTCTCATTCATCCCAATTCAATTGTCAACGTCTTTGGCTCTCATAGTAAAATTATTCGTCATAGCCCTCTCCTCGTAATTGCACTCTTGTGTGCGAGGCAATCCTTCGAACCACTCACCGCAGCACAGGCACACGCCAGCCAGGCCCTGTGGCAGTGTTTTAGCCATATCCATACTAGTTTACCCCGAAAAGGTGCTTCCTGACATTTGTCTTTCAACCTCTCCTCATAACTTACCATCTCTCCATCCTGCACCTACTTCTATTCATCGCCTGCGCCGACTCACACTCCCTGCAGAGCCCTCAACTATCCTCAACATCACCTCGTTGCCTTCATCCGCTATCCTTTGCCCTTCCTCCTAGTGTCTCCCTCTAACTATCTCCGCTACAGCCGCCATGGCTGAGATCCGTCGCAAGCTCGTCATCGTTGGTGATGGTGCCTGCGGAAAGACCTGTTTGTTGATGTAAGTCCATCCAATCCTCAAAGCCCCTATGGGATCCCTCTTTGCTGACCATCTTGAACAGCGTCTTCTCCAAGGGAACATTCCCTGAGGTACGCAACTCCCATCCTACGCCTATCATCCCACTCTTTCAGCCCTGTTGATGTCTCCCGACGGCCACGATAACACGAAGTACATCCTTGTGTACCCTGACTGACATGAATCTCGAACAATAGGTCTATGTCCCAACTGTCTTTGAGAACTATGTTGCCGATGTCGAAGTGGATGGAAAACATGTTGAACTAGCTCTATGGGATACCGCAGGCCAGGAAGATTACGATCGTCTTCGACCTCTCTCTTACCCGGATTCTCATGTCATCCTGATCTGCTTTGCAATCGACTCTCCTGATTCCCTCGACAACGTTCAAGAGAAGGCAAGAACCCTTCCCACTCGAATGGCCTCTAATCTGACCGTCTAATCTCAACAGTGGATTTCCGAAGTCCTACATTTCTGCCAAGGTCTTCCAATCATCCTCGTAGGATGCAAGAATGATCTACGATATGACCCTAAAACCACTGAAGAGCTGGCCAAGACTTCCCAGAAACCAGTCACCGCCGAACAGGTGTGTCCATGTCCCTAGAAACCACAAAGACGCAAAGCTGACACAGTCATTTCTAGGGCGAGGAAGTCCGCAAGAAGATCGGTGCCTACAAATACCTCGAATGCTCGGCCAAGACCAACCAGGGAGTTCGCGAAGTCTTCGAAAGCGCCACCCGTGCTGCCCTATTGACCCGAAAGAGCGGTAAAAGCAAGAAGTGCTTGATCTTGTGAAAGACCCCTGTCTCTCGGTAGCATACACACATGGACCTGCCCACCCTCCCAAACATATATCAGGATATCGCCAACACAGGGTGCAGATCCCAGTCAAGGCCTTCAGTTTTCCTCGTTGCTTCGACTGGCAGTGGTCCGGTTTGGTGGCTTGATCGTGGTGCTTTTCCTGCACTGATACATTAGTTTTCTCTTTATTGAGTGAAGGACGGAGTGAGGGTTGAGGCAATACAAGATTTTGCAAAGGGACTATGAATGGGCAAACTCGGACGGCACTTCTAGCATCATGGCTACCAGAGTCGTGACTAGTCGAGTCTTCGAGATAGGAAATCCATTCACGGCGTTTGTCCTCTTCAGGCCGTTTTCAAATGAGCATTAATTTAACCTCCCTCTCCTTGTCTTGCACCCGAGTTACCACTCAACACTCTACAAAGACCTCTACGAATATATCCTGGGGTTCGCATATGTCCGTTGGTCAGATTCTGCCCGCCCGTGATTGTCCATACACCTGATTGCTCTCCTGACTCCTCGTACCTATTCCCTATGGCCCGAGCAAGTTTTGGGCTGTCTGAATTTATCATCATTTGGTACCTACTAGACCAGACTCTATTTGACTACCAATACCAGTTCCGCAATTATTCCATTCAGTCGCATGGTGCAGTATGCGAGTTTGTCCTTATCTCCTACATGGAGGGACGGTGTAGAAATATGGCACGTGCTCCCATCGCTTCTCAGCCACTGCCAAGATCTCTCTCTCCCTCCCTCTCTCGCTCACGTGCAATGGACACCAGTGACGTGACCGTCCTCCGAGGAAGCTACTCGCACAACGGAGACTGTGATCAGTGTAGCTGCGCCGCACAGGATGTCGGACACTCACCACATCTGTCAAGCTAGCCCCAACCTGACACTATCTGATTGTGATAGAGCTAGTCGTCTGATGAGTATGTACTGTTTACATCCTCAGGGTCTTGGGAAACTTCAGCAACTTTCATGATGCCGATACTCACTGCTGGAGCAGGACCATTCCACCCGCTGGCACCTGACCATGTCTGCCTCCTCGTCCATCAATGGGCTGCGTGTCGTTCCTGCTCGATTGTCCTATTTAGCCATATATAATCCGTCACTTGGTCCAACGGATGAAACTGTCAGTGACCAGATTGTCTTTTACTACTCGCAGCGACATGAAGCCGAGCTAGAGCGACGCCGCTGTGAGAAGCATGACGCAAAGAACGAAGCCAATGATGCTTCTGTACAAAAAGTCAGGCAAGATTCCGATGCCGCAACTGAGAATGATCCTGAGCAGAATGAGCGACTTCGTCAAGTTGGTCTGGCGCAGGGAATGATGGACTTCGTAAAGTAGGTAGGCAGCCTTCGTTACTCAGAGCCCTTGTTCAGCTCTCCTGGAGATAAGACTATTCTACCTCCTAAGTCTTCCCAGGAAGACAGGCGCCACGGTTTCAATCGACGTACTAATTCTCCCTTGACATCTAGAAATTTCTCAAATGGCGTGCCCCTCGAATCAATCGAATCAGAGAAATCTCGCGTTGTTCTGAAAGAACTCGAACCACAATGGTGGATTCTTGCCTCAATCGAGCTCACCCAACTACCAGCGACCACCACTGCCAATCCTTCTACCATGCAACGAGCCGCAGGCTCGGGCAAAGATCGAGGAGAAGGACATAAGACACCCACGACTGATGTAGTCGAATACTCCTCTCGTGAGGTCGCTCCTGCACAGCTGCTTCTAAGACAAATGATCCAAGCTAATCGGCTATTCTTGCTTCATCATGCGTCGAGTTTGACTGAGCTGTGGAAAAGGCATGCGGGTAATCGACACCTCTTCTGCAATCTGCTCGATCGATATTGGACCCGGTTCATATGGAACTGGGATGTCCTGCTGCATGGCAATCCTGCCGTTGAGCTCTTTGATGGCATCAAACTTGCTGGAGGTGGCGAGCTTGGTGTCGGAGTTGGTGAAGAAGGGTGGGGAAGCGGTGAGCGAGAAGTGCTTGAAGGGTTTGCAAATAGGACCGATGGACTTCTCGACCTCGTCGTGGGCCGTTATGGTGATGCGCCATTGCCAGGAACGCCGACAGAAAGTCCACCAAGAAAACCGCTTCCCTGGTTGGGGAATGCCGAAAGCTCGGGCAATCAAGATGGGGTGATCTTCTCTGGCATCGGAGGCATTTCTCGTAGATCGCTTGCTACCATTTCGCAATGGATGGAGTCTATTTTCGCTTATGGCGAGAGTGCTTATGGGGTTGGCGAAAATCCAGCTTCTCGGCCGAGGGAAGGAAAGAAGACAAGAAGAAGTCGTGCCAAAGGAGCGCAATACGTACCTAGCCGAGACTCAGAACGGAAAAAACGATCACAGCATCAGCAACGCAGGTCACCGCATGGTCCAGCGGCAGAGCTACGCCAAAAAGCGATTGAAAACAATCTCAATTCACCCAGGATTCCCGCGCCGCTTGTGAACGTTGTAGAGAGATCCTTGGACGAAGCAGTTGCCAAAGCAACTGGCGGATCTACAAGCAAAAGCCCTGAGCAAGAAGAGACTCACCGTGGCAATAAGCAGACAGCGGATATCCAGGAAGATGGTACTCTCTTTGGGGCAGAGAAGATGATGAAGTATCTGAGCCTTGGATATGGTTCCACCTGGACGTTGAATCCTAAAGGTTTCAATTCAAGCCCTTCACTTGACGAGCCGAGCCATGCACCAGCGCCACAAGGAGGGCACGACAGTCCAGTCGTACAAACACACCCTGTGGAGGACCTTCAACAAGTAGACCCTACCCCAGAAGTAAGTGACGAAGATGAAACGCCATTTGTACAGCGGCTTGAGCAATCTATCGGTAGATTCTTGATTGGTTTGTCTGGCGACCTAGAAAACACGGAATTCGAGGAAGACGAATTAGACATCTCTAAACCTGATGGAATCGTGCGGCCAAAAGCAGATTCATCTGTACCCTTACCACCAGCATCCAGGACGACAAATCGTATCTTTCTTCGCACACTGACAGTTGAGATGTCTTCATCGCGCTTCAGTCAGCTTGCGGCGTCGTCACGTCCTCTTTCTAGGAATGCACCCTCCAGTTTTAAGGACTCTGAGTATTCTGCTCGAGGCGAGGGCAAGACGAGTGCATCTGCTTCCATTGATGGCAGCCACCCTAATGTTAGCCATGAAAGGGTTCAGGTTGCAGTATATATTCATCAACCTTTCATGTTCGTTTTTCTCTTTCAATTGCGCACACCTAACCTGTCCATGCCGGGCTTTTACCGGTCAATTCATCACACTCTCGGACCCCTGCAGAAAAGTCTTCTTCGAAGCACGGATCCGAGCATATGGCAGGAGCGAATGCAAGAAGCAATGGGATCTGCACCGGGTGCAGATCCTGCGGGTGCTGAAGATCAGCGATCCAGGCTGTTGACACAGTCTCCTCTGGAGATATACGATTTTGTCTATGACCCAGTCAAATTGACAATTCGAACCTCAATCCCCAATATTCCTGTACTAGGAAGCCTTGCAGCAGAAGGATTACAGCGGTATCACCAATCAGATAGGCCCATTACCGTCTCAGGCTCGTGGTATACGCTTGGAATTCCCCTCGGGACGTTTTCAGTGTCGGGAAGCTCTTCTCCCACCAACCGCGCTGGATTGGTCAAGCGGGATTGGACACGTGTCGACGCTCTCAATACGTATACACACGTACTGAACATCTGGGCGGCAACTCGTGCTCGTGGCCCGGCATTTAGCGAATCCCAAGCTGAGCGAGAGGAGATAGAGAGGAGCGTCAAAACTTCGAGAGGATGGTGGGTGCTATGGATGCGCATTGGCGCTAGGAAAGAGTCACCGGATGAAAACAATGATGCCAGCTCTGCAAAGGCTTCCCAGGAGGTGATCTCGGCCAAGTCCAAGGTTCGAGAAGCAAAAGAAGCATTTTTGGTCAGGAGATCTCCGCAAGACCGCACTTCGGCTGCGAGAGATGCATCCGGAACCAGAGGGGAGCCAAGGAGCATCAGTTCGTCTGGAAGATGGCTCCTTCGAGACCATCCACGTAGCCGTGACGCGAGTGGCTCTGGAGGGGGCCTTTCAGCGTCCTCAGCAACAACAAATGCAAGAGCAGTGGGCGAAGGGGTTGGTGTGGATGCAAGGAAATGGATTGAAAGACTGATTCGGTTAAGTATGTGAGAGAAACCTGCTTGAGTACTGCAATAGAGATTGTAGGTGGGTGGGCCGCAGCAACTGCGATAGTGTTGGTGTGCGCATGCAGAAGAAATGCAAGTATCAACCAACAATTCAATGCCTTAGCGTTGGTTGAAGCAGAAGAATCCTCCCCCAAACCATCCTTTGTGCGGGTGTATGTCTCCGACGCAATCCCTGTTTGAAGGAGGGATGGTACTGGAGGAGACCAGGCCGTTTGTAGAATGCAAAGTCGTTGTGGAGTGGTAGTGCATGGCTTGATAAACCCTCGCTTGCATGTCAAGACCAATGACAAGTAACCACCATAGGCGTCAACTGGGTATAGGGGCATACCCTCTTAAGCTATTCATGCACATCTGGTTCACTAATTCTCTGCCATTTGAGTCTATCCGCCTCCAAAGATTCTTCCTGACGACAAGCCTTGGTGTGATCTGACAAGCCATCACTTTTCTGTTGTCGACCTCTGGAGTTTGCACGGGCCGCGGGAGACGAACCCTGCCTGCGCGCCAGTGCCAAAATCAACCCGGCTGAGGGAGCTGATCGCTGTCACGGATTCGTTGTAGTAAAATATTTATAACAAGGTTTGCTCTAGCCCTTTGACGTAGTCAATTCATGACAATCAGCTTGACTCCTCTTGAGTATCCTCTGATTCCCCCCAATGTCCCAACATCGCTCTCCTGTTCGGCCACTCGCTCCTGCTGCCACTTCAGAATTGTCTCGAGAATCAAGCTCCAATGGCAGGAATCTAGGTGATCCATCCTTGGTTCAGTCTGGGCTAGGTCCATCGAAGCGAAATGCTTCTATCGCTTGCCTCAACTGCAAAAGTGCTAAGAGAAAGGCAAGTACTTGTTGTCTTTTCATTCGTACATTGAGATAGCCAAAGCCACGCCATGGACTGCGTTTGTTCGGAGTCTACCAACCCCAAACCGAGACATGCTTCTTATTGTGCTCGTGCTGCCTAGATATCTTCTGGGTGATCAAGTCTAATTGAAAGGTGATAGTGTGACCAAAGACGACCCTGTGCAAACTGCCGCAACACCGAGAAGGAATGCGTCTACGATGCCTCGCAAGATGGTAGACGGAAGGAAGTGCGAAAGCGCAGACTCGACGAGCTCGAGTTCCGCAGCAACGCCCTCGACCGACTTCTCTTGAAATTGAGGAATTCCTCGCATGCAGAAGCGCGCGAGTTGATCGACCTCATCAAACGAGATGCACCGCTCGAAGAACTCTTGGACTTTATTGAGAGAAACCCGGGTGAACTTGCTGATGAGACGAAGAGGGCTGTATCTGCAAGTCCCCCTCCTCCAGAAGGCACAGGCATTCGCCGCATGCTTGCAATCAGTGAATTGATCGACATGCCGACATTTCAAGTCGAAGCCGGGCCCTGGACGACGGTGACTTCTGACAGTGCCTTTGTGTCCCATGTTCTTTCGGCCTACTATAATTGGTTTCATTGGCACTACGTCAATTTTGACTGGGAATTATTCTTGAAAGCCTTCAAGGAGAAGGATCTTGAGTCACCCTATTGCTCGCCCTTGCTGGTGAATGCCGTCTTAGGTATGGGTTGTGTGAGTCTACCTGACTCCTCCTCGCTGCGGCCTTGGAAGCTGACCCAGGATTTCAGATGTTCTCAGACCATCCGTCAGCCCTTGGCGACTCAGGAGACGCCGAAACGCGTGGCCAGCATTTCTACAATGAAGCCCAGCGGCTTTATGAGCTTGAGGGTGATCGGTTGACGCTCGCCAATGTCCAAGGGTTTACCATTTTGATCATGCTGTGAGTAGAGAGTAGCACTCAACCCCCACTCTATCCGCTCATCTTATTCACAGGGCTGCTTTCGCTGGCAAAGATAGGATTAGCTCGGCTTCTTTGAAGAAGCTCGAAGTTATTGTGCCTGAGCTTCTTTCTCAATATGCCACATCAAATCCAGACCAGCCAACCACCCCAGAACTGCAAAGATCTCTCGCGATCACTGAGTGGTCGGCATACATATATCTCAGGCATGCCATTGCTGAAAATCTGATTCCTTTGCACATACTAACGATCATGAAAGTGCGTTCGGGATATCATTCCTGTCCCCTCCAACATGGTCAAAGCCGACGCTAGAGAGGCCTTATCAGTCCGACTCCTGGAAGAGCCATCTCACCCCATGGTCCCCATACCCACTCAATCAAGAGCCAATTCAGCTCCCTCAGCACGCGTTGTCCGATGAGCTGGCTGTTGCTTATAGTTTCATGGGAGACGTTCAAACTCTGCTGTTTAGAGAATTTCCAAAGCTCAATGCGCTGCAGAAGTACGAAGCTGCACAAGAGCTGGACAGTCGAATTCTAGCGTGGTACGACTCGCTTCCTGCCGAGCATCGTTACGACCAGCCACCCTTTCTGATTGTCCCAGCTACCGTTGACTTAGCGTGAGATTTTATCCCTTCGAGATGACGATATGTCTACTAACAAATCGCCAGCCTGGCAATCTTCTTTGGGCGACTCTTCCTATGGAACTGGACTACTCCGACACTTAGTGAGGCGAAAAGCACAACCCAAGAAGAAGCTAGATACGAACCTGATCCGACCGAAGGTAAAAGGTCCGACACCAAGACGGTTGCCGAGATCAGAACCTCGACACTTGCTATTGGTTCGCAGATCGTAGAAAGCGTCGTCTCTATCGGGCGTAGATTCGACGAACAATATGGACCTACGTATCATAGCATGTTGATGCCTCAGTCTGGCATCTTCTGCGCGAACTTTCTTCTTGCCGGCAATTTATATTCAGCACATGAAGAGGAGATGCTTCTTCAAATCATGCAGGTGCTTGTCCAGGCCTCGAAGCGTTGGCAACTTGTCAAAGGTGTAACGCAAATGCTGCTGAAGGGGTCAGAAGACAGGCTGAAAGCCCTATCGTCTCCACTTGCAGAGGGAGATGATGAGCAGCCTGTTGTCCACGCCCCAGGGCAAATAACGAAGGAACTCTATGAAAGCATGGAACTGATCGTCAAAGACATGGCCTGGAGTCCTTCAGACCATCTTCTTTTTAGTTCCAGATACCCGAACTACCTGGTTGCAAAGGAAGATCCTACAGTCGAGCTGAGTGACATGCTCGAGCAATGGGCACAACTTGCACTTGAGGAGAGAGCTTTGAGGGAAGGCGACGACGAGGATGCCAACACGGCCGGTTACGAGGACTCGAATAACAATGATACAGGCCCACAAGCACCACCAGTGGAAAGCATAGAGCTTGGAGACCTTCCAATGACAGAGGTGGAAGACACCAATGTCGCCGACAAGCAAAGTTCAACACTGAGTCAACAGATCAAATTGGGAGACAAGCTAGAATCGGTAAGGACTCAATCCGAACTCTTGCCTCAGGAGCCTGAGCCTGTCAAGGGGACAGACGTTCAAGAATCTGGCAAGAGCAACACAGCCGCACCAAAAGGTGCTACACAGAGTCAGAAAGAAACACTCTCTGTAGTGAGTCCTCCTCGAGTTGAGGTAGGTATCGTCGGTAGTGCGAGTGAGAGCCACACTCCCCTGAGTACACGAGAAGAATATGAGAGCGCTGGTGATATCGGGAAATCGAGCGCCGAGAAACAACTGCCGACCACCGATGGCCATACGATGACATTGGAAGATGTAGCACTCGAGCAAGGGAACACGGCAGCGCCCGCTCCTACGGGGTAGCGTGTGAAACAATTCGCAATGATGACCTGCGATGTGCCTAATGAATCATAGCCTTTAATCGATGGGCACTGTGGAGGAGATTCAGGGTTCAGTCATTCATTCGTTCATTTCCATTCGTTTAGGGATTTCTTGCTTGTTTCTCGGGCTGATGCCGAGGAACCCGCATACATTCCGTCCTCGGGGCGTAAAAGAGCTGCCTGAGCTTACACATTTGTCATTGCACAAAAATTGGATAAAGAGAGGGCAGGGCACAATTCGAGGATATGGAAGAAGGCCGAGCTAATCCTGGATGTTGGTGTTTTCTTGATTGAAGGTATTCCGTACGAATTGAGCGTTTTATTACAACTCCCTGTCTAAGGTAGTTTATGACAGAACCGGTCAGCTGTTGCCGGAATGCAAGCAACGAATGAAATGATCTATTGGGCGTTAGTCACTGATTGTTCTGGTCGGTAATGTGATGTGTGCGTTCTTTAGCGATAATGACACTAACACATGACCTGCTCGTGAGGTGAGTTAGGGGGATGATGTGAATCGATGTCGCAGTGCGTATCTAGTACGGAGAAGATACTACCACGCACGAGGTAATTACAGTTTCGGCGCAGGTTGCAGGAAAATTTCCCGCCCAATTTGGCGACCTGCACCGCCGCTTTTATAGGTGCGCTTTCCTTCATACCTGTTTTGGGAACCAAAACAAACCCTTCCACCCTCACCACAAGCCACTGTCACCCTAATCACACTTACCCTCACCGTCACGATGGCCGACGAAGTCCCCCTTGGTCCGCAGGCTGATTTCAATATCATTGCTACCGAGATACCGAAGATACCAAATACACCTGCACTCGCCGGCGGCCAGCAACTTCTCGCTGAGCTCCGTGCAATGAGGGAGCAGGCAACGAGAGACACGATGGCAATCCGACAAGACGTTGCAAATATCCGCCAGGAAATTGTCGATGTTCGTCAAGAGCTTGTGACCATAATTACTGCGTCATATGTACAATTCGACCTATTTTAATATTACTATACTAATTCTATAGGAATCACAATAATGCAGCCTGGGTTCAGAATACATACCTTCGAAGTTAAAACGAAAATCTTGTATCGTTTCTCAACGCTACTACCGGTGCCGCTATTCTTGATGTCCCTCGCACCTCATCCGAACTCGAACGAATGGCAAGAAGACAATTAGATTCAGTCCTCCAACAGTTAGGTATTCCTACGCAGGGTGCAAATGTAGCGGATAAGAAGCGGTTGCTCAGAGCTCACATCGGGCTACCAGAGGTCGCAGGCTCACCACCTCCATAAGAGACACAATTCCAGCAATATGGGACACGCTGCATGAAGTGCACGAATCAGAACTGTATTGATAGTTTACGATTGATGAGAACCAATATCATGACCTAAAGCAGCGGCTAAATTCCCTGCAACAACTTTACATAGTGAAGGGTTTGCCCGGATCAAGGATTCTCCGTGCTCGGTAGGTACCTCTTAGCCCTCAACGGTGCCAAATTTTCCAACGAGAAACGTCGACAAAAGGAAACGCCTAAGCGAGCATTTCATAGGTCTTGGGGCAAAGGGAACATCGACATCGGAACAAGCTTCGAAATGGCGAACAAATCGCACGCGTGAGGGTTTTTGCGGGTGACAGTTCTGCGACAGTGGTTCCTAGTAGTCCACCATCCCTCTCGGGTCCCTCGATGCTTTTGGATTACCTTGTGAAGTGGATGCCTTGCCTAGCCATGCCTTGGATGGTGAGGGAGTGTTGGGTCCACAGCCCGTGGATGAGCCAAAAATGGACTTTGATCACTTAGAGTCAAGAGACAGTGTGGGGGAACAATGCTGATGGAAGGATGGGCCATGCCGGCTTCTCAAGACGGTGGCCCCCGAGGCACCAGGTATTCTGAATGCTAGGTGAGATTGAGTTGCCCTTAATAACAGACAGTGTTATTGCGGAGGAAAGGATACCTATCCTCGTCATACACATCCTCTTGGTCATGGCGTGTGGTTGGGAGTATGAGAGGAGAAAGACAGCAATGACCCTTTTGGGAATGGTACAACCCTGAACCCTAGTGCCAGACCTAATTTAACCTTCTTTAGCGTCTAACCCAAAGAGGACTAAACAGGTGTTTTAGGAACAGGCAACTTCAAACAGTCCATGTCGCGTCTCGGTCTCGTCTTCAGCCTCAACCCCAGCTAACCACTCCCCTTTTCGTGGTCTTCAATATCCCAAGCCTCGAAAGGCACAGCGCCTCGTGAGTCGTCATACTTGGACATGCCTCTACTCCGTACTCCGTGTCCTCGCTTTGGTCCCCTTTACCCTGGCGGATCCTCACTCTGAAGCTCCATGTGCTGCATCCACCGTCTTATCGTAGAGATCGCCAGAGCTAAGATCTCTGGCCAAGCCCGAATCAGCTTTCTCCGCTGCCGGCATCTGCGACAGGAGTTAGACAAATCTGTTGGAATTCTGGTGAGCTGGTGCCCCAGGTATCCAGAAATCAGGCCATTGAGCATTTGCCCCGGTTCATGGTAGAACTCGTTGGCACATTGGGAATGAATTGTCATTGGTACCGAGGGTACCTCCCCTTTGATACCTGTCACGGCTTGGTCTTGCTGCCGCCGGTCCAAGACTTCCCCAGTAGGTTCCTCATCGACAAGTCACCTTATCGACAGGGTGGGCATACGATACGCTTAGCTCTCCTGGATCGACAGGACATGAGAATACGGAAGGATAGCCACCCGTTGTACCCATACCTTGCTGCCTCTTTTGGGTTTGGAAACCTCCTCCTTCTCGCCAATCTATTGAACCTCATCTGATCCTTTGGCAGTTCTTCCCTTTCTCTCCTTCTCTTCTCCCATTCAGCGGGCTGACCTTCCATTCTTTCGCTGTATTGCTGTTTGTTGGTGCGTGTTGGTGTCGTGATTTCCTTTCATATACAGGGACTGGATCCGACAACCGCCATTCTTTTTCTCCCTTGTTGTCTGTCTCCTTCCAGTTCAAGGTCTACCGCTCACTTTTCTCGCAAGCGGCGCTGGCGCTGAGCGCTGGATGCTGATTTAGCCCTCTTTCATTCTTTCAGAGACCAGAACACTTCTTAGGTTCCCACTCCACTCCGTCGCTGGGCTTCCCACTCCTTGGTGACAGCCACACCTACCACACGAAGCTCGAGAGATTCCACAGCTGCAACCACGACACCGTACCAAAGGCCATTCGAGATTCGACAGCAAACATGAATACTAGGGCGGGCCAGGTTATTCTGCTGTTGCTATGTCTAATCCTCGCAATCATACTGCTTATCATGTCATCCAAGTATGCTGCCTGGGCACGGGCGATGACCAAGGCTTCAGGAAGCTGGCTGTACGTTTATTCACTGTCCTTTAATACTTTTCTGGCATCTGCACCTCGCAGGCAATAATGATCACCATATCTGGATATCAAGCGCTGATTGAATACTTCTTAGAACACTATGCTTTTATGTTGGCTCGGTTCCGTTTCTGTCGCTGTTATATACAGCTATGCATCTCGCAGCACTACAATTTAACGGGCTTCCCATCCCCCCATATGGACCAACTCGAACATCAGCAGTCGCTCCCAACCCTCGTAACCGACAGAGCACAGTCAAAGTTTACGATCCCGAGTATACCTCCACCACAACCTTCTTCATCCTCGGTGTTTCAATTCTTCATTTTCTCGCTTGGTTTGCCCAGGCTATCCTCTGCACATCTTGTGAGCTTGGACCCATCCTTTCAGGCAATCAAGGTCGTGTACCTGGATGGTGCCCTCAGTCTCGATTTCAGGATCAGGGCAACCCAAGCGTCGCAGACATGCTGGGCACTCTAGCGACAGTCAAGGACTTCCTTCAATGGGGTATGGTGGCCCTCACGGCTGCATTGATCGAAGTTGCACGACGTGAATATATGCGTGCTGAGCGCGCTCGTTCTGAGGCTCTACAAAGGCAGGGCGCTGGTGTAGATTTCGGCGGAGAGAGACGCGAAATCGATTTCAAAACTGGTGGCTTGGTGGAAATGGGCAAGATGGAGATCAGTGGGCCACGGTTTATCCCGCCGGAGGAAATACAGGCTGCCGCTGCTGCTGCGGAAGCCGAGGCAAAGAAGAAGCGAAAAGGTGGCAGCCTGGGGGAGCCTGGGCCTCCGATCCCACTGCAACCAGAAGGGCCTGGCGTACCGGAAAATAAGGCTTCAGACAACTACTATGGCAACGGCATGAAGACAGGGCTGACACGCAAACCGACACTCAATTACATGTACGAGTCGAGAATATAGTTGCACGATCTTCTGCGACTATATTCGCCGACTGTCATGAGCTTTCCAGTTTGCTTGCTTCCGGTTCTGTCATTTCATGTCCCCGCTGTTTTGAACCTGCTATTTTCATGCGTGCGTGGTGTTGGTGGTTGTCTGATTATACATTCTTGGCATTGCTTTTGAACATGGTGTTGTGCAAGTCTTCGCCAATGCGATCTAAAAATAGGGAAAAGCCACAGTTTGGCTTTTGGTCGTTGGACAGGTCATCTGAAGAGCAGTATCTCAGAGGCTGAACGGGGACGAACAGTGAGTATGCTCCAGACTGCATTTCCCCCACAGTGATTATTATTTTCTCCAATCACTGTATGGGCTTGTAAGTAAAGAGGTCTCGAAGGGGGGTGAGATGGTCCCACAGACAACCCGAAAGAACAAGGAAAATCGAGCCAGCAAGAGAAGAGGAGGAAAAGGCCTCAAGGAAGCCAGAATACTTACTATTGACGCTGTTATGTCATTGTTACATTATCGCCATGTTCGACATCTGATGCATGCAAGGAGGGAGAGAAAGCAAGTGGTTGCATCAGTTGATGTTCGACTTATATAAACGCTCATACACATTGTACGGGAGGGAAGGGAGCAAGTGGGGACGATCCGACCAACTCCTTTCAACTCCAGGACAGGATGGTCTCTCTCTGTCGCGCTACCTATCTCACCGGACGGGTGGCTTTGCATACTCTACGATCTACGATCTCCTTCTATCTAACCAATAGACCGATTCAGATCTCGATACAAGAAAAAGAACGAAAATTAGCTAAATTACAGGTCCCAGGCATTTTTCTTCGAAGGTTTCCTTCTTCTCCCTTTCCCTGAAAAGGTGGGAAAGCGGCGAAGGAATGCCAGGAAAAAGAATGCCTGTGGCTTACGTACCCAAAAAAAATCAGAAGAAAAGGATGTTCTCCTATTAAAAATAACACCACAAAACGCAGTTCCCTGTTCCGTTCGCTCTGCCGCATATACTAACCACATCCCGTGCTTTTCTCGACACCTTTGGACGCTCTCGCTAGGTCGGTTGTGTCTGCGGAAGGTCTTAATGCCAGCTAACTACGACGAGCGGGGGCTGGAAACCACTTGAGAAATCAGATCATGTCATTTGACTTGGGATTTTAGAGGGAGAAGGACGAGCGTGGCGTGGTGCTATGTCCTCCTGACTTGCTCCAGCACTATCGCATCTATCTAATTTTGGTCATGTCATGGACTCATGCCTGTCGTCAACTTTTTGTGCCGTGATCCCTCGCTCATACAATGTGTGATCATGCTTTGCTGCGTTCTGGATACAAAGCTGCTGTGTTCTTCGAATGGATGGTCTGGAAGGGGAGCAAAATGGCGCAGCCACGAGACACACACTGTGGGAGGGAGGTTTTCTTTGCCCCAAATTAGATATGTCGCTCGTAGTAGCTTTGTACCATGCCCTCGATGGTAGGCTGATACTCGACCAGCTTGACGTCTCCGGTCGCTTCGTCCAGCACGGTGTTGGCCTGCACAAACACTTTCCTCGGAGTCTTGCGCTTCAAGACGAGTGGCCGGGCCTTCTCTGCCCACCATTCGTCTACGCTGGTGATATCTTCGTACAGTTTCTTGCCGGCCGCAAAATCAGCTGTCGATTTGTAGATGTGCAGTTTCTGGAGGTACGCTTCCACTGCCGGTCGTCCGTGCGACAGGATCTTGCTGCGGTCAAGGTGGATCTCCAAATCGTCCGGGTTCTTGGCGTCGTCGTTGGGGGACTTGATCTGGCAGAAATCACTGCCTGCGTCGAGGAAGACCCGCAGAATCGAGTACCGCGCTTGCATGTGCGCCTGGCCCCATTTTCGTGATTTGGGGTCCCAATATTCGAGTGCTGCTACGCCTGCCCTGGCCATTTGGAGGTACGAGACATATAGCACGTCGCCGGCTTCGTTGCTGATGTCTTCCTTGCCATTGCCGAATCCAAAGATCTGGAGGATCTCAAAGTCACAAGCGAGGGCCATTGCCACACACTCCGCTCGACACTCTTCGTAAGACGAAGCGATCGAGCCGAAAACGCTGGACCACGTCTGGCCTGGCTTATACCACGATTCGATCGGCTTCTTGGTAACAGGGCTGATAGGGGGATTCTTGACGTCGAAATTGTATTCGCCAGGAGCGGTTTCTTGTAATAGTTTGCCGCAGCCGTGACCCAAAAGTTCGTGGATACCGACCTGGACCTCGAACGCCGGATCTCGATATTTGCGATACAGATGGTCATCTTCCTTGCGGATGAATGGAATGGGCTCGTTAGGAGCTTTCGCACTGAGAACATTTCCCAAGCTGACATTCTTGAAACCTTCATTTTGTCTGATAAAGTCATAATTCGGGATGTTTATTCCCGCTGGGATACCGCTACCCGCAAAAGTGAGGACTTCCAGACTGGTAAAGTCCGGGCTCAAGAACTTGTCCTTCTCAAAAGCCTTGTCCCACGGTAGCTTCGGAATCATACTTGGAGCAGCATCGACAAGTTTTCCAAAAGCTCGTGTGCGTTCTTGGTTGACCATGGCAACGAAACCTTCCCACTCACCACGGACTCCCTGGGGATCACGGTAAGTTTCCACAAATCCGATGTCGGTCTCAACAGTGGGTTTCTTGTTCTTGATCCACCACCGTTGAGATTCGACGAAGCCCTGTATGCTCCCCGTACCGAACGTTCGGGTGTATTCTTCGAGCATCTTCTCTTCAACCTCGTTCGCAGCTTCTTTCTTCGCCTTCTTAAACTCGATAGCAATCTTGGCCATCTCCTCTTGGTAGTCACCGAATACTAGGTTGAGCTTCTTACCGGCCAGCTTGCCGGTAAGATCGAGAGAGGAAACATCTCCGAGATCCCTCTCCGAAGCTGGCGGGTTTGTGACGCCTGAGGCAATGAGTAGATCAAAGTCTCCCGACGGCAATTTCCGCAGTCTTGTATTTTCGATCAGGAGTTTCTTCTCTTCCAGCACATCTCCGACAATTGAGATTTCTTCCTTTGTGATCGTGGGGGAGTCTGGATAATAGGCCGTCATGTGTCCGGCTTCGGGGTAGCCTAGGTGCATCAAAGGAGTATCATTTGTTTCATAAATACCGCCACCAGTTTTTTGTGCTTTTTCAAAAAGGCTGGAAGTGTTCTTGTCGACTGCAGCCAGGTTCTTCAGAGCATCTGGAGATATTCTTGGGATGAATTTTGAGTCACCGAAGCCCTTATAATTTCCTGCGTTGCCCAAAAATTGGGCAGCATATTCGAGCCACAGAGTAATGTCTTCAGCAGAGACAGATGCCTTATCCGACAGCGTCTTGTAGTCTCCATTGGCTGCGGCATGTAGGGCCAGAATGAGATCGTAGATGACAGGGGATTCCGGGGAGACTTGGGCCAAAGTCACACGGGTGCCAAGGAACGAAGCACGGCTCAAATGATGAGCATATCTTTTCTCCCTGGCAGTCAGGGCATTGAAATGTGGTGCAATTTCGAGACGGACGACGGTCGGAGGATTGTCCGCAAGGTAGTGTGATCGAGCGGAGGGATCCATGGTCGAGGCGGTTGAAAAGCTTCGCAAGCCAATGAGGTGAGAGCTGATCTGGATGAGTCTCTGGGCAAAACTGCGAAAGGGAACTTGGAGTGGCAAGGGGTTTGTCATGTAACGCGTAAATCAAGATGGTAGGCAGAATCACGGAATACTCAAGGGTAGTGGCTGGGATCACCGCTTCAGCAAGGCTGTGGATGTGATTGAATGATGCAGCCTGACGCGGACAGTATTTTGCGGGGGCATGAGTTTGAAATGGGAAATAGGATCCCGCTGCTTTGGGTCCATCAGCAAAGTCTGAAAACCCCTTCGAGTACATCAATCCCCTTGAAGACCTACTCGTGAACCACTTCGTAGCGACTTGGGCAATATTTCCACTAGGATCGTTCCATGATCAATAGTGTACTAGGAATTCTGAGGCGAATAGTTGCCATTTCCCTCTCTGGGAACTACACTTTGCCTAAGGCGCCGCTTTATAGTTAGCCCTCCAGACAGCCTAGCGTGTCTTGGCACATCTTACTTCTACTCGTACATTTCCACAACTTTGGCGCAAGTCGGCGTATCGACGCTCGGCTGATGGCACATGTCACAACATCGAGCGCATAACAGCCACCACCTTTGAACCAGACACCCAACAACCCGCCTTCCTAGATAGAGGGATCTTTGTGTTCGTTGATTGGACTCACATCTACAACAAGAGACCAAAGAAGAGTCTAAATGCAGCCTTGAACGTATGCCATGAGGAATCTGGTCGGCATCTACGGAATTTTCCAACAGGCACCATGTTTTCGTCCGCTTTCAAAACCTTTTCGTCTAACATTTCATCCAACTATGAAATATCAAAACAGGCATCTTCCACTGTAGGCACATGGACTGTCTTTGACGCTAGGAAGAAGAGCACCGGGTCGGAAGCCTCTATCTTTGTCTTTGATAGGAAATCGCTCGAGGTCAGCAGCAATGGCTTTGGCGCACGCACAAGTTCCACTTCAATTCGCAAGGCACAAGAAGAAGTTGTCGAACGCCTGAAAAAAGAGGCTAGTAGCCTTGCCCGTCTACGGCATCCATCTATCCTGCAGCTGGTAGAGCCCGTCGAAGACACCCGAAATGGTGGCCTCATGTTTGCTACTGAGCCTATCCAGTGCTCACTCTCTGCCGCTCTCGCTCAAAAGGACAGAGATAGTGGCCGGTCTATTCGTGGCGCATCAAAACATGTTTCAGACGAAGGAAATCCCTCGCGGGCGCTCAACGACGCTGAACTCGATGAATTGGAGATTCAGAAAGGCTTGCTTCAGGTTGCAAAAGGCCTCGAATTTTTACACGATTCTGCAAAATTGGTGCATGGCAATTTGAATCCAGACGCGATTATCATTAACGCAAAATCGGACTGGAAGATCTCTGGACTAGCTTTTGCCGGACCACCTGACGGGGCGGAAGGCCACCAACCAGTTCCTCAAATCTCGCTTTCTGAAGTTCTTCACAATGATGCCCGGATACCTCGATCTGTTCAACTAAATCTCGACTATACCTCTCCTGATTTTGTCCTTGACTCGAACATTAATTTCTCCGCGGATATCTTCTCTCTCGGGTTGGTAATTCTGGCATGCTATCGCCAACCTCATCGGTCACCGGTTGAGACGCACAGCAACCAATCTACGTACAAAAGAATATTCAGCAGCGCTTCCACTGTCCCTTCCAGTGCGAATAATTATTTCTCTGAAAATTCCTTACCCCGCGAATTGAACGCCACGCTTCCACGCATGCTCACCAGAAGACCCGCTCAACGGCTCACGGCGAATGAGTTTCAACAATCAGATTATTTTGACAACATCCTTGTCAATACGATGAGATTCTTGGATGCATTTCCAGCGAAGACTTCTGCGGAGAAATCGCAATTCATGAAGGGCCTTGGCCGGGTGATGGCTCAATTCCCCCCCTCGGTACTGGGCAAGAAAATCCTAAGCGTGCTCCTAGACGAAATGAAAGATCGAGAGTTGCTACCCTTGATAATGCAAAATATCTTCCATATCATTAAGGTAATTCCGTCGAGAAAGGAGGTCGTCACCGACAAGGTCTTACCTCGCATGAGAGAAATATTTCTGTCAAAACCGAAATCTGAAGAACGGGATACTAGCAAGGAGGCTGCCTTGATTGTTGTCCTCAACAACATCCAGATCATCGCTGAGAATTGCTCGGCAAAGCAATTCAAAGATGATGTCCTTCCCATCGTATTCGTCGCGATGGAGTCATCAACCCATTCTCTAACCGACGCCGCGCTTCAAACATTGCCCGTCGTACTACCGTTGATCGACTTCTCCACCGTGAAGCATGACCTCTTCCCTGTCGTTGCGAATGTGTTTAGCAAAACCAATAGCTTGAGTATCAAGATTCAAGGTCTTGAGGCTCTGGGTGTATTGTGTGGTGCTTCCACTGCCATAGAAAAGAGTCAAGTGGACGACTATTCTGGGACGGTACCGACCGAAACACAAGAAAAGAATATGTCGAGCCTTGACAAATTCACAATGCAGGAAAAGGTTATCCCTCTGTTGAAGGCTATTAAAACCAAGGAGCCGGCAGTAATGATGGCAGGCCTCAAGGTGCTTCGCCAAATTGGTCAAGTTGCGGACACAGAATTTTTGGCTCTGGAAGTGATGCCAATACTTTGGTCTTTCAGCCTCGGTCCACTACTTGACCTGGGCCAATTCAAAGCATTTGTGGAAGTGATCAAGTTCCTTTCGGCGAAGGTGGAGCAAGAACAGACTCGAAAATTGGGGGAGCTATCATCAGGACGGTCAACAGGCTCCAGGACTGCTCCCAATGCCCAGACATCCCTGGTTAATGGCTTGAATCGTGCTGTCGATGGCAGTGGCACAGAGGAGGATTTCGAAAAACTGGTTCTTGGCAACAAAAGCGCCGAGAAGAACGAGATCTTTGCAGGGGCATTTTCTGATGGACAGAAGCTCACTCCAAACGCCCCTACATTTTCTTGGTCATCGGTTGGTCCTGCATCAACTCAAGCTCGACCTTCAATGCCCAGTTTACAGCCACAACCAATATCAAGGTCCATAACTCCGGATGTCAGTATCGCCGCATTTCCTAGTCTGCAACCCGCACCATTGTCATCTGCTTCTGCCTGGGGAGCATCACCCTCACCTCCAGTAGCAGGGTTCCAACAGCGACAACAACCCTTACAACCAACCAACTATTTTTCAAGCCCTCCTATTTCGTCGCCCCCTCCAAGCAATAGCTCATGGCAGCTTCCGCCACCACCGGGTCCTCAAAGCATTGCAAGCAACCAGTTTCGACAAACAATTCCTCCACCACCACAGAAAAACATGCAGCAGAACCCATGGCAGCAACCCAGTTACATGACAGCCACAGCGCCCTCGATAGCCGGGCCTCCTAGCTCCACAAACAACATCTTACAGCCACAAAATAAATTTTCACGACCACCTCAGCAGTCGCCACAAAAGCAAGGACTTGATAAGTATGAATCGTTACTTTGAATGGACAATTTGCATAGCATGACTGCAGATCCTTGATGGCGTGGAAAGGCCCTAGTAGGGCAACTGCAACTGATCTCAGGTTCCCTACTCGTGCAAAGGTCCTCGATTGTGCTCAACCGAATCAGCGATATGAGTGGCGGAAGAACCTAAGCGGATGATGCGGCAAATGGTTGCAATTTGAGGATGGAGGTCACCGAACGCTTATCGGAGCGAATCAGGTCAACGAATCGAGAGATCTCAGAATGGAGACATGACCCACGCTAGACCTTATCAGGCAACTCATAGAGCATCAATACTACATTGGCCCATGGACGATCATTATTCTACTACCTAGTCCACGCGGACTCACCTGCAGGATAAGCGGCAGCTCTCTGCCAGGTTCCCATTTGAAGCTTCATTTAAAGCTTGACAACGTCACTCTGAACATTGAGCGTGGCTTCTCTTATCCCCAGCAGCCTATTCCACTCAAACGTCTACAATCGGTGCAATAAGCCAGAGATGAAGCTTCCAGGATTGTCTGCAGCTCTACCAGCTGCATTGCTATTTACAGGATGTTCGGCTATCTCAATATTAATGGGGAACGACGATGGATTTGGTAGTGCTCAACTACGGGAATTCTATCGACTGTTGAAGGAGGACGGGCACGAGGTTGTTGTAGTTGCCCCGGTGGACAACGAGTCCGGCCAAGGAGGACGTTCTGTTTTCACCACATCAAGGAACTTGACCACTGCTTCAGAGTTCAATCTTGTCCCTGCTGGCAGCCCTTCTCTTGGTCGAGACGAGAATGACCCAGATATTTGGTATTATAATGGCACGCCAGCCGCCTGCACTTTTGTGGCGTTGGATTTCGTTCTTCCCCGGTTCTACGATAATCGAACAATTGATCTATACGTGGGAGGACCAAACTATGGCACAAATCTGGGCTCCTTTCTATACACGCTATCTGGTATGTCACAGTCACCTCGCAAAGATATCCGACACTTGTTTGATCGTGAATGGTAGGCACCATGGGCGGCACATATGCAGCAGTTGGCCGTGATCTCCCTGGGATCGCATTTTCGGGCGGAAACAGCGAACAGCGCTCGTATACGTGGATCAACACAACCACCGCCTCCGGCTATGCAGATCCGGCAACCATTCATGCTCAACTCTCCTTCAATTTGGTGAAACATTTGATCGATGGCACTCCCGCTGGCCAACGATTACTACCCCTTGGATATGGTATCAAGTAAGTACTGAGTCTCGCCCACGAGTCTGTCTTTGTCCTTCAGTCTGACCACCATCCCCTACACGCGAAGCGTGAACACCCCTTTCATTACATCTTTCACCAACGACAGCTGCGTTGACCCGCCATTCGTCCAAACCCGCTTTGGAGGTGGTTCCTTCACCGACATTGCTGTTTACAACGAAACCACTGGGCTGTTCAGGTACGGCAACTTCCTCTCCGAAGGTGTTAACAGGTGCATCAACGGAGACTGCTCCTTACCCGGTGAGACTCCCACCGTGGATGACGGCTGTGCAGCCAGCGTCAGCGTCTTCACCATCGATTACGACGCGCCTTTGGGACCCGAGCAGGGTGGCGTCAGAGCAGCACTGAGCCCGCTTGTGCATTTGGAAGGCGCAGACAGGATGAGAGTCAAGGCCAGAGCTGGGTTGAGCAGTAAGTGAAGCGGGAAAATCTCCGCCCTCTGATATCTATGCTGGCAGCAGATACTAACATCTTTTTCTCCCTTTGCAGAGGAGGAACTCGAGGCTCGACACCCATTGAGACATGAATAAGCGATTGTGCTTTGCATAAATCGTACAGGAGATGGTGACGATGATAGGATAGTGGGTCAGGACGAGCTGACATTAAGATAGCTAAGAGCCTATCAGGAAGCTTCTGGTCCCTATGATTCTAATCAATAATATACACCAATCTCCAAACCAGCTCAAGCATCTTTCCAGGGCGTTTATTATTCATCATTGCATCCAAGGGGATATATGGCCGTTCTAATTCGACAAGCAACTTCCGGCACGCAAATGCCAATGTCATGTGCATCCCTGTAAACGTACTTCTGTAGAGGGATGGACGTCACAAGCTTCATGACGATCTCTCGGCAAGCACGAATGAGAGTCAGCGATTGACCCAGAAGAGGCATTTTAAGTTCGAGATGTGGAGAGCTTGCTTGGTGTTCTGCATCACCTCGTGGTCGGGACACTCGATTCTCCCACCTATGCCCGGACCGGCCGCTCCTGACATCGTGATGCCGGGACATTTTGCCGGTTACGGGTCTAGCGCTTCAACCTGGATGTGCAGGGTGTTATGGATAGATAGACAAAGTGATATCGTCAGCCCACGCAAGCAGGATGACAAGGATGGTAACAACAGATTCTGGAGTGCTGGATCTGAAAATTCTGTCGTGCACGTTTGGGCCTCTTTTCGCGAGAAAAGAATCTCTACTGCATTTGGTATTCCTTCTATGGACACAGCAGCAATGGGGAAAGCCCAAATCTTGGAATTTGTGAGGATCCTTGAAAGCACCTGAACAGTGCAATAGCAGAACTTTCCTCATGCCCGTGGCAGGTTTTAATCGATACCATGACGGGGAACGATTTCAAGGGCAACCCAACACCAGTCTTTGTTCTTGATGAGGACCAAAACTGGCCGGTGGAAAGAGTGCTCCAAGCTATTGCACGGTACGCGATCTCTCGGGGATTCAGTGATTTAAGATGAGGATAATCATTTCGCTTACTCTTTCGGAAAGGGAAATGAATCAGTCTGAGACGATCTTTGTCAAGCCGGCTGCTGCTAGATCGAGAGGGACTTACGACATTCGATCTTTTACCCCGTTTGCCGAGGAGCCATTCTGTGGCCATGGCATTGTAGGGGCCGCGATAGCGTTGGAAGGCAGATGTGATCAGGGGAACCTTACATTTCAAACGGTCGGGGGCATCTTTGTCCACGCTGAGAGCCTTGGACGTGCAGAGACAAGTTCGGGGAAAAGAACGCTCGGGCAGGTGATGACGGTGAAGCTTCGGATTCCCTCTGTGCCCGTCACAGAACCCCTCGATCATGACCTTGAACTTCGAGAGAGAATGGCAAAGGCTATCGAGATTGCTCCGCTCCAGATCTTGGCCCTGGGGAGGAACTCGTTAATGGACCTCGTTGTCGAGGTTGACAGTACAGTTGATTTCTCCGCGGACACGATCAAGATTGATGCGGGGGCGTTGATGAAAGGTTCGCCGCCAGGCACTCGCAGTCAAATCATCACGAGTCAAGGGAGGAGAGACGGCGTTGACTTCCTGAAACGTGTGTTTGCCTACGGAAGTGAAGGTAAGTAGCTCCGTGCTGGAGCGGTGTTGTAACTGAAACCGTTGGGGACAGATCAAGCGACGGGGTCAACACATTGCGTCCTCGCGCCGTATTGGGGCTCCAAATTGGGCAAATCGTGCATGAAGGCGAAGCAAGTATCTGAAAGAACCGGGGAAGCAGAAGTCGAGAGTATTGTGAATGATGGGGGAGGTCATGTGGGCTTGACTGGGTCGGGCGTGCTGATTATGGAAGGGAGGATATTGGTTCCTCGGGTCGCTCGCTTTGATACGAAGCTGTAGCTGGACCTTAGGCTATGGGTGGAGGCGAGGACGTGTCCGACCTCGCAAGGCTGAGTGGCCCTTTGAGATTACTCGTAAGTGCTGTGCATGGTCTCGGAGTCTGGAAATGCTCCGCGAGAACGAGATGGGCACCGAGTGTCTACGCGTAGGTCACCAGATGAGTCACTCACAACATGTTCACATATTATGAATTTATGCCTCGAATAGGAGATTTCTCATGCTGTGCGGCTATCGCCGGCCGTGCCAAGCATTCACTGGCCGAGCTCCCGATCCGAACTCGCTCGACCAAATATTCTGGAATTGCACGAGTATACAACCACTCCAAGTACCCCATCGACGTCCTGATACCATCACCGTCTCCAACTGCTCGTTCTACGGACAATCAACCCTCGCTTTGGATGTAAGGCAGCGCCCTTTGACAAGCTCCTCCCTTAACCACTAGGCTTACTCCGAACGCCCTCCCACCCCATACCAGACAACTGACTACATCTACATCTGTCAGTTGTCCCTGCACCCTCCAGTTTCAACCTTCCTCCCCGATGGTTTGCCGGTGACTCAAGAAAACCACAATGTCACTACCCCGGGTCCTGCGATCACCCTGCGCAAGATCCATCAGCAAGTCTGCCTACAAGGCACAAGCAGCTCAGCTGCGACAGTTATACAAGCCATTTTCCACCTCATTGCGGAGACGGGATCAATGGACCTTGGACGATGATCCGTCCTCCAAGCTTCCGGGCATCGACCCAGCCGCCTGCGAGGTGACCAACACCATCACCCCGAAAGCCTTGGTTGCGAATCAAGATCTTGTCTTCGGCCGCACGTTCACTGGTGAGTCATGCCACCAATCTACCCCATTGCCCTCCACAACCCGTGAGCTGACGAGGTCGAACAAGACCACATGCTATCTATAGAATGGACCGCCTCTCAGGGGTGGCTGGCGCCCCGTCTAACCCCATATCAAAACCTGTCCCTTGACCCAGCAACATGCGTATTCCACTACGCATTCGAGTGTTTTGAAGGAATGAAGGCGTACAAATGTGCCCACGATGGCTCCTTACGGCTGTTCCGCCCAGACAAGAACATGGCTCGGATGAACAAGTCGTCGGCGCGCATTGCTCTGCCAACATTTGACGGCGACAAGCTCATTGAATTGATCGGGAGGCTGTGTAGATTGGACGAGCGCTTCATCGCCTCAGAGAAGGGCTATTCCTTATACCTGCGACCCACGATGATCGGAACGCAGCGAACCCTCGGTGTTGGCCCACCGGGTTCCGCTCTCCTCTACGTCATTGCATCACCCGTCGGCCCCTACTATCCCACGGGATTCAAGGCCATCAATCTCGAGGCCACAGACTACGCCGTCCGCGCCTGGCCAGGGGGCGTAGGCGACAAGAAACTCGGCGCCAACTATGCACCATGCATCGTCCCTCAACTGAAAGCAGCCAAGAAAGGCCTGCACCAAAACCTCTGGCTGTTCGGGCCGGAAGAGTACATCACCGAGGTCGGGACGATGAACCTCTTCGTCTGCATGAAGAACAAAGAAACCGGCGAGAACGAGCTTCTCACGGCTCCCCTCGACGGCACCATACTGGAAGGCGTCACCCGTGACTCAGTACTCACACTAGCTCGGGAACGTCTGGCACCAAAAGGCTGGAAGGTCACAGAGCGCTATGTGCGCATGCCCGAGCTCGCGGAAGCTGAAGCCGAAGGCCGCCTGTTGGAGGTCTTTGGCGCCGGCACCGCCGCAATCGTCGCTCCCGTGAGGAAGATCTCCTACAAGGAGAAATTCATCGACTGCGGCTTGAAGGAGACTGAAGAGGCTGGCGCGATCGCCCTTCAGATGAAGAACTGGATCGAGGCCATCCAGTACGGTGATGAGGACCATCCTTGGAGTGTCAAGATCTAATAGAAAAGGAACCCCCGGAACCCCCCGGCCTGCCTGAAACACAGAAACCTTCATGCTGCGGCTATATAAATGGCAGCAAAGGATGAAATTTCGTCATCCTGCCATCTACTTTGCGGTCAATTGAAATATTTTAGAATGAAAACCCCCCGAAGACGCACCCACTCAATAAGAACTATTGTTGATACCGATGCTCGGGTCGAGTCTTGACCATAGACCGAAAGAAAGGAAAATATAGATCGGATTTGCATTGTTTCATTACTCACTCCCCAAACGCACCTATGTCATGGGCTCATGTCATGGACACGTTTGTCGGGAAGCAGTGAGTGGGAAGAACAGACCAGTCCGCAGTGCGGAAGTATAGTCAAGTCCTACAATTACAATGATACAGAAGAACGAACCGAATACAGAGAACATACTTGTCCTTGCTGTCTACGGTGCAATTCCTCGTTCATGCCAGCTGACTGAATTGATCGAACATCGTCCGTTCCACACTTGCACGTAGCCACATATCTCATCACATCTAGGTTGTTCTTCCTTCTGCCGGCTACGAAACGCTCATCCACGGGGACGGACTCGGAAGAACTCGTCAACATCGCGTCCCTTCAGCCCATCTCCATCCAAGTCCGGTGTGGCACATAAGTCGATTGCTTGCTCCGCAGGCCCTCTCGAAGCAAACCCTCCTCTCTCCATGCATCAGATTCACATCACACGGCAGAACACGACTATCCCGTTATCGAAAAGCCGGCGCACAGCAATTATGCTAGCCCGGCAAGCAGGCGGTGTGACCGTCAAGCCTATCTGGTGACGTCGTATATTAAAGGCGAAAAGGGCTTTGTGCTATGCCCGTCTATGCTATCATTGAAAGAATACCTACGGCACAGTGGGAGTACATTAGCTCGCTGAGCGACGTCCACTCTGATAGGGACTCACACTCCCCCGGCTTCTCGACCTATGGAGCACACCGAGCACCTCGAGCGCCACCGGCAGTCGAGGGAATTGAGTCCCGCATTGCATGGCACCAGAAAACGATGGAGATGTAGTGTCGGGGCCTCCCTGAACGATATGCGGTTCGCCAGCAGCCCGCGAAGACGGGAAGATGGAGGTGCATTCCGGAAAGGAAAAAAACTCGCTGGTCCTCTCTCTTTAAGGCGATGCCCGCATGCCTGCTTGATCTGCTCATTGACGACCGTGTGCGAGGTGCTCATCGAGGATGTCTCTTGACAACATCAGGCTCTGGACTCGCGCTTTTGCGCGGCGCCAATTTCGTATTTCCCCAGTCCCCGTGGTCGGTGATCCATGCCTTCGTGCTTGTCGTCCCAATTCGACGATGTACTTACCCATTACCCCGTACTCAAACTAAGAACTCCAAGTCCCAGTCAACCTAGATACCTCCCTTTGTATTCATCTCGGAGGGAAGACGGGATCCCGACGGCCCCCGGCCCCCGGCCCCCAGATGCGCAAGCGAAGGCTCGCAATCCAAATCCAAATCCCGCACACGGATTTTACAGTATACGTACGAATGGAGAACTCACGATGTGGTTCGTGGTTGTCGGGGTGTCGGGTGTTAGCAGTAGATCGCTTCGATCCCCCTTGTTTCTGCAAGGTCCATACGATCCGATGCACGGTACTGTACAACTGTACTTCACTATTCAACGTTGTGTTAAGGCTTTAATACCGCGTGCAGATGGTCCGATGGGGAGGGGAAATACCCACGTATTGACAGATTTCAGAGTGTTAACATAGAGGGCTGGCAGGGCTGTTCTACGCCTCACGAGTGTACTCACTTGTGTCCAGCTACCAGGCAGCCTCCAGGCAAGTAGGCAAGCGAGTGGTGGATACGTTAGCACTCGGTACATACCTTGCTTCCGGTCCTAGCACCAGAAAGAAGGCGGCATAACAGACCTTCCGACGGAAGTTCCTGCACGTAAACAATAGCTCTTTGGGCCAGGGGTTAGTCAAGGGGGTGGACATGGTCGCTATACTAGTTAGTCCATACTTGCTCATCACTTGGGTTCCTCCTCGCTGCTTTATGCGTCCTGGATAGTACATATAGTGAGTTTGCGCGATATCTAGAAGAAAAGGTGGGCTGGCTCCATCTGCGAACACAATATGAGACATTGGGGTGCCCGATAGCATCCCTCGCAGGACCATACCTGCGGAAGCGATCAGACGACCTCTCTAGCCATAGATGGTCCCACTGACGAATCAACTCTGTTAGCCAATGATTAGGAGCACCATGACTTTTCAAGGAAAGACACGCATCGGCAAGAGGGACGCATGCGAATTGCGGGAAAGGGGAAAACAATTTTGTTTGCAACCGACAGCTTCAGGCCAGCAAAGCCAAAAATCCGAGCTCAAGGCAAGCCGCAAACACATCGTAGCCGCCTGCCTTGCTGAAGGTAAGGCGCGAACAACCAATGCGACATGCAGGAAAGCCGTTTCATACTGGCCTGTCGACTTCTGTTCGGAGTAAAGGACAACAACTCTTCGCGCCTCCTTGTCAACATGGTTATCCGTAGGCGGCCTTGAAGTAGTGCATACCCAGTTCACACCGCGTTACCTCGTCTTCAATATGTAGGCAGCAACAGGCCTTGCTAGGTCCCCTAAAGTAGGAAAGGCACCTTCGATATGAGATGGATACTTTGGTCTCCACCGGGTGTGGCGCGAAGGCAGGCTCCGTACGAGTACACCACATGAATATGGCTTTTGTTCGTACTCAGGTACGCACACTATGGTGGAACATGGTCTGAACTCTGAAACGCTCCCTCACGGGGCTATCCTAAGACACGGATGTGGCAGTGAAATCGGGGCGTTCAAACATGAAAGTCTGAGCGACCAAGAGCAAGCGGGAGACAGAACCTTGGCTCAGGCGGCCTTGCAGAGCTCGAGCGGCCACATCATTGAATGAAGTAATCCTTGAGGTGGGAGGCCGTATGTTCTAGGTAAAGCAGTGCAGGGGAATGGTTCCACCAAATTGTCGCAGTGACGTATGGTGTATGGAGTACAGAGCACAAGAATGAAGTTGGCTCAGGCGTCCTCCTAATCTCGTTCTATGGGGAAAGCGGACGGACTTCCTCCCACACGCTCGTCCGTGATCAGGGGTGGGCTTCGTTAAACAGTCCTGATATGTCCACATAGCTCTTCCCATCGCGCTGTGAGATGGGTGGGGCGGAGGGATCGGCAAATTCAACAGCACAAGAGTGGTTTTGTAGGGTCCCTTGGCGAAGGTCTGGCTGGTCATTTCGGAGAGAAATCTTTGAAAAAAATGGCATCAGGCCCTTGCTGGCCAACATTTCGTCGCCGAAGTACGAGGCCGTCGGATTGGGGTATTAGAATTGCCTTGCATTTTGCGTGGGGCGTGCTGCTTTCAGATACATTTCCCGAAGGTGTCTTTCGACTCTCGTTCGATGCCATTTGGCTAGAGCCTGCTTCCCGAAGTCTGCGAGGTCCGCAGAAGCTTGTCCAGATAGGAGCGCCGACTTCTGGCGGTCGAGCGCCTTGCATTCCAGAGAAGAAACGCCTGTCTTCTAAACAAAGCAGCGAAAACTGGTAATGGCATTGCAGGCGACAAGTCCTGCTTGACCACAACGAACAATTCGAAATAATCGTCGTACTCACTCCTCACAGTAACATCATCTGATGACTATTCAGAACAGGTAGGCAGTGGTATGAAAGTTATTAGGCTGCCCTTTGTAGCGGCCACAACCCGCGTTTCGGACTTGGCTAGAGGGGAATAGCCTTTGCCAGAGCCGTCTCAAGAAGGGTTTAGGGGCCACTGCGCTACCGCGGGCGTGTTATTAGTGCTTTAGCAAGAGACAACATATTGACATAGCCTTAACTATGTTAAACTAGTGAGAAGACTTCCACAGTCAAGGTTCCCTCATCGCGCCCTCGTATTTCGCGCTTTAACTAGTTGAAAGAAGCAATTGAATTTCGACCTCGCAGGTGAGACTTGAATACAACTTTCGCTCCATCGAAGGGCTGCTGTAGATGTGCGTCTCGTAGAAATGATTGATCATGCACAAGAATGAGAGGCCCGCATAGTGATGCCATGAGTTGAAAATAGGACAAAGTCAAATTATAGTCCTCTAATATAGCAATAGGCATGCCGTCTTGATAACAATTCCCATGACAGTAATAAACCCTTCCCTGAAATCAGGGCCAGAGAAAGTTTTAACAGCCAGGTTGGAGCTAGCCCCATGACTAGGTACAATAGCCTCAGGTCCAAATTTGCAATGCCTGTTTACTCTGTTCTTGCCTGGCAGGCTAATGGGGACATTGGAGCGCTCACAAAGACTTCGAATTATTGTATTCGGCATCATGCGGCCATGTAGCGGTAATCAAGATCTTTCATATTTCATGTACGAGCTTTATAATGATTTACATGTCAAATAGTCGCTGTAATTATGCTTTACCCATCAGGCTGATAATCGATGGCCAGCATGGGTGTATAAGGCTTAAGCCACGCGATAGTCAGTACAGGTGAAATCCGGGGCAGACTCCACCCTTTGGAGATCCACGCGGTCAGCTTCAGCCTTCAACAGATGGATTAGCAGCCTGATTATCCACAACTTGATGGGAGCCTGTCGGTATATCCTCCGCGGAGCACGAAAATTCCGAGCAGATTTCCTGGTTCGAATAATGCAAGCGACTACGCGTCGGCTCTGCGCCTCGAAGTTGAGCACCCTTCGACGTCGACATGCATTTTCGGTCTCCGGGTCACCCGGCCACACATTGGCAGGGGGCTTGTGGAAGAATGGCTTGACTTTGTTCCGTATTGCTTCCTACAGCCCGTGAGGAAAGACGGACGCGCAATCTTTGATAGCCGGGATTTAATGCAGCTCCATGATAGTCTGTACCCCGGGCGTACTGACAAGTATTGAATAATACTGCGGGCTTTAACACTTGCCAGATGGGTGCATTTACACTGGTTGTGCGCCTACCAAATCAGTGCCATAGTGCGAACGCGATCCAGGGAAGAGTTGAAGCTGAATAACAGACTGATGGTGGAGTTGGTCGATACGCAAGACTCTGTCCGTGTACGCTTGAGCATGCCTATCTGGGAGGGAAATATGCACCGAGAGCAGTGCGATACTACGCCGCAGTAACAGGACGCATTGCCAAGTGACTTTCGGGCATCAGTATTGCGCGGGGGGGGGGGGGGGGAGGCAGCTAGCACCAGAGCGCTCCCTACGGAGTGCTGTAGACTTTTCCAAGATCGGCCTGACGCAGCGACAGAGAGTCGTAAATTTTCAATTTTTTACTGGGTGGGTTAGCCAAGGCCTCGCTACGAGCAACTGACCCAACAACGACATAAAACGATAGGCATTTGGCAAGGTTTCATTGCTTGTGATCCTTTCAGCTCCGGTGCCTAGGAGTGCTTGGGATAACGCGAGCCTCAGTCAATCTCTCAACGGAGGCTTGGTTTTTCTGTTCATACCTCCGTATGCAGCAGAAAAATTGAAAGGCGACCTGCATCGTCGCATTCGGAAAGCGGCTCATCTAATGAGGAGGGAACGTGTCAATAATAATGACGACGGTTTCGGTGCCTTTCGTTCTCCATCCGGATACGAGCCTTCCATCAATGCCGCCGCCGAACAGGGCCAGTGAGTTTTGGCCTGTATGGTTGCACTCCAAGGCTGCTTTTAGGGACGTATGCGAATGCGAGGTACGCAGTGATCCCTGGCGCGGCCAAGAAAGGCCGCTCTCTTGGGACACATCTGCCTCGTTCCGGAAACCTTCCAGATACGGAGCAGCCACGGTGAATGGGTGGATTCGCCCACAATTGAGGCCGTCGAAATAATAACACAAGAATGATCTGTTGGAAAAGTTTCATGCCCGCGGCAGAGCTCGCAATGATCTCTCAACCAGGTTAACACTGCGTTCACGTCAAGGTCTTGGGAAGGGGACTACCTCGCATCCAAGTGGCACGCCTCATTAATTTTGCGTGTTTAGGCACGCTATGTAGTCTTGGGGATTGTCGCCGGGCGGCAAGACCATTGGCACTTGAAAAAGCCGAGGAACCCCAAAGACCGTGATCGTTATTGCTTGATTCAGCTCTTGCAAGAGGGCAGGACAAGACCAATGCCTGAGCCTGAGCCTGAGCCTGGTTACACAACAAAAGACGGCCGTCTCCCTCACAAGCATGAAAAGGTTTGAATAGCAGGTATCCACGCAGAGATGTTGCTGCAGGATCCCTTATAGGTTTGGCGTGGAAGGGAATCTGGAGGTCTAGTCAGAGTGCACAGTCAGATGCTTGGAATGGCTGCCGAAGGGACTTAAAACCCGCGGCTGAAGACGAGACGCCATTGGTAGGTGGGAGAACGAGCAGGTCATTCCCGAGTTTCTCATGTTCAAAAGCCGTGGGCAGGGCGTCAAGGGCTGGTCGCCTGCATTGATTGCGCGAGAAGCTTTGCATGGTGATGAGACCAATTCTGCCAGTTCCTTTCGATGGCTCTCGGTTACGGGTTGGAAGCGTAGTCAGGATTGATAGACAGCTACTTGTAGGAGGGCTGAGTGTATACAGTACATACTCGTACGCGCACTCCGTACCGTTCCAATACTACTCTCTAGTACGGCTAGGGGCCTTAGTGGGCGGGAGTAATTGTCATGTTGCACAAATAGTAAAGAGCCTGCCTGCGAATCTTGAGCTAGCCTTGAGCTAGCCTTGAAATTTCCCAGATGGGAAGTCACTCTCCAAAGGCCAAGTGGGTATTCGACGTGTGCGTGTTCGAGAGTAAATTGGCAAAAACCCAAGCCAAAGAACGGCGAAGAAGACAATGTTAGAACAATTATCTTTCGTACTGTGTACACCGTACCTCGTGCCGAGTCGGAAGATAGTGCGAAGTCGCAACGAGGAGCAGGGCCCGCTGGTCCGGTCCTTCTGCTCGCATTGGGAGATGACTTGTGCAGCTAGGCGTGTTAAAGAGGACGCCCTATGCGAGTGCGCGTCGGCGGCATCTTAAGCACACGTGACGTGTCACGGCTAGCATCTCCCTAAGAATGCTTCTCCGATTACCAGCTCATGATGAATCGGCAAAATGCTGGGGCTCCCAAAATCCACGGTGTCACAGTGAACCTCGTACAGAGGCGTGACTGGTGAGGGTGAGGGTTTAGGCGGGTGCAGGCGTGGAGTTGCAGGCATATATTCCATAGACCGTGGTACGCATCTGTACACGAACGCGGGACCGTTGGAACTCCAGCACAGTCCCTAATAGTCCCTAAAATTGGCAGTCGGTGTGGCTGGTTTCAACTGGCCCAATGTGCCCCGCCCCTGCCTTGTGTCAGGGCGACACTCGTGACCCGACTCTGCTCCCGCCAGCGCACTCGCCGCCTTACCGTCCAAACGACAGCAGGGTTTCCGTGCACGCTCCTCGCTTCGTCCGGGTCCTGAGCGACAGATGCACATTTAGGTGCGTTGGGTATCGGTCCCGCAAGGAGGTTAGGGATCCAAGTTCCATAATGTCCAGATAGGTGTACCTTGCGGAATTGCTTCGACATCCGCTGTGGGACGGTCTTGCGGCGTCCTACAATGACGTCGCTGTCTTCCTTGTTGGCGACGAGGGTGTGATGTGAACGAGCGGCAACTCCTTATCTGGTGGCAGCCCCCTCCCTGTTGTACCTATGTACCTATGTACGAGTACATACATACGTAGTTCTGGACGGAATGTGATAGTGCATTTGTCAGTGGTTTTCGGCATGTTCTCCACAAAGCGCAGTTGCAGGGTACGAGTAGGTTTCAGTGCTCGCGCCATTGAACGAATACTAAAACTCTGCCCAGGTGGCATTCAACGTATCAGTCTCGAGGACTCATGTCGGAAAATGGTATCACTACTCAATTCGGCAATCTCGACATGGTTAATGTCCAAGTCCTGTGGATTGAACAACAAAGCGTATCGACGTGCGCTAAATGTGCCATCGCATTTGTCAAGCCTGTGTAAGTAGTATCAGTACGGAGTATACAATCTCCATAATGACACGCACGGAGTTAGTGGTCCCTCAGCTTGTAGGGCTGACCAAGGTTCCGGAGACGACGAGTAAATCCTTTGCCTTGTCGATGTCGCCGACTTTGCCGGACCTTCCAGCCCTGGCCTCGGGGGCAATACAGGAAATAACGATCGAGCTGTGGAGCGATCAACGAGGATACCCATGCGGTCTTGTACGGTACTGTATCGTATTTCATACTAGCTAGCTCTTGGGCTAATCCATAAACCTCATATGATTACCTACTCGTTCTGGCTCTTGTCTATCATATCGAGTTGGATCAATTGAGTAAGTATTTCGACCAGTTGGAAGTCGCCTGCACAATTCCCGACGTAGCTCAAATTGCTACGTCCTTGATTGGCAAAGATACGTAGAATTGTGCGAAAGCCTACTTGCTATATCACTAAATTCAAAGCGACGACGTGGAGAGGATGATGCGGAGCCATCTGCTCTCGCCCAAGCCGTCACGTCTCAAACTATCACGTTTGGTACTTGCCCTCCATAGCACCAAAAAATCCTAGTGGTCCTGGTTGACAAGGAGCTGCGTCACGTCAAATCCCACTGCTTCGAGCCTTATGGCTGAGCCGCCAACGCGTCCGCTTGGCACCGGATTTAATAAAGCCGTGAAATGGTTCGGAGCAAACTATTCTTCAGAGGCGGATTTGCCACCCACCAAGATGTAGTCTCGCGCCTCAAAGATTGCCTCTGCATCACCTGACTGGTCAAGATCCTACGTGGCTAGAGCCGCCGTCTAACATCATCGGGACATGCCGGCCCAGGAACTCACTCAAAGCGATGCTGAGGCACAATGCCAACAGTGCTGATGAAAGCTTCCAGGAATCTTCGCTTTGAGTGGCATGTATAGTATGTGAAATTTTAGTACTTTCCCTTAGCCGTAGCATCGGTGAACCGATCCATCTCCAGATATGCTCTAAAATTTCCTGAGTCGACGGGAGGCGACCCAGTGGTCTGACTCAGCCAGATGCTGTACTGGAGAAGTCCGGAGAAGCAGGAGAACTGCGCTTCTTGGAGACGTCCTTCCAGAGCTAGGTCTCTCGTTCGCAACGGGAGCGAAGTCCCATCCACATCTAGCAAACTTTGGTTGCCATATGACTGGTACCAAGCGACCCTGTGCCTAGCAAGAGTGCGACATGGCAGAAAGAAACACCTACCGTTGACTCTCCTGTCCGGAAAACGTGCTCTTTTGTCTTTGCAAGGAGGTCACTAGAGATTGGTGTCGCAGTTTGCCCTTGGCTCAAATTTAGACTCTTGATGGAATATTGGAACCCTCTCTGTTCTGACTAGCCGACGCCCTCGCAGACACTGCAATCCGAGTAGGGGGAAACTCTGGCTTCGTTGGAAGGGTGGTATTTTCTGTATGCGGCGGTAATGCATATGCGCTGAGTGATAAAAGCTTCAGGGTAAACTGCCCTTCCTGTGTGCCGAAGAAACTCCTCTCCCTGTTAGCATGCGAGTATTTAGGCGGTCCGATCAACAAACCTCCTGATCATGATGCTGATCCTCTTGATGTTGTTTAGGGCTAAACGTTTGGTTTCGTTACTCGGTTTGCCACGGTATGTGGATTGGAAGCTATCCCAAGGGGCGAATAACTTCACTTCGGACAACCCAGCAGAGTCATTTGTAGAGCAGTCTGTGGTGGAGAAATTATATTCCCATGAGATGGTTGATTGCTCACGACCATTATTTGGATTTGGGGGAAGGACGTGGTCTTTGAGAATCAAGGTATAGACCTTACGGTCAGATTGCGAAACGTCGAGGGCAATCTCGATGCCATTGTAGGAGGTCAAATCCCACAGTGGCCGCCGATCATCACCTCGTGTTCGTTGTGACGCGAAGCCGGCCCCCCCTAAGGCCTGAATGTCGAGCAGTCCATGGAAGTGCGCCCCTTTCGTTGTGCAATCGAGATAGGACTTCGAAAATCTTCCCATCAGTCTTCAAAACATACTTTCAAAGCAGATCATCGTGTGCAGAAAAAGAATGCCAGGGGAGACCCGAGGAATTCTGACATGCTGTGCACGGCAAAGCCTCGTACCTTAGATAGACCACCCCGGACCCGATCATCACTGGAAATCCATTGATTAGGGCCCCAACCCCTAAGACAACGAGATTCCACACTTAGTAAGATTGCACCACAAGAAAATGGCTTCGGAGAAGCGGCGTGGCCCACACAGTCGAAAATAAACATGGCTTACATATTCAACCCAAAAAGTTCTCGATGCTGGTCAAGCTCAGCCATGATTCAGGACGAACTCGCAAATTGATTACTGATTGATGCTAGACGGCGGGTCGATGCAGACTTCATGCGCCTGCTACAGCTCCTAGCCTTGGGACAGTGGTACCCGGGTTCCTGAATTCCAGGGGTAGTGTGAATAGGCGATAATCAAACCATGGGCCTCGACAGAACACATGCAGGAAACATACCACGAGGAGGCTGACCTCCTTGAAAAGGGCTTTGCAAGCGATGATTCGTTGTCAAGCACAAAAGATTCAGTTCCAGCTGTACGCCAGAGGATACTGTTGGTTTGGAGACTAAGCCGAATGGAGAATGGAGGTTATCTAATTAGTTGATCCGTGCCAGTTGTTCCTTCCTTCTCGACCTGTCAACGGCGGCAGTCCCACCATCCCTGCCTCAGCCCTAGGAGCTGAAATCCCTCCGATTACACTATCCCGTTATCCCACCCATTCTTATCTCGATGCCGTTCAATTTGTTCCCCGGAATCAGTCCCGAGTAGTCCACTGTTCTCCTCTACCCTGCGTGTTTGATACCATGTCAAACACAGAAATGCGTCCTACTCTACGACCAGGGCAAATAGACATACCCAAGTAAGTCCATAAGTGCCAATAACATCACGTCTAGTTGGTGTAGAGGAATCATAGACACGTCAAATAGGCAATTTTCGCAATTATACTGTATTTGCTCTCCAGTCCATTTGCCATAATGGACTGACTCTACTAGCTCATCCTTCAGAAGTGCTGCTCGTTGCCAGACCAGCGCTAGTTGTAACATGCAGGAGAATGTAGGGCTGCTCCAAGGGTTGGAGGTAACCTTGAGTTCATCCCTTTCCCATCGAAGGGCCTCATTGATCTATCCTTTTCCACGTGAAAGAGGTGGATACCATTGACTTCGTACAAAATAACAAAACTCGCTACAATCAAATTCCTGCCAATGCCTACACCGTGATGCGTTTGAAGCCATTCCAATCCAATCCAAAAAGGATCCACACTAACATTGAAGAATGTCTCCAATGTTGTCTGTTGCCATGGCTCTGGCTTTACCGACTGGAGAAGACGTGTCGTTCAAGAATCATGCTTCCGACCTCAGTTACAGCTGATGTCAAAGAGGTGAATGTTCGGGCTCGCCGCTCTCGACACGGGGGTGAGCGGTACATCAAAATAGTTGGGTGAGTTGTGTGCCGAATCCAATGAATATGGATCTGTGAGGGGTGGTGTCTAGCCAGAGGATGTCAGCATTTGAGCTGGTAGTTTGGAGCCGTCAGGCTTGAGAACATTGTATGGTGAATGAGCGGAGAGATCATCTTGTGGCTCAAAAATGTGGGCTTGAATATGAACGAGAGAAGAAAGCGGTGGGATTTACATGGGAGTTGGCCCCGGAATAGGCTTGATTGGAGGGCACTTCTAGACCAGCTAGCGAAGCATAGTTCATGCTGAACGGGCTCATCAAGTCGTCATCTGCAAAGAGATGCTCCTGCTTCACATACGTCGACGGAATCATCGTCGGTAACGTTGGTGGCAGAGTTGAAGGAGTGAGATCGGCAGGATAAGAATAAGTTGAATAGTAGCCAGGGTGAGTGTCGTAGGTCACGGGATGCTGTTGTTCGTACTGTAGATAGCTGGTAGTGGGTGGATATGAAGAGAAGGTAAATTGTGGAGTAGAGTTAATGGAGAGATGGCGTGCTGCTGGAGTATCGAATAGCGACGAATGGTCGTCTAGGGGTAGTAATTCTGGCGAACCTCTCTGCAAATCTTGAGATACGCTCGATCTTGATGTTTGCCGGGCCATAGATTGAGACTTTGCCTGGGTCGACTCCCTCGGAGGTGGAGTAGCGAGTTCCGAATGAGACTGTTCAGGAGAAGCAGATGAAGATCCGGCACGGCGCTCCAAATCTTCCAGTCTTCTCTTGAGCTTTTTTCGATAATTCCGCTGACTTGATGTTAGGACCGTGAAACTCCAGGGCACGGGCGATCAGGGGACTCACCTGAGCAATGCGATTTTGGATTCGCCGCCTTTCAGCGAGGTCGGATATCTTAGTCCAGTCTTCGTTGGGATTGGCAGACGCACTGAAGGCCGAACTGCTGGCGTGTGTAGAAGCATATCTGGTGTTTCCTGCCATGTTGGACGGGTAGGAATAACTCGTACTCCGTTGCATGTTGCGGGGTTGTAGAGTGACGTTGGGAAGTGGAGTGTTCAAGACAGGTCTTTGGTTACACGCAGGATGATGGTGAAATGTTAGAAAGATGAAGACGGGGGCGGGTGGGCAAGTCAAAGACTTAATAGTTGAGTGTCGGGTAACTGATCAATCATATGGATAGACCATGGGACGCCTACGTCGGGCCCTGATATATACGTGCGGAAGGAAACATAAATACAGCCAGGCTCAGAAGGGCATGGTCTTTGTGACAGGGGTGCCAGGGACTCGACACAAAAGTTCAACCGGGGTTAAGTTTGAGGTGCTGGGACTCTGGGAGAGTTGCATGGGCCACATGTCCATACCTCGCTCTGCTCGGTGACCCATGCCCTGCCTTGCGAGGCGGCGGACGGGAGAGCAGGGGTGGATGAAGAATTGGTAGTTGCAGGGGAGGGCAGACCGCCCCCATGAGGGATCCATGTTCCTGCTGTGTTGGTAGCCCCCGTACCTCGGAGGCGGGCGAGCGAGGAGGAACTCAAGGACCCAGGAGCGAGGTGGAGGAGTCTGGGAGGCTTGTGAGCGAACAAGACCGCCGGGATTGACGGAAATAGGCCTGGCAAGGTTATCTTTGGGAACACACCATTGGTGGAGGATGCAGTTTTGGGATGGATGAGGAATGGAGGACGACGGAGTGACTTGGTTGCAACGTCGTGGGCTCGTAAGGCAGAAGCTTGGTGTTTGCTGCGCCCCAGCAGCCACTAGGCCTGATGGGGACCGACCAGGCGCTGCTTTTCTCTGGCGATGCGGTGTAAGGCCAGAAAGAACAGGCCGGACAGGAAGGAGGTGAGTTCGTGTTCGTTCATCGCGGCTGCTCGGGCACTCGTCAACCCAAAGGGCTTCCTTCCGCCTTTGCTGCAGTCCCTTGCGTGCCTTCGCACCTTCCCACACCGTCCTCGTCGACTTTGTGACTCGGCGCAGCCCTGCCAAATTGCACCCACTGAAACGCCCTTTACCACTTACTTTTCAAAGTCTAGCCTGCCACTGCCAACACCTACCATTGCGGAGTACTACGATTACAACAGCACTCGGTACGGAGTCACCCTACTGACTACGGAGGCACTGCCTGGTGTGAGTGTGTGACTCGACCGCCGGTCAGTCCCCATCCCTAACCAAGATAGGTGCTTCGTGCTCTGGGCTTCTACTTAACTGTCATTCCTACGAACGGCTTGCTCAGTGTCCGCTGCTGGAAGTCTGGTGCCGCTCAACCGCCGCCACCCCCTACCAGCAGCATTTATCCCAAGCAAGCACTACGGACTCGAGCCTTGATTATTCGTACTGCTGCGTAACTCATACACCTGCCAGGGCAACATCGCTAGAGCACTCCGGTGATAGGGGGTTTGGTCCTTCGACAATGGATGCCATCTAACTCCTGCCCGTTTGCCCGTTTGCCCGTTTGCCCTTTTCGTCCCTTCATGGCGAGCACTAATGACCTCCGCAGCAGTGAGTGCATTCGCCCACATACCCGTTTAGAAGAAGCACGTACGCTATAACGGTTACTGGTGTATCATATAGCCTGCCATGCTGCTTGTTGCGTGTTGCCACCTGAATTCGTAATCAGTGCTTTCTCGGTCTCGCGTACTCGGCACAAAAAGATCTGGAGACGGCACCAGCTCCCCTGACTTAGAGTTCACAACGTCTCCGACAATAATGCTATGCGCCATATGCTAATTGCCTTCGTCATCGGGTTTAGCGGCCGTGGGGACAATCAATCCTCCGCGCCTTGAGGCTTAGAAACCGATTTGAATTACGAGGCGCGCCAATCGTGTCCTTCGGAATGTGATGCTGGTAACTGGCTCCGTCCGGCAGAAACCGCGCCCAAGGATTTATCACTATTTCCATCAGAATGCACAGGGTTTTGTTCATAGCCCGCGGAGCACCTGTTGGCTGATTAGGATATCAACCTCAACCAGATTCCGTCACTGCGCGTGCACAATTGTCGGATGAGTTCACCACAAGATACCCGAATGCCTCCGGGTGAAGCCAACAAGGCTACTATGACATAATTGCCTCATCAGTGTCATGGCTGCCACCTCTTATGACCTGCTTAACCTGGACGTATGAGTAATTGCAGCAGGATTGACCTTCTCGTCACTCTCATAGCGTTCAGGCATACAACTTCTACATACTCCAGCCCATTTGACTAACCAATGAACTGGAAAACCCACAGACATGGACGGTTGCCTAGATGGGCGATGTACGAGATTATTTCAATCATGGGTGGTTCGACCGGCTAGCATGCTATCCTACGCCAGTTTCTCCTGTCGACATGTGGACGCGGCTGTCTACCTAGACTGTCTTTATGGTGAGCCTGCCATGTCTAGGGCGCATTTTCCGGATCCTTTGGCTCTGTCAGGACCCATCCTAGCATGTTCCGCCTCACAGCACCCTTCTAAAGCAGCAAGGCTCTCGTCCAGCATCTGCTATATAAAACGGCGTCGTTCAGCGTAATGATCCTTAGAGACCCACTGAGGATCAGCTGCAAGCGTGAAGGTTCTGAACTTACACTAGAATAGCTTCTAGGTCGATGTCTGTTGCAGGTGGCTACGGCGCGTTGCCTAGGAACCATATCTAAATTTGCTACAATTTGGCGTATAGTCGATCGCACACAAGCCACCACAGTTTCATCCTTCAAGTACCGAGGTACCCCGTGCTCTATTCGGGGCGAGATGGGCCCAAAAGAGCATTTACCTTACTAAAATGAGCACACTCGTGCCTATAATATCCTCTACCCAAGCCCCCTTCCTACTTGAGATGGAATTGCAAATTATTTTGCCTCCATATCGATACATACAGACCTGATTCGTTCAGAGCCCGGCGGATTGCCGCCTGGCAAACATGTTGAGGTGGTTGGAGACTTGACTTTCAGCAGCGCCCACCTCGTTTACCACCATCCAATAAGGAGTTAATTCTACTAGATCTCCGGCCATGGGCCGATTGCTGCTCTGCTTCGGTCACTCCCAGGGGGCTTAGAGAAGTCATCAGTTAATAGGTTGGTTGGACTTGTGGGCACTGTCACACTTCTTACGAGTCTCTGTAGAGCTCAGGCCATTCCCTGGAGGACCCAACAGGCTGGTACTGTCGCTCGGCACGCTGTTGTGGATACTTAAGCATAAACTCAACAAAAGGACAGCTTTCGGGGCACGTATCCTCCGCGCCCTGGTCGAAAGCAAGACTGCAAGGGATGTGATCGGTGTAGAAGATACGGTGACTGTCATCACACCTCTTTTGCTCAACGCGGCCGTGGAATTTGAGCCATGCTCTGGCAGAGACGCGTACTGCTTCAGCGTTCTATGTACATGGACTTCAACTGCAGATGTCGCGTAGCTGCTCCTCTGGAGCACGATCTGTCATCGGATTGCATATTTGTCGCTAGTAGTCAGTGGCAGTGCCTGCTCTATACTCCGTATCTTGATCCTCCACAGGGTTAGGGAAGAGGTTTTTGATTCGGACCCAGCGACTAGAGAGTGTAAGAGTGTATTTCCAAGGGGGCGGTCTACGGATCGAGACTGCTGATTACAGCGGGGTTCAGAATCGGGAGACTGCATCTGTGCGGCGCAACGTTCGTGTGACCAAACTAGTGCTGTTGTATCTGTGGACGTACCGAGCACCGATCAAGCCTCAAGAGGCATTTCAGATCTTTTCGGGCTCTCCCAAACTACGCGAGATGGCTACTCACTGGCATGTGTCCACCAGGAGCCTCCTGACCTGAGAGTAGTATCGGGAAGCCTCGCCATTTTCCCCTTGTGGTAATTGAATCCTGGGAACAAGGGGGAATGTTCCGACCAATGGTACCGCAACTTGGCCGTTCAGCCCTAAGGGAGGTTCGTTTCCTGGATCGTAGGATCATTAAACGCGCCCTAGGGAGCGACTAGCATCGTTTGGGTATGTTGACAGCGAGCATGGCAACCACCTCGGCCTCAAGCGTGGCTTCTATTACCAGGGGGCCAGCGCCACGCGGCACCGACAAATCTTAGCATGCAGCTAGACGGGCGCCAACGCAACGATCGTCCGTCTGCATCGCCCTTCCCGACTGATGACAAAGGTCCTCCCAAAATAAATCGGTGACTAGTTGTCTTGCCAATCCACTCGCACGGAGTATCGTGTCTACTGCTACCTCGTACCCAGTCACTCTTACTCTGTCTGTATTGAGGTTGCTACATTAGCACCACCTTCCAGATTAATCTCGTTTGTCCTACCGTTGGCCAGGTATGCTTTGCTTGCCTGGCCACGCCATTCTCCTTCGCGAGGCTTCCAACCTTCCAACCTTCCAACATTTGCTATTGGAGGACTGTGGCCAAGGCTCAAGGAGGAGTACGGAGTAGTACATAGACCTCTTGGACGGATTGTGCTAGGCCAAAAGCACCAGGCTTTTGCCATTCAGGGCACAACCAGCTCATATTGGCATGGCTTCGCCCTGCAAATTTGGGGCTCCTGAAGCAGCCCTCCCCACCACACCGAAGATCCTAGCCTGAGTTGAATTTGCGCTAGCGGGCCTGGTATACGAGCAGAATGAGATTTGGAACATTCTGCATTTGTCTTAATTTCTCTCGTCCATGCTGTTGAACGCAAGCACAGGGCTGATGCTAATGGTGTCAGGGTCAGAAGAGCCGCCGTGTAACCAGCACACTGCCGGCCCCCTTCACGATTCTCAGGGCTGATCGCCCCGTCGAACTATCCTGCTCTGGTAGTAGGCGCGCGCTGTTCTATTGGATCGTTCACTAGCGTGGAACACCCATGGGGCCTCCGCTCTAGAGGTTCTTCGAGAGTTTGTGGGAGCACCGCTGCCACACCCGTGAGTTGCCTAAAACAACATCCTCGCATGCCCTTAGCCGTGATTCTACGCTAGAACACCCACCGCGCTTCCTTCGGCGCTCATTGGCAAAATAACCCTGCAGCTCGCCCATTATTCAGTGAACGTTTCTGGCATGTACTACAGTGTAAGGAGCGAACCTTACTCGCACTGAGTTTACGGCCTTGTGGGAATAATTGTTCCAGGTCGCCAACGCGAGGTGCGAAGTAACTTAAGTTCTCCGTCATTGATACCCTCTGTACGGAGTACCGTGTGGCCAGCAGCAAGTGTGATGTAGACATTTGCCCGCCGGCAAACACGCTCCAGCGGCGGTGCTCTAGCTCGAATTGTCCTTAGCGAAACAGCCACATCAAAATATAGTTTGCCCCTGGCTGCAAAAGGCTCAAAGGCGGCTCAATTTGTCCAATTAGACAAAGCCGAGCGGCAAGTGCACCATGATCTCGGCACGGCTACAAGGTTGCCTCTTATATCACATTACTATACAGAGTGTTTATGATTACTACCCTCACAGTTGAGTACTGTAAACGGAGACCAGCTTATGGCGACCTTCGGCTAATATTTGTTTCGAGGATTTAGGGCTGTGTGCGGGACCCATTTTCCAAAACCCGTTAGTCAAGCATATGGGGGCTGGCCTCCATCTTGGTTGTCTATGCCCTTGGTGCAGTCCAATTTCATGGCCCAAAGGTCTCATAGAAACATCCTCGTCCTCGACTGCTTCCAAGTAGCTCCCGGAAATGACGTGTACCGCTTGACAGCTATGTACAGGATCAATTTCATTCATCTATGAGATTGCCTACAGTGCTCGTATGGGAAACGTGAAACGGAGGTCCCTCTCATCACCTTAGCCATTGTAACAGGATGCTAGCCGATCAATGATGGCCGGACACGGACAAGGACGGCAGTTGTTGCTCCCACCACAGTCACCCATTCCATCACCTTGTCGCCAAGTCAAGGATCATACCGAATCCTGGGCTCCTGGAGGCCATGTTCTGCATCTGGACCAAACACCCCATAGAATCGTTGCGAAATGAGCAGCAGACGCAGGGGTCCCTGTCAGAAGGATCCCACCCTGTTCAATCCGGTGTGTATGTGTGGGCGGTTGCTGACTTATCCACTCGACCAGTAATTGGTTCAGGATACCAGCATTCAACTGTAAGGATAGTTCCGAGGCTTGCTATGAGAAATCCCGCACCAGAGAACGATCCAGTGGACCGAGTCTCCTTCACCTCTGACATAATATCAACTGTGAATAAGATATCGACACGTGGAGCCGACGAACGAGGACTATGTACCTCGTGGGCGTACCTCGCAATCTTCTGAATGGTTCTCTGTTTACGAAGAATTGGACCTTTTGGTCACTCATGTCTACAGCGGAGTATGTGGATGACTCCAGAGAGGCTGCAGTCGTAGGGCTGGGATGGAGTACAGGTTCCTTCCGTGCCTGTTCCAGATCCCCAAACGTTCCTCCATTCGCTTCGGGACACGTCTTCTCTGATCCTCCCGGAATCGCACAGGATCCCTAATTGTTTCCACTCAATGTTGATTAGAATCTCCAGCTCGTGAGAGAGCTCCTTACCACTTGGGGAGTGGAGAGATACCGTGGCCACTTGCCTCCTGCGAGGTACTCCGTATAGCTGATCTGAATAGCCTTTGGCCATCAAATACTGCCGTTCCGGGGCTGAAATCAAAAAGCCTTGGCTACCGTCAAGCATTCTGCTGTCAGAACACTAACAAGTGAGTTCCTTGGACGTTGGAACGGGTGGCAAAAACTGATGACCAACTCTCCATGATCTAGTGAGATGCCAGCCTATTCGCGACGATCAACGCCATTTCCTGTGTGTGGATCCATGACCTTGCAAGCTCATCGAGGGTATGATGCTAATGCCATTGAGGATGAACGTGTACGCTGGTCTCCAATACCAGACGTAGACTCCGCCATTTGCTGGGACATCATTTCTCCTCCTGCCCTGCGTTTTGACAGATCACAGAGGACAGGTGACAGTCTAATGTTGTAGAAGAATACGATGGAGCGTGCCTCGATGCTGATTGACAGAGTCGTCACCTTGCATAGGCAGCATTCACCGAGGAGGGTGGGCAGCAATTCAAGGTTAGGTCCATGCAGGAAAACTAAATAAGAACGGAGGTGAAATCGCTCCTCAAGGGGTGCAGATACCCCATAGGCGTTCAGTAGTAGTTGATGCAAGCACTCCGTATTCCGTACTTGATGTTGAATTCGTCTTGCGTTGGGCGAAACGCCCACGAACACATGTCACTTCCCCATGTCCGAAGGATTCGGTATTGTCTACGGGTAAATTGGTCCCAGCGGTCCCTTGGGAACGAGAGGGTGTCCTTACGCAGGCAGATTTGGCATCTTATTCGGTCCAGGCTGGCGAAGTGCTCAACCTGCATCAAGTCTGTAATCTGGGAACAGGGCTAGAACCAGCTGTTGGCATCTCGGCTTCGTTCGCCTATTACCTAGCTAATCCACGATGGCTGCCAATGAAACGACTTCCAGGCCGGACATGCAGATTAAGATGTGGTCAATATTCTGCAATCAAGTTGTTGACGCCAGGATGTGCTTGTCACACAGCCCAGAGGATCATTTGTCCCCTTTCCGCGGCACTGCAATCCTGAAACTCTGGCTGCATATTTAGACGTACGGCAACTGTGAGGACGCCTCCGCGACGAAAGATTCATTTCCAGCAGTCACATACTTGGTGGGGTGAAAGGACTAATGGCAGTTCGTGTGTAGGTTTGACGTGTTATCAGATTGGAATGGTCCGCCGGCAGCAGTCCGGTATTGGGTTTGTTTCAGAATTGAAGGTATGCATCCGCGGGTCAACCACCTGGGATGTGGTTCTTGAAAACGCATCGCAAGGGATATTAGTATTGGTGTTCGCTCAGATGAGATCCTAGTAAAAATGGACACTTCGGGTAGTGATCGAAGGCAGAGCTTCGAAACAGGACACATCGAAGGTTGAGCAGCGCAGGCTTCACACCTCCCGATTCTTTCGCCCGGCGTATGGCCCCCATCATAAGCTTCGAGCTCCGGGGAAAATATTAACCACGAAGAGACGGTTTCAAGTGAGGAGTCTCCAAAACATGCGTGTTTCTCTGAGTCGTTCTTTTCCTTTTTCTCCCCTTCGTTTCTTGCCATGCAGGTACACGACCAGCTCCGTTCGACCCGAAGTACCTACCTCTTGAAGATGCTTTACACTGTTTCCCGTCGGCAAGGGAATGCCTGTGAGAGTCTAGACAAGAGACATATGTGGCCACCTTAAGGCAGCGAGTTCAAAGGACCACCAACGAGGAATTCCAAATCTCGTAACTGAATACTGAGTGGGGCGTTCGTGTTTGGTGGAGGGGAGGGAAGCTGGCAGGATCGAGGGAGGATTAATCGAGCACTCCGTAGGCCCTAGTTCTTGGCATTCGTTAAGACTACATAGTGCACTGTGCACCACAGCGTTGCGATATCCTGCAGCGATACGATCAGCCTCTGTATGCGAGGACCTTAAAATCGATTTGGGAGACCACCAACAGCCCTTTCTTATAGTTTAAAGAAGTAATGAAGTAGATACTCATATAAGGATTGCTTCTTTTATGTGTATATGCATATATCATAGTCGCATTAAGAATACTTTATAGGCGCCTGCTAAGCAGAGTCTAGGTTAGCATAGTACATTAAAGTACCAGACTACCTTAATACTTAAAATAAAATCACTTTCCAAGGATATATTCTATATATTAAGGAGTCTCTCCTCTATATTCTAGTATACTTAGACCATTAGTTATTAAATAAAAAAGCGTTAAGTGAGGTCAAGTGAGGTAAATTCTATAAAGAATGGCTGATTGTATCGCTGTAAGATAATCACAACTTAAAATGCTGGGGAACACTAGTCTTGACGAATGCCAAGAACTTGTGCCTACTGAGTGCACAATTAGGCTACATAAGTCGCCAAAGTGGTGGAATTGACATTGGCAACCCGGGCCTGCGCTGAAGGGACGATTTAGGGACGATTTAGGGACGACTTGGGGATGATTAGGGATAATCTAGGGCTGAAGTTGGGGGGGAAGGGGCCTCGGGCCCCTAGGGTATCACTGGGCATAAGTACTTCACCGCTCAGCTTTCGGTTGGGCGACGCCGGACCTGTGGCATACTTGTCTGCGCGGTCTCTAGGCACTACGGAGGACTACTGGGCAGAATGTGCGCCCCCGTACCCCGTAGGACTCCCTCCGTATTAACTGCTACCCCTCAATTATTGTCGGGGCTACTCGAGTGCCCAGAATTGGCGAGCCTGTTATCGGTCGCTCTTTGGTCAGTCCGCACTCTAACAGTGCAGCCATTGTCGCGGATCCCACCTTCCCCCATATTTTCAACACTCTTTCCCATAATTCCGCCTTCCTCAGGCCCTCTCAGCGTTCCTCTCAACTGCGGAACTATTCCTCCAACCACCCATTATCACTCCACTGCGACGAGCAACTCGCGTGATCCCGACTGGTAGCAGACAACATGACATCCAGCACCGCTGCCTCAGACAATTCGCCCCAGCCAAATGGTCACGGTGAGAAGAGGAAGGCCGATGACAGTGCCAGCAACGCTGGACAAGGACACACTCGGTCCAAGCGGAACAGATACATCTCCATCGCCTGGTAAGAAATCCCCGGTCGCGGCTATTCGCGTCTGCTGCTATAGCATGGCCATTTGTGTTGACCTTGTTCATCTTTAGCAATGAGTGCAAGCGCCGCAAGATCAAGTGCAATGGGCAGACACCATGCCAGCGGTGTGGGAACCTCTCCCTCGAGTGCGTCTACGCTCCCAATTGCTGCACGAACTCACTCAAGGACTCGGCGTAGGTTCATTTTTTCCTCCCTACCATCATTGACTGACCCTAGCTCGCAGTGAATTCCGTCAGATGCGTGATCATATCACGTCGTTGCAAGAACAAGTAAATGATTTATATGCCAGCCTGAACGAATTGCGAAATCGATCGGACGCTGGCTACGTCGGCGCTCTAGACCCCCAGTTCTCACAGGATGGCTCCATTCGCAGCATGTCCATGTCCGTCTCCCGCACACTACCTCCTCTTATCTCGCCCAAGCGACCCTCGAAGGGCCTACCGCAGTTTCATGGTCCGACCAGCACTCTCTATGGATTGGATGTCGCCAAATCATCGTTACAGACAATGGGCATCACGCACAATTTGATCGAAGAAGGTCTAGGCTCCGCAGATAGAAGTCGGGCAGCCTCACCCATTCCAGCGCTGCCACCACATCCATCTAAGGACCCTCTGTGGCTGATCGATTACAATGAAGTTGTGCGAATCCTTCGTGTGTATGAAGAGGAGATCGGCATCATGTACCCAGTAGTGGACACAGACAAGGTCTTACAACATGCTAATGCGCTGTATAAATTCATCGGAGCCTCTCTTCGGACAGGACTTGGGCAGCCGGGTCTTCCCGGAGCAGACACATTTGATGATGAAGAAACCACCATCCTCAAGATGCTTCTTGGCATCACCCTGACTGTCGAGTCCCATGGTCGCAGTGAGCTAGGCCAAAGGTTCTTCGATGCAGCAAAGCCTGCCACCGATCTCAAGCTCGTCACTTCTATCGACCTGAAGTCGGTGGTTTTGGTGGTTCTAACCGTAGGCATCCTCTCCAGGAAGCCAACATCATCCTAGCTAACCTATTTCTGCAGGCGACCTTCTACTTCCAAAGGGACGAGGAGGCCCAAGCATGGCGTTTCATCGGTATCGCAGCTCGCATGTGCATTGAGATGGGACTTCATCGCAAGGAAACCTTGCTCAAGCTATTTACCACTAAGGCTGAATATCAACACGCCGTTCGCATCTTCTGGACGGTGTATGCCCTTGACCGACGTTGGAGTTTTGGGACAGGGATGCCGTTTGCATTGCAAGATGCTGATATTGACCCTGGTCTACCGGAGCCGGTATGTGAAAGAACCGGGCTCATCTTCTTCATGACTGACTATATTTGGCAGGATGAAAGCCGCCCATATCTCAAACACATTACCAAGTACAATCAGATTGCCACCAAGGTATGGTATCATAATCTTGCCTACGATGGAGGTCAGCAAACCAAGAAAGACGAAATTGGGTTTTTGGATTACCAGATCCTGCAATGGTATCAACAGCTCCCTGAAGCCTTGCAATTCAATAGTCGTGATCTTGCTCGCGAGAATGAAATACCCGGGCGCGGCGCTCGACGTTTACGATTGTTGATGTATATGCGCAGGAATCAGGCAAGGATCTCCATATATCGCCCTATCCTCCACTCTGCAACGAGCATTATGGACCATCGACATTATTCACAGAACGTCGTCGACGTGGCCAAAGATACCATCAATACTCTGACGGGGGTGAATCAGATCTCGGACATTTATAAGACGCAACAGCAGCTCTATAACTACTTCCTAGTTCAAGCCTTGGCTGTCCTATTCCTCTCGGTGGCTCATGCACCGGCTGTTTTCTGCTCACAGACAAGGACCGAATTCTATGCTGCTATCGAGCTCATTAAGGGATTCAGCACCAAATCGCATGTCTCGAAGAGACTATGGAGGACGATCCGTGGCCTCAAGGATATAGGTGACAAGATTGCATTGTTGGCACGGGGAGGCCCCGGTCCAAACGATCCTGATCAGGATGCTCAATCTGATGCAGCTGTGGCAATGGCCGGGCTAGCCGGCCATAAAGTGGAATACCCAGGTTATGGTAGCCACGGGCATCGAGCCGCCGGCAATGAGGAGCTCGGAGTCAGCCCAGATGATGCGTTACAAATGACCAATGAACTGACCAGTCTGTTTGAGCTTGCTGGTGGATATGGTGCAACAACTCCTGGACCAGACGCATTCAATTACGTCGGTTCCAATGGGGATGTTGGGCTTGGGGAAGGGTTTAATGTCTTTGGCAACGAGCCAGCACTGACGAGGATCATGAACGAGCTATTTTAGTCATGGGAGGGCTGCTTGGACCCCCAGGCGCTAAGCATTGGCGTTGTTGGTTCTTTGATGAGTCTGCAAATAGATGTCGAAGATTCGGATCATGGAGTACCTCGTACGGAGTATGCGTAGATAACTCCTTGCTGACGTTCCCTCCTTCCCCCTTTCATCCAGCCTCAGGGGAGAGACTGTCACGTGCCGTGCTGGTTGAACGCCAAGACCCGCGTGGACCATCAACTGCCAGTTTCGTCTCTCATGCACGGCAGTGCCCCAAAGACCAGAAAGTGTCCTCTGTCCGGCGCAATCCATCCCACGATTTGAAGGTGCACCTATTCGACTGACTCTACTATATGCAGTAAACTACCAACAACCGTCGACACCAGATGCCCACGATCATTCATAACCGCAACACTCGATAAACCTTCTGGTCCAACCGTACCCGCCCACTGACTCCCAGCCTCAATCAATATCACTCCAGTCCCGCCGGTTGCATTGCACTACTCCTTCCCGCTGTCTACACGATTCGGTACCAACAACATCTCAGTCTCGTGGGATACCTCTCATACAGCGACTCGAAGAGAACTCGAAGAGGACCCCAGATGTCTCTGTAGTAGCCCCTTGATATCGCGCACCCACCCACACCCGTCGGCCAACCCCTCCACCCCACTATCAGTCCTGATCCCCTCCCTCTCCAGCCGTGCACAGAAGCAATCCACACACGCCAAACACGAGAGCGAGTCTTTCTTGTCGCACCGGAACAGCACCAATCTGTCTGCAGAACAAGCCTCCGTTCTGGCCCCGGGCCTGGACAGGCTTCACCTTGAATCTGACTTCTCCGAGTCCCTCTATTACCAACATTTCACCAGCTCCTCCGCGACAATCTCCGAAATGTCCCAGTCGTCTTCGCAAAGCCCAGACAGTTGGATTGGCACCTTCTGTAACCTGGTTGGTCATGAGTATTTCGCCGAAGTCAGTGAAGACTTTATCGAGGATGATTTCAATTTGACCGGTCTACAAGCACAGGTGCCCATGTACAAGGATGCCTTAGAAATGATTCTTGATGTCGAGCCATCAGAGACGAATTCGTCAGCCCTGTCTGAAGAGGAGGAGGAGGAAGAGGAGGAAGAGGAAGATGACGGACTGCTAGGCGATGAATTGGATGACCCTATGGCCAATCAAAACGGGGGCCCCAGAAGACAGTCCGGCGTGTCGTCTGGTCCTAACGGGAGACGGCATGGTCGCACGTCGTCAGATACTAGTGTTATTGAGTCCTCTGCCGAACTCCTCTATGGTCTGATTCATGCCCGATACATCACCTCAAGACCTGGAATTCAACAAATGATGGAAAAGTACGAATTGTCGCACTTTGGCTTCTGTCCGCGAGTCTATTGTGCTGGGACAAAAGTACTTCCAGTCGGTTTGACGGATAGCCCAGGCCAACAGACCGTCAAGCTGTTCTGTCCCAGCTGCATGGACGTATACACACCTCCCAACTCTCGATTTCAAGCCGTTGATGGCGCGTTCTTTGGTACGACTTTCCCTTGTCTATTCTTCATGTCATATCCCGATCTTGAAGTGGCTCCCCTCAAAAAGCGGACGGCCAAGGACTCCACAGCCCAAGGAAACGATGATGCAGAAAGTCTACTCAGTCCAACTGAGACGACTACTGCACGCAGCAATACAGGCATGACTGCAAGTCGAAGTTCTAGCTTAACCTTACCACAAGCTCCACCAATTCCTGGAGTGACACCAACGAAGGATGAAAAGACTTCGCTGGCCAGCACCCTGGCTTCTTTACCGCCTCAACCTACGACCATCAACGGAATGGCCACCCATAATCTTGCACCTGGCCTTGGAAAGGGCAAGATCTACGAACCCAAGGTCTATGGTTTCAGGGTTTCGGAACGTGCCAAGAGTGGACCTAGGATGAAGTGGCTCCGATCCAAACCTGCTGATATCAATCAACTTGACGAAGCCCGGCTGTGGCATGAGCGGTATGGTGGAACTGTCGACGGTGATGCAGATGAAGAGCCGCAAGCATTATCCGGCGACAAAGAAAATGAGAACGCAGAACATGAAGACGCGGATCAAGACGGTGATGCCATCATGCTGACCCAAAGTCAGGGACAGACTGGAACGCGGCCGAGAACGAAACGAGAAGCAGACGCAGATGGCGATGCCCCGATGGAAACTCAGAGTCAAATTCAGGCAAAAGGGAAAGCGAGGCGGAAGTCAGGTGCATCGAGAACCCAAGCCAATGCGGAGGCGGACCACGGTCAGACAAAGACAGAAGAGGGAACTAATTGGATATGAACGATATGAATAGGCAAACGACAAGGAAACGAAAACCTTTGACGTATGAGTTCGAGCTGATGAGCATAACATAACATGACGCAAGAAAGCACGAATTTTGACAGGTCAATGAAAGGCAGAATGCCCAAGAGAAGACGCACGCAAGACGGACTTAATCTCCCTTGAAGAAGACGAAGAGACTATCCGCAAGGGAACCTCCAGCTGGAGCCTTTCCCCTCTCCTCCTCCAGCGCCACATCCTCTTTTCATCTTTTCAAAGATTCAACTGACCCTCAGTCAGCGCATCATACACAACCAGCCGTGAGTGCGAGAGAGCCGATTGATATCAGTATGTCCGTATGTCGATTTATTGGGAGACCGACATGCATTGCATCCAGACGAAAGGATATGTCCTTTTCTGCGGGAAGTGGGATCGTAATAGGGTTTGTTCAGTGCCTCAACGTTATTCAATAGACTGCTCTATAGGCAGGTAAGTAGTCGATTAGAAGAACTGGTGCCGCTCGGTTCGAAATCCCAAAGCCTGCGGTTGCCTAAACTCTGAAGATTTTGTGCGTTTTTTATTCGTTTTGAAAAGCAAACCAACCCGCCGTCCTAGCTAGCTAGTCCGCGCCACTACTATAACAGAGACCAGAGCAAGAAGTGAAGTCCAAGCTACCAAGGGGCAGCGAACCGACGATCAAACATGGCCGGGGAGGGTTATTCCGCATATAAAACTCATATTGCATGGTAAATTGGTTCCTTAGTCCTGTAGTCAAATTGAATTGACTTGACTTGACTGACTGCCTGGTTTATTGTCTCGGAGCTCTAGACGACCTCATGCCTGCCTGCACCCAATTCATCTGTCTATTTGGCGTCGTGGAGACGAGCACTTGATTCGGTGGTACTTCGCTGCGAGTGTTGTGAAATACCGGGTGTGAGAGGCGTCTAAATTGACTAAGTCGTTCTGCGAAAACTCTGTGTGAAGGATAGGGTCTCCGGTACTGTATGTTACGTGTGATACAAACATGTATCTCGACTCCGTCCCCTATTGGAATATTTGATTACATGCTATATAAGAGTGGACGCTCAGTCTGTACCTCGTATATACCTTGCGAAGATGAATTAAGTCTAGTTAGCTCTAGCTACTGCTGGATTACATTCTGCATAAGCAACTGTTTCACCGATTCAGTCGTGCGCTCTGCTGCCTGACACATTTGAGAACAAGGAGGATGGTTGAGGCGCTCTTGCCATCGCCCTTGCATCGTCTGTCGCTCTGTTGCATCTCGATTTCTAGCTCTCGACTCCGAGTGCAGCTCCATGCATGTCACATCTAATGGAGCATGTTTGCTCTTAGCAGAGTTCCCAAGCACTTGGTCACAGCACCATCCAAGAGACGCGCCAGCTCACCTCACTCTCGAAAGCAATGCTAGCACACCCTCCCTGGCGCGCAGGAATATATCTTTAAGGGCGTCTTTGGTCCGGGCTCTGCCATTCCTCACGGCGAAGTAGGCGCTATATAAAGTACCGACGAGGGCGAAGAGCTTGAAGAGCCTTGTCAACGTGAGCTTGACGAGGCCCTTGCGCGTGTAAGTAGCCTGCCAGTGGCTCCAGCGTGGGAACATGCAACGCAAGGTGAAATCTATTTGGGTGCGTGGATAAACAGTGGCGTTCCAGCCGTCCTTGCTGAAATACCAGCTACTGCAGCCGCCAGACATGAAGACCGAGTTCTTGAGCGCGTCCTGGATGCCTTTGGTCCATTCACGCTCCGCGGATTCTTTGACCTCGTAGGTGTTTACGTCGCCGCGGAGGATGGGTTTGATGAAATTCAGGCTGTAGTTGACCATATTCTCGCTGGCCAGGATGACGCTTGAGTGACCGGTCGCGGTGTTAGGGCCGAAGATTAGGAAGAAATTGGGAAAGCCATCCATCGCTGTTCCAAGGTATGCCTGAGCTCCACCACGCTCTTCCCAGGTCTTGTAGAGTGATTTGCCGTTGCGGCCAGTCACGTCCAGTGGATGTAGCCAGACGTTGGTCTCGTAGCCATTGGCCATAATGATAACGTCAGTAGGAATGGTTCTCTCCTCGTTCGAAACTTTTGAATCCGTCTTGGAGACCGGTGGATAATACCTCCCAGGTCCCAGTGTGACAGAGCGAGGCTGAACGGAAGTCATGGGTAATGTAGTAATTTCAATGTCAGGATGTTGCAACGACATAAACCAGCCTTCGTCAACCACCCGCCGTTTACAATAGACTTCATAATCGGGAGTCAAAATCTCGTGGTACTCTTTGGGGACGTACTTGTGCATATGAGCCAGAAGCTCATCCCTTTTTGCCTCTCTCCGTTTTCGGGCGGCTTCGGTGGGTGAGAAAAGGCTGATGAACTCAGCTTCGATGGCAGTAAAAAGTAATTTTCGGAGGATGTTTTGAAAACCCGGGATACGTCGGGAGATTTTGGGCACGGTTTCAGAGAGAAAACGAGCCAGATCCTTTGGGATCGTTGGGGCAACCCAGGGAGGTGAGCGCATGAGTTGAGTGACGTGCTTCGCACCGTACTCAGGCTTGACGAGCTGTGGCACCACCTGAGCAGCTGAGCATCCTGTTCCGACAACCACGACATTCTTGCCTCGGAGATCAATGTCTTTTTTCCAACGCCCAGTATGGACTACTTCACCCTCAAAGGTGTCAATACCAGGGAAATCGATTGGGCGTTTGGGTTCGACCAAGCCGCCAACGGCAGAGGCGACGACTTTGGCCCGGACGACTTCGGTGCGCAAGACTGTTGCGGTGGTACCTTGCTCTTGCTCTAGCGACACACGTTGATGGGTCGCCAGGTCACCCACACCGGGGGCCAGATGCTCGAGGACAATTTCCCATTCCTCCTCCTGATCAAGCCATCGAATAGACTTGACGGAGGTGTCAAGTTGGATCTTATCGAGGATTTCGTACTTTGCGCAAACATCGTAGAGGTAGCGAACGATCTCCTTTCCAGAAGGAAAGACGCTGGTCCAGCCCGGGTTTTGAGCGAACGAGTAGGAGTAAAGAATGGCAGGTCTATTTCCACGAGACTTTCTTAGCACCCCGGGAAGATTGTGTAGAGTGTTGGGTGGGGGAGAACATTACACATCGCAGGCAATGCCAGGATAAGTGTTGGCATACCAGGTGCCTCCAAGGCCAGACATACGTTCGAAGATGCGGAACTGGTCAAAACCTAGCTCTGAACGCAACCGGCAGGCCATGGCAATACCCGACTCACCACCGCCAATGATGGCAACTGGATAGTAAGTGTATGACGTGCCATTGGGGTCTGAGATGTATTGGATCTTGTCTATTCTTTTGGTCATTTTGTCTGTCGATGCCGGGAAGAGTGAGCAGGTTGGACGTATGCGGAATCTCGAGATGGCGAGGACGAAGTGGAGGAAGATATAGAAGGGAATGCGGACGTGCTTGGATGACCGAGTCAGTGGATGGAGGACTCATTGGTGGCCTGATAAGAAGGAGAACCAGGAGAAGTGGCCGTATTGGTAAATCATTTCTTATGGCGAGACTGCCAGCGTGCGTACCTGCGAATACTACACGCGGTAGTAGGTCGGTAGTAAATAATATGAGCAGGGCAGGACAAGGCCCGATCGGGCCATCGAGACAAGGTACTGATTAATTGATGGGTTTCCACCGAAGAGCCGAGTCAATCGTTAGTACTGAGTTCTCACCGGGCCATCAAAGCATCACATGTTCCCATCGCGATTCGCGCTCCCCGAGTCTCGCTCCCTCCACATTCTTGTGCCAGTGGTTGACGTGGCGGGGGATTTACCGAGGCAAGAGGAGTCAAACAGATCGTTGGTGGTGTCACCCTCCCCTGACGCGGTACAAAGCTGCAGGACAGGGCCACCTGTGTAACTAATTACACAGATGTACTCCGTACCGTGTGTACCCAGCCGTAGCGCGTACGGAGTCCTCGATAAACGTACTACATACATAGAGTACGCTATCAGTATTGCCCATTTTTACTCTTGAAGTCGATAGTGCACTCTGCTTAGCTACCTAAATAGAGGTATACAGGTAGATTCAAGGTATCCTTATTTCATGCCTAAGCAGTGCCAGGTCTGCCATTACTATGACCGCCAAAAGAACGTCTTAGGTACCCAGCTAGATGCGGATGATACGTTGGAATTTTGTATTACGATTTGTAATGAATGTATTTGTGACTTTTAACTAAGCACCTGCGTACTAGGGTATCTCAGGCGGCTGTAGCCAGGCAACTGCTGTTCACGCTTTTCTCTCACTGGCCTGGCAGTACCGAATATCAAGTATTGTATTCCACAATACAGCTGCACGCCACGCAGGTACCCAATCCAACACCACAGTTTGATGACACTCCCAACGTATGTACGGATACTGAGTGTCCTGGAGAAGCTCACCAACCGAGACACTCACACTCTCTTGATCTAATTTGTTCACTAATAACAAGCCTGCGTGTCCACCACAAAGATCCATCCTAATGAAATGCATTCCTAAATATCCACAATTCTCATGTTTAAAGGCAGTGAGATATCAAAAACCGGGCATCAGAGGAGTCACTTCATCCTCAACCTGTTCCGTGCACCAAGTCCCACTTCTTCCCTCCTGGGATCTAGACGTCTTCCAGGTCAATGCATATATACCCGCGGTGCCTTTCCAGTTCCCCAGGCTGAGCTCGCAACTCCCGCCGGCCTGTTCCAAGTGGTTCACCCATGAAGACGACCCCAGCAGTCTCGATCTTGGCCATGTTAGCCTCAACAACGACCCCGGTATACATCCCAGAAGTTCAGAACTGAACTCTGCATTCTGGACCGAGTATGCAGATACGATCGTGCCGTTGGAGCTCACCTCTACGAAAAGCACTTCGAGTTCCCCCGAAGATGAAACATTCCAGCGCACAGAAGCACCCCTCGGGATCCTGCTGGCGTACCTGTCCTCCAACGCGAGCAAAAACCCAACATACACCCTGAACCAGCCAAGTAGCCAATCAATATACCTGGCACAATGCTCCCTGACCGCGCTGCCACCGTCTCTGCAGCAGGACATTCCGACCCCAGACCTCATCGCCCGCTCCGGACCGATCAAAGGAGACATCTACGCCTCGAGCCTCTGGCTAGGCCGGCCACCCACATACACGCCCCTGCACCGCGACCCCAACCCCAACATCTTCATCCAACTCGCCGGCCAGAAAGTTGTGCGACTGCTGCCGCCCGAGGTTGGCGCCGCCGTCTTCGCCGACGTCCAAGCACGCATCCATCACGACCACGACCACAACACCTCATCGTCTGCCACCATCCGTGGCGAGGACATGATGAGCGGGCCTGAGAAAGCCGTGCTCCATGCCGCTATCTGGCCTTCCGAATCTGGCAGCAACGACAGCACTGATTCACCATCTCATACTCGTGCACCGCCCCCCTACGCGCAACTCCTCAGCAGGTACGCGCAGGAGACAACACTCAGCACCGGCGACGCACTCTTCATCCCCAAAGGATGGTGGCACAGCGTCAAGGGCATCGGCGCCGGTGTCACCGCCAGTGCAAACTGGTGGTTTCGCTGAGCTGAGCCTGAGCTGCGCCCACCGAATAGACCCGCAGAGGGCATTCTCGTTAATACACTTTAAGGCGTTGAATTGCTGTAATATCGATCAAGCGAGAATACCGGTCTCTTCCTGACCGAATTATATCGTGCATAAGTGTATATAATGTGTTCATATGCTTTATAGGATTAGAGTTCTGTACGGCTTTCGAAAACATCGAGACGGATTGGTCGGGGCATGTGTCTTAAAAATCTAGATTATGTTTTGACTAGGAAGACATTCACTAGGTTCTAGTCTAAAATAAAAGCTCATAAATGTTTGGTGAGCAGGAGAGGCCCTGTCCTGCAGATCAGATGTCCTCTTCTTACTACCTCAGGGGCATCTCAAGAGCCCCTTAGCCTCTTTGCCGTATCGAGCATCCTTTGGCTCTGAGACGGGAGAACGCGCCACAGCTTGCTCGTACCCAACATTTGCAGATGCAGCATCCCATTCACTTCTTTCCGTCGTTCGAAATAATACCTGATACTTTGCACCGCCTCCCTGGAAATGTAAAATACTGTTGTTACCTTCAGCGGTGATCTGGAGACACATACGCCGTCAACGTGCCTGGGATTTGTATCTCAGGACTTCGGGTAAGAGTCAGGTTTTTTCTTGCTTCCATTTAGAATATCTAGCCTACACGTTATCATAGTGTGACTCAAATGTCTACACACAGACTTGCGACCAACTTTTCACTATTTGGATAAGAGGTGTCTCTTCTAAAATCGTGTTTACCTTCAATCCATAGCCTTTTTCGATGGATCAAACAATACTCCAATAATCTCATCAAGGATGGTAAAGACAAGGTGCTGATTGAGACGGGCGTTATTCATCGTTGCGGATATCCTTCGGGCGGCGGCCTGTGCGTTGGCTCTGCCAACTACGCTGGCTGCAAGCTCTGGGACGAGCGTACTCAGCATCACCGCAGCCTCGGTCTTGGATTTCTTCTTCTCCGGTGCTGTTCGAGGCTTGGATTCTCTTAGCCGGCCCCCTCCTGGCCACATGGTATCTTTGATCATTGCGATATATTTGAGTAGTGTATCTTCCTGTGTGAACCCTTTGACGAGCTCACGCACCTTGCGCTCAATAGTGCCGCCTAAGAGTTGGTGCAGCACCACGATCACAGCACGGCCGCGCAGCCAATTGTTTCCTCGGTTAAGTTCAAATGTCTCAAGGAAGATATCGCAAATTGGTTTGACAAAGGGCTCCAACTCCCTATCTTCAAAGGCAGCAAGCTCAGCTTCAGCTTCCGCTACCGGGCCAGTTTCGATTGACACAACATCAGCTTGGTTCATGCCTAGCTGACTGGTTGCAGCAGAGATCAGATTTTGACCGGCAACAGACAGCTGATCGAGAACGGAAATGTTACCCAGGAATTCATCCATGCCATCAGTCACTGAATTGTAAATTCGACTCACAATGTCTTGCGTCTCGGTTGCATTGCCGATGTTGTGGGATCCAATGCTCTGTTGAGAAAGGAAAGCCCTCAATTCTCGGCTTCGGCATACATCGGGCATCCGAAGTAGCTGTTGGAGATAAGTTTCTAGCCCAAGCCGTCGATTCTGCAGAAAAGCTTTTTGAAGCTTCATGACCACTCTTCTCCGCGGGAATTCGAGGTCTCTCGTGGAAGGATACCTCCGTCGCAAACGTTGATGCAGGTCGTGAAATTCACTGTATCGACGGGTCACCACCCACATAGCAGCAGGCATTTGTTCACCCGCTTGTCGCTGAACCTCGACGACGTACAGCGCAAACTCCCGACCATCCTCTTCTTTGCCTACGACAACTGACTGAATAGAAATATTCGATCGACCAAACAAGCTGTTGTCACTCTCTTGAACAATGTATTGTTGGCGCTGGAGCTCTTTACGACGTATCTCCCGCTGGAGACTTGACTTGGACTTCGACAGGATTCGGAGCTCCGCGACATTGTTTGTCAGTTCGGCTTTGCGAGTTAATGCATCTACCACGGATTCCTGAGATATAAGTCGTTCAATGTCGTTTGTGAGGCCCGTTATTGCTTCTGCAAGACCAAGGTCGCCAGGTGCGGCCTCGTGGATTTCATCTTCACCGATTTCATCATCTTTAAAGCTGTCATTGTCCACATATTCGTCCTCTAGGAACTTTTCTTCGTCGGGGAACAGATCGTTATCACGGAACACTCCGATGCGAGAGGACGTATTGACAAGCCCCAATGTCGCAAGACTTGGTTTTGTTTTGCTTGCGGGTACTGCATCGATGTTTGGAGTGTCAAGTGACTCACGAGGAGACTCCAAAGTCCTGGTTGACTTGGTAATGGATATTGGAGAGCCAAACAGTGCATCGTCATCATAACTTCTGCCATCTTCAACGGGTTCGTCGGTCATAATATTGTTCATAGCGGCTTCCATGCTTTCGATGACCTGACGTTGCTCTGCTGCGGCGTCGCCGTTCATAGATTCATGACCCAGGCTGTTGGTAGAGTGCGCCAATGGGTCGGTATCATACCCGTCGTCGAAAAGAGGTGCCGAGGGCCCAGAGCGTTTGGGGAGATCATCATCGAAGAGTCTAGAGGAAGCCAAACTACGAACATCAGTGGAGGATGCAGCAGCACGCCGAAGGTCTTTAGGTTTGACTGCTGGTTGCGAATTGGTACGCATCATTACATGAGGTTGCGCCTGTAGCTTCAAGATCGCATTTTGCGCGGGTAAAATGTCAGCTGCCAGCTGGTCGGAGCTCGGTAGCCGGGGTTGCATGGATGAGGCTTCACCAGATGCAAGAAACTTGTAGTACAAGTCTGACTTCCGAAAGTTCGGAAGATGCTGCGCTGTCAATTCTTCTAAGACGGCCGATTGTGCTGAGAGAATGGCCGTTCTTGCAGATTGGTACTGCTGTGTTGTTGCCCTGCGCCCGGCAACAAGGAATGCTTTGATGGCTTCCTTACTTTCCTGTGGGATATTCAGTTCTGGCTTGAGCATGTATGCTTCACTGATTTGCGCAATGTCCATTCGATCGGTATCCGTCCAATGCTGTTGTGCTACCGGCGCAGTGTCGTCCCCAAAATCGTCCTCTAAGGGATTGCGGAAGCCGTCGACCACAACCCAAAATTGGACTAGGGACATTTTCTGTTGCCGATCCATGTACTCCATGAAATAGGATAGCCCTGAAGCGGTATGCATGATTTCCACCAGTGTCCATTCACGGGTTTTGGGGCTCGTATTTGTACGATTGTCGTTTTGAGAGACGGATGGCTGGACAACACTGCCAGTTCGACTGAGCTTCACAATTTTTTGGTCGAGAACGCGCTTTGCCATCTCGAGTCTGCGTAAATAGACCGGATCTTGACCTTCGACCAAGCTTTCCCGTTGAATCTGGCTGGCAATTGAGCTACGAAATCGTCGGGCGTCGGATAAGTTCTTGGTCTTGCGAATGGCCCTAACAAATCGCTCAAAAGCTCGCTCACTATCATCGGGCGCCAAGCGGGGCAATTGCTGCTCTGCCCTCGGCTTGGGCACGGAAGAGGTGTGTTGGTCTAAGGCAGCCCTCATCCTTCTTACAGTTTGCCTATCCTGAAGTGTGGTTCGTCCGTAGGCCTCAACAATTTGATTCCAAGTGTCGGGATCTGCAAGGAGTTGCAGTACAGGATACAATACTGCACAGGATATAATTTCCTTAACAAGAACCAAGGTTGCACGACTGCCCAACATGTTGGGAGAGAGTATATCTGGGAGAATGCGAACAAGGATTTTCCGAAGATGATCTTGCTGAATGGTCTTTGCGTCAGAATAAGTGAGAGAAGCTGCCGCATGCAGCTTTCCATCCTTGTACTTGGCAGCTATCGCCAGTTCTAGTTCTTCTGACTCTGTTACGTTGCGATTCAAACTTCGACCCCGGACGGCACGTTCGGCCTGGTCATAGTCTCGCAAGTGAGCAGTGATTATTGGAACAACTTTGGAGACAATAACATTGACCATGTCTTCTTTCAGGATTCGATCCCTAATCTCCACCAGGGCTGCCCGGATATTCCTGTCCACCTCATTGACAAAGACCGGGCTGGGGGTGATGTTGCTGTACCACGAAGTCACAAAGTCCCTCAGGGCCAACGAGAGGAGGCTATCTACAGCCTGTGAAACGACAAACGATTGGTCGTGGAGCTGCAGAGCTTTGTAGCGGCGTGAACGGTTGTATTGGTCCAGTTCTGCGGACCATTTCGGAGGCGTCATGAAATTCGGAATGTCACAGGAAAGTGAGGACTGGCGACGAAGCTTTGAGGGAGAGATCGTCGAGGTGAGAATGGCTGCAACCAGCAGGAATACGCTGGACAGACAACCAGCTGTAAAGGCATATCCGAGGAATCGCAAAACGGGGAGATAGCGTACTGCAAGACCCCAAGCGACGAAGGCAGCAAGAGCGGCGGACAAGACATGTTTCTGAGACAGGGTCATTGTCGATACATTATTGCTGAACACAGCCGATGAAGGCCGGAAAGGAACCCAGGAAGGGAGGGTTCGGGCTAGTCGTCTAGGGCATAATGGAGAGCGATACTGAGGAAAAGTAGATTGATCAACACAAATATTGAAACTGGCAAACAATGGCCTGCGCTTTGAAGATGGAGGATGCGCATGACGAACGGGGCTGAGATCCAGTGCACAATCATGAAACCGCTGAATGGGCGATGGGGGGTGGTCACTGGAAGGTACGGTGGATCATGAGATGGATTGTGCAGAGGATATACTGCCTCAACACTCCTCCGTAATAGGACAGCTTACTCATACTCGAATTATTCAATTAATAGTAATTGATTTGGATGAGTGATGAGGCCGAATTGGGAGTCCGACTTTAATTCGACAGCACGATCGGCATCGACCGCCACCACGAGCACAGCGACGTGCACATCAGAAGACTCACCACCGACCATATGTTCAGCCAACTCCGTTAAGAGCCTGCCTGCCTGAAACGGGAGTCATGCCACTGTTGCCTCTTCCCGTCACCCAACGCGAGCCTGATCCGGGAATGATTGCCTGTTCGTATCGCAGCAAGCAGGCTGAAAATACGGGCTTGGAATGCAACACGGAAAGAACGGATATCGTGACCTCGATCTGGTATTTCTACGGATGCCGGGAGCTCGTCTGCCTACTTAGTCATGGCGCCACTCTTCATGCTTCAATTTTCGCTCGGCTGGGCCCAACGCCCGACGTTTCCATTGTCAGCTATTCACGGAGAACTGGGATAAGGAGCCGGCTTACGTCGCAACCGTCCTGCTGCGCTGTGCGACTTTGCATTTTTCGTGAGTAGGAAAGTCAGGATGTATCATTGGTCAAGAAACGTAGGGCCCCAGCATGCTTTGCTCAGCATTGATGCAAAGGAATATTCTGTTCGGCTTCCATCCGTGGCACCCTCATATGCCGTCCTGCACCCATTGGCTAGCGACTTGCATGACACTATTATCGACCAGATGGACCAGTAAATCCGTTACATTTGGTTGGATACAACAGGACTGCCTCCTGAGCTGAAGCAAGGTTGCCGGCTGCATGCCGACCCTGGCTTTGTACAGCAATACACTGACGTGGTGGTGACTCGAGGTCTGTAGAAGCAAGGTCTATCTGGCCTCAGTGAGCTTGCAAAAAGCAGCACGGAGTACCTGCAGAGAGATTTTCCAATTCGTCTGCGAAGCAGTCGGTAAGTCCCCTCACTTGCCGGTGGCATCCATCCATTTTCAGATGGTGCATGGAGGCAAAGCAACCAGCAGTCTTGCTTTATGTCCGTATAGATGGATATTCCGCGTCCAGCACACACCATACGAGAGGCACAGAGACCACTCCGGGACGTGACCAAATTGCATGCCAGGCAGGTACTAAGCTTATGTTCAAGAGCAGCTTCACGGATTTCCCTGGGTTCCCTGACAGCTGTCCGCACGCCGCCTCTGGGGCATTTTAGATAGGGGCCCATCGCTCTCGCGTAGGATCAAATATTGCTTTTAGTTGCGGAAATGGGACGAGATAGAAGACGAACCGTCCCGAAGTTCCCCAAAGAGACTGAATTCCCGAAAAGCACCAGATTTGATGTCATCATTCCTTGTGTGCAAAAGGAAGTTATCGGACTAGTGCCCAGGGTGTCGAAGGGCAGGCATCCTTGCATCCGCGGATGCGGAACAATCGCCAGAAAGAAGTGATGATGCCTGCCAAACATTTGCCAAATCCACCATCGCATTGCTGGTACCCTGGCGTGGGCCGCCACGTACACATGCTGTGGGGGGTGAGAAGGCTCCAGGCGGACTCAGATGCCATGGCCATCGCGCTTATTCCTGCAATTTGTGGCTCGCGTGCTGAAAATTGCAAGACACGATTTTAGACGCGGGCAGTTCCCTGAATGGTGCACGGATCAAGGACCCCTGGGTCACGGGCCTGGCTCGGGCCTTCGAATGTTCTTTTGAGCTTACGATCCATTCATGTTCAGGCGCGAACCCAGGCGGTTGAGCGGGAGTGGTGATCCCCCCTTCAAGCTTAATGTTTGTTCAACCTCACCTGCATCTGAATCTCGGATCTCCAGCATCAATTATGTGTGGTGCACCACCTCACTCTTCATAGGTGAACAACATGACCAAAGCTCCATTCCCGGTGCTGATCGCATGGTGAGACATGCGACACACCAACTGGAGGGTAGAATCAGTTTAACGGATTGTTTGCTCTAAGTGACTGAAGAGGTCTCGGGCTCCTCTCGTAGAAAGCTTTAAATGGCAGGCACAGATGTAGAGGCATGAATGTCGAAATCATCGAGATGTACCAATGGCACGCGGTCAACGCGATCAAATTTTACTCGTACTGCTTCAATTTCACTCCTGGCGGTGAGTGTCAGTCGTATTACCATTGGCGAGGCCCTCAACACCGAACACTCTGACAAGGGCGCATGACAGAAATCCCGCATTTGGTTACATGAGGCCTTTTCCATTGTGGACCTTTTTGGATAACCGTGTCATTTAAGGAGTATGTTGAGTTTCAGATTTGAGTCAGAACAGAAATATGTCCCCCCTACAAGGTGTGCAGACTCTTGATAGGAGCATCCTGGAAGCACCTGAACTACGGATCATTTTGCAGTTGTCAGAGCGCTACCCGCTACGGAGTCTCTGCAACTTGGATATGATGGTGGGGGCGCTTGATGGACTGTTTCGACAATACTCCGTACTCCGTAATGGCAGCTATGGAAATGAAAGTGCCTCCAAGCAACGGTGACATTCCCGAATGAGAAAGTGCTGTGTGGTTACAGTCATATCCCCAGGACTGAGAACCAAGAACCACCTGTGGCGTACCTCGGTGGAGTTGAAGAGCAGCCTGTGACCCAAGGCCTGGTGATCCGGCTGCCAGGCAAGATGGTCCAGGCGACCATCAACGCTGGCAAGGAACGGAGACCGGCATGTGACGCCTGCTACTGAAAGAGCGGAGTGTCCTATGCAGGGAATTTAGGTGTTCTTGCCTTCCCCAACCGACTTAGGCGACTAGAGGATGCCTGAGTCTTGATCTTCCTCAGGTACTCCGTACAGTGGGTGATACTGGTCGACCTGCCAAATCCTTCAAGAAGAGTGCGCTCGTCACTCGCATGGTAGCCGTCAGAAAACGAATGCACTGAGGGACGGTCCCTTCGGGCCTGGCCATTGAAACACAAAAGCCAACTGGTGCCTGGGACTAGCTGGCGGGCTTTGGACGTGCATCTCACCCCCTCCTTAGCCCTGGCCGCTTAGGCTCAACTGGTAAGGTGGAAGAGCAAAAGCCCAGTGGCCGAGGGTGCCCTTGCCAACGTCGTCTGGGGCCCGCGGCGCGGAACAGGCTTTCATTTCCGGGGATGCCAGTTCCCCGGCGACTGGCGTGCTTAGCAGGATGCCTGTGGAGCTCCAGGGTTCCACAAGATGCCACACGATGCCACAGATGAGAGTGGGATGGGCCCTGATGGGGTCAAGGGTTCCTTGTGAACACGACCTGTCGCCACCGTGGTTTGACCTCTTTCTGACGACTAGAAGGGCTTTTGCTGTGTTGCCCAGGACCGACCACCCTACGAAGCCTTGCATCTACCGAATTACTTTCAAGAAATCCGTTGGTTTATTGGACCTCAATGTTTGTTCCGCACAGGCTCGAGAAATCTATCAAATAGCCATGTCCGGTCACTGGCACACCTACGAAAGACGACGAACTTAATCGGTACGGCTTTGTTTTGGAAAGAGATTAACAGATCTCCCGGCACCAGCAAAAGGCAATTAATGAGTTCGATTTCTGGAGATGTGACAATTGGCCTGACTCCAACGTCATGTGCCTACCAGCCCGCAGTTTCAACTATCAATGAGACTAGCAGACTCTGCGGGCGCTTGCTGGCCATTGAATTGTTGTCAGGAGTCAAACCCGCTGCATCCCTGTCTTGATTCCGCATATCATTCCTCACTTACCGGCAACGGACAACCCGAAGCTGATCTTGGGCGCTCCTCAACTGCTTCACTCGAAATGAGCAATAAATTGCAAGATCCCCTGCGCAGCAGAAACATCATGTTGATCGGAGCATGCAGGACTCGTAGAGTGAATCCATCAATCGCAGCCATCGTACTCCGTGCCCTTCGTTTCGCCCGCTCACGAGTACTAGTCCTAGTCCTAGTCCTGTCGTCCACACACCCTTCTCTGTCATGCATATCGCAGTACGGAGTAGTTAGTGCACGATGTCAAGCAGACGGCTCGCTTGCCTCCCTCTGATCCTGGTCGATTGGCTTCTTTGCTCCCCAAACACTCCCTGCGACGAAGGCCTAGGGTATCTGTACCTCACTGTTCCTGCTCCAGCACTGCACTGTGACTGTCTGTGTAGCCAGGGCTCAAGGGGCCCACCTCCCGTCCCTCGTCTTTTTGCTCAGCTGACCCAACATAATGAAGTCATACCCGGTTGCTGTGCTGGCTATCCCAATCTCTGACGGACACTCCTCGTTCCTGCTTCTGGGCGAGCTTAGAAGCACCCTCGTCCGTGTAGCTGCCGCATTTACCGCTCCAGGACTCCGGGGCTTTCCAGTTCATCAAAGGGACGATGTTGTGGGGTCCGTGAGGAGCGAGGCTGACTGCTTCGGTCGGTAGAGTGGCGAGGTGACACATCGGAAGACCCTGGATGTGCGCGCATCACCCATAGTTGACCCCCAATCGCTCGCCTTGCATTCTCCCCCCGGTCAATTCTGCTGGCACTGAGATATCGACATCACCGCCGGCTTGGCTCTTTGCATCTCTTTTCTTCCCAGGGCTTCCTGCTTTTCCACTCTCACGAGCTCTCACAAACGCACCTCTCTCAAACGGGAAACGCTAATCAGTCAATTTATAGCCAGCCACATGGGTCTGGCTGCAGAGGCGCGAAGGGGCACTACTCGTAAAGCACATACCTAACCCTCGACTCGACTCTCTTCCCTGCGAACCCCGCCGAGATCAAAGCGGCGAAAAGGCGACCGATAGTTCTCATCCTCATTCCCTCTTTCAATCACCATATTATCCGCATTTTCCTCACCTCCCGATCGAGCTTGCACTTCGTCTATTTAGTTTGCTCTTCCCTGCTTCGTACCCTCTTTCAACCGGTCTAGTCATATGCAGTATGTACCTCGACTGATCTTCGCTTGCTTTGCTGTCTGCGACTATCGAGCTTGTGGCAGGGAGACCAGCCTGCTGGCGTCTGATTGGTTTGCCCGTCGCTGTGATTTGAGTCGATCAGTGGCCTTCTCATTTCTCCTCATTATGCGTGGATGACACGTTCTTTCATCTACAATTGAACCAGGGCTCTTGGGACTTTATAATGGCGCCCGTTTGATCGAGGAGAAGGTTCACTCTTGGTGTTATTGTTCTGACCAATATCCGTATTCAATCCAACGGACTTAGCACCAGACCTGAGTCCAACGTCTACCAACCTATATCTTCACCATCATTCTTCAGTCTTTGCCAGCCAATCTCACTTTCTCTCGAGGGTGAGTGACCGGCCTGAGTCAGAGCGCCGTATATAAGCAGCTTTCATCATGCTCGTGCTCAACCACAATGCTCATACTTCATACTGGCCACTTACTATAAGCAAGAAGAGCACAGTGTCTCTTAACATTGATTTTGCCCACACAACTGGCTCAAATCTCGGTAATCACCATTCTGAAGAGCCCAAATGCTCATAGCTGATCCGGATCAAGACATTGACGTCTTGGGGGACATTCCAATGTCCGCCCCGTCCACCGACTCCCTTTTCTCCGCTAGCCCTGCTAGTGCTCGACTCTCGATCCCGTCATCTCACACCTCTGACGAACAGAATGGACTGGTTGATCCCGAGCAAAATCACAGCGATGATTGTGCTGTGTCCGGCTCAGAGACTTTGCAGGCTGACTCAATGGAGGAACCTCAAGTCGAGCCATATGACGAATGCGATCCCTTAGGCAACCCACAACATACCATACACCTGTCCTCCATCGAGCATTGCATGCCTCGATCGTACATACGTATATGTCTTGCATATCGTATGCCAGACTCATCCATACTTCCTGACGTTGTAAGGCGATTGAACAGCTTCGTGAGGAGAATTGTCGATGCCAAACCATATCTATCAGGCTATATTGTGCCCGCCAAAACTCCGGGAAAGCGGGTGGGGGCAGTGGAGGTCCGATTTTCTGACAAGGATTTCCTCGAATACCCCTGTGTCAGTGTCCGCAGATTGACACATGAAGAGGTTCCTTTCACCTATGATGAACTTGACAAAGCCGGTCTGCCCCCGAGTACGATGAGGCCGGAGCTGGTATCGGCATTGGCCGAGTCTGCAGATGAGGAACAAGCCCCGGTATTTCGGGTGCAGGCTAATGTAGTTGACGGCGGTTTCATTGTCAGCCTATATCTACACCACTGTATCTCTGACGGAACAGGTGTCGGCTTACTGATTTCTGGTAGTATTCTGAACGACGAAACCGCATTTGATAGGCATTTGGAATCTCGAGGACACGATACACCCCCTCTTTCGGTGAGACTGGCAGCTTTTGCCAACCTGAAAAGCATTCACAGACAGCAGCTTTCTTGGAGCTTTCCCAACCAAATCAGCAATAGGTCTCTTAGGTGCAAGAAAGTGAAGGCGCACCCTGAAGAAGGTGAAACGGTTCGAGTTCAAGGCCGTGGTTGCGTGGTTGCCTTCTCACTGGAGAAGCTGGCAGGTTTGAAAACCTTGCTTGAGACACAAGCTGATAGCAGCTTCATCACTTCGAATGACGCACTGCAAGCGCTCCTCTGGCACAGTATGGTGAAGGCAAGAATCCCATCTCTTGAGGACATAGACGCCATCGCGATCTCGAAATTGCTGATACCAATCAATATTCGTGGAAAGCTCGAGAAACCACTTCCCGAGTCGTATTTCGGTACTGCAATCGATTTTGCATCAGCCCAGTTACCTATTGATCATCTGACCGACACCAGTCCGCCAGCAATGATTCAAACGGCAATGGAAATACGGCGGGCGATCAACGAGGTTGATGAAGAATACATTCGTCAGGCTATTGCTTTAGCCAGGTTTCCAGATCCGAGCAATGATGTGAGAGACCTTCAAGCGAGTAATATGGATAGGGCGAAAGGAGCGGACATGTACGTGACAAGTTGGGAGAAATTGGATTGTTACGACGCCACCTTCGATCTCGGACTCGGTCGGCCGGACTGGGTACGCAAGCCATGGTCTAGAGATCCTGGTTCTTGCATTGTACTCCCATTTGACAACAGAAAAAACTACCTCGAGGTAGTGATACAGATGACAATTGCCGATATGGACAGATTGCTTCAGGATCAGGTTTTCATGAACTACGTTGTTAGGGTGATAGACTAAAACAGGGGATATTTATTGGGTTTGAATTCCGGACAGGGAAAGCTAGAGAGCGATTGGGATATAGCGACAGTCATGGCTTTGGACACGAAAAGTGCGCTTTTTTTGGGCATGATTAGCTGGCCGACATATGATCAGCAACGGAGTTTTCTTACGGGGGTTTGAGGGATCTCAAATGGGCTGGGCTTGAGCAAAGCTAGGAATTGTACAACAGTGGCACGACAGACGTACATGAAATCCTGAGGGAGAAGCGAAGAAATTACGTGAAGGTCACCAATAATGCAGGAGGTCAAGAGTACGTCAGCTCAAGAATACTACTCCATACTGCGACCCTGAAGACAATTAAAGTCGAAATACTTAAGATATGTACTGGCACTTGGTAGATTCAAATTTCTTTTCGGCAAATTGAAGGATGTTGACATAGAAAGGGCCATCACGTGCACGCGCGTGACGTGTCAAGACGAGTCGCGTTGGGGGGGGAGGGGGGGCGCGCGTCGTTGATTTGAGAGCTGAGGGTTGCTTTGCCATTCGACCACACCCGCACACCTGCGCTGCTCGTTATCACACCCAAAAGACTTCGCTTGACTTCTCTCTTTGTATACTTGAATTTTCTACTTCCTCCTCTTCGTCTACCGTTTGTTGTCGCGCAGCCCTCCCAACTCATAGGCACCATGACCCAAGTAGACACAATGGAGACAGCCCCACAAGACGAGTACGAGGACATGGCAGGTGGTCCTGGTGCACCACTTCCAATCACACAGCTTGTGGTAAGTCGCTTCGTTCTAGTCTGTAAGGGTGGAGACTCACGAGCAACCAGGGCGTAGCAGGCTTAACCGAGAGAGATATCAAACTGGTGGTCGAAGGCGGATATCATACGGTTGAGGCAATTGCATACACGTGAGAAGACCCAAACATCGCATGTAATGTCGGGTGACTAACTGCAGAATATAGCCCACGACGTCAGCTGGAGCAGATCAAGGGTATATCAGAAGCCAAAGCTACCAAAATACTGAATGAAGGTGAGAAGCACATCGGAAGTCGAGGGTGCTGGTGCTAATGACTTGCAGCTATGAAACTAGTGCCTATGGGGTTCACCACAGCGACCGAAATGCACGCGCGACGAAGCGATCTCATCTCCATCACTACAGGATCGAAAAACCTCGATCGATTGCTTGGAGGTGGCATTGAGACAGGTTCCATCACTGAGATCTTTGGAGAGTTTAGAACGGGTAAGAGTCAGATTTGTCACACAATGGCGGTTACCTGTCAACTCCCCTTCGACATGGGAGGCGGTGAAGGGAAGTGTCTGTACATTGATACCGAGGGAACTTTTCGACCGGTCCGACTTCTATCTGTGGCCAATCGATATGGATTGGAAGGCGAAGAGGTGTTGGACAATGTTGCGTATGCCAGGGCGTACAACTCGGAACATCAGCTTCAGCTTTTGCAGCAGGCGGCCCAAATGATGTGCGAGACAAGATTCTCACTTCTTATTGTCGACTCGGCGACGTCCCTATACCGAACGGATTACAATGGACGAGGTGAATTATCATCACGGCAGTCACACATGGCCAAGTTCCTACGAATGCTTCAGCGCCTCGCAGATGAGTTTGGAATTGCAGTGGTCATCACCAATCAAGTCGTGGCACAGGTGGATGGCGGACCGAGTGCCATGTTCAACCCGGACCCGAAGAAACCGATTGGCGGTAACATCATTGCTCACGCAAGTACTACACGACTGAGCTTGAAGAAGGGCCGAGGAGAGACGCGAATCTGCAAGATTTACGACAGCCCATGCCTGCCAGAGAGTGATACGCTGTTTGCGATTTATGAACATGGCATTGGTGATCCCCAGCCCAAGGACGACAAAGAAAAAGAATGACGCAAACCAGGCAGTCAACGAGCAGGTCAACTGGATGTAAGACGATAATGCATAGCATCGGCGTGGAGTACAGGCGTTTCCAGGATTGTGAGAGTGTGAAAGCGATACGAGGTAGACATGCGTTCCGTACCATGCCTAGGTAGGTATACATGTCAATTGTGCTTGCAACTCTGTGCGGTGATTCTGGTGATTGATGGGCAAGTTGCGATGACGACGAGACCTGGAAGACAGCCGGCGTCCTCGGCACGGACGTGTTTGAAGTTACAACATTGTGGCGTGTGGCGTGTGTCCACTAGTTGTGGCTGGGACAAAGAAGATCTGGTCTTTTTGTGCTATCAATCATGAAACCTGGAAACCTGGAAGTGCATGACTTTGGCCGATCACCCTCTCGTCCCTGGTATTGGTGAGTTCTCAGTACGGAGCGATTACCTCTTCCACTCAGTAGGATTCAAGGCCAGTGGCATCCTGCAGAAAGCTACCTGTCTAGTCACATCGTCCTATAGTAGTAAGAACTGCGTGTTTCCATCATTTCATCTGAAATCCTTCCCGAGATCCATACTTCCTCAAGCCCAGTGGGGGAGCCAATGGATAATACCGAGTAGGGCTGCTTCAATTGAACGCGTGTATCCACTCTTGGCCTAAGTCATTAATTACTTGCCAATGCACGATGCATCTGGTGATCTCATCCTGGTTGATCCTCTGGGCCAATTAAGGAGTCTGGATATCCGTAAAGCGTCTCATAGACTTTCTAGTTAAACTATCGCGCTCGAGCCCTGGTCCTGTCCCTTCCCGGCCCCCCAGCCTCTGGCACGGCGTCATTCACTGTTTATCTCCAACAACCCTCTGCTCACCTTGATTTTCTTCTGTTTGCCTTGCCATTCAGGTTGACGACATCACTTTCCTTTATTCTTCGATCAGTACTTTCTTGAACTCCTGTCTTCGCGTCTTCGCCTGCACACCAGGCGCGTCGTCGCTGGCCATCACTCGGCTGACAAGGCCTACTTCGGACTACTTGCCCCAGCTCTACAAGTCCAATAGCAATCTTTGGTCCTCAGGTTGAAAAAGTCGCTCAGAGAAGCAGGAAATGGCAGGTACGCAATCTGGGGCGTAATGAACCTTGGTATAACAGTCAATCCTCGGCCCCAAGCTAACGTCACCGCGCCCTGCAGCAACAGAACAGCCCACGGGCCAAGAGTTGCCCGAGGGATACCAGCACGTCAAGAATGATCAGGACCATCATGGAAGTGGACCTCAAATCATTAGGACCAGTGCCGAACTCGAAGTCCTCTGCGGTCCCCTCCTAAACTACCAGCGCCTGGCCGAAGAAGACTCCGGAGTTGTCTGGTACGGCTCCGTCCTCCTTGTCACGAAGCCTGGCCAGAAGCTTCCTCACCTCACATTGAAGCCACTGGGCGCGCTCGATGGCGTCACAAAAGTCAAAAGCCATTCTACACAAGAGACCGAGGGATTGAAGCTCTATTCGGATCCAGACAAGGCGTTCTGGCGTTTCTCTCTCAGAGTTCCTCTGGTCGAGGCCGAGGCAAAATGGCAATACACATTTGACAACATACTGTTTCTGGCGGACGTGAAAAATAAAGACCCCTCGAGGGAATTTGTCGTTCCAGCGGCCTCTGAGTCATTCCGAATCATGTTCCACTCTTGCAATGGCTTTTCTGTGGGCACAGATGAGGAATACTGGAATGGTACGTCTGCATTGCTCAATTTCGGATCCTCTGGCCAGCTAACTGATGTCGAACAGGTCCTGCACTGTGGAATGACGTTCTGCGAACCCACCAAGCCCGGCCTTTCCATGTCATGATTGGTGGTGGAGATCAAATCTATAATGATAATATTCGCGTCCGGGGTCCCTTGAAGGATTGGACTGCGATCAAGAATCCAAGAAAGCGTCAACATTTCCCTTTTGACAACGATATGCGCAGCCGTTGTGACAAGTTCTACTTTGAGAATTACATCCGATGGTACAGCACCGAGCCCTTTGCGAGTGCCAACGCAAGCATCGCGCAGATTAACATTTGGGATGATCACGATATCATTGACGGTTTCGGCTCATACACCGATCATTTCATGAAATGCGCCGTCTTCCGAGGCATTGGTGGTGTCAGTTTCAAATATTATTGCCTCTTCCAGCATCACACCGCTCCTCCTTTGTCCACCTTCACCACTGATGCACCCGCAACCATGGGAGCTGATGCGAATGGCACTGCTGGAGCCGATCCTCGGCAGTTGAAGGATACATTCGTTTATAAGAGAACAGCAGACGATCCCAGCTGGATTGTAGGCAGACGTCCCGGTCCATATGTCGAAGAACGATCTAGAAACCTTTACATGCGTTTAGGAAAGCGTATAGCTTTCTGTGGAATCGATGCTAGAACCGAGCGGACCCGAAAACAAGTCAATTATCCCGATACATATGATCAAATTTTCCATCGGTTGCGCACCGAATTCAAGGCGGCGCATGGAGAGATCAAACATCTCATCCTACTCTTGGGCGTTCCCATCGCATATCCTCGTTTAGCATGGCTTGAAAATATTCTATCCTCGCCATTCATCGCACCAATCCGGCTCCTGAATAAACGGTTCGGTTTCGCCGGAGGCTTCTTCAATCAATTCGACGGCTCTGTTGATCTTTTGGACGACTTGGACGACCATTACACAGCTAAGCACCACAAGGATGAACGAAGAGACTTGATTGTTCGACTTCAACGCCTGGCTGCCGAATTTTCCATCCGTGTCACTATCTTGGGTGGTGACGTTCATTTGGCGGCCTTGGGGCGATTCTATTCGGCCCCTGCTGACAATATGGATCCCCTTGAAGATCCACGCTACATGGCCAATATCGTATCATCGGCCATTACTAACAAACCACCTCCAAAAGCAGTCGCGAACCTTCTCGCTCGACGAAACAAAATCCACCATCTTAGAGACGGCAATACAGATGAGACTCTTTTGAGCATGTTTAACGAGCAACCTGGAGGACAAATGAAGAGCGCCGATTTCAATCTTGTCACTATGCCGAGCCGAAATTACGCATGTATAACAGAAATTCCAGACGGTAGACCTGACGACATTGATCACCCACCGAACGGAGTTAACGGTGATGCAGTGATAAACACAACAGGAGAAACGGATAAAGATCGACCCAAGGCAAGAGGTCCTGATGGACACAGCGCTCTCCATATTGGTGAAGAAGGCGCTGGCACAAAGCACCCAGCTGCCGATGGAATTAGCAGCAATGGTCCTCTGAAAGGTGGATTGAACGTTTCCATCAAGGTCGAAATCAACAATAGTGATCCTACGGGCCAGACACAAGGCTACGGCATGAGCAGTAAGTTCCGACTATCACACTCTTGTCATCGAGGCAGAAGCTGACAAATTCATTTTAGTACCAAAGCTCACTGTCCACCCAAAAACCGGGAATGCCACGCACCAAGCTGCCGGCCCCCAAATACCATCGATGGAACCTTCGGCATAAAGATGTGCAGAACAATGGTCGCACCTCGACTTTTTCAACCATTGCTCGACAAAATGTACCAAAAACACCTAATTCATAGTCCAAAGTTCAGACAGATTGCGTTATTCATCCGGCAAAGGTCTAATTGCAATCAAAGGATCCATAATTAGACGGGAGTAAATGCCACCGGAAATCTTGGAAGGGAATGGGAATGGGAATGGGAACCGGAACAAGGTTTTCCGATGGACCAAGCTCGGCTCCCACGAGTGACTCGTGCGAGGTATTCCTCGGCTCAAGCCGGTGACTGGACTCTTTTTAAGAGGAGAGGGAGGAAAAGGAGCTGTCCAATACCTCATATCTCGTTCCCTTCATGTTTCTATCAAATTATACTATTGACTGTATCTACTCATGTACCTGGTTACTGCCTAGCCGCCGTTCGGATACCCCTTGCGCAGAAATCGAAAAATAATTCTTTGACTAGTTCTCCCAAGTGAAGCTTCGTCCTTCCCTTGGTTTTGATAATATATGTCGCTGTTCTTAGTTTGTACCCCGTGTTGGGAAAACGACATCTAAGGGGGCCATGAAGCGTCCAGTCCATTCTCCATTCTCACTGAAGATCAGCGAAGGGTATTCCTGTCGTCCGATTATCTTGCCGTTACTGACCGTCGGTGATGGACTCAAAGCTAGGCAGCTAAAATACTGGACAAGTCTAGTCGGTGTCCCTTTGTGGACAAATAGAGATCAGTTGGACTTGAGTTCGAACCGGATGCTCACCAGCACCGAGGAAGCTAACGCCCTTTGGCCAGGGATATGTCCTGCACTAGGAGGAATGATGGCATGTATCTATATCTATTCCTAGTTCCATAAATCATACGACTGTCTATTCATGGCTCCAACAGGGCCTTCCGCAACGTAGACTCGGGTCTCGGCGCCTCCGCCGTCACCACACTCCGCCTCGTCTGCGCGAAATGCACAGACCCGTATCTCAACAACTCGGCGTACGTCCCCTTGGCGCGGTCTTTCCCAGCATGCTCAGGTAAATCCCACAGCGCGCCGAGGTGCAGATCGTGCGTCAGGTGTTTCCCGTGCGTGATCTTCTGCAAGCTGGATTTTGTGAGGAGACGCCACACCAGGTCGTGGGCGGCGCGTTGCTCGGGATCCGTCTCCAGCAAAGAGAAGTCGCGGCGCAGGGCCAGCAGGTCGAGGGTCTTTTGCCCGGCGCCGGGGAAGCCCAGGAGCGCTTCGGCGCCCCAGCTTTCCGGGAGGCAGTCGATGAGTTTGATGTGGCGTGTCCAGTAGTCGACGCCGCTGAAGCCGTCGCCATTGGCGCTGACGTCTTCCAGCATGGCGACGCGAGTCCACACGAGGACTTGCGTGATGTACTCCATGACCGTCTGGAATGGGACTTTGAAGTCCCAATGGAAGTTGCTCGCGCGCGCGTCGTCGAGTTTCATTTCCTTGCTGAATGCAACTAGCGGGTCTTCTATCAGTCCCTTATGGTTCTGTCGGTTTCGCCACAGGTGGACGAAAAGATCGTGCCTAATCAGATTACGTATTTTCTCCTGGTAAGCTAAAAGAAATTTCGAGGACAGGCATCTGACAGCGGAAGATTGGGAGGGCGCAGGGTTGCTTCATCTTTCACTTACCATCGTTGTATGAAGGGATCACCCTTCCGAGCGGCAATGAGGTGCTGCGCGATCGTTGTGCCGTACATCCAGGGTACAGCTACGTTGAATGGGGAGTTTGGATCCTCCAGCTCTTTCCAGCAGATCATGTCGATGGGCCGCAGAAGCAGGTTTCCCACATCCATGAACACCCCTCCGTAGAGCGTCACGGTCGCTCCACGGAGGAAATCTGCCGAGTGTTGCCCGACATACGGACCGTCCATGGTGCGCTCAATGAAGCTTCTAGGGAGTGTTTCTGCCGGAAGGTGTTTCAGGATGTAGTTAGGCGAGTCTGGCACGTTGTCTAGGACTCGAATTGTCCAAGAGGGACCGTTGATGCGGACCCAGTCGATGACGTTCCGTTGACACCAAGCCGGCATTGCTACAATGCCGGAATGCCAGAAGGCCCAGATGTTCTTCTCCGAACTCACTGGAACATACTGTGTCAAAGTGGATAGTATTTCTTCATCTGAGCGAGTGTCTGGCCCCTCGACATAGCTAAGCTGGTCCTTGAACTCGTCAGGGATCTTCAGGTCGGCGTCTGTCATTTTGCAAGAGAAGAAAAGACCGCACAGAATAGAGTTAGTATAAGATCGGATAATGCACAAAACTAGGCGCCACAGAGAAAGGCTGCGTAAGGGGAAGCTCATCTCAAGACATATTCGTTCAATTTATACCTTCTTCAGGCCATCTGCGGCGGGAAGGAATGACATGGTGGATGCCTGAGTTTGGATGTGAGCAGAGCGCCATTGACTAGCATGATGCCTGAAACAACAGGAATGTGGACTCTTCGTACGACAAATTGGTCAGCGTTGTTGTCACTTCCTGTCATATTTGCAATGATAGGAGGTGCTCAAAGTGGCCGGGTGGTCCTGCAGAATGGGCCTTCGATCTTTCGTCTGTAGCACTTAACGGGTGTATCGTCCTTTGGTGTATAACCCGCCACAACGGGCCCTGAACAACAGGCATAGCTAGGCTTGAAAGGGAAAGTGCTTTAGCTTCATTTGCTTTCTGTATAGGTGGCCTTACATGATTCATGGATGAAAAATCATCGGAGAAACACTTAGATTCACTCCGCGATGGGAGGCATCTTCTCGCGGTGCGGAGCGTAAGTACTCTCTTCAGAGAGGAAACTGAGTCCTCCTAACGCTCTATACTTTATATAGAGAGTTAAATATCTCTCATGTAAGGAGAGAAAACATTAATTCATTATATAGAACATAAAATCTAGCACCTACGATAGAATTCTTATAGTTATAATAATATTAGTATATATATACCTTAGTACGCTTAGCGGTGTTAGAACTAGTAAGTAGTAAATAGCCTTATCCTATTATAAAAGTCTAAAGTACGTACGATATAGTATTAGAAGTAGTAAGGCGCTACTATATACTATAAGGAGACTCCTAGGGCCCTATATAAACCTCGGATAATAGAAAGTAGCCTAGGAGTTACTAATAAAAGTATTGAGGTTTGGAACTTCAGCGGCGCAATTGGATATCGTGAGAAGACTTAGAAATTCTCAGCAGAACACTCGTCATCCTCTCCTCTACAAAAGAACGGCGAGCCGGCACAATTCCCCAATTGCAGAAGAAATGTTGACCCTTGATGGCTCTACTCTCGAGGGCGGTGGGCAACTCGTCCGCGTTGCGTTGTCGCTCTCGTCAATCTGCAAAATCCCAGTCCGCATTACAAGAATACGTGCCAATCGGACCTCTTTTTCATCAAGGCGAAGCACACCAGGATCCTCAGGTGGCAAGCATGGGAACCAAAAAGGAAAGGGTAACGGTGGTGCTGTCATGCGCAATGTAAAGGCAGGAGGTGGACTGAAGGAAAGTCACCTCGCTGGTTTGAATTGGCTGGCGGAGAATTGTCTCGCAGACGTCGAAGGAGCTAGCGTGGGAGAGACGGATGTTACCTTCAAGCCAAAGAGGGGTGGAAGAAGTCGTCCTCTGCGCTCATCGAACGAAAGGACAGAGGAGATCGTATTGAAGAACCCGGGAAGTGTGTGGTTGATCTGGCAAGCTATCTTTCCTTATATCGTGTTCAATCTGGAGGGAAGTGATCACCACGGAAACGCCGTTTCGACGGAAAAGGTTACACACGACGTTAGGGCCGCTGCTCCAGGGGTTCGCATTCTCCTGAAAGGAGGAACCAATGTCCCGAAATCACCATCAACTGAGTATGTACAACAAGTCTTTTTGCCTCTGTGCGAGAAAATCAGTCTCCCCAAAGTCGATATCAATGTCATCAAGAGGGGATGGGCCGGAAGCGCATCAACCGTAGGAGAGGTTGAAATTACAGTCTATCCCTGGTTAGGAGGCGAAACTCCGGACAAAGGGAGAGAGTCTAGCCTCTTCTCACTGAGTCCATTTGCACTCACCGATCGTGGCACTATCACAAGAATCGAGATGACGATTATTGCTGGAAGCCAGGAAACGTATTCAATGCTGGAGGCTCAGCTGCCTCTCGCTTTGCAGAGACGGGCCTTGGATGGAGTATTGCCCGCCGAGCTCCCGATAACCACCCACCCATCCTCTACACCCTCATCTGGTGATGAACGGCGGCTCTACGTACTCCTGGTGGCACACACAAGCAACGGATACAGAATAGGTCGAGACTGCCTCGGAAGTGGCAGAAAGATCACGAGCGAGAGTGACAGAAGACAGATTGTCGCGGAGGTAGTGGGGAATGTAGCCCGAGAAATCATTGCAGAATTCCAGAAGGGAGGCTGTGTGGACGAGTACGCCGAAGACCAGATTGTCGTGTTCCAGGCTCTGGCGGAAGGGAGAAGCATCATTGATACTGGGCGAAAACACGGAATGGGAAAGCGAAAGGGGGGAGGCGTTGATGGTGGTGGAGAGGGGAGTCTGCATACCCGGACAGTTCGATGGGTCTGCGAACAGGTGCTTGGGACTGTGTTTGATAGTGAAGGGGGTTGCCTCGGCCGAACAGTTGATTTTCGCGAGTCGCAAGTGCATTGAATCACAGCTACGATGGCATCTTTAGAGATATGATCTGGGCATCTACTAGAAGATAAAAGACGAGCGGTATTTATCAATCGTAAGAGAAGAGGTGTGGAAACTTTTCTGGCATTGAACAGCTCTGAGTAATCGAGCACTAATCTAATCCTCCTGATGAGATCCGTTCAACTTGAGAGCAGAAGTTTGTGCCACGAGAGGTGATGGTTGACATTCTCCCCTGTAGTCTTCATGTCAGGCTTGTGATCTCAGGTATTTGAGTCGGGTCCAGTCCTTGTTGTGATGTGTTTAGCCTTCTGCAGGACCTATCCCATCATAGAATAGCCCATTGTGTCGATCATCTTAATCATCGAAGGTCTTGCGTTTGCCCTGGAAAGCAGGAGTGTTGTAACGTGGACGTGTCTCCTAGCCACTGCCAGATTTGTCACTCTTTTTGCCACTAGCCTGGGCCTGCTTGGCTTCTTTACGCTTCGACTTGTTGTATTTGTCCTTTCCCAGGGACGCAACGCTGGGAGCTTCTGACTTATCCGACGATACTGGAGGTTATTTTGCAGAAGTGATAGCAGACTTTGGACCGCGGGCCTTAGTAATGTTCTTGCGATCTTTCTTCTTCTTCTCGCCGGCTTTGACCTTGCCCTTGGTAGCCACAGGCTCTTCAACAGAATCACTGTGCTCCTCATCGGCAGCAAGAGCTATGAACTCCTCAGTCGTGGAAATAACAGGGTCTGTGGTCTCATTTCCAGAAACTACCTTTCCTGCAGTTCCTTGGATGGCTTTCTTGACTTCTTGAGCGTCCTCGATGAGAGCCACGGATGTAGCCTCAGCATTCGCGCCTAGAATAGTCTTGTTCTTCTTGCTGTTTTTAGAGCGCTTGGACTTTTTGCCTGCTTCTGCATCTTCTAAGTTCTCCGACTTTGTCGTTTCCAGGATCGCAAGCTCGTCCTTTGGTAGGCCATTCAGTGCCTTAATAGCTCCAGTTGGAGCCACTTGAGAATCATCGTTTTTTAGGAGACTACCCTCCTTGGCATGTTCCAGTTGTCGCTGCTTCAGAGCCTCTGAGGACTTCTTCAAGGTTGAGGCTGGTAATTCGAGTCCCAGCGCCTCGAGCTGACGAGCCTTCCTATTACGTTTCTTCTTCTCTCTCGCGTTTTTCTTGTCCCACTGCACTTCAGTCTTTGGTGCTGCGAGTCTCTCTCGTTCAAGTTTCTCATGAGGGATTTTCCTGAACTTTTTGTTCGCACCTTTCCAAGTGTCTGGATGCAAGGAGTCGGGTTGAGCATATTTGCACTTGAGTAGGTGGCCGAAGAGAAGATAGTTGTCCATGGTCTCTGAGACAATTTTCGCAACTTCGTTCGATGAGAACTCAATGAAAGCAAAATGCTTCGAGGCACCAGTGTGCTTGTTTCGTGACAGTCTCAACTTGCTGATCTCGCCAAATTGAGAGAAGTACTCGTGCATTTCCTTCTCGTAAAAGCCGTGTGGAATGCGACCAACATAGACGGTGCCAGGCCCTTCATTGCTGCCAGAATGCTGCACCTGAGACAATTTTTCGCGAACTTCCTTATCCTTTTTCTTGCTCAGTTTCAGTTTAGAGGAAGTATCAAGGTTCTCATCTTCATACTGATCTTCTCCGTCGCTGTCGAAACCCGCAAGGAGAACTGCAGCATTGTCTTCGGTCTCAATCTCGCCAGGGGCGGCTTCTTCTGCTTGGCCTTCTGAAAAACCCCCAAAGTCATCTTTCAGCTCTTGATCGACTGTTCGCTCGGCCTCAGCCTGCATGGAAGATGCCACTGGTTTATGAGAGGTTGCGGTCTCAAGATCCTCACGTCCCTCATGTTCAACTACGCCGTTAACGCCATCAGCACTCAAGAGCTCATCATGTTGTTCTTTCTTATTTTTCTTATTCTTCCGCTTCTTTCTCAGGTCTGGAACTGTTGACACATTGACCTCAACAGGTGTACTGTGTTTGATCTTCTTAGGCTCTGAAGATAGTTTTGATTGATCAGCGGTGGCTTCGTCATCGCTCATGAAGTCTACAGCATGTTTGCGTGATTTCTTTGAGACAGCAACATCGGCTTTCTGAACGTGCGACGCCTTGTCTGGCTTTTCGGCAGGTTTAGTCACTTGTGTCTTTGAGATGTCTTCATCAGTGGCAGTTCTAGACTTCTTGCTCTTCTTCGCTGGAAGGTCCGTTGAGACCGGTGTGGCTGGGATGAGTCAGTCAAGATTGGTCGCACACGGAATAATATAAGACAACATACCCTTCCGCTTCTTGTCTCCCATTTTATTGAATGCGCCCAGCGGAGAGAGATTGTGTGAAACCTTGTCGAGAACAAGTTTAATTGTTGTTCAGCATGCGGAGCCCAGTACTAGAGTTAATGTGCCAGAACTTTTTTGAATTTTCTCCAATAATTGCCAAGTGCTCCGGATTATTGGTTTTTCCGGCCCGCGATGAGGATTTCCTCTAAGGAGTACTAATGTTGCTCGCTGAACAGTCCCTTTGGGAATCTTCATCTACCTTGTCCATCTAGGTAAGTAAGTATCTACCAAGATAGGGAGTCAGATGTCCTAAGGTATGTATTGATGTTCTCAATTGGTGGTATAAGGTGGCGTCATGCCATGTGCTGAACATCACCAACGAGAGCGGAGCGCAGTACACTACCAGCTGGCCTACCTACAAACCCGGGATTCAACTTTGAGGACTTCGAATTCTTCGCTTCTAGACAGGGGGCTCTTTTGAATGCACGTGATCATTCGTTGATCGACTTAGTTCCAGACGATGGACTTCATTCCGTCATGAATGGCATTTACCGTTTCCCCATTCCCCAAGGTGCCAGCATCTTCTACTCTATCCGAAGCTCTCACGCGCGATCAACTGGTCTGGAGGGAGAAGGAGCAGGTGTCGAATCGTCCCCCCAGATACACGTGCCCCTAAGATCCATTTTTCTCTACGCTTGTGTATAAAGGAGAGCTGGAGAAATCATGGAGAAGATTCTTTTCCCATGCAAGTTCTGTGGGTGAACCTTGAGGCCAACAAAGACAGCCGAAGGATCTACAAAATTTAACTTTGCTCTGGCATCAAAACAGTGTTGCCTCTTCTGCAGATGTTCATTCCGACTGACTTCCTCTGATCCGCTTTAATTGAGGACCATTGCCTAAGCCGGTTCGACTTGCTTTGGTTTCTGGAAAACCCATTAAGGTTCCGCCTTAGAGGATATCCATATCGAAGTTACCAGTCTGCTGGGAGTCATGGTGACATACTATAGGTTACCAAGATGCTGGCTTTCAGGTTCTCGCAATGGCCTCGCACTTTCTTGAACTGGACTGCTTTGAAAACGGAACTTCAGGCATGAATGTTCACTAATGTTGGCTTAAGACTGATCAACAGCATTTCAAAGTTCGGTTTGCATGCGGCAACTGGTGAACCAAAGATTTCCAAGTGGAGAGGTGAACAAGCGATCATTTCCACCGCCAAACGACTGCCCAATTTGTCTGTCTTGTGTGAAAATCTCTGAGGCTGGCTTGGTCGTACAAAATCAGATTGCGCCCCAATCGTTTTCTTTCTGGATTTCATACCTCTAATTTACAAATATTTAACAGCGTTTAGCATTTCCGTCTCACACTACAGAATGCTTTCTTTACCTTTTTCTTTTAGCTCTCTCATGGAGCGCATCAAGCTTTTGGACGTCCAGTATGGGCGCCCTAAACGTGATCTTCGCAAGCGGGAGACTGTCATCCCAATTGCCATTACATCGATCTCGCTGTTCTGCATGTGGGGGTTGGCTTATGGCCTCCTGGATATAATGAACTATCATGTCAAGGTAGCAATGGGCATCGGTCGCGAGAAGGCCGCGATTCTGGCAGCCGGGTATTACACCGCATACATACCTGGGGCCCTCCTCATCGGCGGCCCCTTGGTTAAGAAGTGTGGCTACCGTATCACGATGGCTCTCGGGCTCTTCGGTCTCGGTCTTGGTGATCTCTTCATGTCACTCGGTGCACAAAGCTGTAGCCTAGCTGGCATGGTGGCTGCCATGTTTGTCATTGGTCTGGGAGTATCGGTGCTGGAACGCTCAGCCAATCCTTACGCTGTCAACTGTGGCCATCGCACTCAGGCCACCCTTCGTATCTTGATCGCTCAAGCGTGGGCTGGCATCGGTACTGTTGTGGCTCCCTTCCTAGCCAACGCCTTCGTGTTCAACCCGGACACCTCCAGCAAACCACCGTCTCCAGATCCTCTCCACCCGGGGAAGTGTCTCATGCCCACCAGCAACCAGGAAGCGAGCTGTGCCAACCTCGGAAGCGTCATCGTCTTCTACCGTGCCCTTGGCGGTTGCATCTTCGCCCTGATGGCTGTCGTTGGCATCATCTTCTTCCGCACGAACTGGGTTCCCGAGGTCGATGTCCCAGCCTCACCACCCACCACCTGCGGCTGGAAACTCTGGAAGCACCCTCTTGTATCTGCCCGCTACGCTCGTATCTGGTGGGGTGTGGCCGCTAACTTCGTCAATCTCGGCTGCCAGGTCACATTCGCGCAGTTCTTCATCGAGCACATGAAGATCAACGCCTGTGCCAGCGACAAGTGGGCAGCTGTGTGCATGTCATTTGCTCAGATTGCGTTCGTGATGGGTCGTTTCGCCGCCGCCGGTCTGGTCACATGTCCGAAGATCTTCAAGCCACGCTACGTTCTTGCTTGCTTCATTGCTGGCGCTGTGGCAACCACTGCTGCAGGCACCGCCATCACAGGAACCTCAGCTATTGTTATCGCTGTCATGGTTATGTTCTTCGAAGCACCATCTTTCCCCATGGTTTTTGAAAGCGCCACCGCAGCCTTCGACGAGTGGACACCGACTTGCGAGACGCTGATGATCGTCAGCATCTCCGGTGGAGCGCTACAACCCCCATTGATGGCACAACTCGTCGAGTCCGTTCGCATCTCTAAGGCATGGTGGCTCACCGCCATCTGCTTCTTCCTTGTCTTCACCTACCCAGTCGCCACCAACTTGATCCCCTCATTCAGACGTGCTCTTGACAGATCCCAAATCGGAGATGTGGCCAGCGAAGACGAGGCACCCGGTCCCGAGGAAGGCAGTCAGGTCAGTAACCGCGATGGCAAAGAAGAGACGGACGAAAAGAGAAATTGTGTCTCGCAGACCATCAGCGAGGTTTCTTTCAAGCCCGTGAATACATAGGCCAAGGCCTAAAGAAGAACTCGCAGCCTCCTGTGCGATTATGAACACCTCTGCCGTTTAGGCCTTCCGAGGACCATATGCACTCATTATCCTAGGTTGTTGCAAAGAACAAAGGCTTACGGCACTAACCCCCATTCAAACTAGGAATCTTAACAAACATCATCCCACCTATCTAAAGCGAAAACTGATTCTCTGATGATGTTCGTGGACTCGGGAAGATGAGGAGTTTAGGGTTTGCAAAAGCACCCGGGGGCGAAGTTCTGACCACTTGGTCAAGTCTCAAAGGGGCGCTATGTGCTAAAGAAAGCAACGAGTTTTAGGGTGTTTATCGTGCCTGCAACTATCGTGGTCGATAGGCTTTGGACAAAAGCCAGCCGTCATCTTGCCTCACAGTGAACTTTTGTTACAGATAGTCGCTAATCTCATAATTGAACCTGGAACACCATGGCTCACATCCTCATCCTTTGGCCCTTGCAATCAAGTCTTGCTCAGTCGCCCAGATCGTCTCCTGCCTGTATCATTCTCCGCGGTGTTCATGACTTTCTTACTCGCCGGCGTTCCCCCGACAGTTTCATCCTTGACGCTCTTCCCTTTCTTGGACACGTTCCTTCCACCATTGACCTGATTTGAAGCGCTATTGACTTGTGGCTTCGCTTCTTTCACTTGATCATCGTCCTCCTCTTCCTTCACAGCTGCCTTCTTAGTTCGGGCCGTTGTCTGCTTAGGTCTGACTTCTGCCTGTTCGTTCTCTTCCATTTCAGCCTTTCTCTTCTTGCCTTTCGATTTCTTAGGCTTCTCATCATCAATCGCGCCCTCAGCCTCGCTCATCTCCTTCGCCACTGGGCCTGTTTTCCTCTGAACTGAAGGGACCACAGCGCTGGTACGGCCTCCGACTGTAAGGAAGAGAATCTTCTCCCCACTAGGCATAGTGTTCGATGTCCCTTTCTTTCCCTTTCCCCATCTGTGCTTGAAAAGCCAATCTTCAGGAAATTGGTCCGAGTCGCCCAGAAGGTCGACAGCCGTGCTGCAGATGTAGTGGATGGATGTGTGGAGTTGCTTGATCTGTTCGTCGGAGAGGGTGTTGGCATACTGCTCGGGATGCATCTTTGCGTTATACATGACCTCGTCACCAACCCAATTGCCAATGCCGCTGATGTTAGCTTGGTCAAGCAGCATGGCCTTGATAGGCAATTTTTTAGCTCTGCATTTCTCTCTTAGCCACTCGAAAGTGACAACGTCCTTGTCAACAACGGGATCCGGACCATTCTCCTTCAATGGGCTGACTTTGCGGATCTCGGAGGCGGGACAGTCAACCAGCCGTATTCTCGCAAATCGTCTCATATCGACGAATGCTGCCTCAATAGCTTCTTCCCCATTTTCGGCTTTGGTCTCGAGATGGAACTTCATGAACTTTGGTGGCCAATCCTCCTCCTTTCCACCCTTCTTTGGTTGGTAGTAGTAGGTATGCTCGGAATTGAACTTCAGCCACCCGCTCATTCCAAAATGCATGACGGGGTGTGGTGGACTGGACATGATGATCCAGAAGTATTTACCCTGCTGACCCGCATCGACAACTTTCTTGCCAGTCATGTGTTTCTGAAACTCGGCGGCTGAAGTGCCCACCTTGCCATAGACATTGGCGTCGTCTGTAGCAGCAACTTTGGCGATGGTCTTTCCGACGAGTAATTTGCGGACGAAATGGACCGTCCGTGCTACTTCAGCGATCTCAGGCATGGTGAGTGGAGTTACCGGAAGACTCCTAGTAAAGGTTTGGCGCTTGATGAGCAGCTCAATGACAGAAGTCAATATTTATGGCTGTGGCAATTGTCACCGTAAGCAGCCAAATAGCTGGTAATATCAAACTTGGAAATAGACGATAAGGTTGACCTGCCTCGAAGAGTAACAGGAGCTTTCTACAATGGTTGGTCGTTGAGTCAGGAACGCGTATCGACGCGTAGAGTGGTTTCGATTCAGGCAACTCTGGCTATGACGTGATGATTTGCCACGCGACGCTAGACCGATTCCGAACTTGCATCGACCTCTGGCGCACCATTCTATCCCTCCGACAGCTAGGTGCCTGCTAGGGTGAGGAACTAGTCACGTGAGTCACGTGGTACGAAGGACTACAGGAAAGAGTTGGCCGCCGTGGTATTTAACGGCTTCGACGAACGTTTCTCCTCCTCGTCCTTCCCTCTTCTTCAACGCATATCGTAAGGGTGGCAAACTCATTAACCGATACCTGCCAAAGGGATAGACGGCTCATTCTAATGATGATCTCGGGAATTCTCGAAGCCGCTAAGCCCTGCTTCGTTCGGGAAGCCTCCCAACTTGTGAATGGGGTTCCTTTCTAAAGCACATCCCTTTTCTTTGAGGCTATCTTTTCCGAACTGTGATATTTGCGCCGCCCGTTGGACTGTTTCTGCGCTGAAAGATGCACCTGCTCCCCACTTTCACGCAGTTAGTTCTGATCTTAATTCGGTTCTACTGTCAAGTCTCCATTACTGGGGTTGATGTTCATTGATAGGTCGGTGTATGTGCGTTTCTTTGTCTAGGGAACTCACGATTCTGATACTCGGTCTCGTGATCTAGATGAGAGACAAGAATGTTCTGGCTAGGGAAGTCGCACTGACTGCATGTAGGTCGTCCTACGATCACGAGCGTGAAATAGAGAACCTGATGCATTGTCCGTGGGGACCTTCTGCTCATCTAACTGTTTGTTCTACGTTTCTATGCTAGCAACTGCCATCTACGTGTTGTGTGATGAGAAGCCACTGGTGCCGCTGCAGGCCTGTGAGTCGTGGGCTCGATGGTAGGGTCGATGGCATTGTATAAGGACAGCCTCGGCGATGATCAGACAATTCTGGAAACAGGAAGAAACCGTAAATGGTGTGGTGGATACTGAATTGTGTTTCCACACTGAAAGTCTGGAGGGTGGAAGGCTTTAAGAGAAAGGTCGAGCAGAAACTCACGGGAGAAGTTCTCTGCTCCCTCCCGTCCTTGCCAACGATCCTACCTTTCCCAAGGTTCGAAGCGCCGAAAGCAGCAGAGCAGTTATTGCCGATTCAAGTTGGACGGGGAGAGTGTGTCTGTCAACCAAGCCAGTCGCATGGGCCGCAACGATCCTATGCAAGAAACCCGCTGTGAGCAGGGAAAAGCGACATATAAACGGATAATGCCGTGGTAGGAAACCGCCCTCATGATCATATGGCTGGACTCTAGTTATCTGATATATAGCGAAGAAACACAACCGAGCCTCGCCGCCACGGGTTAATCCAGTCCAATCAAAGCCATTCTGCAATAGTTCTTCTCCCTTTCGCCCGTTCGTCTCCTTCGTCTCAGACCGTCTTGTTAGTTACGGGAGTGCCTTGTACCGCGCCCGTGCAGGTATGATTGCTCAGACACGAACGACTCCTTCGAGATACGTCGAGTCCATACGATTTTCTGCTGAGTGTCCTGCAATATGTCCTGCAATCCAGTCGTTGAAACTATTGAGCCATCTTCCATTTCGGAAAGGCGTCTCGAGCAAGGGCGTCCACCGTCGGATAGACTCATACCGAGTTTTTCTACTATACCTAGGTGGAAGTGCGCGGCATTAAGCCTTAGGGAGCAGCATAAATACTCTCTGTACGACTGAACCTCCATGAAGTTCCGCGCACGCCATATCATCATGACACTCCTGCTGCTTCAACAATAATGAATTACGCAAATCTGGCATTGAAGGCTCTTGAACACCGTCTAGGTGAGGGCTGCTCGCCAGCTTCCCACATCAGCATGGTCACGGCATACATCATAGACTTAGGCATCATGTAAAGACTGACTCCCCGTCCCAGCCGGGCTATGTCCGAAAGCACCCAAGAGCACTTCGAGCCTTACCCTCCAACGACGTCGATACTTGGGCGATCGGGCTTTAGTGCTTCCAGCCAATCACCGTGCTAAACCACGGTTCACGCCACGCCCCCGACGCCTCGACATTCGGTCCCCACAGGGGGTGAGCACAGGGCCGCATCGCTGGCTGGGAATTTACCCCAACTTGGCAGAACTTTTACATATCACTCACTGCGCCAACGACATGCAAGTTACAACAACCGCCTAAGGTACTTGTATATCACAATACTTCGACTTGTGTATTACCCTCTGCTTAGCCTGCAGTGCCGCTTTGTACAACAGCATCTTTCCTTTTCGAGCACCGTGCCTCTTGGACCAACTCCGCGACAGGGAGCGACTCGACCCTCACATCCAGGACGTATTCATCTACTTCGGATTGAGCGTCATCAAGCTGGCGTGGTTTTGGGCATCGCCGCCGACCGACTCCCCTCCTCTCAATCCAACTCTCGAAGCTAGGACCACATCTCCCCGGCCATCCTCACCAGTCTCGTCGCGGCCTTATCCTCCACCGACTCAAAACCCGAGCGCACTGATTATGTCCAAGCCGACAGCCGCCCCAGCACAATTAACTCCTCAATTCTGCTTCAACACCCGGGTTGTGCGGGACTTCCTACGCCTGTCGCGGGCCAGCATTGACGACAGCATCTCCACCAACCTCAATGCCCTGCTGACGCCCTCAACGACATCCCCATTCGACCCTGCCTCGACTGCCATTCGAAACCCCTCCCTCCCGTCGTCATTAACTCGCGCCCCCATCCCACACGACACCTCCAAGGCGTTCTTATCTTCTGTCCTCTTCCCTTCATGGCAGTCGCGGAGCTCCGTCATAGCTTATTGCACAGCTGTTGCTACGAGTCCGGACCCTGATGATCCCGATTTGATCGAACGTGAAGCCCAGAACAAGAAGGACGCTGATCGCATCGTGGACGAACGGCTAGACCCATATTCTGGACGATTCTTCCCTCGAGAGGCCAGGACGGAGCAGCTGGCGGCGTTGCTAAGAAACGAAAACACCGTGGAAACCATCGTGAGAGGCCGCACATGGGGTATCGTTACCGATAGGTGTGAGGGCATTGATGGCAAGTGGGAAGATGCGCTGGACAAGTGGCGGGAAGGGAATCAATAACACCGAGCATTGAATCCCGAATCTGGCCCGCCATGGACAAGATATACATGCACAGTTAAGTAATAGACCAGTGAACATCCATCTAAGGAATCCAATCCAGTTGTCGTCGCTGTGCCCAGGCCGAGCATTACGACACTATACTGCGACCGAGCTCGGGATCTCACAGCATTGGTAACCTACAGTAAACGGAGACCTTTGCTCGCCACGCAGGCCCGTGTAACCATAGGACATTTGTATATATAATACTCCGAAAGCAGCTCCATAAAAGCCAAAAAGCAGGAAGATGTCGCTTGGACCAGGGCCACTGAGACACGCCACTCAACGAAAGCGAAATACACATCCAGAATGTACTTATTAAATCAGCAACTATCAGCATTGCGCCACACCAGCGGTGAAAGGATGGAGTGCTTCGACGTAAAGCTTGCTGCGTTTACAGATCGAGCACCCACCCGGGACGGCAGGATAGTGTGGTAGGGTATTGGATACCAGTGTTGTATTTACCTTTGGTAGGTACCTATCTAGACAACTCCAGAATAATGTATCCGCTCTGTTATCAGAAAAGGCCAGGCCTTGTCATCGGATGCCGTAACGCCGAAATTCTAGTTTGCTGATCGCATAACTGGCCTCTGTGCCATGCCATCCCATTCATCCGGATAAAAATGTCGATATATAAGCGCACGCAAGTCGTGGGTAATGGGGCCAGAAAAATGCCAATCATCCTGATATGTAGACCAATTCTAGCGGCCATCGAAGACGCACTCTTTAGGCATCTAGGGTGATTTTTGCACCCTTGACTGTCGTGAATTGTTCCCAATCGCCAAAAACTCCCGAAGCCCACGTGCACACTATTTGCCGAGGGTCCCAAAGAACCAAAGCCAAAACTCTTCGATGTGCATCATTCACAAATTCACCAAGGTGGGAAAAGTTCCTTGTCTCACCAACCACCTCCGCTCAACCCGGCAATCTGAGCAATGCGCTCCGTGTCATTGAGGGTCTTGACTTTAGCTTTGCTGGTCTTGCCGACGTCGCTTTCCACCTGCCTATAGCTAGTGTATGCCAGGGTGTGCAGCGGGACCTCGACAAGAACAGACCAATGCGAGAGCAGATCTTGTACGCTTGTCACGTTGACGCCGTTGATGATGGTGGGTTGGGAAGATGACTGCCCGTCGATGTGTTCAGTCGTGGTAGCAGTATCTCCATTGGTGGCAAGGTGATGGAGGTTGTCTCCGTACCCGTTCGTCATAGACACGTCGTCGTCGTCCTGGGAGGCATTGTCGTCGGATTCGGAATCTATCGAGAAGTACGCCTCATCTACTCTCCGCAGCCACTCCTTTTGACTCTGGGGAGTCGCAGTGCCGTTGACCACTGTCATCTCCTCACCTCTCGTTGCTGGTAGGATATCCACCACGTCCTCGACCTTGATCTGCCCACCGCCGTTCGTGCACCCACCGGGACAGGCCATGACCTCAACGTAAGCGTACTCCTGTCCACCCGCGCCCACGCCGTTTGTCGTTGCACTGCGTCTCACTGCACCTGGTAATTTCGACTGTCGCGCGGGTTTAAGTTTGCGAACCAGATTCTGGATGTTGCGGAACCCGTAGTATCTGGCGCATCTCATAATGGGTTTGCTGGATGACGTGGAGAGGAGTGTGTACTCTATGACGTCGACATTGCGTCCGCGTTGGACGCTGATCGTACTGCCAGGGTGCTTGGCTTGTTCTGTTGCAAGGATGTGGTATAAGTAACCGCCCGAAGTGCCGGCTGCTGCAGCGGCGGCAGCAGTTGGTGAAGATTGCGGTTGACTTGGTCGCCGCGAGTTAGGAAAGAGGAAACTGGAAATTCTGGTGTCGGGAAAAGGTGTGCGCTCAGAGGGTGGGAGGGGTTTCAGTGGGAGACCAGAGAGCTGAATTCCTCGGGCTGAGGCAAGCGTAAGGAGTTCTCGCGAAGTGATTACACAGTCGACATCTCGTACAGGAGAACAGGACAAGTCGGTGGTGTCCTGGCTTGACGAACGCCACCAGCGATCCGTCAGTTCCTCCCTGCTCGCCTCCAGTTTCTTATCGAAGCATGGCATGATGGCGAGATGCCAGATCTGTGATGGATGTAGGTCCAAGGTCTTGCTGAGCACAGATTTGAGTAGAGTCCCCGACATGGATTGCGGAGACTTCAAGACAGACAGGTGTGGGAGGATGTGAGGGTGAGTTTTCTCCGCGTAGCAGATCCATCCCGGACAGGCAGAGGTCAGAACTGGCTGAGGCTTGGACTTGCTCGCCAGCGATTCTGCCACCTCTTCTGCTCCGAGCACAAGACATGCCTCTCGCATTTGGTTTGTGTCAACCACATAGGAGAACCCACCATTGTGCTGTCCACCTATCCGTAGTCCCTGTGACCCGCTCAGGAACTGCTGTATCATAAACCCAGCCTTTTTCTCAGAAATCCCAAACGTCGCCGCCAGACTCGCTCGGACCTGCGGGCTTACACTGGCGATGAAGAGTTTGGCGTCCGCTGGTGATGGCGCCGCTTGGACTCCGTTGACGCGGCTATTCTGTGCTTCGATTAAACGCCGCACATCGAGAGAGGGGTATGCATCAAGGGTGTTGAGGACCTCGGTATGCGATTGCAGCGACACAAGAACCGCTTCGGCTGAAGTGACGCAACCAGAGCAGGCCAGGCAGTCGGTCAGAGAGATGGAGGCTGGGGCAGGATTCGAGACGTGGAGTTTGTCTTCGGTGGTCACTTCGTAGGGATTGGAGTTGTCTGGATTTGGTGCGAGGGTTTCGACGGGCTTGATGCATGCGACACCCGGTGAGATGAAGTCGTTGAGGTCGTCGGCCGAGAGAATGGCACTCATGGTCGTCGGCGCCGGCCTCCGTCAAAAGCTCCCGGTGCAGTTCACCAATGTTGTGGGGGTGGCAATGGCGGGTGGTTGTTCAGACTTGGAAACGACAATCACAGAGTTTAGTCAGGAGCAGTCTGATTGAGGAAGAGAGAAGAGAAATCAAGGCATCGACCAGCGAAAAAAGAGGGATGAGGTGATTGACTGTTTGCGCAGGAGATTGTAAATACCGATTGCCAATCTGAAAATTATTAATGGATGAACCTTTGGGGTTCTGGCTCTGGTTCTCCGAGGACAGGATGCCCGGTTTCGGAAGTTTAAGTTGCCACAATTTGGTGGGGGTGTGTTTGAACCTCTGACCGTATGGTGCATCGGCTCTTACTTTTGACGTATGTCATTGGTAGGAATACGGGATGACTGCCTGAGGACATACAGTACGTATGTACTCCGTAATCGTTATCGATATCGATATCGATAAGCGAAGAACCGAGGCAGGGGAGTGACGAGGCTCAAAGAACCAATTCGAGGATGGGCCGGGTACCCATTGAATCATCATTGTTTATTTGTTACCAAAACGATAATATAGTAGCATTTCAGTCATGATGGCAGCATAGTACTCCGTCCATTACTCCCTCTTCCTGATAGTATTACACAAGACATCGCCGCGCTTATGAGATGTGCACAACGACAGAACCCATCCCAGTCAGCCTCGTCCAATCCCGATGAGCTGTAGCAACATCATCCAACTCAAACACCCTCTTGATCGAAGGTTTGATCTTGTTCTGCAAGGCCAGTTCAAACACTTTCTCGGTCTGGGGCTTGAACGAAGCTCGATCTCGGGAGATATAGTAGAACGTAGTCGATTTGCAAGATGCTAGATTCAGGTTGCGCGCGAACAGTTTCAACGTTGGCCAGATGACCGACCTTGATTCTAGGTTGTTCAATGTCCCAAGATTGCCTCCATAGCCAAAGAGGGTTCCACCGTTGGCCAGAATCGAGTAAGACTCGTCCCAGCTCTCGAATCCGAGGGCGTCGAATACGCCATGAGCGCCACCGAGTTCTTTCACCACGGTCATCCAGTGCTTATCGGTGTAGACAAACGGCGTGGCGCCTAGGTCGCGGATTGCTTGGTGGTTCCGCGCGGACGCTGTGCCGTAGACCTGTGCTCCTTCTAGCAGGCAGAGCATCATCAATGCATATCCAACAGCGCCGCTCATGCCATGAATAAACACCTTTTTGCCTTTCCATTCAGTGCCCTTGCCCTTGACCATACCGTACGCAGTATTCCAATCGAGAACCAGGGTAGTGGCAATCTGCGGGTCTAGTCCGCGAGGGAGTGGCACAAGGTGTTGCTCTGGCTGGTTGGTGAACGTCGCCTGGGCATCGTAGATCGAGAGGCAGGCGACCATATCTCCCACGGCAAATTTGGTGCTCTGCGCTCCCAATGCATGGACGGTGCCAACGAAGCAGTATCCTGGAGTCAGGGGAGCCTTCCTTTGCAGCGGATAAACTCCAATTCTCATGTTGATGTCGGCACCAGAGAAGCCACTGTAAAGAACCTGAACCTGGACCTCATTTAGTGCTGGGTCGGCTAACGTCGAACGGACGACCTGGACTTTTTCTGGACCTCCGAAGGTGGGGATAAGTACTTTCTTAACCTCGACTGGCATGGTTTATGTCCAGTTGACAGAATCCAGGATATGAAAATCGTACGTTTTATTGCTTTACTAAGCGGTGGCGTTGGAACCTAGAAAAGGGAGATTGGTATAAGCACGAAATGGACCTACGGTGAGGCCACTGGCCTTGATATATCCTTCCATCATGACAATCCTTTGACAACTAGGATGCGGTATGATATATCCAGAAGACAGCATCAACATCGCCGTCGGTGGGTGGTGGCTCCAGACCATTGACTCTACAAGCCCGCCATCTTACCATGATGGGGCCGGGAGCATATGAGAATAGATCCCGACTGACCGGCGGGTGAACTCAACGCCGAAGCAACAGGGGTTGGTAGGTCGAATCGCAATTCGAGGTCCCGTTCCAACCGACAACTGTACACAATCCCCAGCCTGTGCCTTGTGGTTGTGAAGGGCATGACCCTGCCTTTGCAGCGAGCCCTCCATTTACTAAATGAGAAGGTATGTACTTTGCGGTGCTCGTTGGTCTTGAGCGGCTGAATCCGCTTACTGTAGCTCGCAGTAAAGACGGATCCTAGACAGGCGGATCTTGGAAGGCGGCACTCGCTACCTTACGGCCTACCTACGAGGCGGTAGATAATGTACAGAGAATTCCACACTAACAAGTCATTTAAAGGTTCAGCGACCCCAGGTCTCCAGAGTGGTGATGTCATGAAGGGACTGGACATCTCATTCCATTAAATATTCATTTCAATCATCTAACCGTGCTGCTCCCTTGTTTTGTATGTACTCTCAACCCTTTGTGATGAGCGCTTGATGAGTTGCGGGATGAAGAAATTGCTCAAAGAAGCACTTAGAGATGCAATGTCCCTCTCTGTCTTGGTGATAGTGCCCATGCTATTTCTCGGCCCAGGCTGGACCCCCAAGCCTGACAAGGCATTACAAGCTAGCTTCACTGAACTCCATTCAGAGAAGTCTCACCATGCCGATCCCGCTCGACCCGAACAGCATTCCAATGAGCCTCTGCTCGGAGATTTCGAGGTTGATCGCGCAACAAAGAATCGTTAAACTGCAGGATTTTCTGTTACACCATCAGACCATCGAGTGTATGCTCAAACCACCAATAGTTCCGATTGCGCTGGTCGCTGAGCACTGCAAAGACGACGTCTTCCCACCAGCCACCAGAGAACTCGGGCTCTCGGAGCACATCTGCCCAGAGCTGCGAGACCTCTCTTGGTGGATTCTGGAACGCACCACAGCCCAATGCCCCCAGTACAATTTGTCGATGTTTGTTTCTGATTGCTGTCCGCAAGACCACTCTCATCTTCTCCGCCATTAGTAATCTATCGTCTGCATCCGCGTACAATTCACTGGATTCCTCGCTGGGGTTGGCAAGCACATGATTGACCAAAGGTCGGAAAAGGGCAGCGGCACTGACAACTGCAAGCAATGGCAGCTGCCGAGGATCGCGGCAATCGAGAATGTCATGGCCTCTTGTCAAGTTGTCCCTAATTACCAGAACTGATGGAGAGTAGATGGCTGCTTTGTCAGGAATTGGATAGTGGCGTAACTTGAGAGTGAAGTACAGAGATGTCCGATAGCAAAGGGCTTCCTCTTGAGCAAGCGCCCCAGTTCGGAAACCCCCACCAGCATGAATAGCATTAGCCATATTGAGGATGCACACAGCCTTGCGAGACGGAGATCCATTGGCGAGCGTAATCGCCGCATCGATGGTATCCATGTTGACCACTTGAATCCTGGTCTTGGGGAGTTTTGGACAGAATTTTTGATCAAGCGCAGGGACTTGATCATACAAGTGGCCATCTGGGGCTGCGTCAGGTCGCGTTAGCAGGAGGCCAGGAAGGACAGATAGAGTCTCTTTTGCTGTCTTCACAAGCTCATCTCGGTCCCATGGGTTTGGTTTTGTTGGAAGCCGAGCATTCAATCGTCCGTCTGCAGAGAAAGAGAGGACGCTCTGACGCGGTCGTTTATCTACACCATTTCCTCTTCTGTGAGGAAAAGAGGTGCTCTGCGTTGTAGTGGACATATCTCCCTTGTTTGTCCAGGACAAGACCTCGATTGAACTGTGATGTGTATCAACCTCGAGAGGTGTGCAACGACTGGATGTTTTGTTATTTACGTAGGGCCTCGAATGGGGCTGGTGTGGGAAGGAACAGGCAGCCAGGGGCTAAGAAAAGCAGGAACCAGGTACGCGGGGTAAGGCTGAATATCCCAGGAGAGTCAACATACCAGGTCTGCACGAAATATGCAATTGCCCCGTTTCAGACAGTTCTCATAATCAGATTTAGATTTCGTGGGAGCATCGTAGCAACAGGCCCTTGAAACGACACTGCTAGTAGTATAAGAACATTGAGCGACGAGGTGATATTGGGGCGCCCGACAGGCAAATGCTGTACGTGTCAGTGTTGGTGTTTTACCTTGACAGGACACTGCAGTGCATGTTAGTCGGGGCCTTTCCTTCCGAGTCAGATGACGTGGGGATTCAACGGCAGTACTTTTCGCCGCGTGGATTCTTGACTCGTGTGCTCCGAACACTCTCACTTCTCGTTTCATCTACAGAGTACAAAGTACCACAAACTGAGGGTAACAACAGTCGTGCAATTTAAGACGCCAACCAGCCAGTAGCCTCTAACTTGCACCTTCTCTTCCACTGGAACTATTCCACCTTTCTTTGCGCCCTAGCAAAATACGCAGTCATGGATTTGGACGAAACAATGACCACATCCACCGCCTCCTCTCCGTCCGCGCCGGATACCTTTGATGACGACAACTTGTTCCCAGATTCTCGTGTCACTGATCGTGCGCGTACCCCTGCAAACGACCATCTCAACGCCGCTGCACCAGGCGAGCTTTCCCCTCCACGGTCTCAACCTCGCTCCGACGAACGCGTTCCACAAGCAATTCCAAACGGCGCCAGTCAGCAAGCAAACATGTCAGTCACTCGAAACGCCGCAAAAGGTACGGCGATGGACCCAGCTCTGTTGCCAGAAAGCCAAAAGGATGATGTCTCGTCGCTGTCAGCTGCTGGTGCCCTAGGCGAGCGTGAAGAAAGACCAGGCTGGGGCTGGAAGAACAAGAAGGCACAGGAGGAAATGCAGCGCGCATGGGACAGTGTTGTGGATCGTGACTTTAGTCTCAAGGAATACGGCGATGTGGTCATGCTGGGCAAACAGGGATTGCAGCAGAGTTAAGACACTCGTGTTGCGGGCGAAACGACTTCTACGACTTGACTATCTACCTTGCATGGCGACGGCGCAGGTTGTTGGTAAAGCAGACCAGAATATTTTTCAAGTTTGCACCAGGGCATACAAGTCTTCGTCTATACAACAGCGCTGGTTCAAGGTGGAGAAGAGCTCTTGATCGTCTCTGACAATCGAAACATATGTCAATCCGAGACGAAACACAAACCTGGACAACACGCACTCAAAGGCAGGTACCCTGTGTCATTGTCAACTCTGTTTGTATGTCCATATGCTCCATCTTACCACCCTCCGAATTATCAATGCGACTCGGCAAGCTTCCTCTTTACAGATAACTTGTTCAATTATGGTGGCAACTCCTGACGTTGGGACTCACCGAATTCTCAAGGCTCTTAATGGATTCTTTGAGCTCAGACTTGAAGCCTAAACTGGCTCTCCTGGAGCACTATCACTGGTGTCTTCACTATCGGCGTGCGTTGCATACTATGGTGCACAATGGACGGCGAGATATTTCAATAAGATCCCTGATTACGCTAGCAAGCACGCTCGCATTTGTGATTGCGCTTGGACTTACCTCGGGCGCCTCATCTTCTCGTTCCCTGTGCTGATCTGATAATATTGCTATTAACAAAGATGGAGCAACTAGCAAACAAATATCGTCACTCAAGAGCCTGGCGAAGCCAAACACCAGAACTTGCAATGCTCTTCTTCACCAGGCACAGTGCACTGGAATTCAGGCACGGACCATCAATCAGCTAGAAATAAGCTCTCTAGTGAGACACTTGTGTATGGTGTAATCATCCAACCTCACCAGATCTCCGTCTCTATGGTCCTAACTGCTGAAGAGGCAGACCTTAGGCCTCCAGGTCTTCGAAATGTCTCGTATGTTTTACGTTGGAGCTCAGTGCGGTGTATGGAGTGCTACTCGCAAGGATCTAGGTAGGTTCCACACTGCAAGAGCGGCAAAGATTAGGCGTGCGATGGCCGGGAAGCACGCTCCGTGGTTCGGACTTGCGAATCCCGACTCGAACCATATACAAATACGCGTATAGTATCTTGCAAAGCCGCATCCACCTTGGCGATACCATGTATAAACCTGGGTGATCAGCCCAATACTTGAGGCCGACAGCAATATCCTTTCGGCCTCCTTGATCCTGTGGCCACCTCAAACAGCCTACTGTAATGTCTACACAAGGTCTCTCAGGAAAGACTTGTCTCGTCACTGGGGGTGGGGGAGGCTTAGGCAAAGAAATCTCCAGGCAATTGTTGGCTAAAGGCGCGAATGTCGTGATCTGTGACATTAATAAGGACCTCTTGGATTCTGCATCAAAGGAATTCTCGGGCCAAGGCACGTTGTTGACTATTCAATGCGACATCACAAGCTCAGAATCTGCTGAAGCCATGTTCGAGGAGATCATTCAGAAGCTGGGAAAGCTCGACGTTCTGGTCAACAATGCCGGTATCATGGACCGGTTCGACCCCGCTGGTGATTTGGAAAAGGATCTTTGGGACAAGGTCATCGCGGTAAACTTGACGGCACCATATTTGTTGACCAGACTTGCTGTTCGGCATTTCCTGGAACGGGGAGCTACCGACGCCTCAATTCTGAATGTGGGATCTTTGAGCTCACAGGGCGGTTTCTTTGCTGGTAAGGCCAGCACACATTCCTCTCTAACACATGGATTGACATATCATACAGGGGCAGCATACACAGCAAGCAAACATGGGCTCCTCGGGCTGAGCAAGAACACGGCGGCGTTTTATCGCGACAAGGGCATCAGATGCAACTTGATCATTCCGAGTGGAATGCAGACCAATATCGTGACTGCCTTTGCACAAGGCACCAACCAGGACGGAATGGCACTCGCGATGACGTGTGGACAGGCAGTGAAGGCTGCTGTCGTCCCGCTGGAAGACGTGGCAAGATTGGCCGTCTTCCTATCCTCAGATGAGTCCAGTGCTATCAGCGGGTCATGTGTCACTCTGGATAAGGGCTTTACAAGTCTATTTTGAGAAAATAAGAAACAACGGCAGGCGCAGCGATACATAGCCAAGCAGCGGATACTCCGATAGCTGGACCAGTGTCATCTTCAGTTCAGGCATTTCTAACATAATCAGATCCCCAATAATTCTCCCTACCTTCAAATAGGAGTCCTTTTCCATGCCGCGACAATCCTCAGTTAATTGAACGGCAGGTCCCCTTTGAAACGTGCTCTGCTGTCTCCAGTAAGTCTCCAAACAGCCTAATTCAGATTCTAGCACCACTGATGCCACTAAAAGTGCCAGACAAATACTCGCATTTATCATTGCCATCTCAGCAGTGATTGTCGTGGTACGCGTTCGTACCGTCTGTCTCACTAGCAACTCCATCAGCGCTGCTCCACGCGGCAACAAGCACGGCGTTGATTTGATCCCAAGAATGGCATTGCGTGCAATTCACCACTCCATCGCTAGTGGAGTTCGTGATTAGCAAGCTTTGTGACCCTGCAGCATCGAATTGTGGATCCGGTGATCTCCCGCTGCCACGTTAGAGCTTTGAAAAGAAGGCAGTTGATGATGAAGCTGATGCCTCTTCACTGATTCTACTGGATTGAATGATTTATGGTGTTATATATATGAGTGGTCTTGGGGTAGTAAGGATTCTCTGGAGTGGGCGGAAACTCCGCCAACATCTTTGCTGATGCCAGATACGCTGAGGAGAGCCAGGCTTGCGGAACAGAAGCACACCAATCTGACAGAGCCGAGCCAGGTTTCTCAGCTTGTGCGGCAACATCTTGGAGCTCAGCGAGATACGCAAGCTTCTCCGTGCCTGATGCCGTCCTGGGCCCTCGTAGGAGCCCGAATGCACGAGATGGCAATTTGCAGACTGCAATCATGCACATGTCGAGACCCGGGTCAGCTCCTTATTTCGGGAAGCTGACACGGTGCTCCAGCCATTCTGGAGATTCGGCTGTGCGAAAGATCATCGGCCTTAGCTACGAGGTAACAGTTAGTCGAAAGCGTCCAGGCAAGTGAGAAGGGGACATCTCCTCCTTACCAATCGTCGACGGATGCACCTATCTAGTTATACTCCTTTCCACTTTGTTATGTCCTTGCCTCTGTCGCAAGTTCAGCAGAGCAATTGCTGAATCATAGTGCCCTGGCGTAGCTGCCTGTAGCCATCTTGCTCCTCCACATGGCTGGGGGCGTCAGTACTCGCAAAGATGTTCTCGTCGCGGAACACGAATTCGCTCTGCCCTCCTCCGAAGCCGAGACAGGCCCGTCCAGACTTCTGACAGTGATTGCAGACCCGGTAATGTTTCATCGTACTGGCCATGAACTGAAAGTCAGTACGTTTTCACAAAAACGGTTAAAGTTCCGATTCTCAAAGGGTTCACCGTTATTCGCCCAATTTTAGAAGGAAGACCTGTGTCAAGTAGAATATCTCATGGAGGAATGATTTTTCTCCGCAGGCCTAAATTTGAGACGAGAAGAAATATCATGAGGCGGCCCATGACAGTCCATCCCTTTGATACTGCCCTGAAGCTGAATTTGCTCCATGTAGCACAGCTCGACACACCCAGACAATGCAGGATGAAGAATGGCCAGCTATGTAAACGGTACATCTTGCCAGTAAGATGCTCGTCGCCTAATTGGTGGTGGTTTTGAGACGTCACAAGGATGAAACAAGGCCTGACCTAAAACGCAATGCTATTGATCTGATGATGGGGCTGAGAACACGGCTTTGGAAGCTTTCTGCCCGAGAACAGAGCTGATGGACCGTTAGACTTATTAGACCCCTTTCCTGCGGGATGTAAGCCGGCGTGTACTCGTAGAGCCTGGTGGACCTTCTTAGAATGATGTGGGGGCAGCAACAATGAAAGAGACGATAGCCAAGCACTTAGCTGTTCAAAGTTTGGACAGGTGGTTAGGACTTTAGGATTTGGGATGTACGGAGTACTATTGGAGAATACAATTCCCGCATCCTCTCCTCACTGCAACTGGGAGCTGGTTGGCAAGGACTCTAAAGTCCAGATCATATCCCGATGGTGGCAATTATAAGTCATCGAGGTCGCATGTTTCCAGAAGATCTTGTGTCAGTTTCCCTTTCCTGCTGTACTCTTCGGGCGACAGATATCTGTCTCCCCACTCACCAACGGTGCTGTCGTAGGTGGTTTGAGGCTTAGTTTTGCAGAGATGAAGCATATTTGCCTTCAACCCTTTCATGAGACCTAACCTTGGATATTCCTATCATGCTCTTGAGTCAGTCGTAGATGAAACACCAAATAACCAAAGACAGACCTTGACAACGGCATTGTACTCGTCCCATGACATTGGGTTTCCCTGAATTCGGTCAGGTCCCTGGAAATCGGCCCATATGCCATAACTCGTTGCCTGAACCTCCGGCTCTTTCTCAAAGACTATGGTGCCAATTGTGTGTAATGCGATGGCATCCCAGACCAGCTGCAGTCGGTGCTTGTCCCAGTGTGCAGCTTCCCTCTTGAGGAAATTGCGGGCAGCGTTAGCACCGTCAACCTCGAATCGCTTGTCTGAGCTGATGAGCTCAGAATGCGGTGGGTGGCCTATGGGAAAACCCAGATCGTGTAGTAGTGCCGCAACTGCATGGGCTTCTCGATCACGATCGCCAATAACTTTATCCGCAATGATGAATCCGAAGAGGAACGAGCGGATGATGTGGTTGAATGTATCATCGGACGAGTACTCTCGGGCAAACTCTATCGCCTTGGTTATGAGAGGGGTATCCGGCACAGTAACGCCCGCAAGGACTCTTGTAGGGAGTGCTTCACCAGTCGACATTTCAAGCGAAGGTGCCGTGCAGGTCGATGTGGGCTGGAAAGAATGAAAGCTACCTAGGGCGTAAGGTATGGTCAAGATACTCAAGTAATTTCTTTTTCCAGTAGGTTTGTGTTCCACAATGTTGCTACCTGCCTCGAATTGATGGTTTGCATCAGTGGCAGTGCGACTGCGGGGCATTCTTCAATGATCAGCAAGGTCTGACTTATGTACATACGGACTACCTCCCACTCCTTCGCCCCTGAGGGGTAAGTACTCCGTACGGTTGAGCTGCCAACTCACTACCTATCCACTTGCGTACCCACCTACCTACCACCAAGTTATTTGACCGTTGGCTAGCTGTTATTTAGCGTTGCCAGCTTCTCCCAAGCGGGGAAGAAGGTAGTGCGCCTAGCTTCAGTGGGTAAGGCCGACCTCGGCGCGACCCTCAAACTCAGGCCTCGCAAAGCCCCTTAACCGTCCAAGGAGTGACCAGCATTGCAGCGGAGCCGCGGGAGATAACTGTACCTACGAGTAGGCCGTCAACCGCAGTCCGGTGAAGGAGCCCGAGCTCAGAGCGTCGCAGGGGCTCGTCTTGGTTTCAAATTCCAATCGGCCATGGGCGATCATCGTTGGTGAGAAGTGTTTGCTGTGTTGCTTCTGGCCTCCTCGTCACATGTTTATCAAGTTGTTCACATACAGCATCCACGAATCACGACGTAATTCAACCGGTGGGACCTCATAGTGTACCTTAAATATCACGTTCCGGTACGCAAAATTCAGTCTCATGGGCAGAAACAGTCAAACTGTATGGAGTCTTCACCACTTTAGTCTCCTGGTCTCTAGTAGCTTCCAAGGCTCTTTGACCATTGCTTCCGTCAGATCTGAGAAAGCAAGTGAATGTTCTCTCGTCAGCTGAACTGTCCTCTCGATGGCATCCGCGAGTAAGTCCACGAGCCCGCCTGCAATTCACGAAACCACTGCGGCGGGAAACACACCCTCGCCATCTGAACAAACTGAAGGTCTGGGTGGTATCGATGTTGTAAGTCGAGCGTAGCCCTACGCTTGCCGTGCATTGCCCTGAACTCATCTTGATCTGTAGGATGATGATAATGACTCTGCATTCGCGGATGGCGATAACTTTTCGTCGGCTTAACCCCTCCACATGGAGTGTCACGTGTTTGGCTTACATCCACCAGGGAAACTACATCAATCGCTTCTTCTTTGATGAGAGGGCACATCATGAATGGTAGAAAGTATGCACGTTTAGCGGTTAATTTCGCAAGAATCCTTGCTAACAAACTGCAGATATTCAAGCCTTCGAAGCGACTACTGGTAAGGCAGCCTGAAGGAGGTAGGTAATCCTTGACTGATAACTTTAGGGGCCCCTCCGACGAATCACAATTCGAATCCATGGATGCAGGGTAGGAATTCTTAGTTCTCCAGAGATGGCATAGATCTTCTAACGCGGCAATAGGCACTATAACCTGTTGACGTTGGATAGCTCCCATCCAGAACCACTCTTTCGTGCTCCTCTCGTGGAACCACACGTAAGTCTTCAGCAATCTTTGTCCATCATCATGGTATGATAGCGCGACTTAATAGTGTTCCAGAATATCTTGGACCTGGGCACAGGACCTGGCACATGGGCAATGTAAGTTATCGTTCATTTGACTGTCGCCGCCTTTATTGACGATGCGACTGTAGTGACGTTGCAGACAAATACCCCCAAGGTGCGAACTAGCGATGTGCGATCTTGTGGGCCATATTAACGCCATTCTAGCAACCGTATATGGTGTGGATCTCTCGCCACCTCCAGTAACATGGGTGCCGCCGAATTGCCATCTTCAAGTCGATGATGTTTTAGAGGAGTGGACATGGCGACAAAAGTTCGACCTTGTACATATGCGCCTTATGTTGGGAGCATTCACCGAAAGTGAATGGGCGTCAGTGTATCGAAAGGCATATGATAATATCGAGCCAGGGGGCTGGATAGAGCAAGTCGAACTTGATGTCAGAGTCATGGCAGACGACGGCAGTCTCCGTCCAGACTCCCTGATTGCGGGATGGGGTGACAACTTCTTAGGTTGTGCGGAGCGCGCGGGTCGACCGCTATCTACACAACTTACCATGAAAGCCAAGATCGAGGAAGCCGGGTTTGTCGATGTCCAAGAACACCTTTACAAGTGTCCAATAGGTGGATGGCCGAGAAACAAGGTACTCAAAGATGCTGGGAGAATCAACTTCGTCCAATGGTCAGCTGGCCTTGAAGGGTGGGCAATGTTTCTTTTAACGAACTGGGGGACGCCCACGCCGTGGTCGGCTGATGAGGTCAGAGTTTATGTCGCCAAGGTGAGAGAGGAATTGAAACAGCCTAGATTGCACATTTGGCATTACACGTAAGTGAATCAGTCTGAGGCCTGATGCAATGACTCTAACTTCCATACGACAGACGGCGAGTATGGGGCCGGAAGCCAGTTAAGTAGAGGTGGCACAGGTTGAAGGTGAAAAGCACTGAACGAGTTTCGAAATGCAAGCACTCTAGCGGGAAACATAATGAGCAAAATCTTGTGTAGCGGTGTTACCGGAGTATCTACAGCAGTATACATATATATATCTATTATATATGCCCCGAGCTGTGTTTTATCCTTTACTATTTTCGTTCAGGAAAGGGAGCGAGGCCGCTTTAATCGGGCACGTGACGGAGCATAGAGGTGGCCCGGCCGACCAGGGGAGGCGTCTTGGGAGCCACGGCAGAGCACTGGGGGAGCGCGCTGGAGCGCTGGGCGAGCTGTAGGGAGCGCTGCCTGATGCCTATTCGCAGAAGCCGGTTCGGGCCCAGGGTTATTCTTTAGGTCTCGGCTGAGTGTGCCCTGAGTAAACATAACTAGGGGCCTAATCTAGCCCCTTGCGATCGGCTATACTTACCTCTCGGCCAGGCATTTATTTTAGACGGGCGTTAGGGGGAACCTAGTAGCTTTACTATCCTTACGCTACTACCTAAATTTCCTTGTAGCTTTGGGTCTGGCGTTGCGATAGGGTGCGCGGTTGAATCGTAGGTCGCGACGGCACTTCACCCGCTATAACTTAATGCTACCCATTCCTGTTTCCCCCATCTCGAGCAACCATGGCGACATGTTCGAACTACTTCCTGGAATCCGAGTTCGAAGCAAAAATCTCGCTGGCTGCGATCAGTGGCCGAGCTCCTTGGCCTGCTGCTTTCAGAGCGACTCAGACAACACAAGCGTGGCTAATTGTCGTTCACTGTACGGAATCATTCTGAGATATTGCTAAAGTTCAGGTACCGGCACCTGTCCTAACCAAACCTCCAACCTCCTTTTGATTAAGCTCAGTCCAGAGATCGTGATATTGCTCGCATAGACTTTGCACCTCCAGCACGTCACCATTCAGAGTATGATATCTCACCACGTCTTCCAACCACTTCACGCGTCGACGCTTATCCTCCCCATTTAAGGCCTCGTTTAGGACAATATTAGTGCTCCATTCCAACGCCGATCTGTAGTATCGGGTGCGTTCGGTCAAATCTCCTCTTCTCTCGAAGAGAACCCCCATGCAGTTGAAGGTCAACATATAGACCTTCGAGATCCTCGCTCCACTGGCGTCTGGGCTCTGCTCAGCGAGTGCTATGGCCTCGGCCAATAATTCCTTAGCTTCATTAAGGTGATTCTGCGAAAGTCTCAGATTCCCAAGTTTGTATACCAAGGAAATATCCCTAGGGGCGGCTTCGCCAAGAAGATTTATTACGAGTACATCCTAGCTTAAGTTGCTTAGTAGAGCCGATTCTTCGCCCGTGTCGCGGTGCATTCTGCCAACGAGCAATCTTAAATGCGGCATGCAATTCAATAAGTCGGTACTCGAGTCTTGAAATTTCAAAAGTATAGTATCCGTAGTAAGGCGGATGACTCGAGAGCTAAGGCCCGTAGATGTGTGCTCACGGAGTATAAGCTTAAGTATCTTAGGTAGATAATGATTCGGTCTAAGGACTCTAATGGCCATTCCTATGAGGTAGCGTATAAGTTCCCCTCGGACCTCGGGGTAGTTAGACCACTTATACTAAGAGAAGTATGCACTGAATTGCATAGTAATCTAGGAAGGCTGATGCCTAAATAGTGTTTTAGCTCCGTCGCAAGCTTCCTGAAACTTAGCGAAGGCGCCCGGTTTCCCGGCGACAAAGAGATTTAGACCCTCATCGATGACATCGAAGACTTTTCCTAGGCTCTGGGTGTGATGATAGATCGCCTAGGGTTTATCGGAGTACTACCGATAGTAGAAGTATAAATGGCGTAGAATTAGCTCGGAAGTACCGCTTTCTAGACTTTCCTGTAATATCTGTCTCTGCAAAGTACCGATGCCCTGGATGAACCGACCTGTAATTATCTAGTAAGGATTATAATTCTGGCCTAGGACTTAGGTTTAAAAAGTCGGAGATATTTCTAGTCCCTAGAGAGCTAAAGAAGAATTATTTTGCACGACATTAGGCACGCCCTGGGCGACAATAGCGAATTTATTTCCTTCTTGTTGAACTGAACGTTGAATCCGGGACCAGCGCAAGGGTTTTCCATTGATGAGAAAGTTGGTATCACCGACGCCACCGTGTAGTTGGATATAAGTATAAAGGTCCAGTTTCTGTGCTTTGGTAAGGTTCTTCCTGAGATTCCAATCGCGGAACTTATCCTTGTACTGCTTCTCTTTTGCATGGAAGCTATGTTGACCTTTCATAAACTCCATGACTTCCTGCAGAGTACAACCACAATCCAAGTACAAGAAAGTGATTTCATCCTTGAAACCCTCCCATCGATCTTTCAGGATGGTAGAACTTCTTGTCACTTCTTGATTCTCCATTGCAAGCGTAGTCTGGAGATGTGGGCAGCAAGTTCACTCAAGTAGTGGTGCATTGCAAGACACCAATTAGATTAGAAGACGATTTTGGCAGACTGGTACGCTGTTGATTAGAGGAGCACGTTGGGATGGGGGTGTCAGGGGAGGGGGAACCTTTCTTGTAGACTTCGATCACTATTTATAATCGCCGATATAGATTTTTGTATACACTCTCTGCTTCCCCACATTGAGAAGACGAATTATCCAGCCGCAGAGGGAGTAGTGACAGCGGAGGTTCGGCTATCCGGCGGTGATCATCGAGAACATATAGGACTAATATAGCCCACATTCGACTCGGGCGCAGCACTTTCTCCGTGAGTTGATTCGACAATCGTATTCTCAAGTCGTGTTTGGCTCCTCTGGATGCAGAACGCCCATTTGGGGTGACACAACCAATGCAGTCAGTCATAAGCGAGCTAATGAAAGCGACTGCCTTTAGCATTGCAGAACCAAGGAGTACTTTTGCTAGCTCGGCCAACAAATTGACGTTAGTAAGCTTGATGCGCATAATATCACGTCTGGGGGGACGAGATAGGGAGGAAGTTGAGCTCTAGACTGCGAGACTTGACTTCTCTAAGTGCGTGCCCATTTTCGCCCACATGGATTGCCTTTAGAAAGGTATAAATGTGTAGAATCCTGCCTCGAACACGGATTCAATTCTTCTTCTACAAAAACTTTCCTTTCGAGCGTGTTTAGATCGGACTCAAATAGGTTCGTTGCTCTCGTATCCTTCAGCATGTCTAATCCAGAAGACGCCAATTTCAACTCCTTACAAGCCCATTCCGATCTGCAAAAGCAGTTTGGCGCTCGTGAATGGAAACTCAATCTCAAAGCTGCTCCTAATTGTATTCTCATCTTGGCTGAAGCACTGTTAGTTGTCTCTAAGCGGGAAACTATGGCCCTTGACTTATCGGGTCCAGGCGTAAAGTACGAATGCTAAGTAAGTCTAAGCTCTCGTGCGTCAAGCGAGCTTACTAAAATATTTGTACAAGATATAGGAAGCTCTACGTAGACGTGAGGGACTGCGCCGTAGTTGGGATCGATACCTTTAAAAGTACTGGAGAAAGGATGGAAGAGGTCTGCCTCTTGGCTAATGAGCTAGGAGGACCTGGCGGCTTAGTGAGTTCGATGCCGTAGGTTAGCGTTTGAAACATGTAGTACCTAACAATATTTATAGATTGAGTCGATGATGAAGTATCTCGATCTAAATCAGTCGGAAGCCCGAGATCGGCAACTTAAACGTTACGTATCTAATAGCATTGAAAAGTCAACAGGATCTGTCAACATCTTAATAGATGTTAGAAAAGATTTCGAGGCGTGGAGGGAACTCACATAGAACATTCTAGGTGCCTTGAACTATGAATATAGTTACTTAACCCTTTCTAGCCCTTAGCACCGAGACTCGGCTGACTATTAATTTAGCGGTAAATGAGCAGAAATAGAAGATAAATAAGGATCGACTCAGGGAATGCGAACTAGAGAGAGGCTAGAATGAAAAAGAAATGGAGGCAAAGAGGCGAGAACTGGAAGAGTTTGAGTCACGGATCGGGAAAAGCTTGAGATTTTTTAAAAGTCTTAGCAACAGTGTACTAAGTAAGTCGCACATTGAGCTGCTTAATATAGACTAATGTCCCTCGGCAACACAGTGACTATGGCTGGAGTAGGTGCAGCATTGGCAAGTGCCGCGACCGTAGGATTAACTCCACCAGTGGTTCTACTTACCTACGTAGGGTTGAGTGTCGAATATCTTATTCTTACATCTGTGGCACAAGAGAAAAAGTTAGCTACTCAACGCTTAGAACGGAAGGCTTCGGCTTTGAGGCAAATACTAGAAGACCTTTCCGGTGAAGCTCTATCCATTGTAGGGCTTTCCATTAATATATCCGTACGATGAAGCGGCTGATCCATCTTTTCAAGGCCTAAGTCGCCGGCATTGTGAAGCAAGCACTTAGGCGACTAGATGAGTTACAACAGCGTGTCCACATGTTCTTGACATTATTAGTCAAGCTTTAGAAGATGGTCATCACTGCAGATCGCGGGAAGAACCTCACGCTCGATCCAGCTACTCATAGGGAAGACCGAGTAGACCCTGATATCAAAAAGGTACGGCATTCAATTTAACTAAAGGAAAGCTCAGGTCGCTCACCCACGCCCCGCAGGAAATTCTAGATGGCGCCTATACAATGAAAATAAGGTTTCTCTTCGTCTCGAAAGTAGCGGACCTTTACAATGACATTCATAATGACTTGATTAGTCCCGGGGTTAACTGGCTTTCAACATTCCGTCCCGACGAGAGTTCGCATGAAGACATAGACAAAAAGCTCAACGAGATCGAGGTCTGGAGGAGGAATATCTACAACTATACCGAGAACTTGGCTGCAACGGTGCGTTCACCATAAATCCTAATATCGGTTTTTCTGTTCCGCTGATATGCAGCTCCAAATAGAGGTACACGGAACTCAGACAAAGCCTGGAGACCTTGCCCAGGACTTGGGAAGACCCAGTCCGCAATGCCAATGCAGGTGCGCCGCTGGATAGGACCGCCTGAACAAAGGGAGAGATTTGGCTGAAGTTGAAAGGAGAGGTCAGCAGGGAATTCAATGCAAGTTGCCAGATTTCAAGGCGCCCTTTTGGCGTCTTGAAGTTGAACGACTTGCCAAGACTACTTACACGTGACTACGCGTCACAAAGAACAAAGATGGAGTATCAAGGTCCTTGTTGTTCTTCTAGATCACAGCAGGGAGATGCGTGGCCATATAATTATGACTGCTCTTCTCTTGCACTCCGTAGAAGTCTTCCAGAGCGGCGAATCTGGGGACACCGAGTTTGTTTTGATAAAGTAGAGAACTTGTTGTGAGCGGGAAATTTGTGATTACTACCAAGGCACTAACTCTAACCAACGAGTTTATTTAAGTCTGCGCATCATCTACTGTAATACCTTCGATGTCAGCGCCAGGATCGAGTGGTTGTTGCTAGGTAGCAGGCTGAGCTGAAAGAAACAAGGGGCTGAGAATTGTAGCCGAGGCCTAAAGTAGGCCCCTAAGCCCGAACTGGCTTCCGCGAATGGGCGTCAGGTAGCGCTCCCTGGGGCTCGCCTAGTGCTGGGACGCGCTCCCCCAGACTCTGCCGGAGCTCCTACAATGCTCTTTCGTGCTCGGCCGGGCCTTTTCGATGCTCTGTCACATGTCAGATTAAAGCGGCCTTGATCCCTACCATCTTCGTTCAGGAAAGGGAGCAAGGCCGCTTTAATCTGACATGTGACAGAGCATCGAAAAGGCCCGGCCGAGCACGAAAGAGCATTGTAGGAGCTCCGGCAGAGTCTGGGGGAGTGCCAGGGGAGCACGCCCGAGTACTGGGCGAGCCACAGGGAGCGCATGCCCTGATACTAATCCACAGGAGCCAGTTCGGGCTTAAAGGATCCACTTTGGACCTCGGCTACAATTGCCCAGCTGCTCCCTTCTTTCGTTCAGCCAAGCCTGCTGTTCGGAACCTTTCGATCCTTTCCGTCTACGCGTCAAGCCACCTTCGTAAAAAATTGGCACTGTAAATAGGCGCTAAGGTTGCCTTACCTCCAGCTCTTCTCTACTTTAAACTAGGGCCACATTTCTCATGGACGACAGAACTAGTATGTATACATCGTTTATTGAGTCTTCTGCAATTTTGCGAACTCCGGACATCGTCCAAAGTCCCGCCTCCATAATTCGTGGTTATGTAAGATTTTAGGGGGCAGTGCCCGTTATCCTGGCTTACCGAGATGCCAACCATTGCTCAGGAATCAACAACATTTATGGTCCGGGGGGGAGAGGACTATACTTATGTAGCTATTTCATTTTTTTAAGCGCAGATAAAGCAAGACAAGACGAATTGAATAAGTCGCTGAAAGGTTTTCTAAAGTTTTCGGCCCTCGATTTTAACTACTCGCGATGAGTTATAAGTAGTCCAACATCCGCCGCCTCGCGTACTTCAGGGAAGGACGTCATATTCTTCCATTAAATAAAGTGCATTAATTCCTGACCTAAATAGGGCTGAACCATGAGCTGGTAAGAATACTATACAGGGATTTCCAGGACGGATGGGGGTAATTCCCAACCGGGATTTCGGGGAGGCCTCTAGAGCAACAGTTGAATGGGTTAAAGGAGATTCCGAGCCATCGGTGCTGTTATCCTCTCTCGAACGTCTCGCATACGATAGTTCGGCTAGAGCGATGCCATACACGGGTCATGAGGTTGAATTCGGCTAAGCCAGATGACTGTATGGGAGGCGGCGCTGTAGACATCGCCCATTATTTGAACTTGACTATTTCTTTCAGTCTGATAAGCCTGGTTGATGTATATAGAACGAACTAGATGAGTGGGATTTTTAAGTCGAATTGATGGCAGACCATTAATTCACCTATAGGCTGGCTCAGGATCACAATCGGGCTCCTAGTTGTAGAAGATCCCGAACGGGCTCCAAGGAGCCTAAAACTTAAGTGCCTGCAGCATTTGGTTCTGTATTAATGAAGATACATGCAACCAAGATGATGTAGGCGAAAGAGCGAGCCAGTATTATTCAAGAAAGCATTGAAAACAATCCATTTCAGGAAAGTCGGAACACTCATGAAATAATAAGTACCGGTCGGCCATCATCTATACCTACAGCAGCCCGAAAACAGCATTGTAGACACTCATTCATACGCAAAACACAGTGCGCCGTTGATTCCAACCGTTGGTTTGTCTCCAGAGACAGCAAGACGCAGCGAAATCGTTCGTCACCTCTTGCGACAGTGACCGCCTTTCCATGGACAGAAACACACTCAACTTTCTCGGCACTGTGCGCGAAGGAGATGACTTCCTTGCACTGTCGGTTCCGACAATATACCAAGCCTTGAGCTAAGCACGCTTCATCCGCTAACTTTCCGGGGTCAATATGAACGGCTGCACCCTTTTTATCCTCAAGCTTATAACTGACCCTCAGAGAGCGAACATGCTCTTGGGCAAGCATTGAGATCTCAGTGAAGTCTGGTACTTCATCCGTCAAGCCGGTGTAATGTCCATTAGGATGATACTCTCGATCTGATACGAAGTCAAATGGCTTTCCATTCCGTTCAATTTTACCAGGCACGACATGCACTCTTCCAACCAAGTTCCGGTCAAGTGATAGCTCCCGAAGCATATCGAGGTAAAGGCAAAGTCCGCCGGTGGAGACTGCAGTGATATCGAGTATATGGCCTAGACCGAAGGTTTCTTGACCTGTGAAGAGTTTCGTCGCATCCAAAAGCCTAGTTTCTGCTATTGAAATATCCGAATTAATATTGCGGGTTGTTGTTTCCAAAACTCGATGTATGTAACCGATGCGTTTCACCTTTTCTAGAAAGTCCTCATCTGCGTCCGTCCTCAGTCGTCGCTGCCTGACGTAAAATAGTTCAAAGCCAGCTCGTGAAGGCAGAATCCCATCCGCGATCGATATACCAGCCATAGCCGTAGACATGACCACAATGGATTCAAAAATTACTGAAAGACAGAGTGCCTCATCTTCTGTAGGGCCTCCGTGGAAGCATTCGGCACATTTACATATCTCCTCTATGAGGACGATTTGCTGTTCATAGCGTATCTGCGCATCGATAAGACTCAACCGTACTCCAAATTCCATGTTTTCTTTCGTAACTTCCAACTCTGGGAACCATGCAAGGGTATTCCCAACGAATCCCAAACCACTTGCGGAGTCGAAATGGGATCGCCATTCACCTAGAATCTCTCGGTCAATGCTCGGATCGCCACAAGCGAACGCCTTGAAGATACGTGCTGCACAACCTATAGCAGTGCCGACAAGTTTAGGATTTTTCATAAGTCTCAGGAAATCGGCCCCAAATGCTTCAGAGAGGCAATTGCCCCAGCGAAGCCTTCCGCTCATAGTTGTCATTTGTAAATCATCAGATTCCCGATGTAGGAATTCAGCACTGTTTCTCAAGTAATAGGTATTCGTGACCAATTGCATGTCCAGTGGATTTGCGTCGATATCAGAGTCAAAAATGAGCTGGATTTGGGCGTCGGATTGTGTTGAAATGTTCGAGTAGAGTAATTGTCCTTCACAAGAGATGGTCACAGATAAATCGAGAAGCCAAAATGCGACAGCCGCAAGCCAGCCACAGGCTGGCCCCCCCCTGATCAATATAGAAGAGATCTCCTTGCAAGAGACTTTGAACATGCCTGTCAATGCTGCTGCAAGGTCTTTCGGAAAGGGAAAACTTCTACCCGTCGTAACTGCTTGAATATCCATAACATACGTTGTAAAACGTGTCTTGGATGGCCCGAGGGTCATGAATTGCTCAGCTAGCACTGGGAAAGGAGTTGCTGCAAACACTCCGGCGCATGCCTTTATTAGTGCTGACCACTGAAGTCCGGATGGAGTAAGATGTCCTGGGAGATCGTAAAGCTGGGTCATTTCGAGCAGCACTTCGGCTCCTAGGTTCGTAGGGAAGCATTCTCCCATAGCGCCGCATAATGCTAATAATGCTGTTCCTTCTTGTGAATTTCCCATTGTCCGCACAAGACTCCTTATGCCGAAGCCAAACCACAAGCTATCCCCAAAACCGCTGTACGATCTCAATTTTGCTAACGCTTCTTGTACATTTGATCTGCCAGTAGGGCCAAGACAGAATCTTTGACAGAGAATTTGGCCGACTGAGATGGTGAGTCCGTCAACGTTGGCAGAGGATAATCGACCTAATATTCCAAATGAAAAAGAAAGAACTTGTGCTTCTAGACTGACCCAGTCAATTGTTCCTTGCTGGCTGAAGTTGCTGCTGGGAACGAGAAGGAAGGTTTGTGATTCAGAAGGCATGTTGGGTTTCTGCCTGAGAATATTGAGCTCTTCAATCCGAACTCGAGAGAAATTGGGTCTCCAGGTCTGAATGTAATATTCATAAAAGTCAACTCTAGTTTGAATATTTGGGGCCGGTCCCCTTTGACCGGGGGAAGCTATATGCGTGTGTTCTAATATCTTACTTTTTGGTGGCTAGAGCCTTGAGAATCGAAAGATACCGATGTACAAGCCGAATCAGGAGTTAATTTAAAAGAACAGACGGCAGTTAAAACTTATATGATACTAATATTGTTTCAGCAGGAGGCGCCACCGTACGGTGTATAGGAATATAAGCAGAACGTAGAAGACTAGGCGCCAGCCCTAGCTGAAACATGTGGTGTTCTATGATTGGTAAATCTTGCCCTATCTCAAGGGCCAAAACAGGATGTTTTTGCAACCACTCAGCCACATCAGGCTGCTTAGGCTCGATTCAAGCAAGCTTGGGCGTATGGGTTGAGTGTGGTTTGCAATGCACAAAATCAGGCAGCGAAGGGGCAGGGATTCACCAGGTTTCCTTACGCTTCCTTGTGATGCCAAGGCTAAGTTAAACCCTCACAAAACAGAGGTGCAAACCTCCAGATTCTGAGGTGTTTAATTACGGTCCGATAGGAAATCGGCTTAATATTAGCGAAAGGGCGAGATAGGTCAAGTTAATGGGTTTAGTGCACTTCATGCCGACTGGATCATCCTTGGTGAGGAGAGCCAGAAAATCAGCAAATCCTTAGCATATTCAGCCTTGCTACCTATAACCGCTTATTGAAACCAAGAGGCCAAAGCCTAGAATTAGCCTAACAGGGCTATACTGAAGTAGCTGGGCGGTCGCGTGTAGCAGAAGCTATATCCTGGCAAGAAAATCGATCACTCGATTTAACTTCTCGTATTAATAGAATAAATGAATGAATTGGCTCTGTCCTTGCCAGAGCGTTGGTCATATAGATATGAAAGTCCTCCAGTTGTCGTGCCTATTGCTGTCCTGGGTATCCCGTTGGCCTGGCACTGCCTCTATTGGAAAAACAGCTATCTCGATGCATTAGGTATTTCTATGCTATATCTAACGTAAGGCTTAAGTATACGACGTGAGCGCGTACGAGACCGAAGCTAAAACAAAAGCCTCACTAGTACGTAAGAAAGTAAAAGCGAGTAGAGAGGGCTATAGGAGCAAGGCGGCGGCGAAGGTGAGTAGAAGAGAGTGGTAAGGGAGCCAGAAAGAGAGGAAGGGAGTAGAAGGGAGCGGACGAGGGAGCGATTCGACCAAATAGCTGTGATGGAAAGGGGACATGATTATTCCTAAGACGGTACGAGGGACTCGTCAGACTATATAGTATCCTAAGTACGTACTAGATTAGCGCCTGGGCGCTCCGGGTTCGCTTCGGATAGCGTTCGAATAGCTCTCGGAGCTAGTTCGGATGCGGCGAAGCGATATTATAAACTACGGTCTTTATAATCGCTTAGTATTAATAATTATATCCTCCCCTACCTAACCGAATAACGGCCTCGTTGTAATATCGAGGATAACGCCGTTAACTTACTAGGGTAGTCTCCCGAATAGATTATATTTCCCGTAATAAGTCTACGGTACTATCTATATCGTAGTAATAATCCTAGTATTACTTCGAAGAGGTTTAGCTAGGTAAAGAGGCTTATATCTAATTCCGAGTTAGCGTAGGGCGTCGGGAAGTATACACCGCGATAGGGTTAGGCTTAAGTTCGCGCGTATCTATAAGGTCTTTTCGAGGCGATATAACTAAATATAAATAGTCTCGGGCGTATTAATAAAGTACGTAATAGCCTTATATATACCCGAGGAGCTAAGGTAAAGTATAAATACCTTATAAGGATTATCCTCTTTACCTTATCGGCGCTAGACCCTTATTTTCAACGTTAATACCTAAGATACTCCTTTCGTTATTATTTTATAACTAGCCTCGTAATAGACTAGCGTTACCGAGACGTTCTCGAGACCTTACTTACGGTAATAGCTTAGTATATACGATTAGAGTTAATTCGGCGCTATCCTAAGCCTATATATTAAGGCCTCGTACCTATTCTTCTCTCTCTATCTCGTACTATATCTCTAAAGTCTCCTCTTTCTTCTTCTTTTACCTCGCTCTCTTCCTTATTTTCTACTTTTACGTATTCGAAATACCTACTCGCGCTAAAAAGAACTATTAGGAAGTTAACGTTAAGCCGAATCGTTCTCGATTCGACGGCTAGCTCGAACCTAGCGATAGTCGTCGTTCTAAGCTAGCTTCGACTATAATTACGAAGCGTTAGGGTAATACTTTAATACTACGTAATATTCCTATTATATTCGTAAGCCGGTTAAGTATTTCGAGATCGCGCTAGAGCTAACTTATTTTATAGTATTATTAATAATTAATTCTAAGTTTAACGTCCGCGACTAATACGCCTTCTTTAATATCGATTTAGAAGTTTATCGATAGCTTAAAGAATCGGTATTATAGTAGTTTCTATATTCGCCTTATAGTTAATTATTTTCTACTTCGATTTATCGAGTACGCTAGTAAATTAAATCTTAGTACGCTTAATTATACTATATTAGCGATTAAGTATTCTATTAGTCTCGTACGTAATTTAAGCGATACGTATAACTCGTACTAGAAAGGCTTCGACTCGATAAGCTATTCTTAATAGGTATTTCTAAAGTACGTTATAGTACTAATAGATCCGTCTATTACTAGCTCTAATATCCCTACTCTAATATTACTAGGAAGTAATTATATATCCTACTTTAAGAGGAGTTAGATTTATTCCCTTCGGTCTCGTAATAGCTTCGAAGCGGTTACTTAAAATTAAGAAAAGGATTATCTTCCTAAGGCTAAGTCTCGCGAAGTCTCCGTAGTTAAGTCTATACCTACGATAATAGGTCGTAAGTTAGCTCGAATTACTCGTCGACCGGCCGCTACTCCTATCCGTAAAGCGAAGGATATATCTCTTATTAACGTAGATAGTTATACCGTAGCCTATATTCCGAGTTTCGATAAGAAGTTAGTTAAAACTAGTAACGAGATCGTCGTCGCTACGAGTTCGGGCGAGATTATATTTAAATATTCTAATCTTTAAGGTCTAGATTAGAATAATCCCTAAACGATTCGGAAGAATTAGAAAGCTATTCGTAGTACCTTAGTACGTTTCCTAGGTAAAATTAACGATAACGAGGACTAAAAGCTTAAGGCTAACGAGAAGGATAAGTTCTATATTACTAAAAGTATTACTTCTTCTTTAGTAATCCGAGAGTTAATCGAAAGCTAATCGCTACTATAAGGTAATACTCTATTCGGCTCTATTCCTTCTTTAATTATAAGTCGTTAACCTTCTCTTTCTTCGGTTCGTTTTTCTAGCGATAGTCCGGCCTTAGGTAGTACTCCTCGAGGTCCCCGGCTACCGCCTCCTTCTTTATTTCCTTCTTAATTCTACTCTTAGTAGCCTTTAAGTTCTATTAATTCTTAAGGCGGTACTAGTTTCGAGGCGCCTAGTTATTTCTTCGATACTCGCTCTAGTATATTTATTTATTCTCCGAGTAATCCTTCCTCTCTCGACTTCTAAGCTCTCCTATAATAGTAGGCTTAAGCTTATCGAATTTAAATAGAAGAGATACGAGCGAAATTACGAAGAAGTTAATAGAATTAACTTATAATACTCGATAAGGTACGATAATTATAATAATTAATAAGTATTATAGACTATTAGTTCGAATAGCCGCGTCGATTCTCGTAATATAGTTCGCCTTCGCCTTCTCTTCGACCGCCGAGATCTAGTTAGGATCGGTATACGTCTAAGGTTTTACCTCGGGACCGTCGAGCTAGTAAGGTATAGACGAGGGCGCGTCGCGGTACGAATATACGAGATATCGAGGGGGATAATAATAAAGCTATAAATCTAGATCGTCCTAGTCTAAATATAAGGTTAGCTATGATCGCGTCTCTTTCGCCCGATTTAGAGTTCCTTAATTATCCTACTTCGTAGTCTTAAATATAACTCTAAGGACGAAGCGTAGGTTCGTCTTCTTAATTTAGTTTATAACCTCCCTCGGCGGGACTACTAGTCGGTTCTCGACCTTTATCTATAGTACTATAGCGATAATTATATTACCTATTAGTAGCGTCTTAGTAATATTCTACGTTTCGATAATCTTCGGTCGCTAGTTCGTATCCGCTATAGTAGGGTAGTTTAATAGCTAGGTTTTTCTAGGGTTTAAGCGTTTTTAGCGTCTTTATATTAGATTCCGTAATTAGTTAGATACGATAGCGATAATCCTAAGGAGGAGTTTCGTAGCCCTAAGGAAGTTAGTTCGCCTTTTTATAGATAGAAAATACTAAAAATATATTCGAGTAATTCCTATTCCTTATTTAAAGATCTTAAATAACCTTCGCCTTTAGGTATAGCCGTAAAGAACGACCTTCGACGTATCTATCCCGTATCGATATAGCGTTTACCGTTACTTACCGTCCCTAGGACTATATCGAATAAGTTTCGTTACGCTAAAGTCTTCGCCTCTATAGCCGTTACTAATTTTCCTTTATATAGCGAGATAATTTAGTCCGATCTATTCTCTATAAGTCTTATATCGCTCTAGTCGATATCGAGCCCGATTATAAGACTTTAATAGTATCGATATCTATATTTATTAAACTATCGAAATCTAACTTAGGAAGAGAAGGAAAAGGTATTAGGTTCTATAGTACCTTCGAAGCTATATTACGGTCTATAGCTTATTCCTCTCTTTTAACGTCTATCGAATTCGGTTCCCTTAGGAGGCTCGTCGTTATCGAGTCGGCCTATAGCGTATCTATATATTTAAGGGCTCGGGGGCTACCCGCGAGTTACTTCTATAAGGGTCTAATAGCGCTTATAGTTAGTTCCGAGTTACGAAGGAGGTCCCTAGACCCTATAATTTAGTCTAATTTAGGTAGATCTATCTTTAGCTCCCTACTTTCTACTAGCGTCTAATTAGTTTT